CCAGCAGCTTCTTCAATAGGTAGACACGCCCGTCACACAAAGCTGAAAAGCAACGCTACGGATGCAGAATTAGGGACAGAAACATGTGATAAAAAATGCTGCACTCCAAAATTCTAATTACTCTCCTATCTAGGCCCCGCCAAACACCAAAAGGCTTTGAATTCTAATCCCACCATAGCCATTACGATACAACAGCTCCCGACCACGGTGAACCGGAAATTCGGCTATAACAATGATGCTAATATCCTCATTACTGATGCCTGCTTTAGCTAATAGTTGAAGTATTGCATAAAGCGTCCTTCCTGTGGCAAGTACATCGTCCACTACCACCACCGATGCCCCCCTTGGAATCAAATCCAGGCTCATCTCAATCTTCTTCCCTTTCAAATTGTTAGGTTCAGAAGATGAAATGTGTGATGAAGGCTTGTCGATGGAAACGGTGGGTGGGGGAAGCTTGCCGGCTTCGCGGATCAGCGCCAAGGGGACGCCAACTTGCTGGGCTAATGCCGATGCATACACGAAGCCTCCCGCTTCGCAACAGGCCACCATACCAATTTTATCCCAGTTATTTAGGAAGTGACTTTGTAGTAAAGAAGTGCACAAAGCAAGCCCGCCTTGCTGTTGGGCGATGTTGAGCACATGGCGGAACTCGATACCTGGGCGTGGGAAGTCGGGCACAGGGAGCACCATACTAGCTAGTCGCTCCAGGTCCCCATGGAGAAAGGGAAGCAGGTACGTATCGGCAAACCTCCTTACCGCCTCTTCTCCTGTTGCTCCATTGTCAAAGACGAGGCTGGGGCAGTAGTCCAGTGTCGTCGAACTCGACTTACAATTGCTGGCATTGTCGCTACTATTGTAATTTTCGCAATTATGAACTTTGTGTCGATCATTGCCGCCGGCTTGGCATTTCCGGCGAGTCTGCCGCGTCTTTTCGCTAGCTGTGACCCGAATGTCGAGTAATCTGCTATTCGGAACTAGATGGGACAAGGTCGCGGTAGGCGCCTCATCTCTCATCCCAGTGATCACCAGCACATCCGCATCTGCGGCTCCGGACACCACATTTAGAAATTGCTTTTCTAGAAGCCAAGATTGTTGTCGCATCTTTTCTTTGAAGAATACCGTCAATGCCGGCCGGTGTTGTTCCTTGTAAGCCCGATCCCATAACAGACGGTCTAAGTCAGCGCCGGTAGCTGCTACATATTCTCGCTTGATGGCATCGCTGATACTGGCCTTGTGTACCTCGCGGGGTTGGTCGGCAGATTTAGCGAGCATAGGAACCCAAACGTCAGCGCAGTAGTCCTTGCCGACGCCGCTTTCTCCCGTAACAAGAATAATGAGCTTCTGTCTCTTCGGCAGTTTCGAGAGCGGACAGGCGTAAGCCAGCACGTTATGCAAGTCCAAGCTATGTTTTAGCCGGGCCAGGCGTGGTCCGTTTGGCCCGAAAGCTTTAGCTGCCAGCGCGGTGTCTCTAGGGTCTGGCCCAAGGTCGGCACCATAAGCTCCGCTGCTCAAGGGCAACAAGCTCCTGGCGACGCCATACACCCACTGTATGGCAGCCTGAGTAACCTTGGTTCCGCTCTGGTCACGAGGCCAAACAGCGGTTATCACGCAGGCAAAGTCCCAGTCGCGACAGCCGAAAGCCGTGGCAGCATCCGCCACATCTCCGACAGCTCCACCTCCTTGTAGCAGATGAAGATAACAGAGCGGAGAAGGTCGAGTTTCCATGGCTGCTGCTAAGGCGTTTGCGATGTTCGTGGCCCCGATGTGTTTTAAGAATAAACACCGCTTGAACGAGGAGGTTTTGCCCCTACCGTGTCCGTCGTGCATCCCGGATATATACATCTCAGTTTCGAAAAGACCGACGCTGTCCACGGTCTGGAGGCTATCTTCCGGCCCTAACATCGCACTTGTAAGTCTAGTTGGTTCTGAAGGAAGTTCAGTTGTAGTAGATTCGATCACTGTTACGCCAAGGTGGATCTGTGAGTTATCTGAAAATAAATATGCATCCGCGGAACTATCTCGAGGGAGAGTTCTAGCACATTGATCGAAATCCTGAAGCTTAAGCCGTGTGTCATGATCGTCTTCCAACGGGATACTCCAGTTTCGAACCAAATACTTCCGGGCTGTATGTGTTTCAAAGACAACGCTGACAACGATGCCAAAATTAGTCCCCGCGCCTTTCAGAGCCCATAACAGATCGGCCTCAATTTCTGACTGCACGGCACCGGCTGGTCGATGATTACTTGGTACGCGACCGACATACAGAACCTGACCAGAGGCAACGCTGACCATCACAGCGCCCACAATGGCGTCGCACGCGAGCCCATGCAGTCTGGCCAGATGTCCAACGCCGCCTTGCAGCCATAACCCTGAGCCTACACTTGGGCGTGCTCCCAAAGGTACTGTTACGCCTGCCACCATAGTCTTGCGGACAATGTCTCCGGTATTACAACCAGCCTCTGCGACAACCAGGGTAGTAGAATTGAATTTCAGTTCTCCTCCCCCGGTTTCAGCTGCGACCATGTATACTTGATCAAAAGCACTCATGTCGATAGAAACAACGTTAGGCCAAAGACACTGGCCGCTATGGCTCCCACCGATGACAGTTAGGCCAACATTATGTCTAAGGGCCCATTTCACGCACTGCTGGATGTGCTCGATTTCTGTTGGCCTCACAATCGATGCGGGACGGTGGAGGCGGGCTTCCTGATTTTTTATTATCCTGCTTTCAGTCATCAAGGGCACATGCGCCGTTAAGTCGGGTAATGCGGTTGCATGTTTAGTAAAAGTTGCCATGACGTTGGGTGAACTGAACAAGAGATGGTCGGGGTATGCTTCTTCACGACGGCCCAGTACGTGGCATAGCTTACGCCATTCGCCTCGGATAGCTTCGTCTTGGAGGGTAAAACCCGCGATGAAAGAAGTAAATTGGTCCAATGTCTCATCGTCGGTTGCTATCCGAGCAATCCCAGTAGGAAAAGAAGCCGTGTGATGACACACTAAGCCGTCAAAGTTCAGGTCGCCATCACGATGGAATACCACCACTATTCCTCCTTCTGGGCCTTCATCAAGTAATTTCAGTGCGTGTTCGATAAATCTGCGCTTAGGTTTCATGCCGTACATGCTATGGCAGAATAGGACGACATCAAACTTCCCATCATCACTTGTCCCGATGCTGGTATCGCTCCTTGTGTTTTCGTTGTCGTTGTCTGGTGAGAATGGGATCCGATGAATATCGGGGAGGCCTTCCAGACATGGCAGGGGACGCTCTGTCGCTGAGCTAGGGCGAAACCATTCATCTAGCCTCGCAGCAAACAAGTCGTTAGGCTCGAATGCAACATAGCTCGAGATCTTGCACCTGACGTGATAGGGCAAGTATCCCAGAACACTCTTTGGGCCAGGCCCGACTTCTAGCACCGAGATATGAACACGCGATTCGAATAAACGGTCTAGAAGCGAAGAGAGCTGAGGGACAATGAAGTCTTGGTATGTCATCCATTCCGAGCCCTGCACCAAGACGTCGAAACTGGCGCTGTACTGCGGCTGGGACAACGGCTGCGTTGCGTATGATGCTGTCGCTCTCGCCGTCTGCCTAAGGGCTTGCTTCAAGGTATCGAGAGTGGCCATTCCGGCTTGATAGAAGCACGCTTTTGTACTGGTAGAGACAATAGAGTATGCTTGCGTATGGATGAGGATGAATCGATTAAGCTGGATTGCGTGCCTATGGAGCTGTTGCCGCTTCTTATCCGCCCCGATGTTGGGTGTATTAGAAGGGTTGGAAGGTTAGATTTATTGAGGATAATGTCTCGACATTTGACAAACCTGTCAAAGCACTTTAATCACATTCTCATGCTTTCTCTTATCATTGAAATATTCGCTCCCGGAAGTTGTTGAGATGATTAAGGTCCTCATTAGATTGTGGATGGGACTTTAATGTACGCGCGCGCGTTATGCGATCGCGGCGACATTGATGCATGGCCACGTTAGCTACTTCAATAAGCAAAGGAATTTTCAGCTCACCCTATCAACGAAGACCACGTTTACCGCCAGGTATTTTAAAGAAGTTATAGGTTCCCCTTCTGCGGATAAACCTGTTTTGGCCGGCCTCCCGCATGGCCTATGGAAAGAGGGGGGCGAGATCCTTGTGACAAGACAAAAGTTCAATACATGTATGCATGTATCATGGACCATGTTGATAGGTTGTACGTCGATAGATTATACGTAATACGAGATTGATATCCATTTCCACCGGACGGGGAATAAAACACTCAATGCAAAAGGGACCTTTAACCGCCGTCAAGTCCTAAGAGCATGTGCTAACTAGAGTTAAATCTTTACGAGTCGAGTGAAAGCTGCAAACATTCAAGCCTACACCGGGTGCCGCAGAGAGCATTAGCTCTAAAGTATTCAACATTCCACAATTCATTGCGTCCAGCTAGATGAAAGCATCACAAACATGTATCAAGCTATACCTGTAACCCATAAGCATGCAGCACCTTATTCCAAGTGGACAACGCTCATGGGAGTTTGTGGTGTCATGCAGGACAATTAGTGGCCGGCCTCCCGCATATAGTGGCTGGCCTCCCGCATAAAGACAACAAAAGGACCATTTCAAAGAGAGGGGCTATCGAGCCAAAGCCTGGCCGTTCTATCGGCTTGGGTAACTGTAAGTTATCTATAATGCATGAACAATGGTACATGTATGGGTCGGCTTTAAAGGCTGCTAGGGCGAAAGGTGAAATAATATACGGTTGTTAATGCGCTCTGCTTGATGGAAAATAGCCGTTAAGATAAGCCCAAACTGGGACTGTAAATTTATCGCCCAGTTCATGTATCCGTGTATTTAGTTGAGAAGCAACCCTTTTTGCAGGATCATTCCTTTGGTCTTTGTTCCCGAGCCTTTTTAGGTTGCTCGGACTTTCAGGTCCACTTGCTACAGAATTCTTTTCCTTAAATACCTTACTGTTTGCCTCTTTTCCTCCTGGTCTGTAGCAGTTCACATGGCTAATCCCAAAAACGGTAGCGTCCTCTCTAAGAAGCGGGGCCATAACAATGCTGTCTCTTCTCCGACCAGCCATGATTTAGCGCAAGATGGGCGCAAAAGACGGAAACACAAGCTCAGCAGCCTCAAGGTTCCTGTTGATGGTACAATTTTGAGTGCTCCCGATCTATATAAGAAGTCGCTGCGGAATGCCGTCAGTGATACCCGAGACGACTCATCCATTGAGAAGGTTCTAGTCCCCGAGGATGGCATAGCAACGAAATCGTCCGGCCCAGTGTCCGGTTCTGATGGTCTTTGTAGGTTACTACAAACTTTCTCTTTTACTGAGTACTCTTGCGGCTCGGTACGGGTTTCTTTGTATGGAGACTCACATTTGAACTTCCCAGCGATCGAAACTAGAACCCGCCAAGAAGAGAATCAGGAACAGGCGGCTTTACGCCTAGAGAAGATGCAACGTGCTGTGCGAACTTTGTTAGAGTGCATCGGCGAGGATCCAAGCCGTAACGGCCTGCTAAATACTCCTTCACGTTATGCCAAAGCGTTGCTGTTCCTGACCCAGGGCTACCATGTCAATGTGGAAGATGTTGTGAATAACGCGCTATTCCATGAGGGTCATAACGAGATGGTCATTGTCAAAGATATTGATATATTTAGCCTTTGCGAGCACCACCTTGTGCCCTTTACAGGAAAGGAAAGCTCTTCCTCTCTCGATATGCCCTATACACTCAACTGTGGGGTATGCCGGCTAACTATCTATTCTAGATGCACATTGGTTACATCCCCTCCAATACTGTTATCGGCCTCTCGAAGCTTCCTCGAATCGCCGAGGTATTCTCTCGTCGCTTACAAATCCAGGAGCGCCTTACCAAGGAGGTTGCTCATGCCGTTATGGATATCGTGAAGCCTCAAGGTGTTGCTGTCATTATGGAGTCTAGCCACCTATGCATGGTGATGCGTGGCGTTAAGAAAACTAATACAACGACCCTCACAAGCTGCATGTTGGGTTGCTTTGAGCGCAAGAGTGAGAAGCGAAAGGAGTTCATGCATTTCGTTGGAGTGAACCGGTAGGATAAACAGATATCGGACTTATAGGCTAAAATGCGGATATATAGGAGATCGGGGTTATACGCATAATATAAAAGCAGTAAAAGACATTTTCGTGCATCCTAACTCTGTAATGGTGTCACGACCTAATAACACTTGGTTACATTAATAGGTCCTGGAAGGAATTACTATAGTTTGCTCTTACTAATAATAGGAAAGTAATTACTGCGCTATAAGTAATTACTATAGCGCTTACTAACTTTAACTAAGTAATTACTCCTATAATTATTACCTTTTATATAAAGCAATTAAAAGCAATAGCGCTCTGCGTTGCTCTTTATATAATTGGCCCATCGGTCTGTACCTAATCTGTGGTATATACCGCTATAGTTGGGTTGTAATACCCAGGGATAAGGGAGACCGCAGTGCTCCCCTTTACTGCCAAGAAAAAGAGACACTTCGGAGAAGCCTTCGAAACAGACAATATGCCCTCCGATCGCAAGTTTAATAATCTATACTCTAGAGCCAGTATAGTATATAGCGACTGGTGTTTCAGACTGTTTCCTTACATCTATCAAGCAGGCAATCTAATACACCAAGAAAATATAACATTTTCTGCTTATCAATCTATAAAAGCAGTCTGCTAGAGGCGTTGATTTAATGAAGTTAATCACTATCCAATTCAAACTGACCGCACTGGCACCAAGTGTACCGAGGTTTTCCAACTATTATTTTATATAAAAGACATGTGATACTGTAGAAGTATGCAGGCCAGGTAGTATGAAATGCGGGAGGCCTACAGTCGAGCGGGGTTATGGAAAGTGAACCCTCCCCCCATTGAAACCTATGCGGTGTTTTCTCCCTCCTGTGAGGTTATATTATAATCAGGCTTTCACTCACTTTGTGACAATTTCTTATCTATTTTTCACTCTTACATAAATTACTTCTCATCTAACACTTGAGCCTATTTACCTATTACTGTACTGCAACTCCAGCATGGCATCCAATTATCCCCTTCCGTCGTGTAGTCCTATGTCCCGGACGCGCACCTCGCTTGACGATGTGCAGTCTCTAGCAGATACTATGCTACACGCTTCACTTGGTAAAAGTTGTTCGAAAGGAGATTCTGATCTTCCTGACCGGGGTTTGTTATTGACTTCAGCTACCACTTCGCGAACACGCGAGCGGCTTCGCTTAGTAGAGTTGGAGCGTGATGAAATGCGCCATCTTATCTCACACCTTAAGCACGAAGATGCATCGAGGCTATCTACCACTGAAGCTGAGCTCCGCATCCTCCAGCTTAAGTACGATGTGACGAAGGCCGTCGCTCCACCACGTTCTGAGGGACTGTTTAAGGCAGCCTGCTCGACCGACTTGTTGTTTCTCATGGACACCACTGGCTCTATGCATCCCTATATTGAAGCAGCTAAGGGCCAAGTCAAAAGCATCATTAATGAAATAAACATGGCATTCTTTAACGAAGCCTCTATACGCATAGCGATCGTGGGGTACAAGGACCATGGAGACTCGTGCAACATTCAATTTCTCGATTTTACTCCTGAGACCAATCAAGTGCTCTCATTTCTCAACCAGCTACACGCTACAGGTGGCGCTGATACACCAGAGGATGTGCTCGGTGGTATTCGGCAGAGTCTCAATGCAAAGTGGAAACATCCAACACGGTGTATCATACACATTGCAGATGCGCCGCCGCACGGCTGCACTTTACACGACCTAGGCAGCGGAAGTGACACATACGCCAACCCTGGGAGCGAGCCGCACCACTTGACTCATGAAACTCTACTCAGGCAGATGATTGAGCTAAACATCAATTACGCTCTATTACGTATTAACAATACAACGGATCGCATGGCTTTTACATTCTTCCAAGAGTATGCTCTGGCCTCTTCGCACTGCAAACTTAACAAGTCCAACAGATACTACAGCCAAGCATGCAGCAAATCTATTGGGTCTGACATTGACTTTCGTGGGGGGTTTATTTCGAGACGGCGCACCCAAGCTATGCTGCAATTTGAAGAGTTGGAACTTGGCGCTAACTATAGCGCGCTACAGCATTTGGTTGTTAAGAATATCACAACTTCAGTTTCTCGTGTTGCAAGTGTAGCAGCTGCGTCTGCGGCGAGAACCGCCATGACTCGGAACAGTAGGCCGTTGGGCCCACAGCTCTCAGCCGTCAGAGAGGATGAGAGCGGCATCGAAGAAGTGTTGGAGACCTCACCGCCGCAATGGGATACACCAGGCTGGTTGAATGAGACGCTGCTGGTAGAAGCTTTCTCCACCGACGTTATGGTAACCGGCACCAGCACATTAAACGAAATGATGGCTCACGATGACAACATCAAAATGAGTACGACGGATCTAACCATTCATAAACGGGACCAACCGTTTGCCCAAGGAGCGACACGCGTGGCGGCTTACGCCCGCACGGCGGCCTCCACTAATCACCTTGTGGTCAAATCATTGAAAAAAAATGGAAAGGGGATGGCGCACCTGGCCGACGATATGAGATGCCAAGCCCTATGTAAGGCATTCGCGTTTGAATTCAACGCATTGGTGGGGGAAGAGCACTCGATCGACTTCATCGTTGTAACATGCTTGAGACCCAAGTCAGGAACAGCCGCAGGCGTGAAATACATGTCTCTTGAGCCATTGATCGAAGGCACCTACGTCAAGTACAATTCCAACGCTGGTTGGGTCAATGAGGATTACTCTGATGACCCATTATACCAAGCCGCACAAACATTCTCACACTTCACGTTCGAGCGCTCACGTGGACGCTTTTTAGTTAGTGACCTACAAGGCGTTGGCCACGTTCTTACAGATCCAGCCATCCATACGCTTGATCCTGAGCGATTTAGGCTAATCGAAACCAACCTCGGGGAGGCAGGCTTCAAGTTCTTCTTCAGTACACACCAGTGCAATAACATCTGTCACAAGCTAGGGCTAAAAAGTAAGGCTACGATGATTTTTTCGGGCAGATATGAGTTTAGAGACAAGTGGCCGGACATGAGCAGGGTCGCCGATATGATGGTGTGCTGCTCGAACAAACTGTGCAGTAAAATTGTGCGTGTGGCAACAGCCAAGTTGTCGGAGGAATTCCCCGGGTATTGTTGGTGCGACATATGCTGGCCGCAGCTACGCTCGTCTATGGTCCAATTGGTTTGCATTGCTTCTGAAGCACATCATATATTCGATGTGTCCAAATTCTTTTATGAGTCGCAGGGGCAAATCATGCCCCGCGCATGCCTGAAGCATCGTACCAAGGACTCTGGGATCTAATTAGCGGTTGTATGATTAAATCGACAATAAGTCTATTGTATATATAGTTTTGGAATCAGGTCGGTATCGGGCAATCTTGTTACTAGCAGGGTAAGAGTAGTAGCAATATTCAATCTTGATTGCTATGAAGTGATAACAACTGGCTATCTAAGTATTCTAATGAATGTAGTGAAGTGAACTTATATACCCAGTTGGTTTTGGGTTCGTATGGTTCATTGAACGAGTATGTAGAGTATGAGCTTATATGGCTTGTAAAATAAGTTGGGTGAGCTGGGATTCATTGGTTAATTGGGTTATAGTTAATCTGATTGCGCCTACTTTGGGTTTAGCTGGTGGACTATTGTTACGATCCGGTCAATCGTAGCAGCTAGATCCTTATAAATAGCTGGTTCCGTTACAATGATTGCTACAATTGCGATTATTGGCCTAATCTTTTGCCCTGTTGGCGCTATGGTATAACGGAACGTAACAGCTATTATATTGACCTGCTAACATACTAACACCATTTTATTACATTTAGATTTTATTTATCTTCTACCCCTTGAGAGATACAGTACCATGCTACTTTATATCCTTAACCCTTTCTAAACAGCAATTAAGCTCTCTTATAACAGGATTATATAATTTCTACTATTGCGGATATTTTTATTTAAACTCTTTAATAAGCTCACGCACTTGAGTTTCCATTTTACACACTGCCTGTGCTTATTGTTTATATGTAATAGCTAGACTGTCTATATTTAATATAGCCTTAGCTTTATTACTTCTTATAATAGGATCTAAATCGCTATTAAGATACACTGCGGTGCGATTTTAGTGTTATTTACATTAATTCGGCCGATAACTTTAAAGATTTTTATATATTTCTAGCCCTTTTCTTAAAAATTAGAGATACTTATTAACCTTATTGCATTCCTTAAAGGTCTTAGTAACACGCATTTGCCTTATATTACTACATTTATAGTGGGAATACTCTCCCTTAGGAGAGTTATTTAACTCTAATATAAGTATTGCGGAAAGAATCCGGGAAGGCCCAGTTAATATTTGCTCGCGAAAGCTAATTAATTTAGTATATAGCTTACTTTTAGGCATTTAAACTAAATTTTACTCAGGCTGCATTACAAAGGGCATATACTTTTTCTAAAGCAGACTACTTACTAGTTTCCAGCTGTTAATAGGGTAATGTTTAATATTTATTGCTAATAGTAAATTCGCAAGGGTACTAATTCTATAAGACTTAGCATAGTGTCTTAGAAGTCCTTAATGCGCAATAGGCCACTATATAAATAGCTTATCTTCTTTATTTTTATATATAAATCCACAGCTGTGTGAATGGGGGAGAATTTAATAGCTCCTAATAAATAATCTTTTTAGCTTTTAATATTACTTACAGGCGCTAGCCTTCCCTTATACAGTTTTAATAGCATAAAAACTCTATTAAAAGAGCATATAATAAGGTTTCTTATTCTAGCCTTTATATTTAAAGTAATTATCCTTAGATTTCTAGAGCTAAGCAAATAAAATATAAATATTTTTTATTACTAGCCTATTTCCCTTAGTAAGTTAAAGCAGTTAATAATCTTTAAGCATAGAATTTATTATACTATTATAGCAAAGAGGAATCTCTCCTAATAATATAGCCTCCCTGCATTCTAGCTTTAACACTAACTTAATATAAAAGAATATATCCTTCTAAAATGCATATAAGCAAAGCTCTTAAAGATAATCCTTTAAAATATTTAGGTATACAGGAGTAACACTAAATTTAAGTATTTATTAATAGGCCTTATTACTTAAATAAAGTTAATTTATATATCTTAAACTTAGTGGTACTAGGCGCAATAGGCAGTCTATATAATAGGATTATTAAATATTATATAAGCTGCATATAATTAGCAGAAAGTAAGCATATTCTAATTAATTTTATTAAGGAACTAAGTGTAGCTATATATCTCTATAGTCTATTTAAATCTAAGACCTTTATATTAATGTAATCCGCTTAGTTAATATAAATTAGGTTATAGTTATATATCCTGCTAGTAACCACTAACTTTCTATATTAGTTTACTTATATATAAGAATTAAAAGCAATAAAGAAATATAAGTATAATTCTTATATGCTCCTAGGTTATAAAATGCAGGTCTTAAAAGCTATATACTAACTTAAACCTTATACAGAATTTATTAATATTCCACTATACCTATTAAAGCAGGGTTTTAGTAATAAAACTATAATATAAAGAGTTATCCTCTATAAGAGCAACTAAGTGTTTATTATAGAGGCCTTAGGGGCAAATAGAATAACCAATTGTGTGGAAGAGATTCCTAGAAACGCAATGCTCCTCTCTAATGCTAAAAGATTTATACATTAATCCTAGTAAAGTAAAGTAATACTAAAGCTTTATATATAGGTATACCTTAACTAATGTAATTAATTAATAGCTAAGGCCACCTTTAATAAATTCCTATATTTTCCTTAATTTCTTATTTAAAGCAAGGGTTTTAATAGCTATATTTATAAATATATATATATTTCCTATTACAAAGACTTCCTTAACACTAAGGTAAAACTAAGAGTAAAGAAAACTAGTAAAGCGGCGTTTAGAGCAATTCCCAGTCTTAACCATTAAGCTCCCACTATTATAAAGCATAGTAAATAAATAAAACACTTACTTCTAGGATCCTTTATTAGTGGATAAATTACTAATTTAAGAAGAATATAACTCTAGGCAATATCGCTTATATAGTAGTATTTTAGCTTATATATTTTCTTTATTATTATTTCCTTTAGCTGCCATTAGATCCTAAGGTATAACTTTTAAAAGCTACTGCAAGTAAGTCTCCTTTCTAATGTTAATATAAAAGTAAGTTATAATAAAGCTCTTATTTACTAAATTAGTCTAGTACTCTTTAAACCTTAATACTATTCTCTCTTAGGTAATATCTTTAGTAACTATTTGTAAATTCTTTGCTTATAGAAGGATAGTAATATCTTAAAACTAATAAAAACCTAGCTCTTAAATAGCATTAAAAATATAAGCTTAAATATCTGCCAGTAGCTTTAGCAGTAAATAGTATATTAATTATTATTCCCGCGCAGCTAGATGCATATGCTATGTAAGTGTTTTTATATTATAGGTAGTAAAGTTATATTAGCTATAGTTATAGTGTAATAGATAATATTAAATATATGCACTGCTATAATTTTAGTAAATTACTAGAAGCAGAATATTATTTATTTATAATTAAAAATCTTTATTATAGAGCTTACTGCTCTTTTATTTAGCTTAGTATAATTTAAGAAAAAGGAAATATAAGGATATATCCTTAATGCTAATAATTCAGCTGAATGTATAATAGGGAATTTAGTATATAAGCCAGTAGACCTAATATTAAACTCTGTCCCTATTAAAATATATCACTGGAATTAATTAAAGGTATAAAGCGGACTAAAGATCTAAGACTATTATTTTAATAAGTAATTAATAAATGCCTTATTTAGCAACAGCAAGGCTGCTTAAGAACTCTATAATACTATCTACATTAAAGGTAATGCCTACACTAGTTAAGACTCTCTTATCTTTATCCAAGGAGATATAAAAGACTTTAACTCTTAAATTAAGGCCACAGATAACCTTCTTTTTAAATTTAGGGTTTATTTCCCCAGCTAGGTTATCTTTCTTACTTATAATAGCCTTATTACTAAGGACATTAGCGCCTAATTTAACTATAGATTCTGGATACTTAGCAAGGCTAATTTATGCATTTGGACTTTTTATGCGGTTTTATTTTACTGCTTAGTAATAACTATTGTAATATCCTTGAAATTTAATAAGTTATTCTGCTAGCTTCTATGCAAGGTGTCTAACTAGATTTAACTTATTGTTCCCTGGCTGGGGCAAGGATTCTGGGGGTGCATTAAAGCTAATGACCTTTTCTAGGTCGGGACTATTGTATTTTAGGATAGGATTAGATTCTGCATTATTTACAGGAGTTCTATTATTAAAGATAGCTTACTCTGCTATATCCCCTTTTAACTAAGGATTAACTTTAGCTAAGAATTATAATATATCTCTTTAGTCTAGTTATAGTGTATTAGTAGGGTTAGCTAGTAAAAGGAAGCCGCCAAATGTGCTTACCAATTATAGAGATAGGACTGGGTTATAGAAGTTAGTATGCGTTAAGTTATATTATGCAGAGGAAGCGTCCCACTGCGCCGCTCGCTTCTATTCTACATCCGCTGCAGCTTTAGCCTTAGCTATTAAGTATTTTCAGGGCCTACCACACTTACACTTTCCCAGGGTATTTCTATAGCTTATATTATCTATAATGCTATTACTAGTAAAATCGGGTTTTCAAGTAGAAGTATATAGGTAGAATAAAGAGTTAAGAGAAGCTGTAGAATAGGAAGAAATAAAGGCGCAGAGAGTGTTAATCCAGAGATTAAAGAGAAAGAGGGGCCTTTTTAATATATAGGTTAGAAAAGCAGATAATATGTTTATCCATAGGTAAGGAAGGCAGATGGTTTTTCTAGTCTATAGGTTAAAAGGCAGGAAATATAGAAAACAAAGCTTTCTTAGTTCTTTACCTAAAGAATATATAAGAGAGCTTGTGATATACTGTAAATAAGGGTGCATGTAAGACTGCTAAGACCTAGCCTCCAATTAGCTAGGTTATCTATTAGTGTATAAGGTAGGTGCTGGATTCCTAAATGGGATTAGTTAACTGCGAAATTCAAAAGAGTCAAGCTTTAACCGCTAAAATCTAATTAGCTAGTATATTTATCATTAACAACAAGGTCAACAAATTAAAGTGCAAATTTCACAGCAACAAAGAATAGAAACACATTAACTAATATATAAGACAATATATAAGCCTTAAAATATCCTTAAATTTAATTCTTAATTATTTTATACTATTTTTAGCTTCTAGTTTAAGATGTTAAATATATAGTAGTGTAGGCAAGAACGAGACCTGGCAAGATATTAGTTAGCAATTCCGGAGTAATATGGGTTAGTATAGGGAACCCCAAATTCCAGGCCACATGGACTAGGGGGGGAAATAAGCTGGTTATAAAATGAACCTACCTAGAACTTCCCTCGATGCCGCTTATTTGATCATTAAAGGGGGCTGTGTCTAGTGCGCTAGTAAGCCGATAGCCGGAAGTTGCGCACGTGGCCGGTGTGCCGATTTAGCCATTAAGCCACGACGCTGAATGACGACGTCGAAAGAATAGGATTAAGTCGCACACATACCGACTGTCAGATGCCGTTCATTTTTGACATCTTCCTCGAGCTTCTGGTCAAATACTACAGTTGATTGTTGTTACATCATGACGCCCTCCGAAGATGCGGTAGCCAAGTTCATCTCCTGCGTTCCAGATGCCGACGAGGGCAAGGCGTGGGTCTTTTTGGAGGTAAATACTCTAGATTCGTGGTCAGCGATTGCAGCCGCTAATTCTGGGGTAAGGGGGCGTCGAGTATAGACGAAGCGGTAGAGGAATACCTCGATAATCCGGGAAAATATTCACAACTAGAGCCCAAGTCTCTCAAGCAAGCCAATGTCGCCCCTGGCTCAGTCAGTGAAGCACCTCCGGTGTACCCTGCGCCATCACATAATGTCTCCAACAACGGCAAAGGACACACCGTCCATCAACATCTACGGCCACACACGAATGGAGTGATTGAGGCAGGGAGGATTCGTGCTAGAGATGAGGTTTGCGTTCACTTTCCCTAACCTCCCACCGAACTTCAGTCTCATGAATCGCAGCAAGAAATGCAAAATATTCTCCAGAACGTGCAGCTGGCACACCGCATATATAATAGTGACATCGAGCCAGAGCATGATGTGGACACCTTTTGTGGGTGTGACATTCACCAATACATGGCTCTAAAGGCGAGGCGACTGAACGTGCAGAACAGGTGGTCAGAAGCTGTCATGTACCCAGGTAAGAAACATCAGACATTCTCAGGAGTCCTCGACCGCTCATCGACTAGACTGACAGATTTCAGGCGAAAAGTCATACCATAACAGCTATCAGACAAGGTTGGGTTTTTTTTCCAGCAATCCGTATAGAATGCGCGTCATTTCGCCGTATGGCAACTATAGTTCAGGCTATATAGGTGTGGCGCGTCCTATAGCCAGGTATTATAGTCTTTCAGTTCATCAGACTATTAGCTTGAATGCGCAGCTCAACGGGGAGGCCCAGTCGGCCATCAATGCAAAGGAGCCAAGGATGAACATTTGGGACCTTGAGAATCTTGATAACTCACGGTCAATTGTAACCAGCGAAGCGTCTTCAACATCAACAAAAAAGGGGGATGGAGGATTAGCCTACAACAAGTCCGAGAAAAGTGGTGAACAAAGCTCAGTGAGTGCAGTGGTCAACGAGAACGGCGAAGCATCTTCATTTAGCAAACCATCAAGGTTCGTAACGCTAAAGAAGGCCTTTTCGATCAAGTCTCCCGAAGAGAAAGCAGCCATTAAGCTAGAAAAAGCGCTGGTCCAATGCAGAAAATTACGTGACGAGATCGTTCAGGAGGAAAATGGCAGATGGCCAGACACCGAGTGGCGACAGATCGTGGACGCCTACCAAAACAAAGTTGGGATGACTAATACAATCGCCCAAATGCGCCAACGAAAACCCCTTCAATACCTTCATATGCTAAGAGCAGGCTACTTTGAGCCTATTCCTGTGGCGTGGGCGAACCAGATATCCAATCCTCTCAAGTTCACGGTTGACGCAAGTGCAGGGTGGAGAGGCATTACACCGGCTTGGAGGGGCTACGACGATACAGCAGAGGAGAGGCTATACTGGGTGTTAAATCACAGAGCCGGGACCGGACAGCGGCTGAAGCCTGACATTATTTCCGCACTGGATATGGCCCGAAAAAGGATGGCATCTGCTGTAGAGCCACCCCCGATATATTTTGCAGCAGACGACACTTGCCACCTCCAGCATACCTCCGAAGGCTACTCCAAACAAGTCATGCCTCCGCCATTTCGGCCCTATGACGTTCCGGAGACTGCTTCGGATAATAGCGTGATATTGCTAGACGTATCTGGCTCGATGGACTTTGAGCCAATGCGGCCACTGTACGACGAGTATCTCATAAAGGGATACACTCGATCTACTCAACCCAAGAATAGAGGTGGGGTATTCAATCTTGTCCAAAATGACAGCGAACACTAACCACACTCATTCCGTTGCAGATACTGCCAAAGCCATCATCCGCCGATTCACAGACGCCCTTGCCAACCACGATCACAACTTTCAGGGTTACCAGCTAACCACATTTGCCAACCATGCAGATTACGTTGGCGTTCTGAACCACCAAAATTTCGAAAAGGTCTGGCAAAACGTCAGATTCGGAGGTGGCACGCGCGTTATGACGGGATGGCAAAAGGTTAAAGAGCTCCATTTTCAAAAATACTCAGCATCAGCAACCTATCACCCGGTATACGGCTGGCAAGCGGGGCCGGAGACCCCCATTCTAAGGGTCCTTCTGCTACTAGATGGAGAGGCCCAAGACATGGACGAGTTTGAACTTGATCTACTGGGCCTCTCATGGGTTCACGTCACTATATTCTTGGTCGGAGTGGACGGCTGCCCACATCACCACCGGCACGCAAATGAGTTGCAGAGAATAAGCGAAGTCAATCCACATGTGTCTTTTGTTGATGCACAAGGGAATACACCCGAAAGGTTTGTAACTCATGAGCTGCTGAAGAGGCATTTGGGTTATGACTTGTCCCTGCAAGAGTTTGAGGAGATGGAGGATCCGCCTGCTTATACGATGTGATTTTGAGGACTTGATTCAACTGCAATTCGTAATTTCTAGTTAGGATCAGGATTATAAAGACACGTATCTCCTGTCGTATGGTGTATTAGTTGCTTTCACTATTGGTGCATGTTGTCAGATGTAGTCTTCTAATGTATTATGCGGATTATTGTAAACAAATTAATCAAGATAACTGCAACTTCTGTTTGTCCTTTTCTTTTTATCTTATAGTTATTAGTCTATAATAAAAATATTATGTATTTTTATTTTAAGTTATTATAGTAAATTATACAGATTTTAAGAAGGTATTATATACATCTTCCAATAATACCTTCCCATGGTCTTAAACTAATATCAAGACTTTTACTATTATTATGTAAATCAAGAGAATAGTTTCCAAGTACCCATTCTACTGCCTTAATATCTCCAATTCCTGTCCATTGTAAATATTTGCCAGTGAAATTTGTAACTGTCACCCAGCACTCGTGTTCTGAGAAGCGTTTATAAGCTACCACATCCTTATGCTTCGGATCCAGAATCTCGAACCCGCCATAAATGAACACTTCTTTATGTTCCTTGCGTAATTGCAGGCAACGTTTCCAATAGGAGAATACGGAATGTGGGTTGTCCAATTGATCCAGAGCATTGATACGGGGGTAATCGTCATTAACTCGCATCCATGGCTTGACGCTTGCCTTGCAGAAACCAGCATTTGGAGAAGCGTCCCATTGCATTGGAGTTCGTGTATGGTCGCGGGCTTTAAGCTCTATCATCTTCTTTGCATACTCCAGCTTTCTGTGGTTATTGGCAAATTGCTTGCTCGCACTAATTGAGACGAATAAGCTCAGGTCAAGACATAGTTTTAACAAAGGTCAAACTCACAACTTCCAGTAGCTCTGAGACTCAATATCCTTGTATTCTGAGATTGGCCAGTCCGGAGGAATGTTTCGCATGCCTAGCTCCTGGCCTTGATAAATATACCCCGTTCCACCAAGCGTTGAGTGCTTAGTACAGAGCATCTTTGCCGCATACTCACGCCACTCGTCACTATCATCCGCAAATCGTGACAGTGATCTTGGAGAGTCATGATTCTCACAAAATACTGCGTTCCAACCGTCTCTGTCAATCATTAACCGCTGCGTTCGCATATGAATCCGCTTCATATCGGCAGCATCCCATTCTGAGTAAGACCACTTCGAACGGCCCGGTTCATTATCCAGATTCAACAGGTGAAATAGAAAGATCATGTTCAATGATCCTTGCAACCCGACGGTACGGATAATCTCGTCTTCATCGTTCACAAACGGCATCTCACCGACTGTGATAGTGTCATATTCATTCAGCACTTTCCTTATACCTTGCAAGTATTCGGTTAGGCGCGGTCCATTGGCATAAAACTTGTCGCCAGGCTGATAGTACTGGCCTGGAATCTTCTCTTCTGCATCTGGGAAGTGCTGAACTTTAGAGATGTGGTCTATGACGTCCAAGCGAAAGCCACAAACACCTCGATTCAACCAGAATCGAATGATATCGTGCACTGCATCTCGGACTTCTCTGTTCTCCCAATTGAGGTCGGGTTGTGCAGAGGAGAATACGGACAGGTAGTATTCTTTTGTGACTTCGTCCCATTCCCAAGCCGATTCGGCTGTGTCTAGGGTACGGCACCAGTTGTTTGGTGGAACAGGCTTGCCGTGCTTGTCAACTCTGCCTTTCTTCCAAATATACCAATCTCTTTTGGGATTTTCTAGGGAAGACCGCGACTCAAGGAACCAAGGATGCTATTTCATTATCAGACCCCTTAGCAACTTGCCATTTGCGTTTCGGACAATTACCTGATCAGAAGTGTGGTTTACCACAAGATCCATCATTAGCTTCATGTCGCGTTTACCAAGCTCGGCAATGAGGTCGTCAACATCCATCAACGTGCCGTACTTGGGCTCGATGTCCTTATAATCTGAAACATCGTACCCCATGTCTACCTGGGGGCTTTTGTATACTACTGGTGTGTTAGCAAGATCTTGCAGTGGCAGTCAAATAATTTACTTGGAGACAACCAGATCACATCAGCTAACCGACATATATTAGCAGATTGTATCATGCAATGACCGATTTACTTGCCTCCCAGCACTTTCAAATAGTCCAATTTCTCTATGATTCCACGGATATCACCAACGCCGTCATTATTCGTGTCCCGGAAAGAAGCTGGATATATCTGCAGCGTGTCAGGGCTTGAATGAAGTTTAATAGACAGGCTTCGGTTGGTAAGAATTACTTGATACACGATGCACTCCTTCCACCAAACACGCTCAGTCTTGACGAGATTAAGATCTGACATCTTATGAGATAGTGTTTTGCCACTGTTAAAGGACCTCTGATAACTTCCTTTCAAGCCCTTCAGTTGATGTAGAGGGAAAAGCAAAGGACCGAGCTTTTGGGGGGCAAAATGCCTGGAGAAGGATTTCATGAGATTTGCAGAAGGCAAGATGGATGTTTTCCTCGTCCAAGGATCAAGAAATGCTTGTTTAGAAACCCCTTTTTAAGTTTGTTTTTGGCTGCCTGATATTTCAGCAATAGGAAATTGACGTCAGCACCACGCAAAGCTCAGGTGAGGTGATTCAAAGACATGCTCAGATTATACGAACTATGATATCAAGCTGGCATCTCTCGGTGAAGGTAAAACACGCATTATGATATCAAGCTGACGTTTCTTTGTCAAGTAAAATGACGTCCGACGGATGGTGGTAGGTACACCCTGATTTGAGACTTTGCTCGGCATTGAAGTTTGATACTACGCGCACGTGGGATGTCCCACATGTTGTTGCCGGCTTCTACACTGTGGTATTGCTATACCTTAAATTGGCACATTTTTGGTAAGTTTGATGACAAAGAGTGAGTATCACTCCACACTTATATTTAGCGATCATAATTCAAGTTATCCAACTATTCCCGCGTTATTCGATTCGACCGATAGAGTCATTAACCACTTTTCAATAGCCGTCTCATCTAAATTCTTTAACCACTGTTCTGTCGTCATACGCACTTTGTTTGAAAGGTTTTCGTACTCGCATCTGTTATTCATGAGTTTGTTTACGGCTTTGACCCATGGTCCGATGTCTTGGTCAGGCACGATATATGATCCATCCTCATCGCGCTCCCCTTGGATGGGATTGACCGTTATAATGCAATCAAGTCCTAGCATGGACTCAGGTAGTGCGCCTGCGTTAGATGAGATAACTGGTATGCCGCGGAGGTGGGCCTCAATCAGCACTATCCCCCACGCCTCAAACCAGAGTGAAGGCATGAGCAGCACTTTGATATCGCGCCAGGCTTTTTCCATATCTGTACATGTTGAGCGAACACTGCGCGTGAGGGGCGAAGCTCATATTAGTTCATAATGCTCGACGCGCAGTAATTGTTAACTTGAACTCACGAGATATTTTGCAGCTCGCTTAGCTGCTTGCCAACCTTATCATCGAAGCCCCAACTCTTGTATACCAGAAAGTCGTACTGTGGACCTGACTTAGCAAGATTCACGAGGATGGGCAATCCTTTAACTGCGCACGGATTTATCATGCCGATAAATTTCTTGTCCCAGTTGTGTAGATGGCTGGGCAGTGTGTGATTTCTCTCCTCAAGGTAGGTCCACGGATGATGCACAAAAAAGTTGGTCTGCAGCTGTCCCTGCTTGAAAGCGTATTGTTTGATAGCTTGGGAGACGCTCCAGATGCCGTCGAGCATTTTCAGATGTTTCAGCTCACTCGTTGAGCTTGCTTGTCCAGGCACGCCACCCGCGAATGGACCGAAAGGAAGCTGCTCGGCAGTATGTATGACGTTTATACGGCACGCATTCATAGTGGGCATTTCCAGGGCAGAAGTGGCCTGCATAGACAAGCCATCATTGAAGATGATGTGTGTAGGTGAGAAACGCGTTATTTCCTGTTGCAGGAAGGAGACAAAGTCGTGCAGTCGTGCAGATAGAACTCCGGTCTAGTTGAGACACAAGTGTGAATTAGTTAATTTGAATAAAGTCGTACCTTGAGTGGGCAATTACCTCAATGTATTCAGCCGTCTCTCTAGCCATTACCTTGGATATGTTCTTCTTGCCACCGAATGCAGCGTCAAATGTCTCGCTGTCCAACGCAACAATCTGTACGTCATTCTCCATGACCAAATCAATCACCTCGACATCTGTCTTCGACACGCCGTTCTCAGCTCTTAGCTGTAGAACCTTTTTACTAAGGCCTATCTCACGACTACCGCTCTTATTCATGCTCTGGATATAGGTCTCTGTCTCACCTTGATGAGAGTAACAAAGTTGGATAACAGAATGACCACGTGAGGCAAGAAAACGCAACAGGCAGATGTTCGCTTTATAACCTCCTGAGGAAGAGAAAAGACCCCTTGCAGTCTGTACGAGAAAGACACGCATATGCGTAGTAGCTGAGCCAAGACTTGAGCCAAGACTTGAGCTGAGACTTGAGCTGAGACTTGAGCTATCAGAAGAGTCGCTGGAGTGGCAGCAAGAAGACGATTGAGAGTACGATAGGCGATCCATTGAGATGATCAAAACTGAGGCTTGTAGGACGCAAATGTCGTTAGAGGGACGATATAGCAAATAAGTATTTGATTGTTTACAATTTATAGCAAGAGCAGCAGCAGCTTCTGCGTGTTTTATAGAGCGCACGAAGATGATATAGATTTGGATTCGTGGAAAATCTACAGGTCATAAGATCGTCAAAATTCGTTAGTTTAATGCTAATGCTGTCATTGAAGTTAATGCTAATGCTGTCATTGAAGAATCACAGGAGTCTCCACAATAGCGTTAAGAAGAAAAAGAAAGTTGCGATATTATCGTCACAGAGTCATGATACATTTTTTTTAAACTATTAGTTCAATAAGCTAAAGTAAAGCAATTACTATTTGATTAATATTATTATTACCACTTGGCTAAGTATCTCGCGTTAACCTTGAGTAGACGCGTATGCGGTTTGTTATCTTATCCGCTGTAAATCTTGTGCGGATATTACTCCTTGATGATACCCTATACTGAGCTTTAAGCTGTTTGTATAAGTCTTCGGCCAATTTTGGAGAAACGTAGCCAACCGCGATTGTTCTGAGCTAATATCTTATACGCTTGTTTACATACCTGCATCCAAGATAACAGAATGCGGCTCCAAGTCTTTCTTTTGCTTACTTTGTAAGTGGAAGTAATAGACTACGTATTAATTGTTCAACACGAGCGATACTACCTGGCAAAGGTCGTCGAGTCACTTATGGAAAGGAGGCGTTGAACTATGTCTATAGCCTAGTAATGAATGCCTAAAGGAGAGAAAATTTACAGATTTAGAAAGTTTGAAAATAACGTGCTGCAGCACTTATGGAAGCTAGACACTTACATAAAACTACAACCTGTACAGATGTGACTGGAGTACTGCCGAGACTGGCACAGAGACTATCTTCTCTTCTCCTGGGCTGCGAGCTCGCATTGATTGATGCCATCGATATAACGGCTGCTGATCTAGTCTCACCTGACTCCGAAGCAGAGTATGAACTATGCTACTGTGACAAAGGACAGTAATAATGGCTATGCTTGCTTCACCTAAGGGCAAACCTTGTTTTTTATTGATTATATAACTCAAGCCCTGGGTTATATAGATTTGTTCCTGGCTTACTACTTAGCTAAATTAAGCACATTTGTTTATTCTATATCAGTTATTGAAGATTTACTTCATATTAGTTATTGAAGAAAAATCTTTCTCTGGATAAGACGGCTGAGCTTATTACTAATAATATCGCTCTAAGTGCTAGAAATTACTGGCTCCGGACTTGGGCTCCGGGCTTGGCCATACTGTTATTAAACTACTCTACAGTCTCCTTCGGCGGAAACTCTAGCCTCTCCGCCTATTCCGTGGCAATTCGTACTACAGCTTTTTAAAAAGTGGCGCCGCCCCCGGCCTATAGAGGGGAACGCCTCAAAAACCTAGGCGCCCCCTGTATAACTCGATGATGATGGTGGCTTAACCGTTATATGCTTGGGCTTCGGCCCGGCCCCACTAAACACACTGCAGTCCTTGTTTTCGCAGCGGAATAAGCGGATATGGCCTTGAAACTTGTAGAGACTTAACTAGTAGCTATATCTTTAAAGGCCTATATCTCTAGAGACTTAACCAGCAGCTACATCTCCAGAGACTCAATTAGTAGCTATATCTCTAAAGAATTAACCAGCAGCTATGTCTCTAGAGACTTAACTAGCAGCTATATCTCCAAAGACTTAGCTAATAGCTATATTTTTTTAAAATCTACTTAAAAGCCTTCTTAACCTAAACCTATAAAACAAGTTTTTAAAATGTAATTATAATGATAAAGTAAAATATAACTATATTACTTATTGAATCCCTCATATCTTTTTGCTAATATAAACTAGCTCTTAGTTTATAAATTAGGAACCTACAGTTGAAGTACACGTTTTTCACCAAGTAGCGTTGCTCGATTCCAGGGGTGTGAATTTGCCATAGTCTTTCTCGAACAACTTCGCCGTTAGATTTCTCGGAGAACAAGATTTCAGAACGCGAGGAACAATTCTCCACTGGTCAAATGCTCGACGATTCGCTTCTACAGCTGACATGCCACCAGCGCCTCCGTAGATGTAGCCGAAAGGTTTATGTCCCATTGCATTTCGTGCTTGCTCTTCCAGAAGGTTTGGATCCGTCGTGACGATTGGCAGCTTGTCATTGAAGATACCATCCTCGTACATCTTCGCTATGTGAGAACCGTATGGCTGTCAACGATCACCGTAGCCTCCATTCCTAGGGTTAATCATTTTGTTGCGTCCAACGATTGACGAAGAAGCCTGTCAACTTATTAAACAAAATTGGAAGTTAATTTGGGGAAGTAGATAGTAAAAAATACAGCGGGATGTAGAGGGTGTAATATATATCTCATTTCCTTCAACCCAAACCTATCAAGTCTCTTCGGCTGCTCTTTTATAATATTCTATCGGCATAAGCTGCACCTCTAACCGGCTGTAAAAAGTGTAATCTGCTCCCTTGTTAATTTAAGGCGCAAAGCCAAGGCTCTCACGACTTAGTACTACCTATTGACACTGTACACAGTCAGAGAACCTACTCACTGGGTCTCTACCTGATAGCCTTGTGCGGCTTCATCGGAATCAAGGATCATGATATGGTACAGTTTTGTTGTAAATTAAAGCCGAATGTTGCGTTTGGCGAGGAATTATGCTACCTATCTAAATTAGTTGTCAAATACGCCCACTTACGGGCTATATCCGATGTGCTGCTTCAGAGTGGAACGCTGCCTTGTCGCCCAAGGGCGCGCGCTCATGTCGTCCTCGGCAAATCTTCACTCCTAGCTTTGTTTCGGCAATTTTATCGCTACTCTACATGAAGAATAGTCGCTTTAGTGGATATGGTTTGTAACTGAGGCTGCAGAATGACCGAAAGAGTAGCTTAAATCGTATTAGACGCGACAAAGGGAGCAAAGGGAGCAAAGGGAGCATTGTGAATTGAATAGCTAGTAAACCAGATAAAACTTACAATGAGTAAGAAATAATTTGCGTCATGATACAATAATGCTCAGATTTAGCTAGGCTCTCTTGCGCAAGTATTACCCGCACCACCAGTGTATAAATTCCCTTGATAGGCCAGCTGTATTTTCTTAACAATCAATAACTCTTGCTTATATTGACTATACTAAGCGACATATTTATTAAGTGCCAGGAAAAGTCCACATGAGCATAAGCAATATGGAAACAGAAATATTTGCAGCAGCAGAGATCTGTCCAATTGACGTTTCTAAGCTGCAAGTTGTGAAAACAAGTGACCATGGGTTACTTATACCTCCTGAGAAATTGGTATTTGGGAGGAATTTCACAGGTTTGTATGTTTAGTTATGAAAAATTCGATTTGCTAACGGCATCCTTAGACCATATGCTGTCCGTCGAGTGGACAAAAGAAGATGGGTGGCATGCGCCACGTATACTTCCATACCAGAACTTGTCTCTTGATCCGGCGACATGCGTCTTTCATTATGCTTTCGAGTGCTTTGAGGGAATGAAAGCATATAAAGGTAGTGATGGCAAAATTAGACTATTCCGCCCTGATAAAAATATGGCCAGGTTTAATAAGTCCGCGAGTCGGATTGCTCTTCCCAATTTTCAACCGCCTGATCTTATCAACCTAATTGCAAAATTAGTTAAGATGGATGAGTGTTTTATTCCAGGAGAGAGAGGATACTCACTATACCTGCGGCCTACATTAATTGGCACGCAGACTACGCTTGGCATCAGTCCGCCTGAGTCAGCTATGCTCTTTGTCATTGCCTCTCCAGTTGGACCTTATTATCCCACTGGCTTCAAGGCTATTTCTTTGGAGGCTACAAACTATGCCGTAAGGGCGTGGCCTGGAGGTGTTGGAGATAAGAAACTGGGAGCTAATTACGCGCCTTGTGTCCTTCCCCAGAAAGAGGCTGCTAGCCGCGGGCATCAGCAAAACCTTTGGCTATTTGGCGAAGAAGAGTTTGTGACTGAAGTGGGCACAATGAACATGTTTGTAGCAATCCGGACAAAGGATGGACAGAAAGAACTCATTACTGCCCCTTTGGACGGCACTATTTTGGAGGGGATAACTCGTGACAGCATTTTAACTCTGGCTCGTGAAAGGCTAGCCCCGGAAGGGTGGGTGGTGTCTGAACGGAAGTACACTATGACGGAAATTGATCAAGCTGCACGAGAAGGAAGATTGATCGAAGCTTTTGGCGCGGGTACGGCTGCAATCGTTAGTCCTGTTCGGACTATATATTGGAGAGGAAAGGGGTTAAACTGCGGATTAGACCAAAATGAAGAAGCTGGAGAGATTACAGTGAAGATGAAAGAGTGGATGGAGGCAATTCAGTATGGGGATGAATCTCACGAATGGAGTTATATTATCGATTAGCAGTAGTGACGCTATTGGTCAAGTTATTGATACTCAATTCATAAATTATATCTTTATTCCCGACTAGATGTGTTTGTTTGTGACTAATTTACATGTGGTTATGCTTTACTAACCGGCCTTTTTCTCTGGGAGTGATTTTGGCATATCTCTCGCCCAGCTGCTTCGACGACTGGTTCATTGATACGTTCTATTGAACCATGACACGATATGGACCAATTTCTATAAATTTCGTTCTATTATCTACAACTGAATAATTCATTGGCCCCTGTGTAACGGGCTTCAAAGTATAGCAAAAGCATATATTTTATCTAGAAGGCATTTTTATTCCATGAGGAACTACTCATACTTCTTGTTCAAAAGGTCTTATGTCTGCTGAGCTATGAGGGAACAGTCTGTGCTTGAGTAAACAGTTTGTATATAGCCATCATGTCCTCTTCTCCCCAACCAGAATTACAAGCATCTCGATAGAGTGAGTGGCAGATTTCAATGAGAGGCGTTTGGACTTGTACCTTTTGCGCTGCTGATCGAATCAACTGGGTGCTATTATAACAATCCTTCATGGCTGCCTGTGGAGACCAGTCTTCCTTGAGAATTTTGGCAATCTTCACCCTCGAGTACGCAGAGGCTAGAGGACAGGCGTTAAGCACTTTGCCAAAAGATTCGAGGCTAAGACCTTGACTCCGAGCAAGATTCATGGATTCGGCGAGTCCGGCGGTTACCGAGACTAAGAACAGATTGACGGCATACTTGGCTTTCAAACCCGATCCGATTGGGCCACAATACACAGCGGCGCTGGTAATGGGTTCCACAATCGGCTTAATCAGGTCAGAAATGGCGGGATCTCCCGCAATCATGCCAACAAGTTGACCTTGCTCAGCGGGGATCTTGCTGCCGCTGACAGGCATCTCGATGAAGTTACCACCAGCGTCGTGGATTTGCTGAGATAGTTTGTGGCTGTAGTCAACAGATACAGAACTCGTGTTGATGACTATTTTACCGCGTATTGACTTCATAAAATCGTCGTCGCTATTGATTATTGATTGAATGGCAGAGCCATCAAAGAGCATTATAAAGATGATATCCGATTGCTTGGCCACGTGAGAGGGAGTCTTGCCAATGGCAGCTCCTGCATCTATCAGGGTATCGTATCTCGAGTCGCTTCGATTCCAAACAACCACGGAAAATTTGCGGCAAAGATTGATTGCCATGGGCGTACCCATCATACCCAGCCCCAAGAAACCGATTCTCATCTCGGCGAAGTCTTGGTTGTTGTATGTATGTATGTATGTATGTATGGTATGTACGTATCGGCTACGTTGGAGCTTGCTTGTAGAAGATGTGTTGGCTGTGTGGAAGCGCCGCTTGCAGCACTTGATAACCCCTGCTTCTGAAGCCTCTTTTATGGTTAAACAATGCCATATACTTCCAAACCTCTGTGTTCACTGAAGGGAGCGGCAAGGCGCAACTCATCAAGAAGCGGATAAAGCTACCGCTAATTAGTTCGGGCAGGCCCACATTAATCGTGTTGATTGCGCCTTTTGAGAGCTAACGAAGCTTAGTGGCCAAACGCACGTCACGTAATTCACAAAGCGGCACTCAACTTTAACAAACAGCTAAAGAACAAAATAAAATTTGGTAAATTTAGCAAGAGAAAGAAAAATTCATACGAGACCAAGAGCTACAGTAGTAAGCCAACATTAGTCTTGAAATCCTCTAGCCACTGTGGATTATCTGCTGGCGTCTGATTCCACGGATCGTCTCTTTCATAAGCACACTTGTTAGTGATCTCCGCAATTAGGTAAAAAAGAGAGGTGGAAAAATAATGCACGTACTCCTCGAACATGATCCATCTTGCTTGGTATTGTAGCTCCTCATCAGAGGGAATGTGTCTGTTCGGGTTATTTGGAGAGATGGCGCTCGCTACAAAACGAGATAACTCTCTAGTTAGACGTCTATAGCAGTTGCTATCGTCTTGAATGTAAGGAGTCAGTTTTCCTGATGCCAAATTGTGGCCCCGTATAGTCTCAATTGTGTGATCGTTTGCGAATTCAGTCGAGTAGGCGGCCTGAATCAGATTTCCCCCAAATGTATAGGCAGCATTGCCTTGTACTATCTTTGGTGGCCCTGAAACAATTCCTCCTCCTAGTTGAAGATGTGAGCGGCCATGAAATGGTATAAGCCATTGATTTGATGCAAATATCAGATTGTTCAAGAAGCGGACAAATAATGGTGAAGGGTTTGTGACTGATGCGTCTAATGAGGCAATAATTTTACTCGCCTCGGATTGAAGCTCTGAATACCCAATCATTAAGCCTGATGATATAGATAAGTCGACATATTTCCGAAGCTGTTCCTCTGCATTACAATTCTCAAAAATATTTCCTTTGCCATGTATCTTAAGCGGCGTGATTCGGGCTTTCAGAGAAGTCTTCATAGGACGAATTCGGGCCTGTTTCACTATGTCTTTTGAAGACATCAGTAGGTCTCTTAGCCAAGACGGCCCTGGCTCTTCAAATGCTTTTGAAAGCATCTCAGAGCCAAGTATGATGCAGCAAGCCTCATACTGAAGCTCTTCGTTAGTAGGTAAAGTCCCTGTCGCGTTTATGTTGTTTACCCAGTAACTCAATTCCAGTTTGATTAACTCGAATGCATTTATTGGAGACTCCACAGGACCTTGCTGAGTTGTGAAAGGCCATGGAGAGTTTCGTTCATAGTGTATCAAATCTATGGTCATTATCATATCAGTAACACGCTTGACAAATAAGATAAGGGGGAATATAGCGACAAAACCATACATGGAGGCATAGAATTCTCCACCATGTCAAGAACATGGTTATCGAAACCCCAATCCCCTTTCCAACTGGCCATTGTTTGTCCTTCTTTGAAGTGTTCTGCCAGATGGTCCGTTCGATCAACCCAGGAGGCCAGGGTTAGCTCACAGAAGCCACATCGCGACCGCAAAGTTGCGATTTCCTGTTTCCATAGCTCCATAGGCCAGCTCATGAATTTCGTATCATGTACTAGTTTTAGATGCTGCTGTAGATGGTCTTTTCGATAGAATGTCCGTTCACCTACATCACGGTGTTGACAAGCAGCATAGTTATGTTCCGATATATGATTCTGGCTAGGATCAATTTGTCCACAGTAAACACACTGTAACTTGCCACTATCGGGGTTCCGCTCAGTTGGTCCTTGGGGCGAACATTTCCATTGCTCCAAAGACAGATGCAAGGATTTTTCGTGTCGCTGCCAGTTATGCTTCGTTTTGAACGTTTCCGTACAGAAGGTGCATTGATATGGATGGCATATTGACTGTAGGGGATTATTAGGTCTGTTGAGCTCTAACCGATTCGTCCGAGATCGTCGTCGTCTGCGCCTGATCAACTTTCTTCCATGGTCGAGCAATCCGCCTGACCGATGAGAGCCAGCCGACCAGACAGAACAAAGAGAACTGTTGCTAGACATTGAAGTGATTGCGCTGCTTGAGTCATTTCCCCATGAGTTTACCAGAGATATATCTTCCACTGGCATACTAGGGTAGCCATCCGATACAGAGAGACCACAAACTGCTTTAGCGATTGCGGAGGCTGTGGCTGGTTCATATTCGGGTGGTGAATTTTGCCATCGTTGGAGCGGGTTCATCTCTTCAAAAGATATATTTTGTTCATGTGTTCTATTTTTTTGTAGAAAAGATGGTACTGGTGTCGGTGGTCGTCCAGGCTTGGTCTTTGTCCGCCTCCGGGCATTGCCGAACCAATTGACAATCTGGTGTCTGCTTAGGCCCGTCTGCTTCTGCATGAGCTCAATATCTCTGACGCCAGGATAGGGGTGATCAGCGTGGTCTGCCAACCAAGTCTTCAGAATCTTATTTAATCTTGAGGAAAAGCGTTTCCCGACTTTCGAAGGTGTTGGCTGATGACAGTCAAGAGTTAACTGGTTTGAACAGTCATTAATATTACCCGGCGCTTGGTCAGACTTCGTAGAGGGCACTCCAGTTTCCGTATGAGGGTATGTAGGAAGTTGGGATAGCCCGCCAATGGTCAGAGAATTGATTTGTTCAAGCCCATCCCAAATCGTAGCTACCCGACTCGAGAAGAACGGGTTATCGATGTCATTTGATGATGGTGCTAAAGCAGCGCTGTGCTGCTGCGACAATGGAGCGTGAGTCGCGGCCGCTGGAGGGAATGCATTATCCACGCCACGCACTGCGCGAGGCATTGAAGTCTCTGCAATTGGTAATGTGTTGATAGATTCCACATACGGGCTGGTGAGCAAGGAGTCGGTATCAAAAAGATTGGGCCAGTCGTCAAGAATGGCCCAAGCCTCTGGTTGTTCGGTAGGATCCATTGGCTGTCTATGCACTAGGAATAAGTAAAGCCAGCCGGCTGATTGTGTTTCTGGGTAATAGTAAGTTAAAACTGCGCTGTCTCAGATGTGGGATAAAATGCTGATAAAGTGGCGGGCGCGCAAACACACACGCACGCACATTCAAAGAGGGGCCTCAGGCATGAATATTATATCGCGTTTAGGAACAGCAAAAGAAAGCCCGAAGGCGCGCGGACAGTCTGAAGCCACAGAATTGAAAGCCAAACAGCATATGTAATCTCCACTTTGATTTTGTGGGACAGACTCCAGTCACCAGGACGGCAGATTCGATGCAAGCCAGTCAGCCTGAACTAGCATCGCGGGTGTAACTGTCCAGCGCCAGATCGCGGGCCTGGTACCTTATCATCTGCGCAGAACATTTCCATGCGCAGAACATTTCCAACTCGGAAGAAGAGCTTGTTTCTGTAGCCACATAAGTGGTGTACAAGAGCTTCTGGATAGTAGGTAAATTTAGTATGTAGTAATACTGTGACAGGTTATATACTAGACGCTCTGCTTAAAGATATATATGAACGAGTTTGGATATGTTACATTCCAGGAATAGCAGCACTTGTGCTTGAATTACCCTACGGGATTGTTAGCCGAAGTACGGACCCTATATTATACTAGCTTACTTACTTACTGTATTACTTTTCCATATTGTAAGTATAATGCATAACGCAATAGCGCAGCCTTAGAGCTAATATCTCAGGTGAGGCATATCCAGATTCTCTTTGTGTCTCACTTGAACTGCCACGTATCTCCGAACCTTTGTAAGCTAAAATGTCAAAAGCTATTGTACAGCCTATCTTGTCAAAGTTCCAAAGCCACCCTGTAACCTCCTTTGGAGAAAGGCTATTCATGATATTGCACTCGTCTGCTATATTGCCTGCCAAGCTTTGCCTTGGTATGATATAACTGGTATCTACAATTGAATCAATGTAGAGAATGTTTTAGACCCGGCCTAGACATTTGGCAGTCAAGAAGACATGGAGTTTCATATTCATCTGCACTGAAGCTACAGCGGTAGACATAGTCGCTGGCTTGCATATTTCGATGCTGGACATAATTTTCAAACGATCGATTCAAGTAACACATCTAGAAACAGAACCTGGGCTGATGGAGCTTCTGAGGCACCGACCTGTCTTGCCAGCCTGAAGTCACGGGATTGGCAGGTCCTCGTCTGCTGAAGAATAAAGCCTGACGCCAAATTTCCACACCTCATTCAATACAAGACACTTGGCGTTATCAACCTCTGTTTCCGATAATATCACAAAGTCCGCATCAGCACCAATGTCCAAGCTTCCTTTAACCCCTCGGAGTCCCAACATCGCGGCTGGAGTGGAAGTTACTGTTTTCAGTACTCGGGGAATATCGGATCCGGACCATTTCAGGACATTATTAACGCACTCCAATAAGGTGGTAGAGCTAGGGTACGTTTGCTTATCAGTCTAGCTACTAGAAACCATTCGAGCCCGACGTAGTCACATTCACTCTGTTGAAATCGCTACAAGACTCACCTGCCAGCAATTTTGTCCGAGTCGGCAAGAAGCAGTTTAGCACCGGATTTTGTAATATTGTATGTAGAGCCGCCGTTTGTCCAAGGGTATACCCCGTCAGGAAGTCCCAACAAGTGCATAGCATCGGTGACTAATATGCACTTATCTGGTTGTGAGATGATGGCAAGGTTGATTACCATTGGATGCAAGTGAATTCCGTCGGCAACGAGCCCGAAAAAGTGCTCATGCGGCAATGCGTTGTTGCCCAGTAGCCCAATGATGCCTGGATCTCTGTGATGTAGGGGTCTCATAGCGTTGAAAAGATGAGTAACCATAGAAGCCCCCTGATCCATAGCTTTGCGAGCCTCTTCATATGTTGCTTCCGAATGCCCAATAGAACATATGATCCGTCGTCTAGCTAGCTCAGGTATAAGGGACATCATGTCGCCCAGCTCTGGTGAGACAGTGATCATCTTAATTGGGAGGCATTCGGTGTTCGATTTGGCAATAAAGTGTTCTCTGCCATAGCATTCCTCAAGGTCAGCAAAGGAAAATGCTTCTGCCAACACGCCGATATCGTGTGCTCCATTTTTCGTAGGATTTAAGAAAGGGCCCTCGCAGTGCGCGCCAAGACTCTCAGCGCCAGCTTTTGCGATACGCAAGCCGGTTGGCTTATGGAATGGAAGGACCTTTGAACTATTATTATCGGTTGCTATATCTACCATAGCGTTGTAATAACCATACCTTTTGATACAACCAAGGCTGCTGACTAGTAATAGTAGGTAGGTAGGAGGTGACACCCGTGCTGATCAACTGTCGATTAAACTCTCGGAGTAGCTTACCATATGCGTTCATGTCATCCGGTATGGTTGAAAAATTGAATCCAAAAGCGCCGTTAACCTGACAATCAATCAGACCGGGTGAAATAATTTTTCCTCCTGCATCAATGATATCAGTATGAAGGCTTGATGAATGATAAAAAGCCTCTTGTCCATCAACGATCTTTCCTGCATTTGTGCAGATACAGAAGTCCTCATTCACAAGTTTGTCACCCTGTAAAATTCGGCAGTTTGTGAATTTAATCAGAACCATTTTGATATGATCCTTGGTGGCAGGATTGTGATGCAAAATCTAGAGGAATGCAAGAAGATTCTGAAAAATTGGAAACAAAGTCCAAGGGGTTTTGGGATAATATAAAATTGCTCTTCCATCCAAACATTCAGTTCTTTTCTTTGTATGGGGGATTGCGTCGTAACATAGATGTAGCCAATCAGACAACGCTCGCATTCTATCATTTAACAAGTTTCCAGTGGAATGATGTGACTAGCGGAGTATCAGCCTAGTTAGTTTTCCATGTTCTGCTACGTTACCACTGTTAAGATTGACCTGAACAGGCCATTTGTTCGTCTTAACATCTCCTATTAGTGGATCAATGGATACCTGGCACCTTCATCATAGGGCCTTGGCAGTCCTTGTCCTAATTCAAGACCTTTGTTTTGAGCTATTTTGTTCAAGTTCCACATTACAAGGTGTTGATGATAGGCTATCGTCGGTGACTGGATTAAGTATTTGGAATCTGGTTTGGTAGAACTGTGCATATCAATATTTGGCTGGATGAGGCATAGGCTCGAGAATAAGCAAAAACGTATTGACCAAATGTGCAAATCGCTACTATTAGTTACATGGTACCCATACATAGTCAAGAGTGGGAATGGATTCTTGAACTCAATGTCAGGTACTTGGGGCTTCAACATCCGTGGAGAGATTTGATATTGCGTTGAAGTTCGCTCGGGTTGTGACGGATGCGGAGGATGTCGAGCCTTTAGTGCGCATGGGTTTTCGTGCTTTGATTCCCTTCTTCAAGCTAGCCTTGCTGGACAACCGCAAGTAGCACTGATTAGCCGCAGTGTTTACGTTACACATTGCCCCCTCTTGGCATCATAGGGCAGCTATTTTTGCCCCTGTTATGGGGTTAAAGTTTGTCTTAAGATCCTAAATATCTTACACTGGTATAGACAGTTTCGTCCTTCTCTTCTATGGTGAGTTCATTAAAACTTTGACGCTGATTGATACAAGTATTTGAAGCTTCATTATTGAACTTTTCTGCCCTAAAGCTCGGGTGTGTGGATGGTGTCTAGTCGTCCCCGGGCCTATTCCAGAATACAAGTAAGCAAGTGGGCACGGGGTTGGCATCAGCCGTTCCCACTCCTTGCTGGGGCTCTGCAAGCTAGTTTACCGCTGACCAATTTTGGGTGCTCCGCAGCGAGCCCATATTGGCTTCTGGCTCAAAGTATAATACATCCCAAAGCAACTCGTACGAGTAATATTCATCCGTCCATTCACGAGCTCCCCTAGCAAGGTGGAGCGAGCGTGTAATCCTAGAATAATGTGGGATAATGTAGAAACAGACGGCACTAGCCTGCGGTTCAAGGGACTAATATCTGTCTACTTGCACGATCTTAACGATATAATAATAGGTAATCATCTGGTATCATTAATGGGTCCAACGTTCCCTCTGCAGGATATAACTTCGTTATCCATAGTTCCAGCAGCAGCACGTCTACTCACCATCTGAGCGCACTCATCTATACCACTGCGTATGAATCCCCAGTAAAATATAAAAGGCCAAAGCCGTAAATCAAGCTCTGGTGATGTGCTATTGCTTCTGGTACAGAAGTTCGCAATGCCAAGCAAGAAACCAAGCGTCCGGAGATGCTCCCCATTCCTTCCAAGCCTGAGATGCAGCAATCAATTGGTTCTCCGTCGCGACACCATCTTTTAAAGCCGATTTGCGAAAGTTTGTTCCAAGAAGCCTCTCAGCCCAAAGTGAAGACCACCATGAAATTTCTTCATTCGTTGAGAAACACCAGGTGCCCACCGTTTGTACCACCCTACCACTGCCAACGGGGAACCCGGCCTCCCGAGCCCAAATGTGTAAACGTCGACCAGAATCTGGGGTGCCACCATTGTTACGCATAATCCTAAGATATAAATCCCGCCATGTAGACAGGCCTTCTGTTTCGGGCCACCAAGAAAAGCCTCGGAAATCAGTCGAGCGCACGGCAATATATCCATTTTGTTTAGTGACGCGGCACATTTCCCGCAGAGCAACAACAGGATCCGTAATATGCTGCAAGACTTGGTGTGCGTGTGTGACATCAAACGATGAGTCTTCAAAGGGAAGCGAATGGATCTGTGAGTCTGTTGTCAGCTCAGATAGCCAAACTTCATCGTAATATACACTCATTTTTTCAACTGACAAGCAGAGTAGAGTGAAATAAGACAATATTACATACATCACCAATGATAAATTCTGCATTATGAATATCATTTTCCTTTGAGCTGTCAACTGCTTGCTGCAGTATTTCTCCAGCAGACTCGCATTCCAGCCCTACGACTTTTCCTCCAGGGACAAGTCTGGCCAGATCCACGGTTATCGTTCCTGGTCCACAGCCTACATCCAGAATACTCATCTCGGGTGTTATGTAAGGCAGCAAATATGAGGCCGAGTTGGCAGCATTGCGCCAAGTATGGGAACGAAGAACCGGAGCTTCGTAGCCGTGGATGTAAGTTGCTGACATGTTGGACTTGGAGTATGCGAGTTATTTACACAGTAAAGCGTTTGTGTATGAGAAAGGCGGGACTACTGGCAGTATTCCGGGAATAGTTCTGCGATAAAACAAAGAATAGAATCCAGATTACCGGTGAGATGGCTAGTGATACTTATACTGGGATGGTTCATTGCAGGTATTAAAATGTTGAACGGTTCAGAATCACGCATCCGATAGCGCTTTGTTTGCCCTCCTATTAGAACCAATGGGTAGCACGGAAATTTGCATTCTGGTTTTGCAATATTAATCTGAGAAGGCAATACTATTGTAACCACACTTGTAAGATGTTCCGGTTATTTCAAGACGGAACATAACGGAGACACACTGACGCCGAGGTTGAAAAATGAACCCGTCAATGCAAACGATCAGCGGAAATCGCAACCGAGTCAGCGAAATCGCAACCGAGTCAGCGAAATCGCAACCGAACAGCGAAACTGTAACCGAATAAGCGAATTCGCAGCCGAGTAGCGAAACCGCAACTAAATTAGCGCAGAGAAGGTAGAGCGACAGCTGGCTCGGGTATTTTCTGCAGACATAGTAGATTCCAGCTCTTTACTTGGCGTATAAATATCTCGCAATCGGCAGCATCAAGAGATCCAACTCGTATCCCTTAAAGTTAGAGTGTAATATAGTTATTGCTTGTATCTTGTTCAAGTGGGTTTCTCGCTTCACTAGAATGTTATCCTACCAGACCAATCCGATGTTCTAGTTGAATTACCTTTATTTTCCAGGTAATTATTTTTTAGAGCACAGTGCAGTCGATCAGCCTTCATATACCTTCTTTTCTCTCGCATTTCCTCTATCGAATGCTTACGTCCCTTTGTTTGCCATGTATAATGAGCCGTGGGCGATAGCCAAAGACAACAGGCTCATTTGCAGAATCAACCCCCACTTGCTATCTCTTTCTTAAAACTGTATTAGAGTATTGAATCTACATGTAGATTTGAGCCATTATCAAAGACCGGTTTGTATAATTCCCTTCTTTGGTCACTCAGGACAGTCGAATCGTAGAGAATGTGACTACTAAAGAATTTATACGGCAATGAAATGACATCATAGTACATAGAGAAGGCTTCTTCGTAATCTCACTTCGCGAATTGAAGGTTGACTTTTAGAGTATAAGAGAGGAAGAGACAAGATCTAGACCTCTTCTGAGTACCACAAATTGCTCGCCGGGAATATTCGCTTAGTGGGTATTAGTTCCTTGCCACTGTGGCTGTGGGAGACAATGAACCACCGTTTTTGCCGTTCCCACCTTGGTTGTAATAGGGATCTATCAACATCGTTGGATTATCTAGTAAGAAGATCCTTGTACTCGTTGAGTTTCTGCTTTCGAGTCCCTTGTTAGGCGTGGATTGGGGGCACTGCCCCTTTCAATATTGAGAGTTACGATGTAGGCAATGCTTACACGGTGAAGTGGGAACGGCTCGATCCCGTCCCCACATGCCTAGCTGTAGTGAGCATGGGAAGCTGCAGCGCTTGGAACCTATGAGCACCTCGTCCTTATTTCTACCAGACTACTCGAGGGACCTCTTGATCGCAAACGATTGTCCGAGATCGAAGAACTTTACGTGCTTGCAGTTGTGGTGAATACACACCGTATGGTGAAACCGATGCGGTCAAGTACATGCATTGTAAAGAGCCGCTGTTGGCAGTGCTCCACTTCAGCAACCACCCGGGGGCCGGACCGTCTACGAAGGCATATAAGCTCTCAGGCAGTCAATTGCAATAACCGAGGTCATCTTTTCAAGGAAAGCGGACGAGCGGTCAATTTGGTGATAATGGAACAGTAACTGAATATATGAAAGTTTTATAAACAGAGGATCTTCACCTTCACATTCAGATATACTCAATTGACAAGTGTTCTTTATTATCATATCCTTTCACAGACATCGACTTAGCTTTACTACAGCAATTGTGCTGAAAATCAAAATGAACTCAAATGGCTATCCATCGAGCTTTGACAAGGAGCTAGATGCCGTTCAAGTCCACAAGACTGTCGAAGGCATTACGACAATCACAATGAATAGACATCATCGCCGAAATGCCATCGATGGCCCAACAGGGAAAAAGTTAACTGATGCTCTGTTGGACTTTGAAAGCGATCATAGTCAAAAGGTTTGCGTTTTTTATGGTGCAAATGGAACCTTTTGTGCTGGATTTGACCTTCATGAAGTGGCCAAGTTTGAGGAGCAGAAGGCTGGTTATACCGGTCCGAGAATTGCTGAGAATGAGCGAGTGGAGGGTCGTAACATTGGTCCCATTGGACCTTCCCGAATGCAAATTCGGAAACCGATTATTTGTGCTGTTTCAGGATACGCCGTTGCTGGTGGGTTGGAACTAAGTCTGCTTGGTGACATCCGTGTCGCTGAGGAGGATGCCATCTTTGGTATATTTTGTCGACGTTGGGGCGTCCCCCTCATTGATGGTGGTACCTGCCGTCTGCAAGCCATTGTTGGACTTGGTCGTGCCCTCGATATGATTCTGACCGGCAGAGGGGTTGGGGCTAAAGAGGCTCTTATGATGGGTCTTGCTAATCGCGTGGTCCCCAAGGGTAAAGCCCTTGAAGAGGCGACCAGAATCGCCCAACAATTGGTTACTTTTCCACAGGGCTGTATGAACGCCGATCGTACCTCATGTTATTATGCTGCCTATAATGCCAGCTCTTTTGAAGATGCTTTGCGTTTCGAATACGACAATGGTATCAAGGTTATTGACTCTGAGAGTGTCAAAGGGGCTGCGAGATTTAGTGCTGGAGCTGGGCGTCATGGCAAGTTTGATTACGAGGAAAAACTTTGAACCAGGTTATCGGAAGTGTTTTTAAATTGCCTTATGGTTGCATAAATCATAAAGTAGGAAAGTGTCAATTATCTCTCATCTCCATCATTATAATAACGGAATGCAACGCGCCCTACTGTTTTGGTGTGCTCTTCACTGAGGTGCTTTTCACAATGATGCCATCTTTATACGATGCATTTTGCAGGGTTCGTCTGACTTTTGCTGCTGTACTGTATGTACCAGTACAGAACACTGATCAAGTCAAAGTACTGCTGTCCAATTTGTAACCTTCATCTTTGTTATAGTTGCTCCCTTGACTGATTATGTTCTGTAGTGTTATATACAGTGCGTCAGCAAAAGTCAGGATCTTCATTTTTGTTATAATTGCTCCCTTGACTGTTTTGTCCCACTGGCTCGCCATTGTATACCACCTTTCCAACTTGCGACTAGCGTGCGAATTTCTGAACGGGAGGTATAATCACCTAGCAATATTATGAAGTCCGTAGTACCAAAGTCAGATACCCTCATCAGAGCGTTAGCAGGGTGGTGGCCTCTCAAATTAACTCTCACAGTTATTTAGATCTAGGAAAGTTGTAGAAGGAGTATCTCTTACGATATCGGAAGGACAAAGAGCAGCTTCGACGTTCAAATATATCGCCCTGTCAAAGTCAGACATATCGGGCATTCGCGAATGCGGATCGAGTTGCGTCACCCAGCTCCCCAGGGCACCGTTTGGGGATGAAGCATTTAACTCAGATTCTGTTATTGCTTCTTTCGTATAGCGACTTGATTTGCCGTAATCAAGTAGCTTCCACATGACTTCCGCATCAGGATGCTGGGGAACGTTGGCCAATAATGAAGAGCTGACAAGGTATGACGAAGCTTCTGGATCAGGGGCAAATGATCGAAGTGCATGTGCCTAACAGAACCCGGAGGATGAGAGTCAAAATCCGTTCTGATGTGATATTTTGGAACATACTGACCAGGCGAGGAAAGTGCAGCCAGCTGACGGGCGCATTGCAGAGGAAGTCCACGGTAGCATCGTACATCTCCCTTGAGGATTGCCTCACTAGCGAGTCGCCGTCATTCTCGAACAGACGGTGTGTGACGCCAGCTACCAACGCACAATAGCCTAGTGAACTGGCAAGGCATAGGCGCCGCTTCATGAGAGTTTGTAACAAGCAGGTTAAACTTGTGGCATTCTCACGGCTTGTAACTAAGGCATGCCGTAGAAAACTCGGGGGAATAGGAGCCTTGAGAGATTGTAGATGATGACGAATCAAGAAGGGATGGTGTAGTAGACATTGGTTAAGGAAATAAAGAGCGTGTGAGAAGCAGAATACACCAAGCATGGAGTTATGATTTTGTTCATTTGCCATCTTGGCGCTATTTTGATCAAGTACAGCCTCGAAATTTACAATGGGACTCGGTGAGTAAGACTCACATGTCAAGAGCACACTGTAGATTGAGGCGAACTCGCTTTCGGAATTCCAGGGGAGAAATGAGCTAGCTGGCACTCTCCGACGCAAGTTGTATCTTTGAATGCGGCCTAGCGTGGAAGCAAGCAAGCAAAGTAACCCAGAGTATCCAAGATTGCCAAGCTCTTCTTTATTCTCTGTTAAGCATGCAAGTGTGATCCTCTGTGCCACCTGAGGGCTAGGCGAGAGCGTTGTTTGGTCCACCGGCAGGAACAGTGCGCAATCGGTATCCAGTATAGCTGGTGAGCGCTCTGGGCTGCAAGAAACAATTCGATCTAGAAGGTATACAGACCAAAATGTTCTGCGGTGTTCTTCTTGTTGCCAAAGAAGTAATGAGGGGTCTGGTTCGGAGACCAAATCCAATGCTTGGGCAAGTCGAATCGAAAGTCCGATCTTAACCCATGCTTCCGTATATCTACCAGCTATATAATTTTCTTTTATCAGTAGATGTACAACTAATCATCTACGGTATAATATGCGTTTAATAGGGAGCATGCTAGTACCTGTGAAATCGATTACGGCAAGCATGTTCGTAGCTTGAACGACCTGAATGGTTATGAAGTCTTCCTGGAAGATTCGTGCATGTATGTCTTTCCAGGCACATAATGCATAACAATCGGCGGCTTCGGCCTGTCTTGCCTGAAAATAATCAAGGGTGGAGAAACCAGAAGCAGTAGCAATTACGGCTAACAGCAGCCACTTTGGTGTAGAATTGCTGGAAAGTCGGCGTCTGAAGCTGGATTCCTGAAAGTAACAGTATGGCTGACAATGACAGAATTGGAAGTAAGTGTTCACAAGCGACCGAACAACTTCTGAGTTCGGTAGAGAGTCAAATCTAACGTTACTGGGTCTGTCCCAACTCAGCGGCGTCTCTGGATTACTAAAGAGCGCGGAGAAGATTAGAAACGCCTTCAGTCATCTGGCTAGAACATAAAATGAAGGTATCAGCTAACCTGAACTGGTACACCGAGCTCGATTGCGGCTCTGCTGCAGCAACTGTAGCATCTGATGCAGCGTCCTGCTCCTAGCAAATGTCAGCTATGAGCACGATACTGAAGAAGATGTTTAAAGTACGTTCGTAACAAAAGGTTCAGGGAATATTATGCCTTGCTGAAAATATGTAGCGGCGCTTCTTTCGTCTGAGTATGTAAACACGTTGTCATTGTATCGACAGGCCTGTCCCAGTCTTGAGCAAAATGAACAGACTGGCCGCTCCCCAGGACACCGGGTCTTTTTGCGCCTGCGAGTATAGTTACATTAATATTAAATGACGGACAGGGGCAGACACATTATGAGACTGCTTTGGCTGGGTTTATGTTTAGGCAAGCGAACATACCTGCAGTTTAAACATGCTAAGCGCGAGCGCTTTACTTGTTGTTCGCTCATTGCAAACTGTGATTTTAAGCAGGGGTCAGCGTTCTATATAACTGCCGACAGCTACAAACATTTCTCAGGGCAGCCAAGTTGTTAAGTTTAAGAAAGCAAACGACTAGTTTCCGTAAGTATAAAGTCAGCGGGGTTAAAGTGTCAATTCAACTCCGAGTGTACTACACGTGACTTAGATAAAAAAACTACCTATGTACTTGCTACCAATATATCAATTTTCTAGAAGTATACAGTGTCAAAGACTCATGTTCTATTACGAGGTGGAGTATCTTATATAATACCCATTTACTTATTTTTATGCTATTGAACGGATCCTTTGTTTATTTTGTCGAGCAAAGGTTTAGACTAATGGATCTAAGTTAGCTGTGTTATATACCTAATAGTCTTAGTGGCACTGTTACAAACCGAGCATGTAAGCTAAAGGCTACTATGTACTTGAAGCTACTTCATAGCTTGTCATCTATTGCGAGGACTGGTTGCAGGACCAAGTGAATAATCCCTTGTGAAGCATTAAAAGAATCATGCATAGTGGCCAAAGGTCATGCAATGTGATTCCAAAGTCTTCCAAGAGGATGAGCCTTAAAAATAATCCCTACGCCAGATGATATGGACATCACTTGGACGCAGGACGGCTTGGTGGGTAAGCTAGTGCATCACAAAATTTACACCATACTTATCAGACATTTTGCCCGTTTCAGCTACAGTATTTCACACACGTAAATCCAGCAATTGCATTGACATTGAGATTCTTACATGGAGAGACATGGATCAGCCGTGCGACGTTGTATCAGCTTTCAAGCGCAATGGTCTCGGGCCAAACCCGGCTCTTGTAGGACACCATAGAACTCTTGACTGATCTGCTGGACAATTGGAATGCTCCTCTTGGGGTGTGATCTATCCCCACGCCGTGACTTCTTCTAAGGAAACCCCCATAGTTTCGAGTCTCGTCCTAATCAGCCCGATGATCTTCACTGGCATACGCCTACCAAGGTGTGCTCTCCTCTTTTCTTCTGTCCATATATCAATATGAGCCAAGTCCGTTTCCGAGTGCCTTGCCTCCCTCTACCTCAAAAGCCTTGATTCTGCTCTTTAGCAGAGTCCTTTAGCTAAACTTCTTGATTCAAACAGAACCTGGCTACTTCATCGCACTTTCCCGTCCACAAACATTGCCGCTGTATCATGGTAAAAGCGGAACGACACTGCTAACGTACTTCAGGTGCAATTAAGACTTGCTGTGTTGTGGGCGCGATATCTTTTCCCTCCCTGTAGGCTTCCTTGTTTACCGGTTTCTTAGCGTTAATACTGCTGTTGAACACCGGGGAATGTCAATATTATCGCTATTTAGGTCATTCTGGTTATTGGCAAGACTGTTGAGGTCGTACTATCTGCTGGAAGCCTCCACTGCTTGACCAAGGTTTGTTCCAGCACCTCAAGGTATTTAGACACTTCGGCCTGACCGTTAGTGTTGCTGTAAATGTGGACATTGCCAACGTACTGCTTGGCATCTCGAACATTGCGCGCACAGCACAGCGGCAGGGCGAAATAGGAGTGGTTTAAACAACGAGCTTTTTCTGTGTGGCTTTGAGCTGTGTCGACGACAATATTAGTCGCTGTGTTGAGCGCGGCCCAAGACCTTTGTCGACTTTCATCCGTGGTCAAGTCGATGGGAAGAGCAAGATTTGCTTGGTGCAGTATGAAGAGTGACCTAGTCATGTGAGCATTTCACCAGACAAAGATCAGGATTGGTGTTTGTAGTGATTCACCTTACTATAACCGCAATGGTGCCAGCTCGAGGTTGATGAAGATCTTCCTCTTCTACCATAATACAGAGCAGGAAGGCTTGCAGTTCCTTGTCCAAAGCTTCTGAATGACTATGACACAAATTTTGAGTGGGATTGTTGTCTATGGATCTCCAACACGCGATGAAGAAGGGACGCAGCCTCTGCTAATCGGCCAAAGTCACCTGTATGATCGGACTTGGTTGCCGAACATTCCAGCACTCTGTACACCCCGTCGTACAGAGTAGTTTGATCTTTCAAGTCTGTAGGTAGAGGAAAACCTGGCATTAGGAACCTTGAGATCGGACTTCTTTGGGCATCCAAGGAATAAGACATTATGGCCCTATGCTAGTGTAAATATAAGATCTGGTGATGATTTGATATGCATATCACCTGCGTCTCGAGGATAACTATTCTCCCCATAAATTCCAACATTCGAACCGTGAATGACCTGTCAACTCATCGTTCTGGCTGACGTCTAAGACTCGACATCGATTAATGTGAAGCATGGAAGCCATCATTGCGCAGTAAGTAATGGACAAGTCCGCCATATCAAGCCAGCCTCTGGAATACTCAAACGCGGCAATGAGCAATTGGGCCTATATCAAAAGTAGAAGCGCAGATGTAGACTTGGGCTTGACTGAACAGCACGCGTAGCGCAGCGTATATATCATCCGAGATAGGGTTCCGTGACACCACACACATAGCGAGAAGGAGCACCATGGTATCGGCACGCTGCGGTCTATTCGCCTCGATTTCCAATTGAGGAGAAACAACGGGAAGCCATGGGTGGAATGACCGAAAGTATGTTGAGACGACCTCGTCCAAAGTAGCCCCAATCGTGCTAAGCACTCGGTGAATCTCGCAGTCTACTGCACTATGAACGGCAGTGAGATTACCACAAGCGGATGGGATAGGATTGGTCTGATCAAACAATAGATCGACCACGGCTCTCTGTCTCGTCGCGGCGGTCCTGTAGGAGGAAGGTGATTCATGAGAGTAGTCATATTGATAAGGGAAGCCTCGCGATTTACAGTAGCTATGATGTGGCAATTGCTTGTCGTAAGCTCTCTTTCGCGAGCGACACTTCATACAGACGTTAAGGGCTAATGACATTCTACGTATTTACACAGACTAGCGTGCTGTTAGCAACGACATGTAGAAGTGTGCAATGTGCGCCCAAGAGATGATGATTCAGTGAGTGACAGAGAGTAGGCTACCAGTTTACCTTGGAGGCCCAAGTACCCCTGTTAGTGTAGATCAGCGCCGAGAAAGCCATGGAGCACGTCAAAAACTTTGGAATTTCCGCAGGATTTGAAGGCCTAGTAGTGAGTATGGGTTCAGTTGGATGATTAAGACTGAAGCCTTGCAAGGAATAGAAGGGTAGTGGAAACAAAAGATGCCGGTAACTCCAATGAACTGCGCCCTCAAAGCATCGGCCGCCGCTATGCGCTTTTGGGTAAAGCTTAAGATTCCAGACCCATTCTGAGATGACAGGCACGTCGTTTGACAATCGGCGGAAAAGAAAAAGGATTTACAAATAGGGCTAATCAATGTAGAGAGATATCTCATGATTCCTCCATTCTTTCCTGAGATAAGTAGATCTAACCCCCATGACTTCTAATGAAACAATTAAAGATGGCAGCAGGAACCGCGGGAGCTCGGTCTGCGCCAAACAATCCATAACCTAGCCCTACATAGAAGCGATGTCAAGATGATGAATTATCCTACTTTTTTTGTTGCAGGCAGAGGTATATACCATGAACTGTCTTCTCATCGCCAAGACTGTCGAAGCTGGGACCGCGAAAGGTCCCATTGCGCGCCGGTAAATCGAGTGCAGTGTCGATCAATACCAAAACCCTGGTCTAGAATGCGGCTTTTAATTTTCATTTACTCTATGTACCACTGAGTTGTACTTCTTGTTGTTGTTTTTTTTGTGATAGGGGGGTCTTTTTCATCTACGTTTACCTGAGATATGGCCATCTCTTTTAATGAATCCTCAGCGAGGCCCAAAAAATTGGGACTGCAGAACCTGGAATTGGGCCGACCATAGAACGTCCACAAATGGGACTACTGCACTACGAGAGTGATGGGTGATAAACATACCATTGTTTGTCAACTTTCTACATAGTTCTAGGTTTCAAGTATATCCACAATATCCGAAAGTTGGAGGATTTTCACCTAGCCTGTCTTACGAGAAGCGGTCATGCAGGTTGCGATCCTCGATTTCGCTGTCGTATGAGGACCTCGCTGGTAGCTCACAGACCTCCGCACCACTTCTCAGGACTGGAGAATTCGAGGTCTCTGAGCTTGAACGTTGAAGACAGCTTGGCAAATTATGATACTTCTGCACTGACGAGATGGTAAGTTGCCAGGGTGCCGGTACGCATCGCGCCTGGGTAGCGCTATAATACTGACATAAGACAGTAGGAGTACAGTCAATTATACAACGGCAGCTAAAGAAGCGCCGAAGCTAATATTGCAATGATAGCCTATAACACTTTTATTTTACCTAAAGGCCCTATTCTCTTAAGAATATTCAGATCTCTCAGATCTCCATAATGTGCAAATTCCGTCCACCTATGTTGCGCTATCCATTGAGCCTCTTGTGAGCGTGGGTTAAAACATCCATAAGCAACATCTTGTATAAAGAGAAAGCTTATTGTAAAGATAAATCGATGACTTTGTCTGTAAGAAAAAGCCAGGGATTGCATAATCTCATAAGCAAGGCCCTTGATATCGGAGGTTATACCGAGCAATATAGTCGAACCTGTCATATCCAATACACAACCTTGGCTATAACAGGGCGGCATACAGGCTACATGCTGAAGCCTGTTCCAAGTTTGGAGTGCGATAATGCGTATTGCGTTATAGAGACAGACTGTAAAAGCCGTCCATGCTGAATTATACTGAATTTCCTTGGAAAGGGGTATGGAATTATTTGCGGAACATTCGACCGTGGCTACAACTGATTTCAGGCGGACAGCTTCCCAGCTTTGCCACCAGGTGTTCAGTCTCTGAATTAAATTAGCTGTTAAGCCAACTAGGTGTGATGACAATAGAAGGTTGTGATCTTCGCTGTTATAGTTTGAATTTATCCAGACAACAACCTCAGCAATGTCTGATCCGATGTCGAGTAGTTGACCAATTTCAGACCTTCCTAAAGGACCCCTCTTTTGCACTGTTTCCGGACGTTGACGATAGAGACGCATACTTCGGCCGGAAATTATTGATGCGCTGAGCTAGATGAGGTCAGTCGGACTTACGACCTTTCCGAACGTTGGGCGGCGTGATGGCCACATACCAGGAGGACTTGATGCTCTGCAGAAATGGCATCCCCAAGATGGGTCATTTGTTGTTTACACTTTCTCAATGTTAAAAGCCGTTGAATGCCAGAGGCATGAGACACCCAACCTAATGTAGATTTGGATGCTATTATCTGCTAGAGTGAGTACTTCAATAACGCTTTGATGCAACGGGTCATAGCATACCTCATAAACACACAAGGCAGTCATCGACGATAATGTACTATCGGTTAACTGATGTTCATCACTAGAAAGTCGCGTGTGAAGCTCCAGCAAGGCCGTTCCGTAGAGCTCCACGGCTCTAATGATGGTACTCCTGCAATCAAAAGCTTGACCAAGGATCATTGCCGCAAGGGCATACCAAGATTTCGGCCGTGATGTGGGATTAGTCTGCAACAGCTCGTCTATCCAACTTGATGGTATACCACAATGCGCCTCTTCTGCAGCATTTGGCCCTTTCCATATCTCGCCGTTCCCTATCAGCTTGGAATGCAAATAAGTAATGGACATATCCTCACGGAATGCCGACAGAGGTAGCGTGTTAATACTGGACAACGCTATATGACAAAACTGAAAGGCTTGGTGTGTATGGGTTATCAGACGAGGATACTTGGCTAATGCTGTGTATTCCTGAGTTTGAGCATCAGAAAGATTATGAGATCGGCGAATCCGAGGCTCCTCATTGATGAACCTGAACTTAGGGGCAAAGCCAGCGCACTCAAGGTGTGCATTGGCACAGCGACTGCATTTGGGGCGATTTCTGTCGCACTTGACTTTTCTTTTCTTGCATGTGTGACATCCTACAATTGAGAGCTCCATCTGAAGGCGCACAAGTATAATGAAATCAAGAAGGCCAGTAGTGAAGAACTACAGCGAGTGAATATAAGGAGTGTGTATGCTGAGGTTTGCTAATCACGCCTGATGATATCTTAGGCATGTGGATCCCTTGGCTCGGCAAAGTAACCCTGTATTAGGTCTAGCGCAGCAGCATCTCTCTAAACTTTCTCCTTTAGCTCACGATATAGAAATACCATGCGTTATCTATAGCTAAGAAAATGATTGCATTTGACTATAAAAACTGCTCATTAGCCTCGCTTGAATCCGTCTATCAAGCTTCTTCTTCACTTCGTTCTTTAAGATCAAGCAACACATCTCAAACAATCAAAATGGCTGCTACGTTCCCTTCCTTGAACACTTATATTACAACCAGTAAGCAAAGGTCCAGCGCTTTCAAGCAATCATGCTTCCACGAAAACACTGCGGCTCATCCCCAACCTCTTGATCCAACGAGCAATCTATACTACATCTATTCAACACTTCCCTCCTTTACCCTCGTCGACGATGCGGACTTGGCCAATCATAAATCCGTTGTAGCGGCCGGGCCTCCATACCATTTTCCCGGCGCAGGGGCTACGGTCGTAACCTACATGGACTTCGCAGCAAATCCTGACCAGATTGAAGGATTTTGGCACCGCACCCAGACCGTGGACTACATTATAATGCTAGAAGGGGAGTTGGAGCTGACTCTGGATGGAGGAGAGTGCAGAGTGGTCAAGAGGGGGGATGTCGTGATCCAGCGGGCACCCATGCACAAATGGAAGAACCTTAGTGTAACACAGCCAGCGAGATATGTAGCCATAATACAAGGAGCCGAAGGGGCCAAGGAGGACGGGGTGGAGTATGGTAATGGTGTCTAAGTGTTATCCATGTTTTTTACGGTAGTTAAGAGATTGGCAAACATATTTGTCTTTATAATGGCTTGCAACTGGGTTAAAAGCCAAATAGGCCCTCGACCCCTTAGTTTCTCGAATGTTAAAAAGGTCATTTACATAGCCCCTCCAAGACCAGGTGATGGCTGAATCATAGTCCAAAAGGTTTTATTGTATGTCTTGCGTAAGCTTCTTACAATGTCTGGTATTAATTTTATTTGATGGTGCTGGCGGTCGGGTACTTATGCCGACAAAGGGTGGCGAAAGACAATAGTCCTTACTCTAGCGCCTGTTGATTAAAGATTTACCCCGAATTTTCAACCGATGACGACTCGAACTTACTAGAGATGGCTTGGACAACTGAGAAAGAGTGGAAATGAATTGGAACACAAATATAAGGTGCTGGTTGGTTCACTGGGCACTTACATTTACTGTTTGCCTCTGTTGTCAGAGCCGTGCATCTACCATTGAGGGACCAGTTGATACAACAAGGATCCAATCTTTCTATTTCTACAACCGTACCACAACATTTACCTACCAGCTGGCTGATCTCCGATTATGGAGGCCCATTCGCATCACAGTACAACCCGATCCATGGATCACATGGTAGCTCGATTCAATGACATGTTCAAGTCGGAGCGCCTGATTTATAAAGCCTTTGAAGATACACCTCAAGTCCATGACTTTACCTCTCCGGAGTTAAGGTAAATGGTAATTGGCTATATCGCTATAAAGGATAAATGGAATAAAGTAAGGGAACTCGCCCTCTGCTTATCGCAGGGCTATTAAAATAAGGGTTATAGGAGAGAAGCAATTAATTAGGCAATAAATTAGGCATTCTTATAGGGCGGAGTACTCAGATTGGGTATTAAAGCTATGGCATTCAATAAGTGTGTGCTAAAATTATATGAAGGTATGAGTTTTATTAAAGAGGGTTAAATGAGAGGTATAGCGTGGGCGGATAGTGCTTAGTATAATATAATTGCGTGTAGCATGCTGGATTATAAGTGGAAGCGGATAAGGGGCATTTAATAAACAAAGGTCTTAGAGCTAACAATAACCCTGTTGTCTATACACCGAAGCAAACCAATAACTGCTGTATACCTCTGCTGTTTTACCTAGACAATAAGAGTCGATAATAGTGGGGGGTAGTCGTAGACTTTTGGCCATTTAACTATACTAATGCTGCCTTAGAAATGCTTGGGGCAGAAATGATAAATTGATCGATTGATGAGACCAGTATTTACCCACGTGGACTCTGTAACTTATATTGCTCTCTAAGCCCTGGTTCATTATTTGATATTCAGGAGCAGCGGTAAGGTATATGTATATATAACCTCTGTGACTGTAACAAACCGCACACTAGATAGTTAGTATAGGGTAGATTCCTAAAGGACATACCTAGTAAATGATTCTGGGTTTATGTTAGCGGATGGATTAGGAGATCTTCGTGCAATATAAGTCAATAGTAAACAATGTCACCAGTGGGTAAGTTCGCAGAGCGTGTTGCAATCTTAATCAGCTATCTAAGTTATCTAATGAGTGTAGAGAAGTGAACTTATATATCCAGTTGAGGTGTCTGGATCGTAATGGAAAGCTGGCTTTCCTGGCTTTCCTGGCTTTCCTAGCTTTCTTTTTCTTTAAGTGAGTGTGGTGCGTGATTGGTCGCCGGGTTATAGTTAATCCGGCGCCGTCCATCCGATGTTACGATCATAAGTGTTGAGTCGTGACAGTGACATAGTATTTCATCACTACTAATAAGATATTGGGCTGATATGAAATCTCCGAACTTGCTTTGCTATTATTGCAGATTACCTGGTAGTGCATATTAAACTACCGTTTTGCAAAATTGCTGCATTCTACACTATATAACACAATAAATTAAGCTTGAGCTACTATATTACAGATTACAGAGTTAGTGTTAGGAAGGGATTGATAGTATTTAAATTCAACAAGTGAAACATTTGATCTGGGTTTTTTTATATTATAGATTTCTGCGTAGGTATATCTTTAAAACCCAGTTGCTATAATATCTCTCAGATACCGTATGTAGCAAATGCATTAGTGCGCTTCCTATTAGTACTGCAAAGTAGCATTCACAGCTTTCTATAGCCGTCCATTTACTGATAAAGAAAAAGGGTTCTTAATATCAGTCCGAGCTTGAATAAACTTGGAAATGAGCGCCAGTAACAAACGGATCTGAACGCGGATCATACTGCTCGACGCCTTCAATAGGTGCATACTTGTGAATGAGGTAGCACATGTTATTATAAGCTCTGCAAAAGAATTATAAGCAAGTTGTTATGACCCCATGTAGACACACTATAGCTGTTGGGATAAAGTTGGAAAGGAGCGTCAGCTTACGTCTTTCTTCTGATACTTCCAGGCCGCATAGCTGAGTAGTTGATAGCGACTTTGATACTATACAGTCTGTTCCTGTCATCAAACTCCTCGACAGGTTCTGCAGCTGGAAAGCGCCTCAGATAGTGAGCCATATAGGTTTTTGAGCGAAAGAAGGTGTTTCTAGAAAGGTCTTTGTAAGCAAGCTGCCCATTTAACCTGGCAATAAGATCGTCTGGGGAAAGTGGAACAACGCACAATTCACTTCTCCAATTTCCAAACTCCATCTCGTTGTGTGCAAAGTACGAGCTAGCGTCATACACAACGCTGTCGCCCGTCTCCATGTCGATGCCGCGATTTCCCTCCCACAAATCACCATGGATCAGGCACGGCTTTACAGGCTCATCACTGCCACTCTGGCGCAGATTGCCTAGCAGCCGCGGAATCACGGCATCACCCATCTGGCGGACAGCGAGCTCGAGTTCGGGCCAGGGCTCGTTTACTTCGGCGTCGAGGCTGCAGGCATGCAGGAAAAGGTTGCGAAAGAAGTCGACCCATTTGCTCTCCCAAGTGACACGATGTGGGATGTTGCCATCGTAGGTTGTGACGGGGAAGCCGAATTTGCCGGTAGGCGACTGGCTGTTCTTGTGCAGCTCAGCGAGGTTGCCCATCAGGTCTTCAGGATCGGGTGCAGTCGTTACGTCCATGTCGATGAACTGAGAGAGGTAGAAGTAGGTGTCCGGGCTTTGGACTTTATAACGTCCATAGCCATATGGTGTGGGAATGAAGTCAGGCTTGACGCTATAAATCATCTTGGACGATACGTGCTCGCCCCCAAGCATCAGACGACCATGCTCCCCGTAAGCAACCTAGTCACAAAGACGATCTCAGAGTCAGTTGCATAACGCAAAGTAATGTTGCAGCGAATGCGAGGAGATGCAGATTTATGGTCCTGACTCGACCTGGCTTTCTTACCTTGAGAAAGAAGCGCTGTATGGACCCGTCGGCTCTCTGAGCCGTCACTCTCCCAGTCACTGTCCATGCACTGGTGCCAAAACTCTCGACCGAGGTGAAGGTGACATCTTTGGGCAAAGCTGAATGAGAGGTGTCAGCGATGGCCTATCTACTCTGATAGCACTCAGTGGGATATAGAAATGTTATCGTACCTTCGATGACTGCCTCATCAAATGGGAACACCCCATCGAGTTGGGACAGGATATTCTGAATCAACGGAGCTTGAATAATCCCCTCGGTTCGATTGTGCAGTCCAGACTTGCGCATCAAAGAGCATGTGAGCATTGGATTGTCCAGACGGGTTGATGGTACAGGCGGATTGCCGCGAAATTTACCTCGACTTCATATTGATCCAACACAACGCGCTCAGCAAGTCCCGAGTCCTGCGCGGCATTGGGCTGTTCCACGATGGAAGACGCCATTTTGTCAGTTGACACAATATTTCAAGATGGCTTGGGGTTCTTACAAGACCGATAAGAGGGACATGGCTCAGGGCTATTAAGTCCGCGGACATCCCTACCATCCAAATCCTCCTGGTGTAGTGCCTATCATTGTCAGATTACCGGGGTGTTGTCATGTCGACCCCGCGCAGGCTCTGAGAGCATGCATGGGTGTAAATGAGGGGCCGGAGAAGATGGTGATGTGCTATAGGATATGAGTGGCTTAAGCGCGTGGCTAACGAGGCATAAGCATCCTATATTGTTCTCGGGGTTGGGCAAACTGCAGTGGTGCACGTCTCACATTGACTGTTACGGCATAGATAGTACAGAAGTGCGCATTTTCAGCCTCACAATCAGGCCAGTCAGGTAGCATTATATGGCGCAAGACGCGGCCATATGTCGCTGTGAAGAACGGCAACCATACCTCTATGAGGCTAACGCACCACGGCATCCCGTGTACCACCTGGGGACGGAAAAGCGTATCCGTCCATGAGTTGTCACAAGTATACTGTAGTACCAATAGGTCAGTGTGGACAGTAGGATCAGGCTGCCTCGTGGCCCCCATTTTAAAAATTGTATTGCGATCTTCCGCAAGCTCTGGGCAAGCGAAAACTTGATGCAGTCGTGACGCATGAGATTCGAGTCGAAACTTGGTGATAGTTTGACACCATGGTTCGTATCCCCTCTTGTGCTGCTCCAGTCTATTCCAAGGCACTCCTGTACTAACAAGAATCTGGAACCATGATATAGTTTCGCAAGCCGTTTGCGTTCCCGAGACGACACCGGGATGAGGTGGTCGAGGTCGACCCCAACAGTAGTGATGACGAAAACATCCGGCCGCTAGCTCTCGAAAGAATCCCGTCGTCGACGGCGTCCTCGATAGCCGATCGCTCAGTGAAAGATCCTCTGGGCCTCAAAGTGGTGTATCGGCCGCCAAAAGAGCGCAAGGTCGACATCATATTTGTTCATGGTCTTGGCGGGAGCAGTCGTATGACATGGACGAAAGATCACAACCTCGACAACTTCTGGCCCCTCACATTCCTGCCTCACGAGCCCGAGATTGGAGATGCCCGGATCATGACATTTGGATACAACGCCAAGTTTAAACCAGGAAGCAGCGGATCAAGTACCATATCTGTGCTGGACTTTGCTAAGGAGTTGCTCTACGATCTCAAATATGCGACCGATGAGTCGTCACCGGAGCTGGAGGATCTTAGACTGGGACAGAAACCGATCATATTCCTGGTTCACTCGATGGGCGGACTCATCGTCAAGGAGGCATACATGCAGGGCAAAGACGACCCCGAGTACGCGGCTATCATCAAGGCCATCTCATCCATCATCTTTCTGTCAACACCACATCGTGGAACAAACTTAGCCGATACACTGAACCGCATTCTCAAGGTCTCATTAGTCGCCAAGCCGATGCAATTCATCTCCGAGCTCACATCGGGGTCACAGACGCTGCAGAAGCTGAACGAGTCGTTCCGGCACGTCGCTGAGAAGCTGCAAATTATTTCCTTCTATGAGACTCGCCCGACGCCAATCATCAAAAGCGCCACTAGCATCATGGTCTTGGAGAAGGAATCTTCGGTGCTCGGGTACCCTGGCGAGATTTCTAAGCCACTGGATGCGGACCACAACGGAGTCTGCAAGTACGATGGCCCAGACGACCCGCGCTACATTACCATCAGGAACGCACTGAAAAGTTTGGTTGCCAAGTCCAATAAGAAAGGTGAGTTTCATCATGATAAATGTCTTCATCTTTGCATCACCAGAATGCTAATGTATCTGATGCAGAAGGTAGAGAAAACAAGGGTCGTCACGCGAGCTCCGATAGCAGCAGCAGCAGCAGTGAATTCAATGCTCTGGACCGAGACCGCCATCGAGGAGGATCAAGACGTGCTTCGACGAAGGAAGGTAAGCTAAGCAGTATGTGCTGAAGATTGAATGAGATGGTTAATAGTAACATTTCTTATGATGGACGCAGTAGAACCCACAAATGCGCCTGGCACAGCCGAAGCGGCAAAGGTGAATCTCGAAAACTATCTCTCCTCGGCAGAGTCGCCAAACCAAGACTTCAACTTCTTCCGTGATCGCTGGACTATGGGAACCTGTGAGTGGATCTTCAGTAACCAAGCGTTCACATCCTGGCTCGAGGATGATCGAACGAGTCCCCACGTCTTGTGGCTCCAGGGCAACGCAGCCGGGGGCAAGTCCATCATGTCGTCTTTTATAATTGATAGACTTGTCCGGGACGGTCTACCGTGTCACTATTTCTTTTTCCGTTTCAACGACCAAAAGAAGCGCTCCATAGGCACTCTTCTTCGGTCACTTGCTGCACAGATGGCCAATTCAATCCCTGCATACGCATACAAACTATTAGATGTGGCTTCGGTGACTACCGATCTGAAAGCGGCTGACTTTCGGAGTATCTGGCAATGGTTCTTCAAAGAGACTTTGTTTGCTCTGGGAGAGGAAGTCGGAAATCCGATATACTGGGTGATGGACGGGCTGGACGAGGCTGACACGCCTTCATCGCTGATCCGCCTACTAGCCGACATCGATGCAGCCGCTGTCAAGATCCCTCTTCGCATTCTCATTGTGAGTCGCAAGACTCACGACCTCTCATCTGCCTTTGTGCGCTTGGGCAAACGGATCGACATGGACACCATCTGGATTGAAGGCCACCCACAGGATCTTCTTGCGTACGTTGAGCAGGAGATGGACTTTACCGAGGACAGCGAGTACCGCGATCAGGTCGTATCCCAGCTGCTGGAGCGCACGGGAGGAAACTTCCTGTGGTTGCATCTGGCTGTGCACAAGATCAACCAGTGCCACACCAAGTTAGACGTGGAACGGGCGCTTGAAGATCTACCTTCAGGTATGCACGAGCTATACGATCGGATGGCTTTGTTGGTCCAAAACCAGCCAAAGGCAAGTGACCGTCGCCTGGGGCAGAGTATTCTCGGCTGGGCTACATGTGCAAGGCGGTCTCTCAGCATTGACGAACTGAAAGATGCCCTGGGAGGAACAAGCGATATGCGCGAGATCGTCGAGATCCACCGGACTGTAGAGGACCTCTGTGGCGGCTTTGTAGTGGTCGACAATGAGGGCAAGATTGCCATGCTCCATGAGACAGCGCGCGAGTATCTTACCGGCTCGGCTTTGTATGAGAGCTCTGGACTAAAACCATGCGCAATTGACCCGCGAAAGACACACGATCTGCTCTTCAAGAGGTGCATAGCTTGTCTCACAGATCCATCGCTACGGAATCTCATCAATCGCGGCGAGCCACCCGCCCTTCTCAACTATGCCATCAGCTCGTGGTACATTCACCTGTCCAAGGGGACATGCGTCGATCCCAATCCCGAGATTCTCGAAGTTGTTGTTCGATTTCTCCGCAGCCCCCACGTTCTGGTCTGGATGTTCAGCGCAGCGACTCAGAACGAACTGCGCTTCCTCGTCATTGCGTCTCGGTACCTGGCTGGCGTGGTGCTTGGCCTACGACAGATCCAAGATGAAGGAGAGTCTTTGGCCCAGCGCCAGGCCACGGAAGTCATCGAGGGCTGGGCAACAGACCTCATCAAGATCGTGGGCAAGTTTGGCAAGAACTTAACGCGGGATCCAGACTCAATCTACAGGCGGATTCCGCCGTTTTGCCCGTCGCCATCCATGATCTATCAGCAATTCGGCAAGAAAGAGAGTCGGACGCTGCATGTCTCCGGAGTGGCAACCACAAGATGGGATGACTGCCTGGCGCGCTTTTCCTTCGAGTCTGGGGCTGTGGCCTCGACGGTACTGAACGCTGGAAGCCGGTTAGTGATACTTACCATCGATCGAAGAACCAGCACAATCGCCACTTACAGCGACGCAACCTTTGGAGAGCAGCGGCGTATGCAACACGCCGAACGGGTTCTCATGATACAGGTAAATAAGCTGGGTAACCTGCTCGTGAGCTACGGCTACAAAACGACCAGGATATGGGACATTACGACGGGTGCTTGTATCAAAGTGGCCAACAACCCAGCCACGCTGCCGCGACCTCAGGCCATCACCTTCGTCCAAGACGAGATCCTGATGAGTAGCGAGGACCGCTGCGTTCGTTCTCTGTCCATCAGTGACGAATCTAGTGTTGAGTGGGAGTTCAAGTCGCGCGTCGAGGAACAGGGCCAGGTATTAGACGGCATCATAGCCAATGCTCCCACCTGCGCGGCCATCAGCCACGACGGGCGCATGGTAGCTTACGGATATCGCCAGCATCCCATCACCGTCTGGGAGATTGAACCCACAGTTTTCTATAGCGAGATTGTGCTAGACGCAGATGGTGCAATTGACATGCTGGAGGCATCAAGTATGAGATGGCACCCTCTGCGGTATGAGATCTTCTGCCTGAGCAGTATTGGCGTCCTCTTCAAATGGGATCCAGATTATGATCAGGCCGAGTTTACGGCGCACTCTGGCGCAGACAAGCTCAACATAAACCCCAACGGTTCTCTTGTGGTGACCGGGGACGCGAGGGGTAACATCAAGGTTTATGCCAGTGCAGACCTCTCGCTGCTATGCCACTTGCACTCGCAGGACAACATTGTGAGTTTGTCCTTCAGCTCAGACTCGCGGAGGTTGTATGACATGCGCAGTCTTTATGGAATCGTCTGGGAGCCAAGCACGCTTGTGAGACTGGCGGAAAAGTCCGAATATCCAGAGAGCAATACAGACCTCGATTTCACGGGCGACAACGAAAGTCTGGCGAAGCTGTCTCTCTATTCCGAGCACACTTCAGCTCAATTCGACAGCGTCATCTCGCTCGCCAGACAACCTATCGGGTCCCTCTACTGCTACGCTACCGAAGACGGTGTCGCAATGCTGGGAGAGGTTGGGAAGGGTAACGTAGGAGAGTTGGCGCGCTCAGCGAGCTACTTGGCTATGGAGCATATAGTTTGGAGCGAGGATGGGCGACTCGTTGTCTTGAGTGATCTCGGGGGGCGGTTACTGTTCAAGCGGGTCACGCGGTCTTCCAACAAATGGAGCATCCAGCACGAGCATGATCTCGTGATTCCACCCTCGCACGGGCACATGACACAGCTTGTGGTCCATCCATCCGGAGACCGATTGCTTGCTCCTACGCCGACAACGCTGCACTGCGTCAACCTCAAGACATGGGAAATAAGTGCCAAGCCGTGTGCCGTTGATGTTGAGCCCCAGATCAAGTGGGCATGTCATCCCACGATACCCGACTACATTCTCGGATTCTCTAGAACGCGGGTGCGCATCGTGTCTTGGGCAACTCTCGATGAGTTGTGTGTCCGAGCCTATGCGCTTCCAAGGGTATCGAAGCACCAAGCACCAGCGCCAATGACTGCTTCACACGGGCTTTTGGCCCGTGCCAATACCCTCAGGTCGAATCGAGATAAGCTTGGCCGGCTGATTTTGGGCCAAAGCTTTCCTCAGATTCTTTTCGAAACACATCTGGCCGGATCAGGGGAGGCGACCCGCGAATTCCTCGTCTTCGAGGCAGCGGACATCACTCCAAGCCCGGGACACGCAACGACTGAGCTTTTGTATACCACCTTACCAGATCATGTGGCCTCTCGCATACGGGAGCCTCTCGCGTTCCTCCCGCGAGGCAAACTTGCCTACCTCGACATTGATTCGTGGATCTGTACGTTCCGCTTGTCTATGAGACCGACTCTCGGCGGAGCCCGGCGAGTTGGATCATCATTATCAACCTCGTCATTGCAATCTAGCGGTCCAACCGACCCACAACCCGGCCGTCGACTCTCGGAAACGTTGTCTCGTAGGCGCGGGAGCCAACAGATAACAGGTACAGCTACGGAGAGAGTTGCAGTGGCAAGACGGCATGGGTCAGAGTCTGCTATACCAAGCAACACCAGCGGTATAGAGAGGCATTATTTCTTACCTGGCGACTGGGCCACAGCGAACGAGGCGTATCTCTGCGCTATGACGCCGGACGGGACTCTGCTATGTCCGCAGAACGGGGGCATCGCATCAGTTCAATCAGCGACACTGCGCAAGTAGAACATGCATGACATGAATACATGTTCTAGTGTACTCTGCGAACAGATTAAGCTGCATATAACGTGGGGGGCGGTAAGTGTTGCACAATGTAGATATATGAAGAATAGGCGTGAATTGCTAACTGGAGTTTCACGTAAGGGCAATGCTATAAAATGGCGAGTAGCAGATTCCTGTCACAAGCCGTGTAGATAGATACACGTGACAACAAGACTGCCATCACTTCGAGACGGCAAATCATAGAAAGACCTCATGTTATTTGAAAAAGGATTGTATATACTAGATTGATATTCGGGAAGCGATACGTTGTATCAAATTTATACCTGCATTCCTGGATTGCTCTAGGGTGTGCTTTGATTGGAGGGATGTACGGACCGGTGCCGGAAAGTCTCAAGGATCCCGCAAGTCTTTGGTAAGCCGGGAATAGGTTATAGTGGAAGGAAGAGATACCCAGAACAGATAGGTCAACAACACGGATAAGTCAATACACGAAATATTTTCATCTGGCTATAATAAAGGGCTCGTCTCTGCGTGGACGGGCGTCTTGCGGCTAGACCGAATGATCTTAGGACATTATTCCTATATTGCAATCCCGATGGTAGCGTGACCAACAAATTGTCAATCGAGAAAATACGACATCTGGCTGTGTTGAGGTGTCAGTTCCTGATGCATCGACAAACAACTAACGCAGCTGGTTTACACCAATCATTCTATTGGGCAGCTAAGCTCCGAACACAATGCAAAGGCAAGCAGTTTCCATATAGACTCTATTATTAATACATGCTATGCTCCTCCTGCTGCATCTACTGCTCTCATCACAGTCAACGTCTTTTCCATTGTAGTAAACAAGCCCGATCCGGGTACATCTCTACTTTTGCTCGTCATACAGATCCCTCCTAGACATGTCCACGGAACCAAAGCTCGAGTTGGGCGCACCGAGCGTCAGTCTCATCCCGGAAGAGCCTTATTCGGCTTTCAACAGCTGGCAAAAGCGCTGGATCGTGATTTTGATGGCCTCGGTGGGCTGTCTGGGCACACTCAGCAGCTTTGTCTACTTCCCCGCAATCCCACAACTGGCCGACCATCTCCACGTCTCGGTCGCCAACATTAACCTGACCATCACCGTGTACCTCATCGTGGCGGCGATTGCCCCGACTATCGTTGGCAATTCTGCCGACACAATCGGTAGGCGTCCAACCGTTGCCGTCTGCTTGGTTATTTATCTTGGTGCGGACATTGGGCTGGCCTTGTCGCCATCGTTCGTTGCTCTGCTGTGCTTTCGCATCTTACAAGCTGCCGGCATATCAGGGACGTTTGCCATTACCTTTGGAGTCCTCGGTGACTTGTTTACGCCGGCGGAACGAGGGAGCACCTCGGGTATCATGTCCTTTGTTCTTAATACCCCTCCAAGCTTTGGCCCCGTTCTCAGCGGATTGCTGATGCAACGGTGGGGCTGGCGTTCGATCTTTTGGTTCCTTACAACGGCGGCGGCGTTTTTCTTCCTCGTCATCGCTCTGTGTCTTCCTGAAACTTCCCGATTGGTTGTTGGGAACGGGAGTACATCAGCGACGCATGGTCTTGGTAGGCCGATCCTCCCGCTTTTACTCCCCAAATCTTCGATAGGCGAGCACGTTTCCGAAGGCGCCTCAGATGATGAGAGAACTAGGCGGATCAGTTGTTCCAATCCGCTGAAGACGCTTGGTGTACTGAGAAAGCCTGCAACTTTGCTCATTATCTGCGCAATGGCTATATACTACGCCATCTACTCGTCCCTCCAAGCTTCGCTATCAAGTTTATTCAGCACCACATACAAGACTTCGAGTTTAGTCACCGGCTTGATCTATCTTCCATTCGGTGTCGGATGCGGTCTCGGAGCTGTTCTCTCAGGTACGAGTTTTATCCAGAACTGGCCTACATACACTCCAATCTTTATTTCTTGCGGTCCAAGAGTGAGTCGGCTCATGGGAGCTGACAAGGCTTAGGCAAAATCCTGGATATAGAATACCGACAGACGGCGACCAGACTTCATTTTCCACTTGATCGCGGAGCAAACCATGACCTGACCTCCTTTCCCATCGAAAAGGCTCGTCTCGGCAGCCTGGTTTACGCTCTGTTGCCTTGCTGCCTCTGCATCGCTGGATACGGGTGGTCAATCCAGTACAAGTTAGTGAGTTTAGGTCACTGGGTGTGGCCTGGTTGAAATGACGTGGAAGTTGAAGCTGACCTTTGAAACGAAGCACATGGCGGTGCCGCTCATACTACAGTTTCTCATCGGCCTTCCCGTACAGGGAATTTTCACTGCCATAGGCACGCTGCTGGTAGATACCCACCCGGGGAAACCAGCAAGCGCACAGGCGGCCAACAACTTGATCCGCTGTGCAACTGCGGGTGCAGGACTGGCTATATTCGAGCCTACACTGGGGCGATTGGGACCCGGCTGGACGTTTGTAGTTGCTGCCGCGAGCGGTCTCGTGGCGGCCGCGCTGCTGTTTTGGGTCAGGAGGTCCGGTATGTCGTGGAGAAGACGGTCTCGCGGCCGTCTAGCCAACGAAGTTGGCTCTCAGTAGTACGATGGATGAGTCTATTCAAAGCAATCGAGTAGACTCGGTTCCAGGATGCTCCAGTGGTTAAACCCTATGCAGCGCGCGCGAAATTCTTGCAGCTTTATCAAAAGTAACTGGATTCCTTGCGTTTCAGACAACTCTGGGAGCCCTGGAATTTGCAAAGAAGGATACAAGGATACAACCTGGGTGACCTTACCCACGGCGAACTGGACCACACAGGAACTGTTGCGCAAGCCGCCTTTGGAGCGGCAACATGGCCTGACCAGAGGCTGGCTATGCGACACTCTTAACATCGAACAAGTTTACGAACAATCGCCCAAGGAGGTGCTTTAATAATGAGAGTGTTATTATCAATTTGAGGCCAAAATTTGACTTTTCTGCCACTTGGAGTCCAAAACACATGCCAAGCTTTATTGTTGGACTATGAGAAACGGTTAAAATAACTTCATTGGCAGTAGAGTGGTCATATTCAAGGAGAAGAAGACATAATAAAAGCCTACTATAACCGGCGTGCTTGAAGACGTGTAGCCTGCAAAGGTTCCTTTGCTGCATATTTGCTTGTTTAAATATAATTGCTCATCTCAAAGATTCTAAGTCTTGCCTGATTGTAGCACAGATGCTATGAACAAAACTATCTTCATTCTCCTCGCCAATACCCAAAGCTCCTTGTTGCCAAGTTACGCTATATATCAAGTTGCCACCTTTTACACTAGCGAGATTGAATGCCATTACAGAGGAGCTGACATGTCCAGGTTGTGCAAACGCCATTTTCGTAATTCTAGCTGCGTTGTCGCCATTACCCGACGAGTTATTTTCAGCATCGAAAGAGCCTATGTTGCTCACTTCGTATGAGCTGTCTCGCTGCTTGCCAATCCTCCCCGCTAACTAATTCCTGATGCTGAATAAGTAGCGAAGTAAGCCAATTGGTTGATCTGAAAGTGCTGAAGCTGCTTCCATGAGCTTGTGAGTATTCTCGCGGGCAGCAGCCCAGAAGTCATCGGAAATATCACCACGTATGTCGTCGCGCGGATGGATCATATACAAGCCTGATACGAAATTACCCATTTCGTCAAATGGAATACCGATGGATCTCCGCATATTCACAGCCGTGAGAGAAGCAAAGTTTGTGTATTTGGGATCGGGGAGAGCCCTGCTCAGTGCTCGACTAACAATGCCATGAAAAGTTGCAGTCAACTTGGCATCGTGGTCTCTTGCTGCATTCATTGCTGAACTAAGAATATGTTCTTCGATTTCATATACCGCAACCTTGGTTCGATGAGTCTCTGCATTGAAACGGGATAGTGAGCCAGTCCAAGTGCTTGTGTTGACGGCAGAAACAGAAACTCGCAGCCGCAGTAACTTTGTGACAAATGTTGGCAAAATCATCGCAACGAGGGGTGCAATAAGGTATGACCAAGATATGGGCAATCTGTCAGGCGTATCAAACGGTGGGGGTAGCGGCCTTGGAGGTATTTGGACCAAGGGATCTACCAATCTTGAGGATGTTGGACATTTCCTGAATGCGTTCAAAAAGGTATGGTGAAACACAGCCCCTGTCCAGCCATCTCCAATAGAATGTGAGTAAGAAAAGGCAATGAAGCAGCCCGTCCGCAGTGGGAGGACAGTGATCCTCCATGGAGGAACACCGCTTGGGAATGGCTTGTCTAGATCATCTGCTAGCACTTTCTGCATGCCGCTCAAATCGTCACTGGACGTGGTGTGATCAGCAATGACGACGTGTTGTTCCAAGTGGATGTCCAAGACGTGGTGGTAAAATGCCTTGTCGGTATGCGCATCGCCAATTGCGACGCGGAGATATCGATGCTCTTCAATGCATTGTCGAAGTGGTTGGTAATACGAACTTGGTGAATAAGCATCCACGTCGTCTCCAAGTTCATAAAAAGCGCCGACAATCACAGCATGATAGAAGCCCAAGTCCTCGCGGCTTATTGAGCGCTGTTCATTGCCACCTATTCTTGTCTCAGATTCAGCCAGTGCAAAAGTGATCCAGGATTACATACTTGCAAAGCGCAAAAACTGCTCGTTAACGGCCATGGTGTGATAGATTAGCGGATATAAACGTCGTAAGAGAAACGACTGATCGATCTCGATCCTGTTTCAAAGAGTATGAATGTGAAAGGTAGTAGGTTAGAGAGGAAGTAAGATGAGCTATGGGAATTATATAACACTCTCGAGAATAACTACGCTAACTTCCCAAAAAAAAAAAAAAAAAAAAAAAAAAAAACTATATAATATCTACTACTGCTTCTAATAATGTTTTACCGTATGGACCCAGCTACTTCTTGCTATTATAAGTGATAAAGGCAAAGATAGTATCAGACAATCACAGGCATCTTACTACACTAATATGCGAGTCACGTTCCAGAAAGGGACGACATAACAGCGGCGTTGTAAGCTCCGGCGACATCTTGCCGTTTTTGGTAAAGCCAAAGACACTAACGATCCTTTCGGAGGGAATCCGATCCTGCGTTGGAAGTGTGTTGAAGCTTTGAGACGAGATTTGGAATGTCTCTTCTCAACTACAAACAGCCATAAACCTTTAGTCCAGCATTCACGTCATTGCTGTAACAGTCTGCTGACTTTGCAACCACTTTTCTTTACGATCACAGCGCCCCCCAAGACTCGCACCCTGAATGGTCAGACTGATGGCGAAGCCTCTCAATGGTGCGTGTAGCCGTTGTCACGCCAGGAAAATGAGATGCCACTTTGATCTGCCTGGAACTGTGTGTGCCAATTGTCATCGACTAGGCGAAGCATGTTTTCCGAGGAAAAGGCAGCGCATGGGACGTCAGCCCCGTGTGAAAAAGTATCCGTCGGGAAACTCGTCTATCATGCGGTTTGAGTCGACTAGCCAATACGACCGGGAAAGGCAATCGTCTTCTGACTGCGACAAATTCTCAGCTTCTACGACACGTCTTCCTAGATCATCAGCTAGTCAGGACCTGGGTCGGATGGCAAATAAACAATCTACCATCTTCATGAGTGACAAAGGCATGCAACTGGCCACATCCATTGTGCGCGCACCCGAGCCGCCTGGGGCGGCTTATCGCCAAGTTTACAGTATTCTTGCCAACAAAGACTCGTTCTACGAGCTCCATCGCCGGTTTATGCTAGGGCGAGAATATGCCGATGAGTTCCAGGCTGCGGTTCTAGTTTTATTCAATCGCTCCCCTCACATCTTATCTCCCGCTTACTACGCCGTATTGGGTCTCGCCGCTTTCCGCAGTATTTACAGCAGAGAACTACACGGTTTTGATTGGAGCAAGGGGGCTGATTGCATCCGATGCTTAAGGCATGCCTCACTCTTCATAGCTGACGTAGAAGACGCTGCCGTTTTTCTGATGCTTGGCCAGCTTCTTCTGGTCTATAACCACCTGGTACCCAGCTTCTGTGAGCAAGCTATCGAGTGTGGTGCACTTTTGAGTGCCAAGGACTGGTACCCAGCTTTGGCTCTACGACCAGAGCTGGATTCGGTTACCCTTTGTTTGGTTCTAGTGGACACAGTCAAATGCTTGGTTGCTCGTGAGTTGCCTGTTATGCGGCTGACCGCTGTCGACCGATGCACATTCGACAGATTTATTGGCGCTTGCTCTTCTCTTCTTCCTCTACTTTATGATCTATGTGAGCGAAGTTATCAAGTAAAGATGAGGATAATTCCACAAGTTTGCGAGCAAGAGAACTCAAATGCAAGCGATCCTTACGAGGACATCGAAAAGAATATTAGCGCTTGGAAGCCTCTGCGCCATGAGCCTCGTTCGTCACAGCATGAACTTCTTGAAACAGATGCAGCGCTGGCACAGGCGAGTTTGTACCGCATCGCGGCGTTGCTCGTCATACATCGCCTGCGCTTTCCCATCGGTGAAGAGGACAGCACTGCGCGTCGGTATGCGGACTGCATATTAACTCAACTGTCATTCATTAGCACGTGCTCATCTGAAGGAACGGGCATTGGGTTGGATTTTCCACTTTTGGTTGCCATGATGGAGCTCCCCAATCGAGGTGAACAAGTGTTTTGGGCGTTGGACAACTTTAGGATTCGGCAAAACTTTAGCAACCTTGCGCAGTTTGTCAAATCGGTCTGGAAAGAGTATGAGTCAGGATATGACGGCCTTTGGCTTGACCTTATACCCCGCAAATTACAATTGCCAATGTTGCCCTAGGCTGAGTATCTGTTAAGCTCTGCAATAATAGTAACAACTGGAAACAAAATCCAGTAAACGTAACAAATAGAAATAGAAACCTCTACAGTTTATCAGGGTTTATACAAGGAAGTCCAACCCTACTTAAGTCAGCTGTAAATGATGCCAGTTAGTGGTTCCGCGCCTTAGTAGCTCGGGCCGATATTTCCTAATTGAGTAGCTGGAGAATCCCTACATCGTGCAATGCCAGTTACACATCCTGGAGTTCCAAACTCGATCTGTCACACATGTACAAAACAACTTCCTACACCTTGATGTACTAATAAAGTCATACCGGTTCGGCATTACCTTTCTTGATCAAGTTAGATAACTGTTTGACCATCTTTTCTAGATATAAAAGCCTACCCGTCGAAGAAAACGCATTAAGCAAGATCGGATCGCATTGGTCATTTCCACTTCTATAGAGTTCACCAAAAAAAATATATTTAGCTTTGCATATTTCAATATACGTGTAAGTTTGGCAACCATTTATTTTGTTACAGGTTGCTTTTATACATGGCACAAAGCTGACTGGCCCTATCTATACTACCTGACTAGAACAATGCCTCGCACATATCAGCACTTGACACCCGAGGAATCCGCTCACTTTGTTGAGCATGGATGGCTGAAAGTCGAAAATGCAATCAAGCCCGAGTATCTCCATGGGTGGATGGAGAACCTCTGGACTCGGCTTGGTTACGACCCAGAAGACAAGTCGACTTGGAAAGAGACCTATATGAAACTTCCACGTCACCGAGAAGTTCCCGTGTCTGAATTCTGTCCTGATGCATGGAACAAAATTATTGAAATTGTTGGTGGCGAAGATAAGATCGACCCTATTCGCGAGCGTTATCACGGTGATCAATTCATTATAAACTTTGGCAATGAGTATTGGAAGACTCACGAAATTCCGCCTACAGAAGCGACGGGATGGCATACCGATAATGATTGGTACCGTCAGTTTCTCGATAGCAGCGGAAATGCGTTGACAATCATCCACTGCTTCACAGACATTCCGGAGCAGGGTGGAGGCACGCTTTTGGCAGAGGATGGTATTCAAGGTAAGTGTATTGATCCATCGGGGCTTTTTCGTCTAATAAACCTTTATTGTGTAGGCGTTTGCCAATATCTTTATGACCACCCAGAGGGTCTCGACTCTCCATTTGAGGATGTGCTGTACAAACACATACCCGAGTGCCAAGATTTCTCGCGCGTTGTTGCAAAAGCTGGCGACGTCTTCATTACTCACGGATTGCTTCCGCATACAAATGGGCAGAACCATCTCCATTATGCACGTGTGATTACGAATCCGCATGTGAATCTTATTGAACCATACAACCTAAATCGAGTGGATGGCGACTATGTAAGTCCTGATAATTCCCGTCTCCTGGCCTTTGGGCTATGATAGTTAAGCTCATTAGCTAACTTTGATATAGACATTATGCGAACAGGTCATCCTTCGCGCACTCAACCGAACCTCCATTCCAGAATATAAACCCACTCGTCCGAGGCTGGCTCATTATCCTCGCACTGCATACTTTAAGCGTGCTCGCATCACCGAGGAGCTGGAAAGGCTGATAGCTGCGGCCGAGGTAAAGGGTCTGAGCGCCGAGAGCGTAGACAGTATTTACTTGAGGGGCGAAGATGCCATTGCGGAACACGAGAGGCGAAACGGATATGATAAAGCATATGGTCCAGGTGGTGTTATTCAACGGAAAGAAGGTGGCAAGTTCGAAGATATCTCTACGGTGACCAGACAAATATTCGTCTAGTTGTGATGGATATTCAATATTCATGAAATTGAATATTGCTATATGAGAAAAGGCACACAGGGGAGAATCGTAGTACAAAAACAGACAGACAATAGCGTTCCATTGACTCTAAGCAGTTGTGGGGTTCCACCATATAATTGCAGGAATATCTAAACTATAAAGCAATGAACTGTATATCATTTCATTCTGCGCAATCTATACGTCTATCGATCAATGGTAGTATCGAGTTATCGTTAGATATACCAGTGATCATAGGCGCAATACTAGAGGACAACCAAAAGAAAATAGAGAAAACTCTATTACCGTGCCAAATCCATGTAATTTAGACTAAACTATAGTAATATGGGATAGAAAGGATATTCGTGACCAAAATTGTACGAGTAGACTATAGCAATCTTCATTACGCCCGTTTGAACTATATTCAATTCTTGTTTAAGAAATTAAAGTATCAACGATTATACACCAGCCGAGTTTAGGCATTATTGTCGAGTCATCGGGGCCGTTTCCTATACAGAATTGGGATGGAGACAGAATTATACTCAATTATAATTGAATTTTGTTAGACGCCGGGCTCAAAGCTCACATGCTAGAAAACTCCGCAGTAACAGCGGTTGTTGGCAATTGAACCTATCCGTTAGCCCGAAGCCTGTCTGATTATTCTGCAGTTTAATTGTCACAGTCTTCGGCGTCCAAACCACGGCTATAGGCGGAGCAAAGTCAATGCAAGTAACCCTAGCCTCTTCGGCAAGGCGTTTAGCAATTCCGATCCGAAACCTCTAATTGTATTTTTAACTGTCTGAGAAGTCATGTGCAATGTGATTTGAAGTATGGTGGCCATTTCATGTATATAAGAGCCATGCATGACATGCCGGTATCTTTCCTGACTGCCTTTACATCGACAAACCTCATTTCAGCTCGCCTCGCCGTCAAAAGTCATCTATTATGTCTACTGCTACAACAATGGCGGTCACCATGCCTGCCGTACAGACTCCTCAGCTTAAAGAGCTGCATGCTTCATTTGGAGCCGAAATCACTGGCCTCAACTTTGCCAATGGTGTAACCATCGAGGGTCAAAAGATGATCTTAGATGCAGTGATCAAGGTAAATACCTGGCTCCTGGTTGTCGATGAGTTGGTAAATGTACTAATCTTTCTCTTCATAGTATGGAGTAGTTGTAGTTCGCTCGACCGGTCTTACCGACGAGACTCACGTTAAGTTATCGCGTATGTTCGGTGAACTCGATGATGTAAAGCCATACATCAAGCTAGGACGCCCGAACCGCCTCAAATACGATGAACTGTTTGACGTGAGCAACGTCGAAGAGGATGGTACTATTGTTCCTGACCAAAGTCCCCGCGGCGCAGCCAATAAAGGCAATTGTCTCTTTCACGTAGACTCAAGCTTCAACCCTCGTCGCGCTGGATACTCTCTACTCCTAGCCCACGAACTGCCTCCCCCAGGCAATGGTGGTGGCCTTGAATACTGCGATACCAGACAAGCATACGCAGAGCTGGACCAGGAAACAAAGGATGAGCTTGCTAGAAAAGACTATGTTGCTGCTCATTCCATACACCATTCTAAAAAGCTAGCCGCTCCAGATTGGTACGCTGATATCAACCCTGAGGATTACCCAATGGGCCGTCATAAGCTGGTTCAGATTCATGAAACATCAAATCGAATGAATTTATACATCGCCACCCATATCCATCATATCGAAGGTCTGGCCCCGGAGAAATCGCAGCAGATAATCGATAAGCTCTTCACGCACTGCACTCAAGACAAGTACCGCCTGAGTATTGATTGGCAGGGCGTGGGCGATTTGGTCATTTGGGACAATACTAGCACTATGCACCGGGCGGTAAACGGGCCATTCTTGTACAAGTACCGACGCGATATGAGACGTACCACTGTGCACGATAGTTCGAGCCAGGCCTGGGGCTTGAACGAGCATACCAATTGTCGCCAAGGCCTACCTTAGGATGAGAGAAGATAGTATCTAGATGAAGCAAACTCGCTACTTGTATCACAGCCAATTTAAAACGAAGTTGCAGTAGAGATCTTGATGGTCGGCCTCACTCGAAATTTCGTGTCCATGCTTTTTTTGTAAAACGAAGTCCTTGGGGTCCGGATTCCAGTTCGACCTGCATGTGTCACACTAAGAGGTGATCTGAACAGGCATACACGAGTCATGAGATGAAGCTAGAAAGCATATGAACAAGTCGATTGGCTGCTCCACATCGGCTTTGGGCGGGCATGCAGCCCGCATTTCTGTTGGTCTTCTGAGGGCGGGGATAGCACTGCATGCACCTTGGTATCTAACCTAGTCAGGCAGCGCAGCCGTCTACAACCGAAAGTGGTTCCTGCAACGTTCGTGGAGCTTTTACGGATACACTCGGGGGTCTTCTGCTCTTTTCATTCTGTAACTTTCCTAGGCCTGGTCCAATCTTGCTGTTCCCACAACCTCTTATTAGAAACGTCTCAGGAATTGTTGGCCTTACAAATCGTACGAGATGACTTCCAGTACTGGTAAACGGTCATACCGAGCGTGCCAGAGATGCCGGAGCCGTAAGACAAGATGTGATTTGTGAGTCGTCTTGCCTTGTTCAAGCTGGACATGAGCTGATATAAACCAGGGACAGCATTGGAGAACCAAAGGCACCCCCCTGCTTTTCTTGTTATCGTTCTGGAAGCAAATGTGTCCTAGCCTCCTCCCTTCGAGGCAGAGCCTTCCGCCAATACCGCGGACCCAAAGTCGGATCCAAGACGCATCAAGGTCATTACCACAACGTTGAGTTTCAGGCTCAGCCCATCTTACTTCCACAACAGCCATCTGTAGGATCGGACTGCGACTCTTCTGATGCACCCATCGACGACTCAGATGAAGAATTATGTGCCGAGCTCAGAAATCCGGCTGACGCTTTACAAATTCTCGCCCGGTCCGGGGAGACGCGCCAGGATAAGCCATTATCTCCTCCTTCTGCAGGCATATCACCGGTCCATGACCCAGTGGATACCCACCCTTTTGGACGAAACCCTCAAGCACAGTCAAACCAGCCTGCTCCGAACAAGAAACTTGAACATTATGAACTAGTTCAGCGGGGACTGTTAGGGCTGGATCTCGTAGCAGATCTCCTCGAAATGTTTGCATTCCACTCGATTTGTTGTAGAACCATTGTAATTGCTAATGATTCTTTAGATTCTCTCGAAGATACCACCCATATTGCCCAATTGTTCCAAGCTCGCTATTGTTAATTTCTGGCACCGAATGTTTCCACAGCGCTGATTACCTCCTTCTAACCATCATTCTAACTATAGCATCAAGAGATGAGCCAGAGCATACAATAACTCATCGCCACTGCTGGGAGCATACACAGCGGCTTTTGTTAGACGTGTTGTTAGCACAGCCTTGGACGCAAAGTCCACAGACCGTCCGTGGTCTTCTCTTGCTGGCCGAATGGCTCCCTCATGTTCAATTAAACCATGCTAGTACCGGTCAACCAGACAGCCTTTTTGCCGAAGGCAGGACTGCATGGACAATGATTGGCATGGCGATAAGACATGCCTACCTCCTTCGTCTAGACCTCGCAGCCTTTCGGAAGGATAATCTACGCGAAAAGAAGCACAGCACTGACCAAGAAAGGCTAATTTGGACTCGTAAGGCTACATATACATAAAACTCCGTTGGCGATACTTACTAAAAATGCCTTCTATAGATATTTACATTGCAGATCGGCAGATATCCGTCCGCCTCGGCCAGTCCTTTTGGTCTCGTGGGCCCTCCCTTTCATCCAATTTCACCGCCAAGGACTTCCCAAGCCTTCAACATTTACCAAACAGCGAAGGAGTTGATTACGCAAACGTATTGCAATCTACACTTGAACTAACCCAAATTCTTCACAATGTCCAAGATCTTCTTTATTCTTCCCGTGAACGAACTCTAACATTAGTTTTTGCCGGAGACTACAGTCGCTATTTGGAGGACTTTCAAAAGGCGGCAACAGTGTGGTATGATACTTGGAACCCCTTGTTAGTAAAACGGCGCGCAAACAATTGTGTAATGTTGATGTATGAATACCTATGTCTTTACATCAACGCATTTTCCTTCCAGGCTGTTCTCACAAGGTTGTCACGGACACGAAGAGCTGCTACAGATAAAAAGGAGCTTCGCCATGAGGCACAAAACCAGCCATTCCCAAAGGGCCTCATGGCTTCGCCCGACTGTCGATGGATCTACGATGCGATCTTTGCTGCTATTAAGATCTTGAAGATTATGAATGAACTCAACCCTAACGATGAGATGCGTTTCTTGCCGTCTCGCTACTATCTGTAAGTAATGTCAAACCTGATACAACTCTATGTTTGTTCTGTAATCTTGCCCTAATACTCATCAAGCTATGGAATCTATGCGGCCGTCTTCCTTTATAAGGCGGTATTTTCTGGTGCATATTCCGGAGAGGAGCAGAGGAAAGAAGTTGCTACTTTAGTAAAAGGATTCGCCACTGCTCTGGATTCGGTTGCATCCATCAACTTCCACGTCTGTTGTAGATATAGCGAAATGCTGAGAAAACTGTGGGCACGACGTGGACCTAAGATGGCCGCGGAGGAGGTACCGGATTCTCCAAGCCGAAGTGTGACAAATCACACAGAACCAACACAGAGCAGATCTGAAGAACCATCAAGCTCAAAGAAACAGCAGCCTTCGGATACCCAGTTCAATGAAGCCGACTATCTTGCGAGTTTCACAAATCCGGATCTCAGTTCTTTATTTACTACAGCAACCGAGGATATTTCCTCGATCTTATGGGATGACCGACTATTTGGCCCATTTATACCTGATGTAGGGAGCATTGATAATGGTATATTATACGAGGATACTGGAGAGCAACACCTGGCAGACTTGCCCCTAGTAGACATAGGATTAGCAGGATACCAGGAGATGCCTTGGAGCATCAATGCTTACCTTGCCTAACATGGCAAAAGTCTATAATAATTATTAAGTTTTAAATGATATAATACGAATTCTTGTGCTAAAATTTAATTAAAATATAACTGAATTAATAATTAAATGGTAATTTACGTAAAAACAAATGTCGATTTAGATGAACCAAAATAAATATTAGAGCTAATTAGACAAAGCATAAATAATGCTACGTGCTATCCCAATGTGTAGCAATTATATTACATCAACAGCTTGATGTAACCTTACATCCGCTCCAAGCAGATGATATCAAGTGTAGAATCAGCTTACCATCATGGGATAATCCAATTCCTTTCTTTTTCTAACGCCATATCTGGCATTGGGGCCGTGACCTAGTGCAAGATGTCAGCGCGCTTGAGCAAGAAGCGTATTCCTTATTCCTTCGATGCAAAGCGTATTCACGTACACTCCGGGCGTATTCGCACAGACTATAAGCGAATCTCAAGTTTCGATAGACCTACAACTAGTGTGATATGAAATTAGGATATTCAGCATAATTGCTCTGTTGCGAGCAAGGTCTGCTACTCTCCTGAAAAGTATAAAGAGGCTAGAGAGAAGCACCTTACTTCATTGTTGCTTCACATCTCCACACAAATACACCTACTTGTTTTCGTCTACTCCATTTCGCATACTTGCCTTGACATCTGTGTAAGGATACCAAGAAAATTAGTATCAAGATGCGGTAAGTTTGGTCACTTAATAGAAGATATTCCAAGCTAATATACACAACAGCTTGATTATATCCACTGCCGCTTTACTTGCCTATGCTGGCTTTAGCACGGCTAATGTATGCACTCTTGTTGGCTATACTTGGGAAGACCAGGACGTCTTCGGCGGTGTCTCCGGCGAAGCCTATGGCGATGAAGGCTTCGAGCTCTACTACCAAGGAGGCGTTCATATTTCCGGTGGAGTCTTCAGCAGAGATGGCGGTGCCTTCAACTCAGTAGCGAAACATACAATCGACCAACATTATCTTCATACTGCCGAGTCTATTATTGTGAGCTTGATTCAATTCGTCCCTCGATCGTGGGACTTTGACCACAGAATGTAAAATGCTCACAAAGATATAGTGGACACCTTCAATGAACGGCATTGCTATGGTAGGATGCCATCTTTCTTATGAAGGAAGAGACTACGATGGATATCTTCACGGGCCATTTAGCCCTTGCGGCAGCAGTAGTCTTGGTTATTCCTGCTCGTACTGCAATGTTGACTTCCAATGCGAGGGCAATCTCCCAGCCCCTAATTAGATTTTTGGCGGCTGTACACGTCACTAGGCAGTGTTATACCTACTAGCTTAGACTTTTATATTGAATTGGATTTGATACTACAAGTCTCATATATAGCTCTTTCGCAAATTCTAGCCAAAGAAGATGTGTGTGAAACTTGAAATGCAGCATCTTTCCTTCTGTGGATCGCTTAGCATTGATAAGCCCTGGAGTGTTTTGATCTTTACTGCGTGGCTGACGATATAATTTAGTAATTAGAGTAATCGGCCATAGAGTGACTGCGATGTACATGATTTGTTTTAAGCCGGACACACTCTCCCCAGTCGAGGACTCTTGGCAGCGTAAGCCAAAAGTAAATAGTTTCGTACATACATCAAGTTTTAACATCTGCGACGAGCCGTGTAAAGTTCCAAGTATTAGATTATCTATTTAAAGCAACAACAATTGTTATCAAACCATATTAATGTTTAGAAAGTTAAGCCTCCACGTCTAGTCCCCTCAGCAGCAACAATCGACTCACTCAACTTAAGATGTGAATCAAATGTTCCTGTAAGTCGACTACTAATGAGCAATGGCAAATTGTTCAAACAATGCAGTTCCTTTGTATCCTAGGAGTTCAAAGCTCCCTATCCATCGCTGAATCAGGTTCGGGTCATTCAAGAATTCATGTGTAACAGTAGCCTTGGCATGGGTAATCTCATGGCCGACCAATAGCTCAATATTGTAGCCGCTAGGCGATCCAGTGGCGGGTGTCGGTGGATAAGTCGAGTTGGCTCCAAACGGACGAACCTTTATACCCTCGCAAGCCGCGTTCAAGATTTTGCCGTCACGGGCGACGTAGCTACTTGTGTATTCAGTGCCGTCGAGAGCAAGAAAGTCAAACCAGACAACAGAGTAGGGTCCTGCTCGGCCATGGCCCCAGTACCAGCTGCGGAAAGTGGAACCCAGAGGCACGTTTCCCCAGTTCTAGATAAGGGGCAATACGTAAGCCAGAGAACTATCCGCCTGATAGTAATAGTGAACTGACCTTATCATGGTATCCAGTGCCGGAGAATTCAACGACGGTTCCAGACCAATTGAAGTAGACGGTTGCATCTGCATCAGGCATAACGTTTACCCAGCCTACCCCTGGTGCCAACAGCAAATCACCGCCAGGGCTTAGATCATCAGTGCAAGGCAGATGCGGTGGGGCAACCTAATGGGTATTCAAATTAGGAAACTAAGGAAAGAAGTATTGCTATCTCTGGTTGTTTTGGCTTACCCCGTTTAGAAGAATTTCTCCAAAGATACCGTTACTTGGTGAATCCAATCGAATCACATACTGGGACATGTCTGGGGATCCAACCCAATCACCTATGCCCTGGTATTCCCCAGAACTTCCGTCACCGATGGTTCCGATCCTGACGTCCTCTGCTTGGAGCTGGATGTTCAAGTCTGTACCGTTCTCAAAAGTGTATGTAATAAGAACCTTATTAGGTGTCGCGCCTCCATTGAAGGAGGCGCCGGCGGTGTAGAAAGTCACAACGATTTCGCTCTTATGGTCCCAGGAAACAACATCAAAATACCACCAATCAACAGTCGTCTCATTAGATGGAAACACCCTCATTCCATCCAGGGCCATCTCTCCATTTCGAAATTCAACAGTACTTTGTACGTCTTTGGCTGGCAGGGGCACATTGGTGACTGTTGTGCTTAGATTCGGCTTCACGCCATGACCCAGGACAACAGCCGCAAACTGCAAGCAGGCATAGAGCAAGATTTTTGGCCACATCTCTTGGCAATAGGAATCGAACGTGTAAAAGTGATAAGGCTGTAGTATAATAATTGAGATGTAATAATCGAAGTTGTCTGAGTGATTCAGAGTTGCTCAGTCGTCGAAAAGCTCTGTTTATATACTAAGGCTTTTAAGACTGATTAGTATATATCTCTTCTCCTGACGCCATTTTAATCCGCAACCATAGGAAAAACTTCACAGATGAACTCCGACCTCCTGAATACAAGCAGCGGAGTTGATAGTCTTTGCTCCTTGTTTTTCTTTTTTTTAACCAATTACAGACAATCCATGGCGGAAGTTAGATGCTGAAGTGGTAGTGTCAAGCAAAGCGACGCTAAGTCCAAAGAAGGGACAAATGCGAGCCGCGCGGCAATTACCAACTCCGCAAATTAATTATATATGGCAGTGGTAATAAGAATTTAATATATTGTCGCAAAGCGATCCCAAGACGATGATGTAGCAAGCTAGAAGTATAGAATTGTAACCATGCTCAAGTCTATTCTCTATAGGTAGATACTGTTGGACATCTCAGAAATATATGCGCTAGAGGGCCACTAACATCAAACCTATATGCTTCATAACACTAATACCTCTTGACAAATCGTAATATACATAGCCCCCTTTCACTTTATCAATACTCTCCTCTCTATAATACTGCGCTCCTACAAAGTCAATTGCTCTTTATCAAGATTACTCTTTGTAATTTCTGACCACACAGTGGTGTGTTCTAACACAATATTGTTATCTTTTCCTCGTCGGTTAATAATCAGGCTCCAGCGTGTTCTGCTCCGTCGCTCTGTCGCTCTAAGAGCTGTGATACATAATCATGGTTTGGAAAGCAAACGACAATGATGTGATGCGGCAATGTCATAGATATTAATGAATTTTTGACCTTGCATATGAAGCCTCCTTTACGTGAAATGCGCGGAATACTTGAAATATAAAAACCATGTACTTTCCGAAGGTCTTCATATAGATCTGAACAATGCAATCGTAGGGATAGAGGCTGTACCACCAAGAAGAAATGGGTCATTATAGTAATAAGCTTATTAAATAAGAATGGGATTAGTCCCGAGCTTGCAGGAATGTACCAGCTGTGGACCCGAGAAAGGTTGACATACCGGTATTGGGATTAGCGACGTGTAGAATTGACAAAGCTGGATCCGACACGACCAAATATAAGCAAACCACAAGAATCTGTGAGGGCTCGTATTCACCAAATTGTCCCTGTAGTTCCGAGCCAATTCCCAGATAACCCCTTGCCACATGCTTCAAATTATTCCTAACTTGGCATATAAATTCCATGTTTTCAAGCCCGGATAGGCTAAACATGCGCTCTGGATCCAGCCCGAAGAAAATTTTTCTTGCTAGTAACACTACTACTACTCTATGCTCCATATAAGATCATGCGACTGGCTCAAAGCCAAGCAAATGATAACATGTATATCAATCTAATCAGATAAAAATACTGGGGCTGTTGTCGGACGCTACTCAGAATAAACTATAGTAACCCCTGCTTGTTCCACTTTAACCAAAGGTGAAAGTCCGTAATGCCAAAAGTCCGTAGGTCTATAGTAGGGTAAGGTGGTACTAAAAGGCAGTCATCTCCCATTATTTTTAATTGATTTCACATACTCCATTGATGCGTCAGGTCTCGGTATCAGTATCATGTCTACAGAGGATAAGATCTCACCGATTAGCGCTCGTGTCCCAGAAGCGGACAGTGCAAGTGATGTCCTCAAGCTTGGAGGCAATGTTGGCGACATCATCCAGTCCAAGGGCGTCACCCGCATGGAAGCTGTATATCGAGAGACAAAGGCAAATCGCAAACTATTCTGGCTTGTGGGGGGTTCAGTTCTTGTCTGTGCCTGGGCTTACTCGCTCGATTCATCTACGACATCTTACTATAGTGTGGATGCCTCCTCTTACTTCAAACAGCACAGCTCTGTCTTGGCAACTCTGTCCATTGCCACCAGCATCATAAGCGCCGTTTCTAAGCCTTTTATCGCAAAAATCTCTGACATTACGTCCCGTCCGTATACATATCTTCTAATACTCGGATTTTATATCATTGGCTATATAATCGCCGCCACATCCAAGACAGTCTCCGCTTATGTTGTTGGAGAGGTTTTCGTTGCAATTGGTGGTTCCGGCATTGATCTCACCAATGATATTATTGTTGCTGATTTAACGCCCCTGGAGTGGCGCGGCTTTGCCAGCTCTATGCTCTCTACCCCGTTTATCATCAACACTTGGTTTTCAGGCAAGATTGTCAATGCGTTGGAGAAGCGCAATCAGTGGCGTTGGGGATATGGCATGTTCGCTATAATCATGCCGGTTGCCCTGGGCCCTGCCGTTGCAGCACTGATTTGGCTTGATCGAATGGCTAAGAAGAAGGGAATTGCAAATATCGCGTCCAGTAGCGCCGCACGCCGCACAACCAATAGCAGCGCAGACCAAGAGAATCAGGAGAAGACTGTGAATACCATTACCACCCCAGTGGCCGGCAATACTAAGCAACAATGGACTCATTCACTGAAGACAAATCTCGAAGAAATTGATGCATTTGGTCTGATTCTCCTTGGCTTTGGGTGGTCACTACTTCTACTGCCATTTTCGCTCAAGACTTATGCTGATCACGGGTGGCGCAACCAATCGCTCATCGCCATGATGATTCTGGGTGGCCTTTTTCTGATTGCATATGTTGTCTTCGAGATGAAGTTTGCTCGTGTTCCTAGTGCGCCGCGTCGACTCGTTTTCAACAAAACATTCATCATGGCAATTATCATCGATTCCTTTTATATGCGTAAGTAGGTCTATTAGGCTGATACCTACTGGATAATCCTACTGACTATCTATCCCTAGTGGCCGGAAATATTCGCAGTCTCTACTGGAGTTCATACGTCTATGTCGCAAAGCCATGGAGCTACCAAGATTGGGTGTATTACGGCAACACTTTGACATTGGCGTTGTGCATTACTGGCCCGTTTGTTGGCCTCGCCCAGCGCTGGACTCATCGCTATAAACTGATTCAGATTGTGGGTCTTGGCATCAAGATTATCGGAATCGGCATCATGTTGGATGGGCGTGTTGCAGCCATCAGTACTGGCGCGCTTGTCATGTCGAGCATTCTTGTTGGCGTTGGTGGCTCGATGTCTGTTGTAGGATCTCGAGTGGCCTCTCAAGCTTCCGTCCCTCACCAAGATGTCGCTCTCGCCGTATCTTTACTTTCACTGTGGTCAAAGATTGGCAGTGCTATTGGCTCTGCTATTGTCGCCGTCATTTGGTCCAATCAAATGCCCAAGCAGCTCCGAGAATATTTGCCTGCCGGTACCTCGGAAGCAACTGTGAAGAAGCTCTTTGGCGATATGCGTTCTCTGCGCACTGCTTATGACTTTGACGACCCCATCCGACAAGGCGCCATTACAGCTTATCGCCATGCCCTGTATTACTGCATTACAGTGGCCCTAGCCTTGGCTTTTATCCCTCTTGTAGCGGCTTTCTTTCAGACCAATTACTTTCTGGGCAAGCAACAAAATGCCGTTACGGACGTGGGAAATGATGGTCTGCCCTTAGACGAGAGAAGTCGTAATCCAGACCCCTTACCGCCGCCTAGGAACAAGAAGGAAGCGTTCCTCCGTTTTTGGTCTGGTAGCGCTTGATTTTGCTGACCAGACGCCTTATTATTGCCCGGGCGCTATAAGACGCTGCAAAGTTGGCGGAAAATACGAATAGCGTTCGATCACAAAACCGCCAGGTCTTTAACCAGGCATAGTCTAATACAGTTTTTCGGATGCAATTAGTCTTCTTGCCCTCCTGCGGTCGACCGCTTAGACATTTGAACCTGATGCGCTGCAAAAAATTAAATGAATTCAATTGATATAGTCTTCTACCATCTCTCTATGTGACTGCTCTAACTTTTAGCAGAGTCTCTGCGTTCTTGTATGCAAACTTTTCCAAGTTTACTCCAGTGAGCAGACCACTCCTTTGAACATCCTCCAGGAACTGTAAACCAGTCTCATTCATTGAGAATGGGTAGTCTACGCTATATAGCACCCGGTCACTTGAGGTCACCTGAAGCAGGCAACCGAGTGAGGGCAGCGAAAACATACCGCTCGTCGTGATCCAGATGTTGTTATCCCAAACCTCCTTGAAACTCCGCTGTCTCCCCTCCCATCTAGTAGTCGCGATAAAAACTCGACTTAGCTGATAAGGCAACATCTCTCCCATGTGACCAATTACGATCTTGACCTTGGGGAATCGATCAAACATTCCGCTAGCGAAAAGCCGAAGAATATGATGGCCCGTCTCGGTGTGCCAACCCCAACCAAAGGCACTCATCGCCAGAGCTACGGAGTCGCTGTAGTTGCCTCTGTAGCGCTCCAACATGGAGTCGCTGGCAAATGTCGGATGGATGTATATCGGAACGTCTAGCTGCTCTGCTTTTTCGAAGACGCACCAGAATCGCTCATCATCGAAAAACACGCCATTTACATGGTTTTCGACCAAAGCACCCACAAAGCCCAAATCTCTCACACAGCGCTCCAACTCTTGACTAGCTGCAACTGGGTCGCTCATCGGAAGCATAGCAAAGCCTGCCAGCCGACCAGCATTTTTCCGAACGGCTGCTGCGAGCTCATCGTTGCCCAACGCACATTCGTCTCTTGCAAAGTCTCCAGGAGCATGGGAAAGAATTTGTAGAGAAACTTTGCCTTTGTCTAGATCTTGTATGCGTCCTTCACCTAAATTTGCGAGTTTATCGTTCATGTGGCTCGGAAAGTTGGAATACAGCTCGCTTGCTTCTTTGTTGGCTTTGACAATTGTGGACGAGAAAAAGTGCTCCTCGAGAGCGATTATTGGAATATCAAGCATGCTTCTTGATCGCTGTTTGAAGGCCCGGCTAGCAGCAAACCGTATGGAGGCAAATCGTAGTGGAAACCAGGTCATACAGTAAGAGCGACTGGCGATGTGCTACGTCTACTTAGCACAACAGGCAGGCTCGATACAATTTATAGAAACCAAAAGCAGAAGCTACGTGTTTACACCGATGAAGACTAGGAGGAATTACTGTTCGGTCTCCGAAATAGACCGAGCAGTTTGTGTGTCGAGATAACCCAGACCTGGTCGTTCATGCTTCGCAATACGCACGTTTACTAGCGTGGGATTGGTCTCTAGTAAGGTACTTAAGTGGAACGGGCGACAGGGGCTACAATTGACAGTGGATGAGGTCCTTGGATTAGGCCCTTTGGTATTGACGGTAATGAGAGTGAAGGACAAAGCAGGATTGGGAAAACAAAGCAAGAACAATGTCTCTGTTTTTATAGATAGATATAGCTATTAAGTGAATAGGACATTTAACGCCGTCGTCCGCACCCCAGATTCCCGCCACATTAAGAGGCATTCCGATGATGAGCATTGTCCAAGAACTTCTGTCGCGAATTACCACCTATCCAAAGGAGGGATCCCAAGGGCCATAAGCTGTTCATTCACCTCCTTGGTCGTGTGCTCCCACAGTCCTTGCAGCTGTTGTGCATCCTCCACAACTGGATGCGGCGCCTGAATTTTACCGTACGGCGTAAGGAACTTTCCTCCGTAGATGTTCTGGTTCTGTTTGATTTTACTCGCAGTTGCTGCAAATAGTGGTGTTGCGGCACCTTGTTGTGAGGTGAGAAAGGTAAGACGGGCGATTGTTTTGATGAATACGTTATTAATTGCCATAACACCTTCCGTGGCAACCTCACCGGGATGCACTGAAAGAGACAGAATCGGCAGTCCCCCTGCATCTAGCCGGCTCTGCAAACCCTTGGCGAACATAACAACTGCGGCCTTGGAAGCCGCATAGCGGATCATATCAAAGCCGAAAATGAACCTTCCAATGTAACGCCATTGCCAAGGGTATGAGACTACGGGATTTGCAAGACACGAAGGCGAGTCAAAATGGAACTCGAAGTTATGGGGCAGCATGTTGGCGTGGGCAATAGAACTGAGAGTTACAATTCTGACATCGGGGTTTGAGTTTGAGTCATTCGTCGCGTTTTTTAGCAGAGGCAAAACACGATTAACAAAAAGAAACGGCCCAATGAAGCTAAAAATGTCAGCAGGCCGGTGAGTCTGCTTTGGGAGGAGAACATACTTAACTGCCATATGCCACTCCCACCTACCAGCCACAAGACTATGGGACATTGTTGCAGCCGCAGCGTTATTGACTAGAGAATCAATGGTGTTAGGAGCATATTGAAGTATGAGAGGTGTGGCACCTTGGAGTATACTCAATATGTCAAGCTTTGTTTCATTGCTCTTCAGTTCATCGGCAGCGTCTGTGATAGATCGTAAATCTGATAAATCTAACAGCACCCATTTGATCTTTTCTTGGTCAATCTCAGGGTACTTGGCTCGTAGCACATCCCGTGCCCTTTTTGCCTTGTTCTCAGATCGTGTTGTACAATACACTTTCGCTCCTTTGCGGGCGAGAAACCCGACTATTTCGAGACCTATCCCACTGCTACGAGCCAATTGACTGTTAGCTTCCGATAGATCCTTTCTATGTTTGCTGGTGTGTTAGGGGGCAAGTCAACCATTTGGACCTACCTTCCTCCAGTTACGACGGCAATCTTGCCTTGAAGTTTGGCCATCTCCCGAAGAGGATCCCATAATGTTGTCATGACGAGAAATACCAGGATCCCTGCTTTGATCTAGGCGATTTGATAGTTAGCTTGAAGTTAGGTAGTAAGCGTATTATCCCTCGATTCAAAAGTGGAGGAATTGACTTATAAATTCAGCAGACAACTGCCGCCAGCTACCACTCCATTGATAAACTGGCGTGGGCCAGCTAAGCCTGCCATCGGAGAGTTCGTGGAGATGGCGGAGATTGAAAGCGTACCTTCAAAGCTAGTTTTGCTAGCTGTGTATGCAGGCATTGCGAGAAACAGTGCCTGTTAGCTCCAGGGCCGAGAAACTAAGATAGAATTATAAAGTTACAGTTATAGTGTGCTATATCTAATAATTATCTTAAAGTAACTTGAAAACTTGAGTTTAATTAAAGCTGGGCTATAAGTATATATATATATAGAGAGAGAGAGAGAGGATAATTATATAATACTGTGACTATTATTTAAACTAGCTTGTTATTATATGAAAAGTTATAAGTACTTGAGTGTATTATCCCATAATATCAATTCCAGCTAGTGTTAACTATATTTCCCAATCAAATGCCTAATGTAAGTGTACTAGCGGAGGAGTTGCGGAACTACAGCGGAGAAGATAGTGGCTTAGCACATCGGTCCCAACTTGCAATATACAAGGCCCGCAATGCGAGCACGATATCTACCTTCCGAGTAGCAGCCAGATTAAACGTCACCAAGTTCCCCAAATCGCTGACAAATTTGATCCGCCGAAGGACTACTGCAAGCTACTATCTTTGAGCAGAGATCATATAGCACCATACGCACACGCACACGCATATATATATAGTTGTGATGTTCTTGACAATCCTTCGTTGCCCATCAGACTCGAAGCATTCACCGAGCTTTTTGAAGCATCCTCAAACTCTTTAGCCTTTCAATATACCAAAAACGTAACTGACTATGTCTTCCAATACCACCATCCTTATCACTGGTGCTAATCGTGGTAAGGAAAAGGCTGTTTAATACACCACTTTCATACAATTGATTCTAACTCCCCCAGGTATTGGCAAAGGACTTGTTGCTGCATACCTTACGGTGCCCAATACTACTGTGGTAGCCACCGTACGCGACCCGTCACACCCCACAGCAGAGTCCCTTAGGTCGCTTTCGAAAGCGGCCGGGTCCAGTCTTATTGTCATCAAACTTGATGTCTTATCCACCGAATCTATAAGCAGTGGCATTAAGTCGTTGGAATTGACTCATGACGTCCACGGTCTTGACATTGTTATCGCAAACGCCGGAATTGCTGGAATGTCGGACCCCCTAGCCTTGACCCCTGTCTCAGAACTCCAGAAATTTATCAATGTCAATGCGTACGGACAGCTTGAGCTTTTCCAAGCCGTGGTTTCTCTCCTGCGCTCCTCCAAAGCGAATAACAAGGGAAAATTTGTGCTCATTTCAAGTGCGGGCGGTAGCCTTACTACAATGAATACCATCCTTCCCCTAGCTGGCTACGGGGCGAGCAAAGCTCTAGCAAACTTTTTGTTCAAGTGGTTAGCGCTCGAGAACGACGACGTGTTGATTTGGGCACAGCATCCTGGGTAGGTGTATCCTATTCATCTATATTTATATCTGCTCTGAAGTCGTACTAATCTATTTGTTGGCTAGCATGGTTGCATCAGAAATGGGGCAAGCGGGATTCGATGCTGCCAAAGAGATTGGAATTGACCTCTCAGCGCATGCGATTTCGGTCGAGGAGAGTGCGCGGGCAATAAAACAAATGGTGATTGAGTTTATTTTGCGAGCTAGAAAGACAATATGTGCATTAGAACTAACGTAGTTTCCAACAGGTCGACCGCTCCACCTTTGAGAATACACGCGGAAAGCTCTTCGGGCCAGACGGCTCAGAACTCCCTTGGTAGATGGAATGTATGCCACTCTGATCTTCTTATGGCTCTATCCAACCCTCCAGGTTTATTTTACATATTAGCGATTGAGCCATATAAGTGGCAGGGGGGCCAGTATGAAACCGAGCCCGCTGTTATTTTCTGATTTGGCTCAAGGGTTTTTTAGGCCTCTAAGTGAGGAACATCGTTGGCAAATGCGTATGCCAATAGTGGAAAGGGTGTCGTCCGAGACAGCAGATGTGTTACATTAGGTTCTGGGTGAAGTTGGGCTGAACATGAAGTGTCATGGTAGATGCGATTAGCCGCAAAGTGCGTCAAACAACAAGTAGAATCCACCCACGACGGTTGACCATATTTATCCCGGCCTCGGGCCATCACAAACAGGAAGAAATTGGGATTTCCCATCACAGAATGCACATATGTAGATTTGCTCCAGATAAACCGCAGGTTTTTAAAGCAAATACTATAACTCTTTGGTCTATTCAGAACGACAAACGACTGTGAACGACGCAGCAGGCGCGTTAACGGACGCGTGAGAGAGCACATAGCCATTGCCCCCTTTGTCTTGGACTAACCTACAGCGAGAATTGGGGGAAACTTTAAATTACTGGCTCTGAAGGTATCAGGAACTATTGGCACTGCATTTGATGGAAATCTTTGAAGTAAGTGGCTGTCGGTCGTGCAGTCGCCTGCATGCAACGAGAACGCACTGATGAACACGGCCAAGCACGAAGCACGAGAGCCAACTCGACAAAGTGCTGCTCCTCATAGACGGTTCCCCATAATGTTTTCCACACCAAGGAATGTCCAACAGCAACAAGTACACTACGAAAGAAGCATAGCGGATAAGGTAGGGGGATACTCCAAAAGACTGGATGAAGTCCTGCCAGGGTACTCGGCAACCTTACGCAGCTCGGTTTTAGGAAGAACGGAGCGCACTGGCTTAACCTAGGATGGATATTTCAAAATTGAATAAGTCTCTATACTGTAAAAAGAGTGACGTCAGAAGTATGTGTTTGTGAACTAGAGAAAGAGACTGGAAGACGCTTTATGTTTCGTTGCAATCAATGGACACAATGTCGGGTTGCAACGCCTGGTTGTATGGAATATCAGTGGTGCAGCAAATCATTCCCTCTCCGAAGAAGATCGCCAACAGACAAGTCAGGTTAGGCAATGCAAGCAACAGTTCGCTTTGTGCTCGTCACGGGTTGGCTCAACCATTCGACTAAGAGTCCGGGTCTGATAACCGATTACATCACTTACGTGGACAATTGCTAGCACCGCTGTAGATAATGTGCATGGAAGCTCTGAACACTTTAAAATACAGCTCCAAGCTAGCAGTTAGCTCATGATTATAATAAAATATGAGGCTGGTAGGACGACAACTAAATAAAGGTCAAATAGTTCAGACTGAGCGAGGGCATCAAAGTCTTGAATGGCCTGAGAATAGACTTGGATCATGGTTGTCAGCTTCTCAACCATTGCCAGGGCCGTACTGGTCACTCTAACCATTGAATTGGTTGATTTGTCGCCTGCGTGGCTTATGGTCGTGCCCGGCTGCCTGCAGGTCGAGATTGTTGAAGCAAATATTAGTGGATGGAGGCTGGAATTCCTGGCAAGCACTCAACAGGGTAACCGCCATTGAACTCGAATGAAGGTGGGGCAAAGACCGAAGGGGTTGGTTGTGGGCTGGATGGAGTCTCCGTAGAGTCGAACTCCGCCCCTAGGCCAAGCCATTTCGGCGCTCCAATCGAAGGTTTCTCTCTTTCCTTTCGGATCACTGCCCTCCGCTGTCAGCCAAACATCCTCGCCATGCATCGACGGTCTAAGCAAAAGTCTTGCTTTGCATGCGTTGCATCTAAGCGAGGCTGTGACAAAGAGCTGCCTATATGCTCGCGCTGTGAGGAGAAGGAAATCGCCTGCGAGTATCCTGCTGTACGCCATCGGCGGGGGAAGCAGCTACCGAAATCGAGCCAAGCTAGCGTTGCCAACGATGGCCCTCGGGCTGATGAACATAGCATTACTGCGAATCAACTTGCAACAACTGACGAGCGTGGGGACATTCATTTTCTTGGTATGGATGGTAATAACTCGACTACGCAACTCCACAATCCACAAAGCTGTTCAACGTTTACGGGCACAAATCTACCGTCTCATGCTTCATTCTTGCCCGTCTTTCCTTCACAAAATGGCTTGGATACCGATCCGTCTTCTGCCAACCGGCTTTTACCTCCATATGACGGGCTGAAGTTTTTCCTACTTCCTTCGGCTTGGACAATCGCCTATCATTATGAACCGCCAGCTGCCTATCCTCCTGGCGAGGTGCTGTTGAATTTCACTCGGGGTATACAGTCATGGCTTAAACGTTTCCTTCGCCAAGGTCATAACCCTTTTATTCATCGCCACCTCTATTCTAATACAACCATGCCACTGTGTATGCAAGATGCATTTGCTTCCATCTCAATTCATCAGAATGCGATTGCAAGCAACGAGCACATCATTGACGACATTTTTGCCTCTCAGGTTGGTGACCTCGTCACGAAACAGCCAATTGAAGGTTCAGAGGCGTTTACACTACTATCAACGAGGGATCATATAGCACGCACACAAGCTTTGCTAATTCAGCTTCTATTAGCTCTCTTCTCATCTTCAATCCCTCGCCGAGCTAAAGCTGAGTGCTTAATTGCAACGTTGCATCATTGGACGAATCAATTGTGGCAATCAGCAAGCCAGGATGCAAATTTCCATACTGTCGTTCAATCCATACCCTCAGTAGATGATGTCGGATCTGGTTCAATAGAGGATCCAGTGCCCGGCTTGTACCAAAGTTTTGTGCTATACGAGTCTGCCCGTCGCACCTGGATACTAAGTAACTTTGCCACTGGCGTTTACCAAAGTCTCAGGGGTGATTGGGGGACCACCTGCACTGGAGATATATGTATAACTGCACGAGCCGAATTGTGGGATGCGTCTTCGCCAGCGCGCTGGGCTGCTATTGCACAATCCAAAGACCCTTTGTTTATCTACAGTCTACACGGTCAGTCTTTACTCAAAGACAGTGTTGCTGCAGAGGAAGTGGATGAGTTTATGAGACATCTTTATACAATCATGTGGGGCATTGACAAGGTTGAAGACTGGATTGTGCGAAGCGGAGATGCAGTATCGACAATGTATTAGGGCCGCAAGTAAGTAAGGTATACAAGGGTTTGTGTAAAGTCTTGGTGTGTTTTAATATCATAGTCTTCTTTTATCGTTGGATACTTACAATTTGGGGCTAGTTAATAGTAAAATAAGTTGTATTTAGTTAGTCACTGCTAATAAGTAAACAGCTATCCGTATAACTAGTGAATTGTATTCAAATTAAATCTAGGTAGCTATAGCGAAAGGCAAAATAATTAGAGATAACTAATATTATAGTTACTTATTACTTATTCCCCCGGGAGCGAGCTGTACAAGAGCTTCATCAGAGCGCTCAGACCACCTGCTGCTACAGGAGGTACAGCTCCATATCAAATTTTTGGCCGGAATCTGGTTCACTAACTCCGACAACTGATGCGTGTCGTAAATATCGAGCACCCGGACATCGACTTTCGTGTTGTATTCACCGGCTAGACTGTACCAGGATGAGGGCGACAACTTATACGATGCCAATCATGCTCCAGCCCTTCTTGACAAACTCGAACGCCATTGCACGACGCAACCCGCGCAACGCGCCAACAGTAAAAATTGATGGCCTAGTTTCTATCGCTGCGATGCTTTAATTTAAGAGAGGCTATAACTGGATTGACTTTGTTGTCAAATAACCTGCGAAAGAATGTACAAACAATGTCACAGAGATAAGTACTGTTTCATAACTACATGTTCTTGTTAATAAGCTGCACCTAAAAAATGGGCCTTTTACAGGAGGAGTTATCCTAGGACTCGAAACCCGGTTGCAGCATCGCTGTTTACGGGTTATAGAGTTAACGCCGAGCAAGTGCTAGGCTTCGGCTTTTTGATAGACTAATGTCGTAGTCTCTTATAGCGGTGATAGACGGCATAGGTGCAAGTGCAAGTGCGTATTAGGTTGGAGAAAGCGGCGTATATGTGCGCAAGGCAATTGTGCGCATTACTGATCTTGAGATCCTCGAATAAGACACCCACGTACTCTCTGCTGGTTTGAGCTACGAGAGGACACAGATGGCGAAGGACTCGATCGTGGGGATGATAGCACAGCGAGAGTGTTCGAGTTCCGATTCTAGTAAAGTGCCTTTTCCTCTCTGTGCATCAATAATATGGCATGTAGTGGCAAAGTAGGAACGCCCTGCCTTGAATATGCAACATGTTTCAGACTCAACTGATTGTCTAGAAAAGAGAGTAAAGGTAGATGAAAAGAGGAGTGCCCCGCGAAGGCCAGCGGCCGAGTTCTCCTCATGACACCTCATGACACCTCATGACACCTGGTGGTGAGGGTCACGGCACCACGGATGGTCCAATAGGTTCATGATGTGCCATTTCAAGCTGCTGTTCGGTTTATTGTTCTCTTTTAAAACCTCTTAAGAACCAAGTATACACGTGCTGCTCACCGTGTTATGATACGGTTCGACGTATGTAAAGTAACAAGTAATCCCAACCATTCAACATATACTGACATTCATGTATACAGGAGAGAAAAGCAACATCTCAATTGCGTTAACAACTGCAGAATGGCTATGTCAAATTATGAATATTAAACGTCCGAGCCTACACCGTTTTCTATTTCTACTAGCTAATTTACCATTAATGCCATTTGCTGTTGATGCAAACTACACATGTTGCAAGAGCTATTGGGAGATGATTCTCGCAACACTGTGGCAGATCCACACAAGTTATCATTTTCCAATGCTTGCTTATCATGCTTCCCTACACAGATGAGAACGGGTATCGCATGGTCCACCAGCAGTTAGCCATGCGAACCGCCTGGCCGGGAGTGAATTCAGACCAGCTATGTCAGCAGTGTAAGCAAGACCACTCTCAAAAATCACGATCTATGAGAGGTTCACTCACCAGCCCTCGCCCGAGTAGTCCATGAAGTTATTAATCGGATCTAGGCCGGGCTCATCTGGGCAAGAATCACGTCCAACAGGGCAGACATTCAATGTGTTGGCAGACTCTTGAGGAGTATCTGCGATATAATCGCCGGGTCCATCGCAGCTGAGCCCATCGAAGGTGTGTAGAAGAGAAAGCCAATGTCCGACTTCATGGACCGCGATCTGTCCCTTGTAGGTTGTCCCGTCGTTAGTTCCTCCTGGAACTGTGTAGGACACCAGCGTGCATCCATCAAGACGAGCCCAAAGCGAGTCACTAGTTATGTTACTGGTAGGCAGAGTGCATGATCCCCAACCCCATTCTGTAGGATCCATATTGGTAACAAAATACAAGTTGAGCGTATCATAGCCACCTTGTTTAGTCTCAGCCTTGATACCATTGAAGTTGTAGTAATCGAATCCCCTCGCGTAGTCGTCATTAACAATTCGAGTCGTGTTCTTTAGTGTAAAAGTGATACCGAGGGGCGCGTAGTTGTCGACAAGAACATCGAACTGAGCTTTCAAATCATCGTCGCTCAAGATATCTTGGGAGTTGGTCGTGTTGACAAATGCCGTCATATAAACCGGTATAGTTATGTTAGCATCAGCGGCGTGTTGGCGAGCATGAACAGCGCTGGAACTCTGTTCCGAGGCCTGCAAAGCAGCTACTGTAGAAAGGAACTCTGGAGAGTTGGTTTGAGTGCCACACCAATTTCGACCACCAAAGTATGCCGATGCGCCGAGCAGAAGGTTAGAAGCAAGCATGGCTACAGGTCGTTATGAAATGTACCGAGATATACCAGTCGTTTCAGTCGACGCCCAAAACTTGGGATATGGGATACTAAAAGCTTTATCAACGAGCAATAGTACCTCTAAAATGAGAAAGAATTACTCGAGGCTTCGGCTTGGGATCATCATATCGCTTTTGAATAGTTGTAATGAACAAATGGGATGAGTCTGTATTGTGATAACTAAAGAACCACATTAGATCCCGGAGGTACGAGAGCAGATATACTAGTAAATAAAGAAACTCTAATAACTGAATATCCTGACATTGTTCCTTTCAACATTAACTACTCGCAGATAAAGGAGACAAATCCGACAAAAAACCTCCCGCTGAATCTCCTTGCTGTAACTCGAAGGATTGATTATACCTTGCCAATCTTTACCAACTTCCTCGTATGGCTTTGGCTTTTCCTAAAGCGCTTTAGCAGGGATACTCTTGTCTTAACATAGGGTGATTCCCTACAGCAACCTTCCAGTTTGAAAGCTTGTAGGATCAATTCCATGCCCCGGTACCGCAAGGTATCCAATCCTTTTGCACACTGGGGAAACACATTCCGATATAAAAATTTTCGCACACTGCTTGTCTGAAAATGAGCCAGATCTGCCTTGGTTTAAAAAGATCATCAATGCAACAAACGCTGGTGATAAATCCCGTTCAATGGTAATTCCAGCCAGGATATGTGCGGCAAATTCTACTATAGTCTAATGACTGCCCTTACTACCGATGACTACTTGACTGCTGTATCTAGGCATATCTATAGCTGAAGGCTGCTCTTCAAGGCTATTCTTTTCATTTTTATTTTGATTTTTGGTTTTCAAGATATTGCTTAAGTAGATTCAATAGCTGGGAAACTCGCGTTGACAGCTATTCTAACCACTGCTGTCGTCGCCGCCCCCGTAATTGTCATCTGCAGCCTATATCACTGAAGCAGCATGCGCTGTTTTTTTTCCCCGACAGGCAGCTGCGGTCCCTGCCAAGAAAGTGGCGTTCCTGGAGGAATTTTAGCCTCTAGCAGTATAGCAACGGTATCAGCCACGAAAGGTTTACGTTATTACAGGCAGCATGTGTCATTCAATCGTCTGGAGCCCGTTTGAGATAGGGCTGTGTATATACAGATGAATCAAATAGTAAAAATTCATTAATAAAGCCCTAAATTCTGTGACTGAAAAGTAGGAGCAGGCCTTTGAGGCATACACAGCCTTATGATCCACAGACAAGGCGGGCCTGGTTCGGCCTGCATTGATACGCCCCGAATACGCTTAGAATACGCCCAATGGGAGTCGCTCACAGAAGAAGCTCCCATACGCTCCCCATACGCCATCCAAATGCAATGCCAAGAGCAATAGCTTCTAAAGATTATTCATAATAAGGATCGATTACACTGAGAGGCTTAGGGCGTGACTCTAGATACCTCGAGTTAGGATCATCAGTTGTCCTCGTTATTTGTCACTTGCTTACATCTGTCGTATGTAGCAAAATTATACGCTTGACCGTTCTGTTCAGCTTCTTGTTATAAATACAGCAGATTGAAACCCAACCAAGGACTAAAAGATGGCCATCGTAGAGCATCACGCAGCTCTCCTCCCTCCTCTATCGCCGGATTACGCAGATGAAGCTATTACTCACTCTATGCGCGATTGCGCAAGCTCTCCAGCCTGCTCTAGCAGCAGACTCGGCCGAGACTTGTGATGCTTTTTGCCAAAGCCTTGCGCAAACGGCTGTCACGTTCGAGCGTTCACAATTTGCTGATCCTGATCGTATTTTTTACAAGGTCCCCTCAAACTTCTCGAGAAATATCGCTCCCGGAACCATCCTCGCCGTCGAGCATGCCACAAATTTGTCCAACTATCTCGTTCCCTCCAGCTTGAGCATGTCGCGAATTATCTACACCTCAACTAACCTCAACGGGACAATCCAGCCCACGTCTGCTTACATTCTTTGGCCGTATATGAAGCCTGCACGCTCTGGATTCTCTGCAGTGGCGTGGGCGCATGGCACATCTGGCAACTTCGCGCCATGTGCACCGTCAAACTACCGCACTTTGCAATATGAGTTCATGGTGCCTTTTGCCCTTGCAATGCAGGGAATTGCTGTGATTGCGCCAGATTACGTCGGACTGGGTATCGGTTCGCTGCCAGATGGAACTCCTATCCCACACGAATACACTGCTTCTCCTGCGCAAGCCAACGATTTGGCAAATGCCGTCATCGCTGCACGATCCGCGTTCCCCGAGAACTTGGCAGCTAATGGTCCTTTCGTTGTTGCTGGCCATTCCCAGGGCGGAGGCGTTTCATGGGCTTATGCTGAGCGCCAGGCCAAGCATCCTATTGCTGGTTACAAAGGCACGCTTTCAATCGCACCCGGCCTCCGCTCAATTACCTGGTTGAAAGCTGCGCTTGCTGAACTCGCCGCGGGCGCGCTCTCGCCTTCATACGCCGTGTTGGTAACCCTTCAGAACAAGCTCGTCGAGGGTGTCACCGCGGTTTATCCTGCATACAACTATAGCGGTTTAACAGCCGCAAGTTATGATGTCTGGAAGAACGGCGTTGAGAAAGTTCAGGGTTGCTTGGCGACCGACTCCTATGTACAGAGCGCTCTACTGCAGAACGGTAATTTGACGATTGATGAGCTTGGCCGTCTGGATTGGCCAGAAGACCCCATCGTTCAAGAGTTCTCGAACAGGACGAATGTTGGAGGCAAAAAGTTCGCAGGGCCTCTTCTGGTACTGGTAGGGGAGATAGACTCAACGATCCCGTCGGAGTTAATCGAGGAAGTGGTTGATGAGACATGCAAGCTTACTGAGAAGTCATATGACAATGAAGATCTGCATTTCATGAGTTTTGGTCAAATGAACCACTTTCCGCTGATTCAAGCAAGTCAGCATGTTTGGATGGACTGGATCAAAGATCGCTTGTCATCTGGGTCGAAGAATAGCAGGAAGCTTTCAAAGCCAAAGTGTAAAAAAACAGTTGTGCCTGGATTCCGGACGAATTCTACTGTGCAATCAATCGCGCCAAACTGGTTAGTCGCTGCCGCCGACCCTTCCAAGGAGTGGGAATACTCGTTTTAGTTTATGAATACCTTAATTACTAGTTTAGATATTGGAATTGGGGGGAGTATTTATGTCATTTGAAGTTTTATTTATTGCCGATTGTTAACAATGATAAACTACTGCAAGATCACTAATATAAGGCAGGTTTTTTAGTTGAATGTACGTGATTCTTTTTTTTTTTTTTTTTTTTTTTTTTTTTTTTTTTTTTTCAATATCCAAGTCCACGTTCAAGTACCAAGTCCAAAGCTGCAGAAAGTCACGCTAGTTCATCCTTGACGGCAAACTTAGACTTCGATCGGATAGCGGCGCCGTATCTGTAAATATAAACGGCATTAGCACCAGTAGCACACCAACAGCCCCGATAAGTGACGCAGCACCGCCCACACCAAGCGCATTAAGCATGTAGTTTGTATACAAGAGAGACGCAACCGCACAAGCAGAACGCAGGACAGTGTTTGCTGCCAGCGCAGAAGCAGCGTATGCTGTGTATGTGTCAACAATGTAGTTAATAAAGACGACAAAGATGAGGACCCAGTGTTCAGAGTTGTACTCTGCCGTCCAGCCAAACCAGAATATTACCACCACAAACAAGACACCGCCCACCATGGCACTGGGCAGTCGATCCTCTGGGACATGAGGCGTCTTCTGGTTATCAAAGCCGCCGCGTCGAACTCGCGTGCTGTGGATGAATAGGGCGATGCCGCCGAGGCAAGCCCCGATCACTACGCCCAGTAATGGCAATTCACCATTACCGGCGTTCCATCCGCGCTTCTGCTGGAACACAAATGGATAGATGCTAAAAAGCATGTAGAGTAGTGTATAAACGATAGAGTAGTAGATGGCGACGAAGAAGCTAATCAGGTCCAATAGTAATCTCCAGAGCCTAGTGAGATCGCGCTTGAAGATGGTAGCCAGCGAGCGATCTACGCTCTAGACAGGTGCCTTGATATCCTCTCTACGAGTTGTCTTCCACAGACGCCGAGCTTTTCCACGCAGGACCATCGCGGGAAGCGTCTCGGGGATGGTATAGAGTAAAAACATTGTGGGGGCAGCCATCCAAATCGACACATAGATCGTCCAGCGCCAGGTTTTGGCCAGTTGCAGGAATCCGCTAATTATTGGGCTCAGTGCAGGGCCGACAAAAGTCATCGCAGCAAAGAGAATCATGGCGTTGCCACGCTGTACGGGATTCCGTACATTAGCGAGGATGCCAGGCGCATTCGTCAGCTCGACACTGGTTGCCGTTCAGTCATGAAGCGACCGACCAGAAGCCCCAAAATGTGAGAGTAAAGGCGCAGAGAAAGCCGAATGCAAAGGAAAGATGATACGACGACCGTAGAACTCTGAAAGGGGGGCCCAGAAGAACGGACCGGCGCAGTAGCCCAGAAGGAAAAGAGTGGTAACTAAGCCGGCCGCTTCCACTGAGACATTGAGGTCGTCACTGATGCCCTGGAAAGCCCCAGAGGGCGCCGAGAAGGCAAAAGTGACATTCATGACGAGGGAAGTGGCAGTGGCAGTAATGTAACATTTCCGAGAGAAAGAATAGTTATACGAGTTGTCGGGATCGCCTGGGCCAAACTTGAGATGATAATCATCGTCAAAGACAAGTTTGTGGGTGTTTAGAACAAACCCCATCCCGGACAGAAAGCAAGTGATACAATAATAGACTCCCAAAGGCGTGATACTTTGCTAGGGAGCTGATGTGTATTATAAAATCCGGAGAAGCTTCAGTGACAGTTCTAGTAGCTTTAAGCCCAGGCTCGAAATCACTTATAGCAACTGAACCAGGAATATATATATATTATAACCCAGCACTTACAGTTGTAATAACTAGCTTTCAGGGTAGAAGGAATAATAGCCAATTGAACTAATTAATCGGGATTTCCTATATATTTCTAGAAGACTTATCAAAAGTATATTACTTAAATATGTACATGGGGCTTAATCTTCACTTCGCTATATACATAATCGTTAAGAAGCCTGTTAATTCTATCCACGTCTAGTCCATTAACAACTTGAAAGGTAGTTGGTAAAAGTTTGCCATCCTGGATCCATCTTGGGAGAATATCCCAGAATAGCTTTGTCAAATCTGGATACTTTGTTGTCATACAAAGAATCTTCTTTCGATCATATCCCGCTGTTTTAGGACCGATCCTAGATTCATCTACCCCACCTGCATGGACAAGGATAGCAAGGGTGCCTCTCTTCGTATTGGAGAGGGCTCTCGCGCCAAGTGTCTGTCCGTCGGGTGTGCGTCCCACGCAGTCAATTGCATAGACAAGACCGTCTCCAACAGTAGCTCTTATCTGCTGTTCAATCTCATCTTCGCTCTGGTTCCGTTCAATCACCACTGTGGCCCCTAGGCTCTTCAAAAGAGCCTCTTTCGATCTCGAGGCCACAGTTATGATGCGGCCAAAGTTAGCGAGGCGTGCAAGCTGGATACCGAATTTGCCAGTTGCGGCGCCTCCACCAATAATAAGGATTGATTCTGACCTATAATCGGATAGACATAGCTCAGGGCCAAACGGCGGATGCAGATCTAGGCCGGTCTGGTGAAATAGGGCGAACACCATAGTCATGGCATTCAATGGGAAGGTGGCTGCCTCATCAGAGCTGATCCCAGGTGGTATCAGAGATGCCTGCCAGACAGGTACAGTGCAGTATTCTTGGGTACCAGTGCTGTCGGGCAATGCGGGATTTCCAAAAGCGAAAACTTCATCGCCGAGTTGAAATTTGGTGACGCCAGAGCCGACCTTGACCACAGTTCCAATAATATCGAGACCGAAAGGTGACGGTAAAGTGTTCTTGACAAACAAGCCAAAGGCTTTGCTTGCACCGTCGTGAGGGTTCACTGTGACAGAAAACTGGTCAGGTCCGCTTCTTAATTAGTTCTTTACAGAATCAGTATATACATCCGACTATTGATACTTTGATGAGTATCTCATCCTGCTTGGGTTCTGGAGTTGGTCTGTCGATTAAAGTCAGCGGCTGTTGAAGAGAGTGAATGACAAGAGCCCTGTGAAATGCCATGTTGTAGAATTTTGTTTGTGTTCTGGAATAGTCATTGGAACACTGATCTACTCTGCTATAGTATAATATTTATATTCAAACTCCGCAAGGTAGTTAAACACTTGTTGTACTTGGTTAACGTCGTTGCTAGATAGCAGTTCTACAGTAGTCAGAATTTAGCTTTTGATAGATTATGGAATATATTGGATTAGTAAGTTCATTTGTAAATTTACTGAAAGTTAACCACTAATCAACTCGAAAGAAAAAAGTACGGGCCGCGGTCAGAACTTCGTGTTCTAGGCATTAATAGTGGGTCTAGCGTAAGTGGATGATAGTTCAGTCAGTAAAATAGTCAAAAGCTGCAGATACAAACTACTACAAATTACTGCACAATAGCAGATAGACCTTGATGTGGGGGTATGAACAATGTCCTGCCCAGGGATGGTGTATGAAGCGGAGCAGTTGAGCTTTATCAAGTTTTTTACCTAACAAATCTCGACATATACCAAAGGTCGATTGCCACCCTATCCGACTAGCTGTATTAATCGAGACATTACCAGCTCCTACAAACTACCTACAATTTATAAAGGGCCGGAACGGAACTAAAGTAGCCGAAATAATTACAATTAATACTATATCAACAAATAATCTTATGCTAAATACAAACTGTAAAAGCAAACCTTCTGCTGATAATATCTTGTTTTAGAAACTTTTTTTTAGATATGCCAAACAGTTGATAACAACTATAGATCCAGTCGTAAGTATTCTCTCAGATCTAGTTTTAAATCTAGTCACAGATCCAGCCAGAGATACAGTCACAAATCTAGCAATAAATGTAGTCATGGATCTATCCACGAAAAAATACCTGAGGAACTGACCACTCAAATGCCATATAAACTGTACTATCGAGACTGTAGCAGATCTATAACCCAATTAAATTGTTAAGCCACCCGGGAAGTTATTACTAACAGCTTTGGATAGCTGTTCAGGAGAGCCACTGGCTTACTGTTTCGCAAGATGTTATCAGTAAGTCCAATCTTTAGCTTAAAGTCAGCATATAAATAAAGAAGTAGCTATTTACACACTTAGTCTAAAACAACAGCAATCGTCTTATCCTCTATTAACAGCTCCGGGCAGAAGAATACTTTATATTAGGGGTTAAAAAAAAGCAGGGAGGGGAGTAGTATAGGTAATAGAGAACTATGGCTTTATGTGAACTTGAGCACTATCCTACGTGAACTTTGACAATACATATAGCATATACAACTCTACTCCTATCCTTTTCCCTCGACAATGTAGAGAAGAGGGGATCCTTTACGCCACTGGTCACACAAGCGGCTTTTATACCGCTTCTTCGGCTCAGTTACTGAATCAGCCCCCAAACGCCCTTTTCGGATATACCCCTGATACAGTACGCCATTGCCTCTTTAGTTCGTCGGGTGTTCTTCTACTTCTAGCTACTGAATATCTATCTCGCTTTCCGCAGGCAGTAACCACATAGCTTAGTGAGATCTGCTAGTAAGTTCATCTTGTTCGAATTATGCGAATTGAACCCCAAAAGGATAGTCTATACTTGGCGGAAAATGTTGCATGTGAAAATCCACCGTGCCGCAGAAGTTAACTCCGACCACCAAAGTCAGAATGTAGTGAGTGACTGTATATCAAACGTCTTATAATATATAATTAATGATGGAAAGGTCGCAATAGATTTCTCAGCAGCAATGACTCAGCAATACCGCGTGCGGTGATCAGCAGAATAAGCCCCCATAGACATATGTGTCGATTACTTAAATTAGCTAATTAATTGATTTACCCATTATCATTCATAAGATGCTATCCTACGGTCTTTCACTTGGGGCATAGATAGATTGAAAACAAAACACCAGAAATCTACTTCTAATTCTTTCCCCTCAGTCTTGAGATTTTAGTTCGGCATTACTCAATATAGCGTATCATGTCGAAGACATAGTCATAGTCGGCGTCACCGGTGCCCATGTACGCACTGCCCTCACGATGTTCGAGCGGCGATATACTGAGTTGATATAGAGCTCATCTGTTGCCTGAACATTCCAAAGCTTCGCGCAATGGCGAGACAGAGGTGTTACACGATACCCAGCCAGTTCTGCCGCTCAAGCCTTGGCTGCAAATGGAATTGTGTTAGTCGAAGCAGACCTCAACAAAAAGCAGTCGCTCTTTCCGGCCTTCGAAGGCACCGCCGTGATCTTTTTGATACGGAATTTCGCCCCTCTTGGCAAATGCGATGGCATCAGGGGACCTGCCACTAGGGCGAAGCCTTTGTCAGGTAGCATTCAATGGCGACGTTGCCGAAGATATCAATACTGCAGAAGCCGCTGCGTCACCAGTAGTTTTGAAAACCTTGGAAAGTTTCATATACTCGTCATCAAGCGATGCCAGAAAGTGGAGCGGCGACAAGTACACCAACGCGTATCATTTCAATTCCAAAGCCGAGACAATCAAAGTCATTCAAAACCGATTTCCAGAGTTGGCGGCGCGAATGAAGACGATACAAATGGGACATTATGTCGAGAATTGGAAAGGCGTTCCTGGTAAGGCTCCACTGAAACAGCCCAATGGGACATCTCTTGTACTCAGGCCGAAGGCTGCTAGCTGTCAACTTCCATTCGTTGTCGTGCGTCGTAACACAGGATCGTTCGCCAAGGCGCTGGTGGATATGCCACGTGGAAAAGATCTCCTGGGCGTGTCACGAACAATGTCCTGGCCGGTGTGGACGGCCGTATCCTTGAGGTAAAGGTCAGTTTCAAAGACATATCAAGTGAGGAATTCTTCAGAAACCTCCCTTCATATTTAGAGCAAGTATTTGCGAGTTCTTATAATTATATTCAAGAGTTTGGATATACTGGTGGGGATCCGAATGTAGTAAAACCCGATTTAGTGAGTTCTGATGTATCTCTTATAGAAGCCATGCTAATATTCTATGGCTCAACATGAAGATACCTTTAACCTCGATGGAGAAATATATTTAGCAGTAAGGACTGGTCATCGATTCTAACCTTCTGAGCTTAATATAGAAATATGATAGGTAGCTTATATAAAGAGCCTGTTATAATCCCGAGGAAATCGATAATGTTTTTATAATCTCTGGGGTGAAGGTTAGATATTTGTATTAGATTCTGGTAGTATATAAACTTTATCTTTATACTTTTGTTCTTTGTTGTATACCTGGAGCTAGCTGACTTCTTAAGTTATTTTCTTGTAATATTATGAATTATTTATGTACCTATAGTGGTTCTATAAAAAAGTGAATATACTAAAAAATTGGGATCAATATAGAATAATTACTTAATGAAATTATAGGTAGGATTATAAGAAAGCCGTACTCTATTATATATAAACAGAGTAGTCTGCAATTTTATAATTATAGTTAAAAGCTCGAGGAAACACAAACTGCATCAAAATTTCGCACAAAGCTCTCATTGGACAATCAGCCGCTATTGGCGACAAGTATAAATCGTAGCGAGCGACATAGTTCCATCGGGGAGTGGCTTACGTGGAAGAGTTAAAGATGCGGTCCTGGCAATAATTGGTTATTTGACATCACTATCAACTATTGCTCTTTATGAAGTCCATCTTGAGTTAGGTAACATGGGTTGAAGCCGAATCTTAGGCTACGAAGAGTACTTAGTTAACAGTAAATAAGCAGTATCAATTTCCAGTCAAACTATTCAAAATCGCCCCGCTTTGAAACCTTTGCTTAATACTCTTCAAACATAGTGGCACTTCTTCCCTCGACACTCTCCAAAAGTTGGCCTCTTCTAATACTTCGTCCGTCATAAGCCACCACCACTTGACCGCGAAATTCTCCTCCACCTCCCATCCCCTCTTGTCCCACGGCGTCTTACCCCATACTCTAACAGCCCCGCCAATGATGTCTGACCAGAGTTCTGGATTGTCGATGATATCGCTAGCATGCAATAGCTTGTCCCTCAGCGATGGAAACGGCAGCACATCGATGTAGGGCAAATGTGGTTTTCTGGATTGCAGTGCCGTTGGCGTTAGGGCTGCAGGTACGGGGGTAGACGCCATAATGTGGATGGCGCGCGAATACGGAGGTTTGCAATTTATATCGAGGATATGAGCGTTGGTTAGCATAGCGTAAAAGATGTTCGTTCCCTGTAGCGTGATCTGTAAACCCGAGAGAGATACAGGGGCTTCATGGCCAAGAGCGTGGCTGGATTCGGAAGGAAGCGTGTTGTTGCTGAGTGTTTGTTAGTTAGGCCTCAAAATTGATATCACGGAGGAAAGTGCAACGGAGTTGTGAGTTCCTGCGGAGTGTCCGCCCAGCTATGCAATAGCGCCTCATCTGTTGATGTCGCCTCGGATACCGCTAGGCTCAGCGGATCAACGATGCCCTTTTTTATCCTTTTCCTATTTTGGAGCAGAATGTTTTCCTGGGCCTCGTCTCTTTGTGTGATACTCGAAAGCACAGTGTCACTGTCGTTTGATATGGCAGCTGCCGTCGTCGTCGTGGCAGCGTCGCTGTTTTGGGTCCGCTTTCTATTCTTCGATCCTATATTCTCGTCAATTCCTAACCTGGTCGACACTTCGCAAGATGGCCAGACTCTCACGATGAGCCCTCTGGGAAAGCCTGTTCTGTACTCGTTTCCTGACTTCAGCGTCTGCGATTCGAGTCCAATCATCGCTCTCCCCCGATGTCATAAACGGTTTCCAGTGGTTTTCCATAGTAGCCAGTGTTATCTTTACGCTCCCTAAATTCTGACCACTTCGACTATGCACTTATATATTACTTTATAACTTAAAGATTTCATATTGCGGGAATCATCTTACAATTTGTCATCAGCCACTAGAATGGGGTCGTACTAACCATCCGATGTCAGGATTTAGCGCCCGAGAATGTCAACTTCTCTTGTTCACATTATTCAGCAACCCGCTCTGCTTCTGATCAATTATTTCACTAGGCGGGGTGTAGCTAAGATGCACGTTCACACGAAAACAAGTCAACAACGATGTTACGAGTCATGAATCACTGGTCAGTCATGGAAAGCAGACTGAACCACTATACAGAGGCCATGAAAGCTTCAAGGCCGCAGCACGGATACTTATATATACCACTGGGGTCATACATCATCAATACACAGACTATCAATGCCAATCTAAATGCTAGAAAAGACAATCGCCATGGCAGTTATACCGAAAATCTTCGTAACCGGTATCACGGGTACGAGAAATCTCTAATATGTGATCTATACGATTGGAAAGATAAAGTAGACTGACTCTCAATGAAGGCTATGTTGGCGGCGATGCCATCTACGCCCTCTTGACAAAGTATCCAAGCTGGGAATCATCCATTAGTGTGCTCATACGCAATGCCGAACGAGGCAAATTGGTTCAGAAGGCATGGCCCGGAATGCGGCTCGTCGTGGGCGGCCTGGACGATGTCGAACTCTTACAATCCGAAGCGCTGCAAGCTGATATCATACTGAACTTTGCCGACTCCGACCACCCGCCAAGCGCCTCTGCATTAGCCCGAGGCGCGCAGCTGCACCCTCCCAACCGGCTGGCATTTATTATTCACACATCGGGAACAGGGATTTTAACGTGGAAGACTGTACAGTCGCGCACATTTGGCGAACTCGAGGATAAAGAGTACGATGACTGGGACGGGATAGAGGAAGTTACATCCCTTCCAGATCATGCGGCCCATCGTAATGTTGATAAAATCTTCTTAGAGGCAGGCGGAGACGACTCCAGCTACGTACGTACGGCCATCGTTTGCCCTCCCACGATCTATGGGGCCGGGCGAGGGCCGGCGAACACTCGCAGCCAGCAACTATATGATCTCACTGCCATGACCCTCAAATTGGGGATCAGTAAGCGTGTTGGCAAGGGCGAGAATCGACAAACCCACATCCATGTGCATGATCTCAGCGACCTCTATGTGTTGCTGATTGAGGCCGCCACGCAGGGTGGCGGTAAAGCCACCTGGGGACCAAAAGGGTACTACTTCAGTAGTCGTGGTCAAGAACATGTAAGCTAGATGCAGTTATCTCTTCTATGTGGAGGTATTTTAATGTTAACCTAACTAGGCCTGGGGAGAAGTTGCCGCTTCAATTGCAAAGGTGGCGCACGAGCTGGGTTATATTGCATCAGATACAGTGAGTGAATTCTCAGCCGAAGAGTCAAATCGATCGGCTGGACACGCGCCAGCCTCGCTTATATTTGGTGGGAACGCACGTGAGAAAAGCATTCGAGCGCGAAAACTGTTGGGCTGGGCGCCGAATCGTGGCTCCCTCTTTGACGAAATTCGCGAGGCGGTTGAATCTGAAGCCTCACGATTGGGGCTTGAACGGAATATCAGCCCTTAATTTACATGCTGAAAGCCTCTCATTGACACGCGTAACTTTCTTTTTGATTTTAATAGATCACTGTATTCGCATATTTTTGGCACCCACTAAGTCATTGATTTCTCGCTTTACACCTACCTATGTACCCTATCTATCTGAAATCAGTGACTAGTAAAAGTTTTCATTGGTGTCATTCTCTTACCACGTATACGGGCATTAAGCACAAGTGCCGCAGTCTTAATGTTCTGGTGGACATCGCTACTATTTCAAAGCAGTAGGTATGGTTCATCTCCTTTTCCCATTAACACTTGCGCTCTCTATTGTTCTGTTACGAGATAACCTGGCGAGCCTCGAGTCGGGGTCCCATCGAATTAGGCTCTGAGGTGAATAGACTCGCCCATGCATTCTCTAATCCAGTACCACTAGCCTGCCTAGGATTATCAGTTCAGTCGAGATCTGGCCGCGCTGACGATGTGATGCTGCGAGTAGCTACTACCGACTCTTTACCTTGTATCAGGCTGAGAAATGCATTTCACGCCGACAAACGGCCATTGTCCCACATGCCGGCTACCCCTTACCAGTAAGCCGAAATAGCCTCTGCTCGAAGGGTTTCTTGCTATGGGTGTACTTAGTTCTACTGGAGCCATATATGTAAACTATAAGGTGTGTGTTTGGATTACATGATTGACTAACCTAGGTGATCGGAAAGTCGAGCCTGTCAGTTTAGGAATGGATTTATCATCCGTGCTCATGCCGTCAACCGTCAGAATGTAGAAACACTATATAACGGAGTACTCTGCAGAATTTTACGCGTGCATTGCTTACAAACCTCCCACGACTACAGTAATCAATCTTATTCCCTATCTTGCTCCGCTACGCCTTCTAAGTCTACTACCCTACCTACACATTGCTCCGTTATTAGCTCCGGGATCCAAACCTTAGCACTATGGCCTACTCGTCTAAAGTGATGAATTCTTGAACCTCTCTAAGTTTAATTACTCTCCTATGCTGGCTATCAGTGCTGATCGCAGCGCCAGTGTGTTCGACATGGTGTTTCCTGGCTTGTCTTGGTGACGACTCACTAGGCCCTGTTTCCTAGGGTGCCTCAATGATTTTGACTTTCCCCCAACTTCGAAGAGATCTTTCTGTCTGCACTTGTGTTCGCTATTTTCATCATCGTGTCTATCTCTGATTATCTTGTTAAGTGAGTAACTAACTATAGTAAAATTTTCTATCTTTATGTTTATAAATTGGTATATTTTCCATATTACACTGTTCCCTCCCATCTTGACGGCCCCCTGACATAATATGCTTAAACCCGTCTACGCTGCTTAAGCAACCTTAGGTCCGCTGCCACTTATTCCTCTCATCCTTAGCACCGGAGCTACGGACTTGGCTAATATCTTCACTATTTCCTCAGCATCGAGTCTGATTGCTCCCCTGTGCATGTGTACTTTGACGCCACTGAAACACTCTCGGTCCCCTCGCTCATCCATACTCCTTTATGGATTCCTATCTTAGTCTATGCTCTTTGACATCGTATAGTCTTAGTTCGTTATGGCCGCCCACTAAAAAATTGATGGAAGCGTGTTTTCCAGGCCTTTCACAATTGCTGTTATCCTGAAAGCTGCCCCGACCGGCCTGGAATCATTTCACCTGGTCGATGGCCACAGTGGGACTGCGAAAAATACAGCCCTGAAGATATCAGCGGTCTGTACGGACTTGGGCCTTCATGTGGCTCAATTATCTCTTCATGATAGACTTTAACAGTCTCTGTACTCACCGATGCTGGTTTGATCGCTCTTATGTCATTTGGGGACTGGCTTGCCAGCATTGTCCGAAAATGTGCAATGCTGGAGACTTCAATAGGTGCGGTGAGTAGACGGGAATCTTTCAGCGAGAACAAGAAACCTGAGGATCTGCTCGGTGAGGATGTCGTATCTCCAGAGCTGTGGCTCGATTAAGTGAGAATCGAAGTAAATGATGTACCAGTTTCCGGCTCTTTGAGCTATGTTAATAGAGGATGATGGCTCTGGTAAATTATTTTACGCATAGAGAATACCGAACCGAGCGACGATTAAAGGTAGCTGCAGGATGGGTTATTAATATTAGGCTCCTTAGCTAATACAGAGGCATGAAAAATGATTATTCCAACCATTCCGGACCCTTTGCAATCTCCACCATACGTTCAGGATCTTCAAATAATTTAACATGAACAACAGCCCACGAGACCACAAGAAAAATCTTAATAATTAAATTAACCAATTGATATTACTATTGTTTGAGAACGCTTGCGGGTATTCTAGAGCTTTTATAGTTTATTAAGCGGCTGCTTCGCTTCCAAGTTCGCCTCGACCTTTGCTTTCAGCTACTTCACAGCCCAGCACGCCCGTTGCTAGATAAGCTCTCTTCTCCTGTCTCAGGTTATAGAGTCCAAGACGGCGTCTAAGAATTATGTTCCAATAGCCATTTGTTCCCTTGGAGATTCGCCCCGTTATTCTTGTCCAAGGTGTAAATAGTCTCAAATTCCACCAGAAAATTCCTTTCAAAATCTTTCAGAGTTTTTTTCGGCTCCCAACCGAGTTCCCGACCCAAGTCAGCCCTAGTTCGAGATCTGTATTATCAATTAGTAGAAGTTCTGGATGCGCATGCTGATATCTTACGTGGAAGCGAAGCCTAACTCTGCGACCTTTTGATTTCCGCCAAGCCATTTAGCAGCAGCATCTTCCAGTTGCAGATGTTGTACTTGTGAGGATTCTAGGATACCCAAGGACACTCCAGCACGACCAATACCGGTAGCGAGTTGACACCATGAATGCTCACCGCTCTCAGCGAAGTATATCCCTCTTGGCCCTGATGTTAGAGGCTGTGTGGTAAGGATCCTATGGATGAATAGTTTGTACAACTCTGTAAGGTCCGAGATGTGAACATGGTTCCAGATGTGGTCTCCATGGCCTATAATCTCAGCACGGCCGCTTTTAATAGCCTGCCGAATCAACAATGGTATCTGAATGGACAATTTGTTAAATAAACCACTTCCCTGTCCATATATCAGTGGAGGCATAATGATATACGTCTTCACTCCGGCCTCTAGGCCCGTTTCTATCACTGTGACATCACTGGTTCGTTGATCGTACTGTGTTATGCTCTCTCGGTATTTTTCATAGGAGAATATGTCTTCTTTATCTGAAAAGACATGGTTTTCAATAAAGATTCCCGTAATAGGATGGTCTCCCAAGTTTGATGTCCCCGAAGTCTATTTTACATTAGTGTGTTGGAAGATTGGCGGCTTCATGGTGAATCGTACATGTATAAAATGAACTTCTTGTCCAGTTTGCTTTTTTCTGTCGCCGAGCCCTTGTATCATTGCCTTGGCAGAGCCTCTGTGGAAGCTCATGGCAATATTGATGATTACTATAGCCCTTAGCGTTATAAAAGCAATAGAGGAGTCAACAGGTAAAACTTCTTACGATCATAGGCGCTTGCAATCTGGCGTATCATTTCTAGATCATCGAGGCCGTTAAACAAGACAGGTATGGCACCGATCTTAGCAAGCACCTTTGCCTGATCTTCACTTCTTACTAGCACTGAAATAGTCATTTCTTTCAGTAGAGGAAGATCCGAGCTTAAGAGGCTCGATAACACAGAGCCACCACTAAGTAGAGAAAGTCAGTAGGACACAGCGGGTGATGCGAAGAGGTGGTTCAGGGTTAAGGATACACACATATAGCCTGATGCCCCGGTTAACAGAATTCGAGGAGTGGTCATAATGGCGGCGGAATGAAATGTAAAACCAAGCATGAGAATAACAACTGCTGACACCGTAGCTACAACGGATCTGCAGGAACACAGCTTAAAGTGTACACATATATCCCCTTTATTTACTTCAAACCGAAGTAGCTTTAAGTCAGTATGTATATTATTGATTAACATACTATTATATATGCATATTAATAATCGGGACAAGTTGCTTATAAAGAAAATTGTGCGAAAAGCTACGGTCAACATTTAGTGCAAGTACGCTTACCAAGAGACTAGATAATATGCACCAGCACTATGGCAATATCTAAAGAGCGCCTTGGTGAAATATGCCTGTACAGAGGGGTAGGAGATTATGTTCCATATGTCACGGGTGAGGGTAAGGCCCTTTTTTGCGAAAACAAATAGCCTTAGATGTTTTATTAATCCACGATTTCACTAATTACATTCTTGTAAAATCAGAGTAAAGATTATATGACAAAGGCGATTGCTGAAATGTTTTCGAAAACAAAACATATTATAGCTGATTCAGTTAGACTAGGTAAGATATGAGTGTCATTATACAGTTCATCTCATCGTCTAGATAGACCCTCCCAACTACTTATCACACAGCAGCCCTCGTACATATAAATACAAAGCTCTTATACAAAGAGCTACCTTAAAACCGTCCTTCACTTGATTGTATAATTCCCCTCTAGACTTTATCTCTATTTACAACAGAATAGTTAACACAATGATCAACACTACATTACCGCCGACAGCCAGATATTTGGAAGGAAAGATTGCGATTGTAACAGGGGCTTCGCGAGGCATCGGTGCAGCCATCTGCGAGATCCTCGCTAGCAAAGGATGCTGGCTTGCCATGAACTACTCATCTCACTCATCCGCAGAGATTACCAACCAGCTCAGCGTGGACCTAGAAGCGAAGTACCACGTCCGCGTCGTACCAGTTCAAGCCGATATTGGGTCGGAAAGTGGGCCAGCTCACTTGATCAGCTCAACCAAGGCTGCATTTCAGAAAATAAAGCAGCCAGGATCGACTTTTCAAATTGACATAGTTGTCAATAATGCGGGTACTGCTGACATTTTGAGTATTGGTGACTGTGACAGCTACAGTTTCGCTACAATGTACAATCTCAACGTTCGTGGTCCAATGCTTTTAGTAAGAGCGGCCCTACCTTACCTGCCACATAATCGAAGCGGAAGGATTGTCAATGTCTCAAGTATGGCAAGTATGGCTGGCTTAGCGGGCCAGACAATATATGGTGGGACTAAAGCTGCCTTGGAGGCCATGACGAGGACGTGGTCGAGAGAATTGGCCGAGAGAGTCACTGTCAATGCTATCAATCCTGGTTAGTCATACATCGAGCATCAAAAGAAGAGCTGCTAATGAGGTTGCCAACAATAGGTCCTGTTGCCACAGAGATGTATAACTCTTTACCAAGGGAGGTCAAAGCTACATTCATACCCTGGAACAAGAACACTCCGCTGGCTGCTATAAGGGAGCATGTTGATGCTCCTGAGTTTATCGAAGGCGCGCCGCTTATTGGAGGACGGCCGGCGTATCTTCATGAAATAGCCGGTGTTGTTGCAATGATTTGTAGCCCAGAAGCAGGTTGGACAACTGGGAGTGTGATTTGTGCAAATGGGGGTATGAGGTTCAGTTATTAAGTCTTAACAAATATTAGCGTCAATTATATTTTAATATACATCCTTGATCTATATTTCCTAGTGTTAATATTAAATCCTATTTCTGCTATTAACTTACTAAGACTATAGTTTATGAAAGGAATTGTTACTGTTAGCAGGTTTATTTCAAGTAATATTACTAGCCTTGTAATAACCTGTCCTACTGTTAAGCTATATAATGCAAAATAACAGGCTAATAACCACTATTAAACAATTGCTATAATAGAACCAGCTGCCTATAAACGATTCGCAGTTACAGTAAACCAGGTCGTAACAGACACTATAGTTACTAACCTCCTATCGTGAATCCTACCCAGGACTAAAGCCGCATTGAAGTGTAGGACATATATTGTGCATACTAGCCGTATCCTCATCAGATATCGCAAGTCTGGCATATATCTGCTCGCTGCTGCGTGAGAATTAGGACTGCCTTGAACATGTTCCTAAAACTCTCCGCAAGACGCTCACCAGCCCGTGATCAGATCCCAGCTACTACTATGGCTTCACCAGGGAGCCCCAGCAACAAAGTCCGGAACGGTAATACAAAGTATCAAAGCCACTCCCAGTGGTATTTTACTTCTAATCCTCGAACTGGGCGAGCAAGGACGACCAGAGCTTGTGATAGCTGCCACAAACATCGCATTAAATGCGGCGAACAGAGACCCTGCCAGAATTGCTCGCGGACTGGGATGAGCTGCATCACTACGCCTCAGTCGCATTACCAATCCTCATCACGGCCCATAAAGATGACGGGTACCGGTGGTTACAGCAAGATATTGCAATGCCAGATGCCAACTCGGGAGACGAAGTCGTTAACCCTCCTCCATTCCTAGTTGCTTTGCCAGAGCCGCCGTCCTTGGACCAAGCGGCAGATTCCAACGTTCCATGAACGACTGGGACGACAACAGTAACCCCAAAAACCCTTGATAATGATGCGACTCCGCAGCTGGTTCCTGAAGTCCAGAAGCTCTTCCACGCCTGCTGGCAATCATCTCTGCCTACTTCTCCTACTTTTCCAGATTCTCTATTTCTGCAACTGCCATCCCCTGAGCTCCCTGGCGACGAATGCTCCATTGATAGGAACCCACCATCAGAAAGGCAGCGCAGCTACTACATTCAGTGTTTTATACACAACTGTCATCTCCTCTTCCCCATAATAGGAGAAAAAACCCTAGCCAAACTCACTACAGCATCGTTATCACCAAGCACCTCTCGTGAAACCTCGATGCCATGATTGCTCTAGGTATCCAACACACTCATCAGACTGGAATAAACCAGCGTGTGCTAGGCTTGCAACAACAGCCTTATGACGCCAGCGATTCATCACTTAGAACTGCCTCCGCAGCTTGGCCCGGCTTCGAATACTTCTGCTCCAGCCGCAACCGCTTGCGGGACGACTCACATCTCTGCTTAGTATAGCTCCAATGCCATGTGCTTCTGATACTCTACTTTATCAACGGCCAAGCATACCGCGATGCTTACAATCTGATTGGCATTACCGTTCGGAAAGCCTACGCCACGAAGTTCCATCGAGTGCCACCTACACATATCTCCGAGCCAGTGAGGCTAGAGCGGATGCATATGTGGTGGATGCTCTTCTATCTCGATTCCAAATGCTCGTTGCAACTTGACATGCCTGCCACTATCTAGAAAGAGCTCAACGTATGTCCTATTCTAGCGGCGGAGGATTTTGCTCGACATATTTTCCCTGGCGCGGATCAGTTGGTCATTTGTGCATACTCGAACCGCTTGATTCATTTGGCGAAAATCATGGCCAGCGCTGCCACTACCCCTTCTAGTGATGGCGATGGCGGCATCTCGTTGAATACTTTGAAGCAGCGTGTACTTCGAGTCCCACCCACCATAAAGACATTAGACTCTTGGCAACAGCAGCTACCCGAGACCCTCACTATTCCAAACCCCTTCAGTAGCTATGTCAAGGCTGAGATCTTAAGTATTGAGAACGAACCAAATCTCCCAAGATGGTTTCAGCGGCAAAAGACTGTATTGGAGCTTGCTTATCACAACGCGTGTACGCTGTCATTGCGAGACTTTCTGTGCCACCCTCTGACCAGCCGAGAAAATGCCCCCGGCGACGGGGATGAAGAGTCAGCGATGATCCTATCGTGTGATTCAGGAATGCATTACTAGCGCTGTCAAGCACTCCGTGAAGATTATTGATCTTGTGTTTAACCTCTGTTCCATGTCCGACGTGTATTACGGCTGGTCAGAGGTATTGAAGCCGCTATGGAATGCAACAATAACACTCATGGCTTCCGTTTGTATCAAGTCATCGCTATCGTGTAGTGGTACTGAGATATTCCAATACTATTACTCGTGCGATCTCTATTTTCAATGTCTTCTCCATGTCTGATTCAACTGCCATGTCTGGCAAGAACCTGCTCGACTTTCTTGCAAGCTCCTTGTAAACGATCATAACTAGGGAGTGTACACTTAACAACAGCACTGTGGTCACTTGGGATAACTTCTTTTCGCCCTTAGAATAGCAGGATTCTAGAATAATAGAAGAGAACATTTTGTTCCTTGATCTATGAGGTTTTTATTATGAGTTTCTAGTTATGTGGCTTTGCCGTTGTAAGCGATATGGTATCTAGTATTTACATCACGTATATTGATGACTTCGCTGTCGATGACTTCGTTGTCGTAGACATGACCCTACACGCCGCGTGCTTGTGTTTGAAGCCAAAAGCGCTATTTACTCTTGAGGCAGTTTGATGGAAGAAGTACGAGATTCCTGCAAATATATTCACTCATATGACTCTTAATGATATAATCACGGTCTAGGTGAGAATTATTCCTTATGTTCTAGAGGCAGAGCGGGAAAATGACCGTAGCTTGGGATTTATGAACGTATCTCGGAAGACACATATCGAGCAATGGGAATCAGCACGTCGCGGAATGCATATAACCACCTATACTGAGAGTAAGCGACTTAGCTGTAATGAAGCGAATGACTGATTCTGGCTTAATGCTTTGCTTCTCAATACTTCTTTCTCTCACCATTAGCCAGCCTTATATCAGTGCCCGGTAGCTACCGCAGTATACTCCTAATATGGAGGGTTCCGCCTTGCTACCTCCTAGTCTTCAATAGGACTGTGTCGCCCCATCTTAGCCTTGGACTCTTCCAAATCACCAGTTACACCGCTGCCTCACTTAGTATGTCCCCTTGTAAGGCCTACAGGTCTCCACGGCTAAATTCTCCCCTGCAATCCTTCAAAGTAGCCGGAAGATCCTGGTCACATTCAGCCATCCATAGGTTGCAACCAGTACTACTTCGCCACCCAAGACCTGGTAACCACCGCACAAGATGCACGAGGCACATGGCACGTTAGGTAGCAGCCAGATTTCCATATCTTGGCTCAGAGTACTGGAGTGAAAAGTGATCAGTCAATCCGGTAACTGGCACGCAAGAGAATACATCTCAAACATGGTGACCTTATACGCCCTGCTCTGCATTTACCTTGATAACTGATTCAAATGCCTATAAGTCAGAAGGGCAAATTAAAAACGCTCGGTCACCAGACTGTATAATCTAGATTGTTCCCAGCTAACTTCCACGATTGTAAGAGCTCACTTTAGGCTGGCGTCGCTCATGGAAAAATGTCTGGTCACTTGGCCTACGCATAGTGTTCTGGGCTAGCCCAATCCCTTAGTAGCGGAGCACCCAAACCGTAAAGATATCGGGTGCAAGAAAGAATGGCCAGCGTCCATTGCTTTGATAACTTTACCCCGTCAGATTGGTACTAGGTCGGCAGCAAGCTAGTATTTAGCCGGCCAAGCAACAGGTTCGTTACATACCGTAGGTAGGCACGGAGGCTGCAGTATGACCCTTGTCCGTATCGCAATTTCCATGAACAACCAACTTGACCGTTATCAACTGCGTGTATAATCAAGCCCTTTTCTCAAAATGGCTTAATATGATTCTGGCGCGAATAATCGAAGCGTGCAGTCCAGCGTATTGAGTACCTTATTGAATAAACTAGCGTGAATTACCCCATGTTCATGAGCTTGCGAGCAGCGGAAGCCGGAACGTTAGCACAATGCGGGGTTGACTCCAAGATTATGAGCTTGTTCCTTCGTGGGTCCGGGGTGGGAGCATAGCTGGGCTCGGTATTGGCTCGCTTCTAGGACAAGCAGCTTGTATCTCGTGGTGTATGTCGACCATTATAGCCCAGGCTGTTGATTGGGTCGCAAGACAAGATAATCTAGGCTGATCAGCTACTAGTCCTAGCCATTGCCGCCTATTGGGTCGGAAATGGTGTGCCTTGTGTTTCTCTCTATGCGGTTGCTGCAAAGTGCCCGTTTCCCCACGCTTACCATTCCTAATTCTTGAAGGGGAGACCCAGCTCGGTGTAACCTAACCCGCATGTTATGCGCTCGGCCCGTCTTCCACCCCTTGCCCGATCTCGTCCAAAACTACAAGTAACGATATACGACAATATAAACAGGATGGTGCCAGCCTCTCCCGACATTGACGTTTCTTCTGTTACTTTTCTCTTCTCTTGTGTTCATCTCTTCCGCTTCGCTTACAGGGCTACTTCTCTAGTATACATGTTATTCATGCCGAAATAACACTAGTGAATGCTTGTTCAATATGAGTGACCCTATCGAACCCAATAAAACGCATGGCGACGCTCCAGAGGTTGAGAAAGAGGTGCAGGTCGAGAAGGAGGTGCAGGTAGAGAATGTCGGCGACAACAACATTGACGAAAAGGTGGACCATACGCTTGATGAGAAGGCGGACTATCAGCTCGATGAAAATGCCAAGGTCGCCGATTATAAGGCGGATGCCATCGAAGCAGAGAATGCAGAACATAATATGACGGTGCTCGAGGCCGTTCGAGCGTATCCCATGGCCTCTTTTTGGGCGTTTATCATGTCTTTCACAATTGTAAGTTTTTGGGCGTCTTGTTGCCGTTGGCTCCTCTGTTACCTTTTAAATCTTGGGACTCCCTTTGAACCACGACTCGCAGTAACATGTACTAACACCAGCATCTCTAGATCATGGAGTCGTACGATGTCTTTCTTTGCAACAACTTCCTCGCCCTCGGTGCTTTCAGGGCAAAGTACGGCGATCCTGTCGATGACAACCCCTTGAACAATGTTGTTGCCACTAGATGGCAATCCGCACTTTCTGTGTCTGGGCAACTCGGTGCGCTTGTTGGCGTCTGCCTCGCTGGCTCTCTCACCAGTTGGTTGGGATACCGCTATGCAACTTTGACTGGCCTGATGCTCTTGAATGTCTTCATCTTCGCCTTTTACTATGCCGAATCAATGCCCGTCATCTTCGCGGCCCAGATTCTCGAGGGCATTCCCTGGGGCATCTTCATTGCCAATGCGCCGGCGTACTGTAGCGAGATCGTGCCTATCCAGCTCCGAGCCCCCTGCACCCAGATGCTGCAAATGTTCTGGGCTATTGGCAGTATTGTTGTTGGTGCTGTGACCTACAGCTATCAGGGAATTAACAGCCCTCTATCCTATAAGTACGGTTGCATAGATCATGTTTACAGACATCCAAATTGCTAACACCAAGGGATTTTGTTCAGGGTCCCAATTGCTCTTCAATGGATGTTCCCCACTCCGCTCGCCATCCTCATATTCTTCGCTCCTGAGTCTCCCTGGTGGCTGGTTCGAAAGGGACGCCTGCAAGAGGCAGAGCACGCCGTAGGGCGTCTTGGCCGGAGATCCAGACTCAACACTGGCGAGACCGTAGCCATGATGCGCCGTGTCGTTGAGCTTGAGGCCACCTCTAAGCCGCCCAGCTACATCGAGCTATTCAAGGGCAGGGATCTTTATCGTACTCTTATTGTGTGTGGTGTTTACGCGTCCCAGAACCTCACGGGCAACCTCATCGCCAACCAGGCCGTTTACTTTTTTGAGCGTGAGTCAGCATGACCCTCATAACAACATCATAGATTTTGTGCTAACCCACGCGCAGAGGCGGGCATGAGTAACAAAACTGCCTTTGCCCTGGGCCTCATCACCTCGGCCTTGCAGATGATTTTTGTTATGCTTTCTTGGATCCTCACCACATATCTTGGCCGACGTACTATCTATCTCTGGGGATCGGCTATCAATATCATCTTTCTCATCGCCCTCGGTGTCGCAGGGTCGGTCGGGAAGAGCAATGCGAGCTCTCTGGCTCAGGCCTCTTTGGGACTTATCATTTCGGTGCTCTTTACCTTGGGACCTGCCCCCGCGTCATGGGTCATTATTGGTGAAACATCGGCCATCCGTCTTAGGCCACTAACTACTGGAGTGGGCCGCGCCTCATACTACATCATAGAATTTCCCTGCATCTTTTTGGCAAGCTGGATGCTCAACCCCGAGGTGGGACTCCCTCTCAATCTTTGTTCGCTCAATTACTGACCTAATGTGCTACAGGGCGGAAATCTCGCTGGTAGATGTGGCTATGTTTGGGCTGCCACGGGTTTGGTCTGCTATGTTGTGGCATACTTCTTCTTGCCTGAGATGAAGAATCGATCCTACCGTGAGATTGATATCCTGTTCAAGCGAAAAGTTCCAGCTCGGAAGTGGACAAAGACTGTGATCGATGTCGATGACGATGAGTAAATGGGAAAGTAATGTGTTAGGTTTAACGTTAGCCTGTAAGAAATAAAGCATCCAATGCACTTGCAATTACCTATGTTTTGAGCTGATAGAGACACCTTCGGCTTTGTTTCCAATCTCAACCAGCTTTGCGGTCTCATTTCCCAGTTGCTAAGGCATCTAATACAACTGACACGTTATACTATAGAAAGCACCGAGAAGACCGATCTACTGCACTCAGGTATCTGCATGTTGACAAGCACCCATTCAAATACCGGATAGATAGGTCATCCTCAAAGACAACGTGATAGGTTGTGTGTACTTTTATTGTATTTACTTCAGTCTTGCCAACCAGCACTCGTCTTCCGCTGGCTCTTTTGCTAGCTGCCTCATGCGTTGAAAACTCTCATCTCCAAAGCCGTAATCTAACAGCCCCAACTCTATTGCTCGTTGTGCATAACGAATTGTTTCCCAATATAATCCTTGTGTGCAGCTCATCAACGCTGCATACCAATAAGCCGAACTTGCTGGAGCGTGTAAGCGCTCTTGCTCGTAAAGGCTGATGAGCGTTTGTGCCATTTGCAGTGGTGCCGTTTCCCAGTCTTCCAGACGGTCGTTTATTGTTGTAATCTGGTCAAGGCGTTCGTCAGATGCGTGCGCTAACTCGGAGTGAAGGCTACACAAGCTGCAGGAGCAGTTGAATCCCCAGAGGGAAGATAATCTCTTGAGACGCCTTTGGCGTGTCATGTGAGGATCAATATATGTGATGGTAATCTCGGTGCCCGGAGTAATATCTGTAATAGCGTGCACGTAGTGTGTAAGAGTTTGCTTATCGAAAAAATAGGCTGCATTGGGGCGGCAATCGTGGTTGAGACGCTGCTAATTGTCAGCACAGGCATTGCTTCCGCTTGATTTTACAATCGCGTTGATTGTGCACTCACAGCTGTTTCGGGAAATACAGCGTAATATGTGACTTCATTCAGCTCAAGTACAAAAGCATTAGTGTCAATCCGGTCGCTCACTGGATCCGTCACTGGGCGGCCATATAGTGCCGAAAATAGCGTTCTTGATTTCAGTGGAAGGTTGTTGACAGCAGCATGTTCTAGTTCCAGCCACTCTTCCTTTTCTAAATCGCCAAAACTCTCTCCATCCAGCATCAAGATGGGAGTATGGGCAAATATCCTATCGCCGCGATGCAGCGTCTTATTTGCAATGAGGCCACGCCCTCTTCCGGGAAGCTCCCTTTCTTCAAACACTGGCGACAGTTGCTCATTGATGCCTAATAATGCATCGGCATCGGCAAATGCTGGTAATTGCTGTAGACTCTCCATGCGATCGGGTGTTGTCAAGATGGATATACCTCTGCCGCCTGCAAAGCTGCTGGACGAAAAGGCACAAAATGTTTCGGTGTTATTGCGACAGTCACTTTGTGATGTCCGTGGAGATGATGAATTTGCCACAAATACAGGATCGAAGTTATACTGATCAGAGGACCTGCACATCTCTAACCGACTTTGAAGCAGAGACGGATAGCAAACGTCTCCGGAAGTGATGTGGTGCCGTAGGGCTAGGGCCACGGTTGTGAAAGTAAACAATTCCGGAAGCATAATCAACTTCGTTATTGATCTTAGATGTTTCTCGCGGAAGAAAAAAAGAGAAAGAGTTCAGCCCGCCTACCAGCTTTTAGAGCGGCGCCGTCCATATGCCAGTCACCATCAGTGGCCATATAACCCGACAACCAGAGCTCTTGGCAACAAATGTTTGTTTACCAGGCAGGCTAGCTAGTTGCGACGAGGCAGTGAAACGTTAGTCATACAGCGACGTCTGAGGTCCAATCCAGGCGCCGCGTGTGCTTTCTCGAAAGACCCTAATCTGGCCTGTTAGATGCAAATCACAAGTAATTTTACGCGGACATGTGTCATTTTTTATTAACGTTATTAATAAGAATAAACTAAATTTAGACTCCAATCAATAACATATTACTGATACCTTGAACGAAAGCACAATGTCGTTGATGTGTCCAGAGTTGCCTGGGCGGCTCCACTCCAAGTGGCCAGCTGTTTGTTTTCGCCGCAGATTTAGAAACAGCCCAAGTATCATGGAATTGGATCTGTTGGCCGCAAAGCTTAATATCTGATGAACAATCCTGGGAACGCTGCTACTTGTATGCTTATTTCGCCTTGGTTATCTTATTCATTGATTAGGTAGATTGCGCAACCCTGCAAAAACTGAGATTAGTTGAATCTAAATTTTGAACCTTTTTCTAACCACTAGCTTCACGTTAGGCGATTTTTACTAGGGAAACGTGTTATCGACAAAATATTATTCGCTACCTGTAAGTGTCGCCGCTGTGGTGCTACAGGCAATGTCTCGGGTACGAGACCCAGCATCTCTGAATGGGCCAGCGATGGAAAAGAGCCGAGACAAATTCAAGAAACATGACTTACCGCCGTCGGACTTTGACGCGAGCTTTTTCTCTGATTGTAGATATTGTAGGGGAAGATTTGATTATGTGCCTCGAACGTGGCATTACAAATGCCAATGCTGCGTACCGTCGCCTGATTCTACCGGTTACATGCGTGGTTACCCCGTAATAAGCACGCGAGTAACCCTGCGCCTGCCAGATGCGGTGAGATTACTGAATGAATGAACATGAACTCCCAACCAGCTTCTTGTTGCGGGGTTGCTCTAAGAGACGTTTGGTGACTGTGTACTGTAAAGATGCACTGCCTGCAAGCTTTTCCATGTTATGCCTCCTTCAGGCAATAGCCGACCTCATTCACTCGTCTTGTAAGACTTGAACTATGCACTGCAGGACCTTTCGTTGCACGCTAAGATGATCTGAGTCACTGGGTGATCTGTGCTTCGCGTGTGCAGGTGGAAACACCTCGTCATCGCAACCTAACCAAGACCACGTTGTGTATTTGATCCGCTTAACTGCAGCTCTGAGCACATGCCCAGTTCCTCTTTGCAGTCGCTGTTTCACCGATATAATAAACAACTAGTCTGAGATTCAAGGACTTCTTTGATCATACTTGAATCGACATTGCCATTCTGCCTCTAGCACAGAAACATCGCCCAACGCTCTCCTCACAGAAACAAAATGAAGGCCTCCATCGCTCTCCTAGCGGCCACTTACGCCAGCAGCGCCCTAGCAACATCACTGGGTGGCACCGATCCTGAAAAAGATGCACGCGAGATTGTTATTGGAGAGTTTGAGCGCACAGGAGCTTTTGCAGTGAATACTCAAGCTCATCCAAATCTTGATGTTAACCAAGATGATGAGATAATCATTCCGGACTCAGAACAAGGAAAGGGCAAGGGCGATGGAAAAGGAAAAGATGATGGAAAAGGAAAAGGAAAGGGCAAGGATGACGGCAAAGGCAAAGATGATGGAAAAGGAAAAGGCAAAGGCAAAGACGACGGCAAAGGCAAGGACGATGGCAAGGGAAAGGGAAAAGGCAAAGACGACGGTAAAGGTAAAGATGATGGCAAAGGAAAAGGCAAAGATGATGGTAAGGGAAAAGGAAAAGGAAAAGATGATGGTAAAGGCAAGGGGAAAGGCAAAGATGACGGCAAAGGTAAAGACGACGGCAAGGGAAAGGGAAAAGGAAAAGATGGTGGAAAAGGCAAGGACGACGGCAAGGGGAAGGGAAAAGGTAAAGATGGTGGCAAGGGCAAAGAAAGCAGCATTTAATCTAATATAATGTTCTAGTATTTCTAGTTACCTAAAGTATCTGGTCAGTCGTACACAAGCTAGTACCATGACAAAAAGAAATTTAGTTGGATACTTTATATTCACTCTTTCTCTGGTTTTATAGCATTGGCTCCGTGAATCTTTTTCTTAGACATTGAGGTATTGTCCCTCTCAGTCGATTAAGCTACTAAGCTGTTGAGGCAGACCTTAATAAGAGAACTTTGTGCCTTCTTGACGCTTTTCATATTAGAGAGCTCATGCATAAATTAACGATTATTGTAACACAGTTTGTGTAGACGGTGATAGGGGTGACATCAACAAAAAGCAAAGCACTTGCAGTTATTCTTCTTACCTATAATAACCCTACATTGGCTATTATATCAAGTGCAGCACCTTATAGCCTTGAAGCTCCGGGAAGGGTCTCTTTCAGCTAGGTACATAGCTCAAGGCCTTAAAAGAATTGCATAGCAAGTATACTCAACCTTTAGGATGCAGAGGGCATTATTTAATGAGGGCTCCGCTTCATTGTATCCTTTAGGCTTGGTTGGTAGTGACCCCAAAAGTATAAACATCCTCTTTTCACCTGACACCATCAGCCCCGCAAACGATTGCCATTGGTTATTCCCTTGAATTGACGGGATTGAGAGCAGTCAGGTCCGACGCAATGTTGTATAAAGGTTTCAAAAGCACAGCTCTCGCAACTACTCAACATCCAACAAATCGTGGGTGGTGTAAGCTGTTGCATTGTTCAACCCGGCGACTACACGACCAAAGATTGTATCTCACTATACTATGCCAAATTTGAGATTTTGATAGATTAAACATACAAATTCTCTGGTGCATTCCACATAACTTTGTATGCTCAACAAGCTTTCACATGATACCTCTATAGATGACCTTTTCCACCTAAATCTCTCAAGGAGTTAAAATTCGTGGTCTAGCAGTCTCGTTATCCTGCGGTGTAAATATGGTGCATAGTGGCTGATTCAGATCTCTCCAATTTAACCTGCAAGAAACCGCATCTTAAGAGATCACGTTTCCACAGGAATGCAGCTTACGGATCTTAGAAGCGGACAGTAATAGTCGATCTACGCATGATATCATTAAAAACCCACTCTCTCCCAGTTCCAAACCCCATCCAAAATGCCGAGATCCATTTCTAAAAAATCAGGATCATCTACCGCTAGGGTGTTTTCTACAAATTGCAGTCCCTCGTCCGACTCACTGTGTAGTTGATTACTCGACTCGTTGATTGAATGAAAGACATCGTCGCTTGGTTCAAGGCTGTGATTTAGAGACTCTGTGGTGATATCGGTTTTGCCAACGCTCTCTAGCTCTTCCAGTAACGCTTTCTCCAATGGAAATAAGTTGGCACGATTTTTGAGTGCAGAGAGAATGCTCCATGTGAAATCACCCATCTTTGTGAAACCACGCAGCCGTTGAGATATATGTAACGCCTGTCCAATAGCGTAGATGACTTCTGATCGTCGAGGGATCATTGTACCATCAGCATCGTGTATCAGCAAAGAGCATAATAGTGCTGCATTATCGAAAGGACAGAACGCGACCATATAGTATTTTGCTTTCTGTGGAAAGCAAAAGTCAAACGTGTCTTTGCTCACAGACATGGCTTTAAGACTAAGGTCGACGACCTGCTGTATTAACAATGTAGTTTCAGAATCAAGCCCAGTTCCGACATGAGTTGTCGTTGAGAAGAGTTGGAATGAAGTCAGAATGGACCGTGCAAACATTAATTGTGTCATGTAGCCTACACAGTGAAGCTGTAGACGCTGGAATGGAATATGTGGATAGTCGTCATCCCAACGCTTGTCTGGGTTAATAATGTTGAAAACTGATGGCAGAGACAACATCCAGTTTTCCACAAAGGCGATTTTGGATTGGAGATTCGATCTGTCAACACGGTCACCTTCTCCAAGCTCTTTCGCAAGTTGACACTCCAATGTCTTGGCAACAATGTATGATGGAACGTCTGGATCAGCTCCAGCCTGGTCTAGGCCGGGATTGGGAAGCGGCACAGAGATTTCTGATTGTATTATCGGAGGACGATTAAAGCTTCCAGTCATATATCTTGAAGACGATTGTTAGCTATGACACATGGAGTAGCGGCTAGGGAATCAAGTGGCCGGTCTCAGCCAGCAACTAACCTATCCCAGGTATACAGGGCACACCATAGCCTTCGCCGGATCTCCAGATCGAATTCGTTCAATTCATCAGAAAATGCGTCCGTATGGATTCCTTGATGCAGTCAAGGTCAGTAAATTGGTGTCCATATAGTCATTCGTAGAACTTTACCGATTTCTTGAGCTTGCCTGACGGCAGCACCAAGCTCATGCCATGACCTGACAAAGTCGGCCTGTCCCTTATGCCATGTGGCAGCAAGGAACAGCTGCTGCGCATTCAGAAGGCCACCGGTTCCTGGAGACAAAAAAGAACTAATAGTCTGAGCAGCATCGTGGTAAGCTTTGCTCAGATTTTGGATGGAGTCTCCCAGATCCAATTCAAGCTGCGACGAAGCCTGTGGCGACAGGAATTGCGTGGAGTTGGCACAAATGCGAAGTATCAGGCAAGTAAGTGCCAAGGCCAACGGGTTGCGTAAGCTTTGGGCATCGCGGCGTTGAGACCACCATTCGACGTAGACCGCCATGAAAGAGGGCTGATGCAAGATTCCATAGTGGTAGTTGACGTTATCGAAGAAGTTTTTCAAAAGCATATCCGTATACGGCCGTGGTGAGACAGCACGAGAGGCTTGGACAATTGGCTCTGGAAGAGGCTCGGTAGACTCCACGTATTGGGTCTCCTGTGTATTGAGCTGAATCAGTAAAGACACTCTACATAAACACTGCTAGAGTCCCAGCAAAATAGCCCACCATGATGCTTCCAAACAGTGTATCATTTTTCGCGAACATGTAGCCTAGCATATGTACCGCAGATGCTGAGCTGGTACTGTTCGAGGCATCGTCTTGCGACTCAGAGACCGAGGTGGAGGAAGCAATCGAGGGTGTCTCCTTCGGCGCCCTTGTTTGCGTCTCATTTAGCCCGAGTCTATCGAGTGGGATAGAATGAATACGCCGGTAGTTGCAGACTCTTTTCAATCACTTACCGCTGATGCTTTCGAGTCGCCTGCGAGAATTGGCACATGTGAGCCACCTTTCGGCTCTTGCAGTGGTTGCATGGCCACTGGCGGTCACACTTCTTCTTCATCTTCCGGCACTCGAGGCACGCTGTGACCGTGCGGCCTCGGCAACGTTTGCTCGAATTTCTCTTTTCCAGCTCCATTATGGATTGTGTCACGATGCCGTATATCCAAGCTATTGATACAAGGCCCAAGTTTGTTTCCCACAACTACGTGTCCCTCGGCCGCTATATAGCGGGAAATTTGATGATTATCGGCTTTGGTTAATTGCGCTGGGCAAGCTCGAGTCTAGCGCCAAATTGCTGACCGATACTCCGCGCAGCAGCGGGATTCACCAGCATCGTCGGAAAAGCAGTAAAGAAAAATGTTGGATATCGCTGCTCAGATGTATTTAAAGAGGATTATGGTAGTTACTGAGACAAAATAGAATTCACTTTGATTGCATCGAATAAAGAACCTCAAGCACATATTCCAACCTTCCGAACACTATCTCACCTCATCCTTGATCTCTCTTACAACGTACCGTCGGGCGTCCAAAAGATCCACATCTAAACAAATTAAATAAACATCAATCCATCATCATGGCACCTCTTGTGTGGTTTATTACTGGCGCAAACGCCGGATTCGGCCTTCTTCTCGCAAACTTAGCCTTGTCCAAGGGCGATACAGTTGTCGCAACTGCCAGGAGCCTCTCGAAATTTCCCAAATCTCTTGTGGAGAACCCCAAGGCCCAATTGGTCGAAACAGAGATCACTGCAGCAGCTACTAGTATAACCGAGCTTGTCGATGCGGCTGCTGCCAAACATGGCCGTATTGATGTTCTGGTTAACAACGCAGGATATGGTCACATTGGCGCCGTCGAAGAAGTATCAGATGAACAAGCTCGGTACCAATTCGACGTAAACTTTTTTGGGTTGCTCAATTTCACGAGAGCAATTATCCCACACATGAGAAAGCAGGCGTCTGGCGTCATTGTGCAGCTTTCTAGTGGCGCGGGCGTTCTCGGCGCTCATGGTGGTCCGATTTACAGTGCTTCCAAGTTCGCTGTTGAAGGACTGAGTGAGGCTATGGCCAACGAACTTAAACCATTTGGCATCCGCGTTCACATCATCGAGCCTGGCATTTTCCGAACCGACTTCTTGAAGCCCATCTCCACCGGTCAGAATGTGGGCCGCCATTTGGAAGGATATGTGAATATGGAAGAGATCCTTGGTGGTTTGCATGGAAAGCAGCCAGGCAATGCAGAACTTGGTATCCAGCGCGTATATGAGATTGTCACCGGAACGGGCTTGGCCGCTGGGTTGGAAGATCAACTCCGTTTTCCCTTGGGGTCGGACTGCCACGCGATGCTTGAAACGAAACTGAAGATGCTGAACGAGACTGCCGAAAAAGTAAAGCACGTTACTTTAAGTACTGATTACTAGATGTTTTAGATGCATATTTGAATAGATGGTATAACTCACGTTATTCCAAAGAAATCGCCGACGTAAAACTTCTTTGACTTTCGTCATGAACATGTGGCGCTCAAGACTGGGCCCTACACCAGATCTACAAAGTGGGATGCGCAGACTGAATACTGACTAGCCAAGCCATCATCAGCTCTTAGCAGTGTGGTAGCAATGCTGTTAAACGTGCGACAATTGGACAAGATAGAGAGCATTAGTTTGAATTATAACGACGAAGTCTGTCCTACTGATGCCAGCTGAATCGCAATCTCTCGCAGCTTAGTCTCCAGGAGTATGTGAGCTCCACTGGTCGGCACCTTGCCAGCATGCATTGTCCCAACATTGGATAGCACCGATAACACGCAATCGCCATCATCCTTCCACCATAGAGCTCCCGTAAAGCCCAAGACACCGCCAAAGTGGCCCAGCCAGGCGTTTTCCTCAGAATCTTTCATTTTGAAGAGGCAATGGCCCATTTCGGAGGCCGCATTTGTAGTTGGCCGCCACATCTTCATTGTTGCCAAGGACTCGCTATTGAGAAGTCTCCCATCGCGAAGAGCGGTCGCGAATTGAACGAGATCAGAGGGTGACGAAAGCATGCCACCAGCTACCCATTCAACTGATAAGTTGGAAGCAGTGCAGTCTATAAGCCTGCCGTCATCAACCTCTGGCAAGGCAGGGTTCATGCCTGCTGTGTCGCGATACGATTCTGTAGCAAACTGGTATCGTCGTGGTATGTCGCCCTTGTTCTTGGATTCGTAACCCTCCAAAAAAGTATGCTCCATGGCAAGTGGCTCTAGAATTCTCCTTCGAATCTCCGCCTCTGCGGTGTTTTGTGTGATCTTCTCGATTATGAAACCCAGAAGCTCGTAGTTGGCATTAGAATAGTAGTAGTTGCCCCGTTCTGGAGCTGTCAGCCTCGGACGCCGAAGATAATCTAGAGGTTCGCTTTTGCTCCAGTTGTGAGCAGGTTCTAGTTCGCTGCCACGACTAGCCTTGATGCATTTAGGGTCATCTTCCCAGTTATCAATGCCAGTTCGGTGGGTAAGAAGGAGTGTGATAGTTGCTTCAGCGGCGTTGTCGATATTCTTGTATATTTCAGGATCTAGAAGCTGACCGACAGTATCTGATAGCTGGAGTTTGCCTTCTTCTATAAGCTGAAAAATAACAACAGCAGTAAATAATTTTGTAATACTGCCAATTCCAAAGATGTGCGACAGCTCGATTGGTTGTTGGTTGTGCAAATCCGCCATACCAGCTGTGAAAGTCCACAGCCCGCGTGCTGATCCTATTGCGGCAGAGATACCAGTTACACCGGCAATGATTGCTTGCTCAAATATTGCATTGATCTTGGCAATGCAGTCTGTTTCAGTCATACTATCGGAAGCCATTGAGATCGTGTTGCTTGACTTTGGTAGCCGTAACGTCTTGTTTGAGCGTGTTGAGAGACGGGTTTTGACCAATTGGTAAATGGAATGCTATGCACCCGGTGAAGAAGGTCCCGCGACAATAACAGCAGTGAAATAATCTTCTTATGATTACGGTCTGTTATGTGGTATATATGCAACCCAAGATATAAGAGCGATTTGAAGGAGGGGTAGAGAGAGAGATTTCTGTACTTAACTTAACGCCTGTTGATTTAGCTGTTCACCTAATGCAGCCTCGCCGAGCAAGACAAGTAAGTATCCACTTCGCTCCTCTGTGCCGCTCTAGATATTGGCTAGACGGGCCAATTACGAACATAGTTGCAACGTTTCCGTGGTGGATTTATGAGAAAATAATCATTTATAGCGCTGAAGAAAAAAAAAGACCAAAGAACTGAAGTAAACTGAGAATTTGGATTAGATAATCTAAGGTCTATATTCTGTATCTCTTTCATTTTTAGAAGGCGCCGGTAGCAAGAGGGCGCCTGTAACAAGAGGGCGCCGGTAGCGAAAGAAATTGATTAGTATTTTGAAGAGTAAAAGTCAACAACACAATATTTAGTCCTTCTTTTCTGTGCAAAACTGGGATATGAATTACTCAAGAGGTTCCTCAAGAGATTCCATGCCGGTTAGAAAATAGCTAGGATTATGTGTAACATCCACTTATATCTCAATCTGTAGCGTTTCATGTGACCCTTCCCTTTAGTTTTGGTAACAAGATACAAAGTATTTACCTACTTATATTGGTAGTCATTAACTTAGTATTTAATTCAATGGGCTGTGAATCGTCTCATATGGCACGTTACATTCAAGCAGTAGACGTCGTGAATTTTTATGTCCATCACCCCCTTCTTTTCAGCAGGTACTGCGATATTATATGTATCTAGCAAAGCCTTTACGCGTTTCAAACTTACTAATCCACGGCATAACTCGTATTGTCTCCAATAACTCAGTGCATGACTTCAGCTTCAGCTCCTTTGTCACATCTATTATCATTATATTGATCTCAGGCGAGATACTTGTATCAGGATATACAACTGTACACAGCAATACAAGCCACAGTTGCAGTACAGAAGGCCTCGAAGATGTGTGCGAAGATACTGTAATGCCTTGGCGTAAGAACTAAAAACCTTCGAAACATATGGTGTAGATGGTGCAGGGCATCCCTGGGACTGCTGCTTGAGGATGATTATGAAAGAGTGATACTAAGTCGACAGGCCGTAGAGATTGGTAGGTGTTGCTTTCCCAGGATCCTGTTCAGGCATTGAAAGGAGACCATGTGCTACTGGGTTAATTAGATAACCTAAGAAGACCGCATCGTACCATGCAGCATCCCCTCTTATAAATAGTTCGGATTCTATAGCCTTGTAACTCTGCGTTGTGGAAGCGGGATATGAGTCGGAGTTCTTGTTGTCCTAAAAGCAAGCCATGGAATTAATAATGTTGCAATTTTTTGGGCAAATGGATGCCGCATTGAGTGAATTCCCTCGAATCTCATTTGACATGCCCATTCCCAAAACACCGAGATCAAAGTATACGCGTACCCACAATTGGAGATGTGATTTGGCTTGTCCACGCTATGACTGTGTTGAGCCACCATCGAGACTTAAGAACAGGTCATCATAGAATTTGTCTCTAAGTGAGAAAACTTTCTCCCATTCTCTGATGGGTCTCCTTTTACAATTTGTCATCCCGATCTTCATTTCGCGTTTTGATAGTTCGAAAGTGTTCTCAGCTCGCATATAAAAGTCGGAGCTGCTCCTGCTCTATGTATTCCTGACATCAACATCGTCTACACCAGCTTTGACCTTGACTATTGCATCCAAGTCGCGCTCATTATCGTCATAACTCTCTACTGCAAATAATCCTTAGTCTCCAACTCAAGTCCAGGACGACCGAATTCGTACACTGGTTACATAACGAGACCATCATGGCCGTCGACACCGCCTCCAGTGCCGCATTTGAGTCTTTGGCTGAACCCAAAAATGACAACGATGTTGAGGTAAGCCCAGATACGAAGAAGATCGCTTCGATCAACGACGATAATATGGTGGATATTGGGGCCGCAGCGAACAAAAAGGAGAGCCATTTATCCGGGTTCAAATGGTTTCTCGTCTGTGCTTGCGTTTATGTCTCGGATTTTGTCTATGGCCTCGACACCACCATCGCGGCCGACATCCAAGGCGCGGTTACTCAAACCTTCGGAACTGTCAATCAACTTGCTTGGCTCGGCGCAGGATTTTCTCTCGGTTCCACTGCCGCCATTCTCCCTCGCGGTGCCTTATTCAACTCATTCGATCAAAAGTGGTTATATATCGCCGGCGTGCTGCTCTTTGAAGTGGGCTCTGCATTGTGTGGCGCCGCGCCAAATATGAATGCTCTCATTGTTGTTCGTGTTATTGCTGGCGCGGGAGGAACAGGCATATACCTCGAAACTCTCAACTTCTTCTCGTCTCACTTGATATCGCCGGAGCGACGTGGAGCTTACATCTCCGGCATCTCAATCGTCTGGGGCCTCGGCGCTGTACTTGGTCCTGCCATTAGCGGCGCTTTTAGTACCAGCAAAGCAACTTGAAGATGGGGCTTTTATATCAATTTAGTCCTGGGTGCAGTCGCTGCCGCCATTTGGCTATTTCTGCTGCCATCTATACATCCCTCTAACGGAATCTCCATCAAGGAGCGCCTGCTTAGGCTGGATTTTTTCGGCTTCATAGTGAGCGCCGGTGCTTAGACTACCTTCGCAGTTGTCTTCATTGCTGCTGGCAATAGCTGGGAATGGCAGGATAAGCGTACGATTGCACTTCTGGTGGTCTGCGGCGTCCTAACCCTAGCATATATCTTGCAACAGTATTTTTGCTTTCTAACGACGCCTACGACGCGATCGTTTCCTGGTCACTTGCTGTGCTACAGATCTCATATTCTTCTGAGCGCAAGCACCGCATGTGCTATCTCTAGCCTCTATGTCCCGGTGTATTACATTCCCGTCTACTTCCAGTTCGTGGAGTCCGATTCGCCGTTGAAAGCTGCTGTCCGAATTCTACCGCTTTTTCTCGTTGTCGTTGCTGTCAGCTTTTCGAATGGCAGCCTTCTTGCGAAAGTCAAATTCTATAAGCCACACCATCTTGTCTCTGGCGTTTTGATCACTCTAGGCAGTGCGCTGTTTTACGTCTATATCGGTCCATCCACGTCACCGGGTGTTATTTACGGCATTAGCGTTGTGATTGCCCTAGGAACTAGACTTACTTGGCAAATTGGGTACACCATTGCTACTCTCAAGGTATCTATCGCCTGAAGATATTGGGCATGCTATCAGCCTCCAAAACTTGGCCCAAATCGGTGGAACTACGATCGTTTTGGTCATTGAAGGACAAGTTTTCCAAACTGCTGCCATCTCTAATTTGAGCAAAGCTCTCAGCGGTCAGAGATACAGTGGTGCAGAAGTTCATGACGCTGTGGCAGGAGCACAGAGCGCCTTACTAAGTGGACTGGAAGGTGAATTGAGGGACCGTGCCTTGCTCCCTATCACAGACGCCATCAGAACCAGCTTCATTCCAGTTATCACGGCTGGAGCGCTAATTTTAGTCGCGGGCGCATTCATGAAGATGGAAAAGCTGTTCAATTAAGATTGTCGACCCTGTGTCCGGATTTCAGCAAATAGAGTCCAACATGGACAGCGATATCTCTATATGTATAATTTAGTTTGCATAACTTGAGATTTATAGCCAAATTAGAATGTCAGTTATTAATACTTTTTACCATAATAGCCCTTGAGAAGAGCATTATCAGCCTGACGACATTCCTCATATGCTGCAATGCGTTATCAAAAGACTGAGGTGTCAGCTGCTACTCATATACACTTACAAATATGGTGCGCGGCTCTCAAGCTATAGCATTTTGATATACTTTTTAGGGTAGCAATGAAACAATATCACAATGTAGCACGGTGTCATCCCACAATGCATTCGAAATTCCGGCGATATGGCTTGTGGGGTAGAACTTATGTATCCTTCAAGACAGACATTATATCGGCGTGAAAAAGAAAGACGAGAGACAGACACAACCTCATTCCCAGATATATAAAGGAGATTCGTTCTGGACATTAATGACTACGCGACTGGAGGTAGGCCGGTAGAGATATCTTTGTCGTACATGTAGCATAGCCAGAACAGCCTGCGGTGGTAATCTCTAGCGGGCATATTTCTGCCGCCTGGAGCATCTTAGGCATAATGGGTATCCAAGTGTGCGCTAAGTATCATAACACGACGGCACGCAATCGAGTGATACAGGGCAGCATCTTCTGTGTTCCCAGATAGGAGGCTGTGCATGCACTCATAATCCTCTATGTCAGCTTGGAATACATTCCGATCCTCGGGGTCACGGTAGAGGTCTCACATGCATGGCACAGATCTGCAGTGATTTGCCTTCAGAAAGACGTGAGGCATGAATTGCTGAGTTCTGAGTGCTCACTGATCGCTTTCGATCACGAGGAACGACTCAAGTTTGTCCCCCAAGAGGATCATTATAGCCAAGAAGGAGAAAACACATGCTTTGGCACGATTCGAATCACGGGAATGATCAGCTACGTCATTGAAAGCCCGACTGTCAGTACTCGAAAATGAATCAATGCCCACAATTGGGAACACCAATCGCAAGGCGGACGTACGGAAGACAGAGAAGTAAGCTTCTACGGTCGATCGATCTGGGAGTTTGAAGCCATTATCGATAGAGACTTGGCTTGGTTGGATCTGTTTCTTCCTCTGGCAAGGTGGCCAAGCCCCGCCCTCGTCTGATAAGAAAGTAATACCCATGAAGGAGCTGACGCCCCAAAGGCGAGATCTGGTAAAGTACTGGCCACCAAAATTAGTACCAACCTGGATAGCGTTGGTGCCAGTGCCAGTTCCGACTGGCGAGGTGTTCATGCTGTTAGGGCTACGTTTTGTGCTCTCGAGTCTACGTGACTGGATGGAGATGCGTGGGTCGCCCACGGCTCCCAAACTATCGCCGTATTTGGCTCCGATGGCTTCTAGGCCACGGTGTGATGCTTTCTGTAGAGTGGTAATGAGGCACAGGCCACGGCGCGGGCTGAGATGATTCTTACCTGCGGCATTTGGCGCGGAGGAGCGGCCGGTTGAATGATTTACACCAGTCATATTGGTTCGAGGCTCTATCACTGTGAATCTGAACAGGGAGCAAGGAGATATGCATTAGTACTAGAGGGTATAGGGTTGGGATAGCGGACCGTGACGCTTTTTCGTCGATGCCAATGGGGACGGTCGAGGTGATGGACGAGAATAGCCGACAAGACCTAGAAAGTACAAAGCCGACTAAGCTTGGGATACCTCTCCGCATCAGCGAAGTCGGTTGCTTGACTCACCTCACCCGCTGAGCAAGCGGTACCAGGAAGGCGTACCGAGTACGGGAAATTTGAAGCTCGATGTTATGCCCCGGGTATTTTCGAAAACAAGTCTCCTGCAGGCAAGTGGCAAGTGTACTAGCTTAATATGTATGAATATCTGGTGGTATGTATGCTCTGACCGAAGATCGATCCATTGGTTATAACAGTACATGAGCTAATTATATCTAAACAAATTACGAAAGGAACTCTCACTTTTATACATCTTGTTAATGACGGCCAGAACGACCATATATTTATCTAAAAGCCACCAGCAACCAGCTCATAAAACTCTCCCGGCTCACCTGCCCATTGAGGGAATGACGTACTCACGGTCTGGTAGGACTCGATAGGCAAGAAGCTGTCGAGCGTAGACTTAGGACACTTCGCGTCGGAGTCAAGCGGCTTCCCGTTAAAACGATCCTCGATCCAGTCAAGCCACTGCTGTCTGGTAGCGTCCATGGAAGAGAAGTGTTGAGCACCAGTGACGGTGACGAATTCGAAGGGTCCGCTGTGATGCTTCTCACAGGTCGACTCGAACACTGACATCCTGGTCTCATACGGCGTAGTGGAGTCGGCGGTTCCAACGAACATGACCATTGGGGCCTTGTAAGGCCGGTTGCCAGGGCTTGTGTATTTATCCCAGGTTGTTGCGTACCATGACTCGTTCCATGCGGGATTGAGCATTTCAGTAACATTTGCCAAGAATAGGACTTCAGAAACGTACTGGCCGCCTTGAATTTCGGTAAGAAGCTCCGTACGCGCAATACCTAGCGGCGAAAGCCAGTCTGACAACTCAAAGTCGGGGTACATCAAGTCCAGGTCCTTGCCAATCCAGGCGCATTGGGCTTGAGGAGCTGAGAAGAGCGTGTGTATTCCAGGTGCAAAGAGGATAGATCCTAGATAACCGTCTTCCAAGTCTGTGAACATCTTGCGAGAGTTCTCAGCAAGGATCTCTGAGACGCCCCAGGCCGCGGCTCCACCTTGGCTGTGGCCGATGTTGACGTACTCGTCGGTGATCCGACCAGAAAATGCGCTGCGAGCGGCTCGAAGAGCATACAGGCTGTCAAAACCGTTGGCCAAACGGTTCTGGTACTGATGCGGGACGTGGCTCCCATCCCAAGATGTTTGAACGCCAAGGCCAGTGTAATCAGCAGCGACCACAGCGTAGCCGGCTTGAGCAAGTGTAAACGGGACGATGTTACCGTAAAAGAGAGATCGATGAGCGGAAGGGGAGGCGTCGGCATAGTAGCCAGAGGTGCCGTGTGACCAGAGGGCGACGGGAACTTTGCCCTGCTTCGATTGTTTCTTTGAGTGCTCCAATTTCTTGGGCGTGAATGGCCATAGGACATAAGCAGAGGCAGGTACTAAGGTCCCATTGGCGGTAGTCGAGGCATAGATGAAGCGCGAGAGGGAGGTACCGGCAGGAATATTCCAGGCCGCAGGATTGGTAACATGTTCGATCTTGAGAACCTGACCAGGAGTTTTCGGGATGATAGTTTTCTTCTTGTCAAGCTTATAGAAGCTATCCTGGCCGGGTCCGCCGTAGGCGAGTTGCGAGCGGTCGAAGTTAATGATAGTCTCGATGTCTTCAGCTAGCTCTGGCCAGAGCTGACCTAGCTCGATTTGTTTCTCAGAGAGTTTAAAGGAAGAGTTGAAGGCCGTCGACTGGCTAATGGGCTTCGGTAGCGTGGGTAACTCTTGAGCAAAACTGGTTGCTGCAAAGAGTAGCGTGACATAGGTTGATTTCATGGCGACTTAGGGGACCTGGGAGGATTCTGAAAATATTTTGGTATAGTAGTAATGGAGAGCAGAAACCTAGTTCTCTCAGCTCGAGGATATGCTTATATTTGTTCTCAGGCTGCGGAAGGTTCGGTCTTCAAAAACGCAGTTATAACTCAGTTACGCTCCGAAGATTACTACAAGGTGTCGAAATTAAAACATGACAATTTCGATCCCTGATTTTCATAGTGAGGCTAAGCTTATAATTTGAGTTCCCGTATACGAAAACGATTCCGATACTACTTTTGCGTAACATTAGTCGTGTTGCGTATTCTTTCTGAACCTAGAGTTACTCTTTTGAGGAGCTTTGCTGGGATAAGGAATCCGAGACATTAAAAAATAAGGCGTGGCACGGTTAGTACTTTACAAAATCAATCTTTGAGACTAATTATGCGTATTGTTAGTGGCGTATTGCGTATTCTTTCTGCCACAGCGCTTACTTGTCTACTGTATCCGAAAACGCTGACCCTTAATATTCCTAATAAGGCGAGACTAGAATTTGATTTTAGGTGTCTATAGTTTATGAGATTAATTTCGAGATTATGTAGTAATTGTGCATGTATGAATAGTTAGTAGCGTATTGCGTATTCTTTTCTAGCTATCTATATGAGATAGGGCACCTAGATCCCGGCTACGCAGACTTATAATACATTAAGTTGGAGACATCTTTATGGTTGCCTCCCAAGGCTTAACCCTTCCATTTATTCCTTGATTTCGAGTTACCCTGTGTGTCTTGGGGGGAAAAGGTAAATAAGAGGGCAGAATTAATATGCTGTAACTTAGTGGGGTATATGCTGTAAGTTAAGAGCTAGCTTTGTTTTTATACCGAAATTAGCATTTAGCTGTAATTAGCCACAGGTCCGATTTTATTATTAGGATTAATAGGACTACTTATAGTCGCAAAGGCAATATAATTATTATTAAATTTTAGTATGTTAAAGGTTAGAATTACTAAAGGCAGAAGGAGATAACTTTTAGAAGTTTGGGTGCTTGTGCCCTAGCACATACAACGCTTAATATTTTGACAATGTTAAGGGACAATAGGGTTTTAGATTAAGAACACCTTTTAAACATGCTCTAGCTTATCTTGCCAGCGGGATATACTCTCATGCAGTGCAATTTACATAATTCAGTGATATATTAGCACCCCTTTAATCACTTACAGAAGTGGACTGAATAATATGTTGCGCCACGACATGGTATGGAATCCAGTAACTGTAGAATACCCGAGCATTCTTGGATATTGAAGCTGTTAGGCTGCGCTAAACACGCTCCAAGGCCTCCGAGAATCTCCGGGTAAGTAGCTTCAAGACAGCTCTTTTTCTGGTGTGATTAAGAGTTGTGGAAGCTATATATACTTTGGAAAACCGATGCCCCGCAGCAGAAACTCAATGTAAACGGATGATGCTTGCCCAATAGCTCTCGCATAACAAATCTAAGCCCTGAGCGAATTCAAGAAAAGGTGGCCCTGTTGTAATGAAACTATTGTACGAGCTTATCAGCTTCTGACTTACAAATAGCTTCAAACAATTGATTTGTTATGCATTGTCGCAAACAGACAGGAGTTATTGTATGCTTATATAATATTAGACTTGACTCACTTGCCGTGATCCTAAGCCGTTGCCGGTCTTCCCGGGTACTAGCTTGCCTGCCTTCTAGAAGTTTACTTCGTTCGTTGACACTTCTCGTAGCATGGCAATGACCTATGGTATTTTTTTTCTGGCTCTGTGGTTTCCATATTCTTCTCCTACAATTCGACGATGGCGCCTCCAAGTACAAGCATGGCTCAGCCGTTTTCATATAGTATTGTTCATTCGGAAGATGTATATATACGTAAGATCCAGAGAAAAGTCCATGGAGATATGAGAGGCCGCGGATATTGACAAGGCGAATGAGCAAAGCTGAAGGGGCTGGAACCTCTCGATTGTAAGGCGTAGCGTGGGCTTGGGAATATATAAGTGGAAACAGGGGTTTACCTCCCTCGGTAGAGTGTAACCGATCCCGAGGGAGGAAACAAAAAGACTGCTACGCTTTGCGAGCAAGCTATAGTAAAAGATTGCCCATGTTTTTTTGCCATTGCATGGCCCGAGAAGAATTGCCGATTCCGACCCTGACACGTAAGTTTTCGGGACCCCATTCCGCTAATCGGATAGAAATTTCCAGCCGGCCGTGCCGTTGCACGCAGCCACACAGATCTTGGGTATCCATAATCAACCTGAGTAGCACCCAAGTGGGGCTATTGAGATCTTGGGAAAGCTAGATGCATTAACAGAGTGTGTAGGTTTCAGGCACGCGCATCTCTTCATTCTCATAGGTCGCTCAATAGAAATTGTATATGCCTTTGCTATATGCGTGACATTATGACTTTTATATTTTCGATGAAGGAAGATTTTCTTGCTTCAACAATGATAATTTACAAACATATTACCTAGTTCCTGTCAAGTCTATACAAGTATGTTGCAACCACTTGACTCTTTCCGAGTCAAAGAAAAGGAGGCACTGACAGGGCAAACTAACACTATGGACTTTCAACTTGCACATAATACTCAGAAGAGCCACATAACTCGTATCGCGTCATTGGGTAATTAATGGACCCCAACTCTGCCCCTTTCTCTTAGAATCGGCGATAGCGAAAAGCGTATCTCCTGCATTACGTTTACAGGGAGCAACAAAATATCCCTCTATCCACTGTTGATATCGCCCCTCATCGTGGATACTCACCTGAACAAAGGGCCCAGATAAGATACAATGAATGTGGTACATCGGAGACTCCGGCCCTACCCATAAGGATGCCATATTTAACATCCTCAGTTTCCTCTATGTCTAGTCACTTTAAAAGTCATGAATGGAGTGTGTGTTTTTTAATTCCATGAACTTAGCTAAACTCTAGCCATCATGGATCACAATGGCCTTTTCAGCGACTCTGAGACAGATGTCTCTGAAGCAAAGGAGCACGAAACTCGCACCGCTCCCCATCGCAACATGCGGGAAGCCTCCAGTGCCGAAACTCTCGCCTTCTACCAAGCCGACAACACACCAAAGCCCAAGAGAAATGCGGAATGGGGCATGACCCCTCAACTGATTCAGCAACAAGAGCGTGAAACTGCGGCAGGCTTTAAACGACGCGAGCTCGGTGTCACCTGGGATAACCTCACTGTCGAGGTCCCCGCTGCTTCGGCCGCTGTCAAGGAAAACCAACTGTCTCAGTACAATATACCACAGCTCTACAAGGACTGGCGTCAGAAGCCACCTATGAAATGTATTCTTAAGGACAGTCACGGTTGTGTGAAGCCCGGAGAAATGCTACTGGTGCTAGGTCGCCCCGGATCCGGTTGTACCACCCTTCTCAAACTACTATCCAACCGTCGACTGGGATACCATACAATCAAAGGCAATGTCCGGTTTGGAAATATGACTGAGAAAGAGGCTGCTCAGTATCGAGCCCAGATCGTCATGAACACCGAAGAGGAGCTTTTTTATCCTCGACTGACGGTCGGCCAGACGATGGATTTTGCCACTAAGCTTAAAGCTCCTGCTCATCTTCCTGATGGTACTAGCTCAGCGAAGGATTACACAGCTGAGACCAAACAGTTTCTTTTGGAATCTATGGGAATCGCCCATACATTTGAAACGAAAGTTGGCAACGAGTTTGTTCGAGGCGTATCGGGCGGTGAACGAAAACGTGTGTCGATTATTGAATGCCTGGCTACCAGAGGGTCAGTGTTCTGTTGGGATAATAGCACGCGTGGTCTGGATGCAAGTACAGCATTGGAATGGGCCAAGGCTCTTCGTGCCATGACCGATGTCCAGGGGCTTTCGACTATCGTCACCCTATATCAAGCTGGAAACGGCATCTATAACCTCTTCGACAAAGTCTTGGTCTTGGATGAGGGAAAGCAAGTATTCTATGGCCCTGCTGCGGAGGCGAAGCCATTCATGGAAGATTTAGGGTTTGTGTATACGGACGGTGCTAATATCGGTACTAACTTCCCCATGCCTCTTAATTATATGGAGCTATAATACTAACTAATGTTAAAGGTGACTTTCTCACCGGCGTGACCGTGCCTACCGAGCGAAAGATCCGACCTGGCTATGAAAACACGTTTCCACGGAATGCTGATGCCATTTTGGCAGAGTATGAGCGATCTCCAATTCGCAGCTCCATGGCATCGGAATACGACTACCCGAACTCCCAAGATGCGCGCGACCGAACGGAATCGTTCAAAGAGTCTATTGCTTTTGAAAGAAATAAACATTTACCGAACAATTCTGTCCTGACCACTAGTTTCATGACACAACTCAAAGCGTGCACCCGCCGCCAATACCAGATCCTGTGGGGTGAAAAGTCAACATTTTTGATCAAACAGGTCCTGTCACTCGCCATGTCTCTCATTGCCGGCGCTTGCTTCTATAACTCACCTGACACATCTGCTGGCCTTTTTACCAAAGGCGGCGCGGTCTTCTTCTCTCTCTTGTACAATTGCATCGTCGCCATGTCCGAAGTTACGGAGTCGTTCAAGGGACGGCCCGTCCTGGTTAAACACAAGTCCTTTGGCTTCTACCACCCATCTGCATTTTGTCTGGCACAGATTACAGCAGACATCCCCGTCTTGTTACTGCAATGCACCATTTTCACTGTTGTGATATACTGGATGACCGGACTCAAAGCTACTGCATCTGCATTCTTTACATTTTGGGCCATTCTTTGGGCAACTACGCTGGTGAGTGAAAATTATATGTGGTTTTTGATATTTCTCAAACTGACCAATAAAAGTGCGTTACAACCTTGTTTAGAAGTATCGGTGCCGCATTCAGTACTTTCGAAGCCGCTTCTAAGATATCCGGAACGGCCATCAAGGGAATTGTCATGTACGCTGGATACATGATCCCGAAGCCGCAGATCAAGAACTGGTTTTTGGAGCTGTACTATACCAACCCATTTGCGTATGCGTTCCAAGCAGCCTTATCGAATGAATTCCACGATCAACATATCCCCTGCGTCGGCACCAACCTCGTCCCTAGTGGACCTGGATACGAGAATGTCGATTCTGCCAACAGGGCCTGCACTGGCGTCGGTGGTGCTTTGCCGGGTGCGGATTATGTCACTGGCGACCAGTATCTATCCTCACTGCACTACAACCATTCTCAGCTCTGGCGAAATTACGGTATTGTTTGGGTTTGGTGGGCCTTATTTGCCGCCATCACCATTGTTTGCACATGCTTTTGGAATGCTGGCGGCGGTAGCGGTGCTTCGCTGCTAATTCCTCGCGAAAAGCTCAGTAAATTCCGCGCCTCCGCGGACGAGGAGTCACAGAGCCAAGGAGCAGAGCAATCGAAAGAAACCACCGTTGGCAATGGCGCGGGAGAAGTGGACGGTAACTTGTCTCGCAACACCTCCATCTTTACTTGGAAGAATCTCAAGTATACGGTCAAAACTCCATCAGGTGATCGTGTGCTCTTGGACAATATCCATGGATGGGTTAAACCAGGTATGCTCGGAGCACTGATGGGTTCCTCTGGCGCGGGTAAGACCACCTTGCTCGATGTCCTCGCCCAACGGAAAACCGACGGCACTATCAACGGTAGTATTCTTGTTGATGGTCGCCCTTTACCGGTTTCCTTCCAGAGAATGGCTGGGTATTGCGAGCAACTGGATGTTCATGAACCTTTTGCCACAGTCCGTGAAGCTCTCGAGTTTTCTGCGCTACTACGCCAGCCTCGAACAGTTTCAAAAGCCGAAAAGCTCAAGTATGTCGAAACTATTATTGACCTTTTGGAACTCCATGATTTGGCAGATACGCTTATCGGCACTGTTGGAAATGGCCTTAGTGTTGAGCAGAGGAAGCGTGTCACTATCGGCGTCGAGCTCGTGTCCAAGCCAAGCATCTTGATTTTTCTTGACGAACCTACTTCTGGTCTCGATGGGCAATCTGCCTATAACACTGTTCGCTTTCTGCGTAAATTGGCTGATGTTGGCCAAGCTGTATTAGTCACAATCCATCAGCCCTCAGCTCAATTGTTTGCACAATTCGACACTCTCTTACTTCTCGCACGTGGAGGCAAAACGGTTTACTTTGGCGACATTGGCGACAATGGAAAAACCATCAAGGAATATTTTGGACAATACGGTGCCGCTTGCCCCGTCGAGGCCAATCCTGCCGAGTTCATGATTGACGTCGTCACTGGTGGCATCGAAAGCGTCAAGGACAAGGACTGGCACCAAATTTGGCTCGAGTCTCCAGAGCATGATCAAATGATTACTGAACTCGATAATATGGTTTCTGAAGCTGCTGCTAGACCGGCCGGAACTGTTGATGACGGCCATGAATTCTCAATGCCAATGTGGGAGCAAATCAAAATTGTGACGCAGCGCATGAACGTTGCTCTATTCCGAAACACCAATTATGTCAACAACAAATTTTCATTGCATGTTATTTCCGCATTATTGAACGGATTCTCATTTTGGCGTGTTGGTGGCAGCGTATCCGACCTGGAACTCAAAATGTTTACAGTTTTCAACTTTGTCTTTGTTGCGCCTGGCGTTATTAACCAACTTCAACCACTTTTCATCCAAAGACGGGATATCTACGACGCGAGAGAGAAGAAGTCAAAGATGTACTCCTGGGTCTCATTTGTTATTGGCCTGATTGTGTCTGAGTTCCCCTATCTCTGCGTGTGCGCGGTCCTCTATTTCGCTTGTTGGTATTACTGCGCGCGATTAAATGATAATTCGAATCGCTCTGGCGCGACATTTTTCATCATGCTTATTTATGAATTCATCTACACGGGTATCGGCCAATTCGTCGCGGCTTATGCACCCAATCCCACATTCGCAGCTTTGGTTAATCCTCTCATTATCAGCATACTCACTCTCTTTTGCGGCATCTTCGTTCCGTATAGACAGCTGAATGTCTTCTGGAAGTATTGGTTATACTGGCTGAACCCCTTCAATTACGTGGTTTCGGGTATGCTCACTTTCACCATATGGGGTACCGGGGTCCACTGCAAGGAGGAAGAGTTCGCCGTCTTTGACCCAAGTAATGGCACATGCGGCGACTATCTCCGCGACTATATGGCCGGGAGCGGTTGGCGGATCAATTTGACGAACCCAGATGCTACATCGGGCTGCCGGGTCTGCGAGTATAAGAGTGGCAGCGACTTTTTGACAACACTCAACATTAACCACTACTATTACGGCTGGAGAGACGCGGGCATCACAGTCATCTTCGCTATCTCTGGGTACGCACTGGTATTTGGTATGATGAAGCTTCGAACTAAAGCGTCAAAGAAGGCCGAATAAGCACATAAATAGCATGGTGCAGGAAGACTGGAGTCTAGGTTGAAAGCGCTTGGGATTAAAGGATAGACAGATTGTGGTTTAAATTACATTTAGAATGGCAAAGTATTAGAGCGTTACTAGAATATAGATTATAGAACTGTTAATCGTCATATTATATATGTATTGGACAATTTATTGTGACCGTGTCTGACATGAAATTTCCCGCGGGAAATATAGCTTTAAATACTGTCTAGTACTTCACTAGTCCAAGTCCAGAGTTTGTTAGCTATCTCTTCGTTCTTCGCTGTCTTGTCTTTGTCCACATCGCTATTGCTTAATATTCCCACTGGCTTATAGTATGCTCCATTGACAAGTTCATTTCGCTTTGCTCCTGCGGCTGTCCACAATTGATTAAGGGCGCCCTCTTCCGGCTCAATAATGGGAACGCCCATGATCCAATTTGCAAGACGCAAGAAGGCTGTGTCCGCAAACGACAAGGTATTTACCAAATCTGTCTTCACAACGCCAGGGTGAACCGAGACCGCCATCAGCTTTGGGAAGCGACGCCCAAGCTCCGCTGCGTATACAAGATTGGCAAATTTAGATTGGCTTTGAAGCTTTCTTTATTAGCGCGATTTCCCTCAATATCTCGAATTCGAGCAGGTAGACAAAGAGGTGACATTACCCATATCTATATAGCCATACAGGCATTCCGCCTTTCTCTGTTCGTACTTTGTCATACAAAACGCCGCCCGATGGGTGTCCTTTCCATCCTTCTGATGTTAGGCATATGACTCGAACGTCAGAGTTTGGTGCCTCCGCAGTTTTCGAGAGAACTGGCAGAAGCTGATGTATGATCATGGCATGAGCCAAATGATTGATTGCGAAATGGACCTCGAATCCGTCTTTGCTTACTGCCGGCGGTACTGCCATAACGCCTGCGTTGCACATGAGGATGTCCAGTCGGTCATGTGCGAATTTATTGATGCCAGCTTTTACTGACTCAAGGGAACTGAAGTCCATCTCTAGGAAAGTTAACTCCACGCCCGGACTTTCTGCCTTGATATCGTTTATAACAATGTCGGCCGCTTTCTGGTTGCGACCGGTGAAATAAATGTGCTGGGGTGCATGTTTCGCAAGAGCCTGGACAGACTGTTTTCCTAAGCCGGCAGTTCCTTCAGCAACAAGTGTCAGAAGTGTTCGCTGAATCTATAAAGCGAGATAATAGAGTAAACACACCTCCAGTAATAAGGACAACCTTGCCGTTCAGAGACGGGATATCTTTTTCGGGATTAAAATCGGCAAAGCCACCGAGACGAGGCATGTTGAAGAGTAAAAAACCAGTACGCCGAGATACAATGTGATGAGAGATTCCTTTGTATGGAGTTGAGAGCACATTTTACGATATGTCTGCCTTGCATCTTATATAGGCTGTTCGAGGAGGACATCCACATAGAAAGTCCGCTTTCACTGATCCTCCATATTCGGTATTCCGCCAGGCGTTTCAGTTTACACTGCCCTGGCATGACCCAAAGAGGCGTTAGCGCGTCACGGTCTTGCATTAGCCTGTATTTACGCTGCTATCTTCTCCAATCATATCCCATCAACTGTCGCTCGCAGTGGGTCAACTTTACGCATTGAATTCATGATGCTTAATTTGGTAGTCCGGCACTGACGGACAAAATAGCCGCTCCCTTCACTGTCTCCTATTTTCACACAATGACTTGTGAGCGCCTCTTTACAACTTGTTTTACTTTGGATGAAGATTCTAAGACGCTCTATCGGATATTCATCCTGATAATCGACCTTCGTAAATAATTGCAGGCACGGACGTTACTGTCAACTGGGTATTCACGAGAGCCCGCCCATTGGCATCCTCGAATGCTTAAAGTTCGATGAATGCTCCATTTATGTGTGATTAATCTGATAAAACCGCCGTTTGGTAGCTATGGACCTGGACGACTGGAGCGGAGTGACGGATCCAGCCGAAAGGAGGAAGCGGCAGAATCGTCTCCGTCAGCGCCTAGCACGTAAGTACAGCACTATTCTTCAGTATTGCAACTATCAACCTCGTTGAGAGATAGTCAGATCGCGCATGGTCTAAGCAAATCATGCTGCGCAACTTGGTATGTGGGACTGATTTAGAACCAGGTGAGAGAAAAAGGACCGCCGCCTTTGCAAAGCTTACGTCCAGTGTTGGTTCATCATGGAATGGTTTCGGCATTCTCATTTCTGGAACATCACACAAGTCTATGGCTGGAGACAGAACTCTTGCCATTTCCAACTGTGCAAAGCCTGATTTAGTCGACGTCAGTGCTATTGAGTCGTTCCAGACAACGACAGAGGGTTGGAAAGTAGAGAAATGCTCAATTATACCACCTCTCTTGTTTTATACGACTGCCGCGACTTTTGGACAGCCAACGCCTCCTCTCATCTTCCCCCTAAGTCCAGATCATTTCTTACTCACAATGGTTCAATACAATGTTCAACGCGCTTCGCTGTTCAATATGGCTGTTCTATCCCTTCTAGAGCATCTTCCTCTAGAATGCGGGGGCACCCTCAACCTTCCAAGCCTCAACATAGATCCGCCCAGCAGCGTCCCGCCTGAGCTTCTGCCCACTGCTTTACAGAGAGCCACGCCTCATGACTACTGGATAGACGTATTCCCATGTCCCCCGATGCGAGATAATCTGATTCGCCTCAGCCGGCAATATGATGCTCATGACCTTCAACGCGACCTAGCGAAGAGCTTGTACGAAGGGTTTGTTGACGGAGAGCAACGCGGTTGTCTGGTCTGGGGTGAGCCATGGACGGTCAATGGATGGGAAGTGAGCAGAGGATTTGTTAGAAAGTGGGGGTTCTTACTCAAAGGCTGTTCGGATCTCGTGGCATCAACCAACCGTTGGAGGGAGTCGCGAGGCGAAGATCCGCTGATCATAGAAATTTGAGAGAAACAGAATCATCGGGGACATTGAAGTTTACTACCTATTGATGCGTATGGTTGTCAACGCAGTACTAGTACGTATACAAGGTGTGTAACACGACAAACATGTCTCTTTGCTCAAAATCCCCCCAATAAAGTTCTAATTACTCTGTAATTACTAGTGTAATAATTACAAATGTCAGGCTCTGATTATATAGCCGTAGTATAATCACAATTATGCATCAATAAGCCTGCGGATAAATGAATTGTTCAAAGGTTCAGACTTTTAATCCCTTGAGCGCCTGTGAAATCCAACAGCTCCATAACAAAGCCAAACAGCCCCGAGCGCTCCAATTCCAGGCCCCCCCCAAATAACGCTACAGCCCCACAGCCCCAACAGCCCCAACAGCTCCAACAGCTCCAACGCTCTTCTTCATCAATTACTATCTTCATACCAACAATGCTGATTAATTTATACAGACTAGTTTTGACAGTCTGGGTCAATTAATAAGTTTTCTCCTAATTATTATAAAAGCAAGTCCCTCTGCGCGCATTGTGTTTGTCTCCATCTCTTAGAAGATTCGCTCATCTGTTACAGACAAGTACACAATCCCTCTGTAAGCACAACTTTCCACCATGGCTTCCAAACAAACAGTTTTCCGTTTAAACAGCAGGCAGGGCATTGTCGATCTTGCCAAGTCTGAAGAGGACATTCCCAAGGCTGCAGCACATGAGGTTCTCATCAAGATCCACAGCGTTGCACTGAACTTCCGAGATATAGCCATTGCAACTTCCAGGTATCCGTTCCCTGTGAAAGACAATCTGATTCCAACTTCGGACGCTGCTGGAGAGATCGTTGAGATTGGGCCCAATGTCCAAGGCTTTACAGTCGGTGACCGGGTCATTGCAAATTTCAGCCCGGCCAATCTATACGGGCCGATGAAAGACTGGAATGGTGGTTTAGGAGGCCCGGTGGACGGTGTTCTTCGGAATTATCTGCCCATCAATGCCAACTCTGTCGTTAAAGTCTCCAAAGAGTCTTCCTTGAAGGCTTCCCAATGGGCTGCACTTGTCTGCACTGGCACGACTGCTTGGAATGCACTTTATGGAAATGTCCCTTTGAAGCCGGGTCAAACTGTATTGTTCCAAGGTAAGCATGCCATGATATGGGAACTAAACAAGCACAATTGGCTTATTTGCATAAAGGCACGGGTGGTGTTTCCATCACTGGACTAGTCTTGGCTAAGGCAGCAGGAGCAAAGACAATCATGTAAGAAGTCTTCAGCCTACCATATGTTATGATGAAGAGCTAAAATATTACCTCTAGAACCTCATCTAGCGATGAAAAACTAGCCTATGTACAGAAAAAGTTCGGCGCTGATCACACAATCAACTACAAGACTCATCCTGAATGGGCCAAAGAGGTACAGAGAATTACCCAAGGCAACGGCGTTGATTACATCTTTGAAAACGGCGGATCCGGGACTATTCGGCAAAGTGTCGATTCTATTGCATTTGGGGGCGTGATTGCTATCATAGGTTTCTTATCCGCTGCTAAACAGGAAGAGATGCCGGATGTTGCTGGTCTTGCGCTCTCTAAAGGATGCGTCATTCGTGGAATCAACGTTGGGCCGAAACAGTTGCTTGAGGAATGCGTACGTTTCGTTGGTTCTCATAACTTGGATATTCCAGTGGAAAAGACGTTTCAGTTTACAGAGGAGGGCGTGAAGGCTGCATACAAGTATTTAGCCGAAGGTCAACACATTGGAAAGGTTTGCATCGACCTGGAATAAAGAAACCGGTCAGAATTTGAGACGCTGCCGAGAACTACCCAAATGAGCAAGACTTACACAATAGACTATGCTAATCACTGAATAGAGTTCTCATAAATCTTTGCGTATTCAAGTAGACATTCGCCAACGTGCACTGTGATCGCCCATGAGGACTCTTCGCTGAATACCTTTGACCAGATTTTCAACACGGCTACACTCATTTGGCGAGGATCTTGACACCAGGATGATGTATCTGTGTCACCCCAGTCTGCAGAAGCAAGGGCTTCTTTGATGACAGATTCAACAGACGATATCACATGACGTTCATAGGCTGTGTTCAAGTAGTTAGGTATGTAATGCGCAATTGTTTAAGAAGGCCTCATGCCATGAAACTGTAGATGCTGAACCCAAGAGAAACTCACATTCTAAGGTCTTTGTCATTTGGCAAGTAGCAATATCCTCTAGCCACTTGCAAAGAAAAACTGCACTCTCCAGGGCGCATGCTGCATGTTGACAGCACCACAGAATTGACTGACTCTTGGCCACATGGTCAATGCCAAAGGCTACCGGCAGGCTTAGTGCGTGAACTGTGTATAACAAAGCGCTTGTAAGATTCGAATGGCGTCGCGGAGGGGCAACCGAGAACAACGCCGTAGCCACAGTTATCGGATCGCGTGTTGCCAACCACATGCTTGGACCCGTGTCTAGATGCGTTCGGACATAGGCAAGGGTGAGGAAAGCAACTGAGGTAAAAGGAATGGGTCCGTGTTCGCTGCTTGGATGCAAATCTTGGCCCGATGCGCGCTGCCAGATCTTAACCCATTCGGAAAGCGCTGAGCTGCGATTTAGTTAATACTGCTTGCTTTCTGACTTCTCGTTGTAAAAGTGTCAAGAGCGCCACATCGTTTGTTGTTCAACATACTGGATTTGATCTATTTCGTGATCACCCAGATTGGGTCCAAATGATAATTGACGCAGTAAATAGATGCGTTGTACGACTCCATGAAGCAATATTAAATTGCTAAAGGCGCATGGAAAGGTTTTCTGTTTGGCCACTTCAGGGGTTACGAGAGACTCAAATGCGTCTTGAAAGCTGATAGGACTGCAAGTGTTCTCGTGACGAGATGCTGCCCATTCTAGCTCAGTTTTTATTTCCCATATCTTTGTTGGACAGGGGAGGCGAAGCTGAATTTCTCTGGCGAGTAAAGATGGCGGGCGATTGTATATTAGAGTGTGGATGTTGAGAAAGCAGAATGCCAGAAACTTGGTTCGACGCTCAGCTTCACATAACGACCATCCAATCCAATTTTGCTCGGTAGGGCTGTCGTGCTCCACAAGTCCGCTGGCTCGTATACACTGTACCAAAGGTGAGTGTAACTCGAATCCTTCAGCAACAATAGAGGCATCACGAGCCCAGCTGGAATATACGAGGAGAAATAACAAGGTCTGGGTTGACTGCATGTTCAGAATTCGGTTAATTGTATCCGAAATTGGTATGGTTGCAAACTATTGTTGAGAGTTAGTACTCGACATTCCATGGTGTATAAAACATGGACACACACCTCCAACTCCAAGTTGTTTACTTTCAGTCTCTGCAAGGCGACGGATCTGGCTGCTCGATATAGCTTCTTTGAAAGGTTTTCTTCCATTGTCCCCACTGCACCGAGTGCCGCCATTGCTAGAATGAGTTCAGGGATGCAGTGCCCTACTTGGAAGGTAGGGAAGTGTATGACTGGAAAATGAGAGGCTAATGAAGTTCTCCAGACATCTATATGCCTTATGAGGGTACGTAGCGATGGAAGAGTAAAGTCATCGAGAAGAGTTTGAAAGGGGCGGAGGCCCTCTTCAAGAATCTTCAAATCATCCACAGTCATCTCGAGAGAAGCCATTTTATAGCCACTGATGGACGCATAGTCTATTACACGTTTAGTGAAGGTATGGATTATGGCATAGCTTGCTCAAAGATGGTAACTGATCCATGGAATGACTTACTGCTTTTTGGGATTGAAGCTTTTTGTGCTTGAACAATACCATGTGGATGTAAATCTCTGCTAAAAGGCAGCGGTCCGGCAGTGCTTTGGCTATCTCTGCCAAAATTGCCAGGCGCTAATGATTCAACTTCTGCACCTGTTGGTAAGTCGCAATCCATATTGAGAGAAAACGGAGAGCCGATAAAATCCAACGGGAATCCGAAGCCTCCGAAGAAGTTTTCGTAATTAGTCACGGAGTCAGTAAAAGTTGGACCTTGAAATACAGCTACTATTAAATTAGCTTCGGCGCATTGTTTAGAAATCTGGTCAGCTTAACAGTTTACCTTCAGAGACTCCCATTGCATCTATATTCGGCACCATTCGCTCTGTAACTTCTTCATTCTCTTGTGCGGTTCGTGAATGAACTGTTCCGGGTATTGTGGCTGTAGATAGTGCACCACGGTGCGTGTCACTGGGCTCGGCAGGGTTTAAATGCGCGAGTTTCTCATGCCTACGCAGCAAGTCCGTTCGTGTGAATGCAGCTCCGCAGGAGCATACGAATGGCTTCTCTTTGGTATCTATAGCTCTCTCTAGTCAGCATGCTCTCCAAGTTATGAAGTCAAGCTATGCGTACGGGTCCGACAATGCCGCCGCAGGTGCTCTGGCCGCTTGAAGTTACGGCCACAATAAGGACAAGTGTGGGGATTTGGCATTTTGAGCTTCAATAAGTGCGGGAAATGAAGTGAAATCAAGTATAGTAAAACACGGAACTACATTCAGCGTAAAGCGCCGATAACTGGCAGCCAAGATCATTAGGGTGGATTAAGAAGACTGCTTTCAAAGCAGCAGCTGTAATTTTCAGAATGTTCTCAGCTATTCTCGCATAGCCAGCTTCATGTTACTAATCAATACACGTTCACAGGTGTACTCGTATGTACAAGCTATTGGCTGTAATTAACTAGCAACTGCCTAAAAGCCCCACTTACTCGCACAGTACTGATTCCAGGTTAGCTTTCACCTAGCAGGCTTTCTGTGCAACTGGATTATCTTGAAACATGCATTATTAGAGTTAAAGAAGCGGATCTATGTATTATGATCTTTGAACAGTTGGATAAATTGCTTTTTTTTTTAAAAAGCGCTGTGGCACTTTGTAGAATTATTGCTTGTGTTTGGGTAAGATAAATGTTCTTATTGTGATAAAGTTGAGAGTTATAGGAGAAAGAACTGAAGATTATTTGGTCTATAATATAATTGTACAAATAGTAGTACTTATCGTTCAAAAGCATAGATTAGCTAAATCAAGTATGTAATACAAATTATAAAAACGTCTTATATTAACATGAAGGAGGTATTCTATAAGCTTCTAATAAATTTTTGTTAATTACTAATTTGGACATACCAAAGTACATAGCGCTAACGTGCCGCCTCGCTTAGGGTTTACTTTACAACTGTATAATATCTTTATCGCAGCTTCACAATATTCCCAATTCAACTGGATTCTTACTTATTTCACTACACAAGAAATTACGCATCTCAAGGTGCTATCTATAAGCTACTAACTACCTATCAGCGTCCACCTACTACAATCGATATAAGTGAAGATCGCATCATCATGCAAGTAGCTAGCTTGCAAACCTCCCAAAATGCGTGTACTTTCTGCAGGAGACGAAAGCGAGCCTGTGATAGAAAGCTTTCTGGATGTTCAAATTGCAAAAGGTTAGTCAATCTATTCAATTGATTCAGACTCAATCTCTTCCAACTAGCTAATACGATTTGTGGTAGCCGAGGCCAGACCTGTGACTACTCGTAGTAACCCTCCCTTGTAGCAGCCAGCTCAACATCGTCTGCCTCCTAGCTGACCACTTCAAACAGTGCTTCCGCCGAAGACATCCAGAATCCAGCGGCGTCAGTCTATCTCTCCATATCTTCAGATAGTCCGAGATTCCCGGAAGCCTACTTCTTGGATCATCGAGTATTTCAGCAAAGCCACCAGTCAGCCCCAAGTGTACGATTGCTTGCTTCACCACAAATCACAACTTACGTAGGAGATCTGCAAACTATAGTGGCAGAGTACATTCAGAGGATACATTGGTGGATGCCAATTCTCTCGCGATATCAACTGCTACTTTCTCTGGAAACGCCCACCCCAGGGACAGAAACCGACTTACTTCTTCTGGTTCTAACAATGAAGGTTCTTCTATGGAATCCATCGGCACAGCATTCGACAAATCCAAGGACAGAAGGATATTTATTAGCCCGCCGCGCAATTGATGAAGCAGTCTTAGCTGGGGCTATGTCTTGCCGACTGCTTCAAGCTCAAATTCTGTTGGCCATTTTCGAGCTAGGACATGCAATCTATCCCGCGGCTTACCTTTCCGTTGGTGCGTGTGCTCGATACGGTACTGCATTAGGAGTTGACGCATCACTAAGCCCTGAGTTCCAACTCCAAAATCCATCCCTAGGACGCTTGGATATCGAAGAGCGAAGGAGGGCGTGGTGGATGGTGCTTATTTTGGACCGGTAAGTGTGAAGGTCATTGTTCATATCGGGCCACAATTTGTCATCTGCAAGCAGATCTGACCCTTTTCTTTCATATTCGTCGACATTCAGATTCACACAGCTCGGTAATCCGCAAAGGTCGCTTTCCACCGCCGATCCTCAAAGAGATAGTCGCTTGCCATCTGACGAGGAAAATTTTGATCAAGGGGTAAAGCTTCAAGCTTCAAATATGATTCGTATCCTGATTCGTATACTCACAATAGCTAGGATATACCAGATGAGAGTTTTCCCGTGTCGGCAGCCGCTGATATCAAGATGGGGATGCTTGCGAGGATGTGCCAAGCTTCGTATCTCCTCGGACTTGTGCTGCGCTATAATAGAAATAGAGCTGAATCGGCGTCATCTTCGGCTGGGTTCGATGACCATGAAGAATATTGGCAACTTGACAAAACTCTCAATGCTCTGCTTAACCTATCCTATGTGGAAGGTGAGATTAGACGAACCGCAGTGTGCGCTCAAACGTCTATTTGTTACAGGTATGCTAGCGTCGCTTCCTTTTCGAAGTGTCAATCATTCTTGTATTTCGTTGCACATCTCACACTTCAAATCTAATCTCATGCAGTGGTCTTATCGCTCTTCATGATCCTCTATCATCACGAATAGATCAGCAACATATGCAATTCGCCAATGATATGCTGATGCCAGTAGTCGAGTCCATGGCCTGGGATTCTAAGATATTTCTCAGCGGATTTCGCGTTTCTGTAGGAGATGCCTCACCACTTTTGCTCCTATGGGCATATCAAGCCAGTACCATCTACAATCGTCTTCTATCTCAATACCAAAAAGAATCACTGTTCCTTCTGCACCAAATGAAGTTGAAGCTTCAAGTAATGTCGCAACGGTGGCTTGCCGGAGGTAAATAACGTCTTGCCCATTCAATTATCTGCAGCTAACACATGATAGTTGCTTACCTCAAACTTTTGGAATCAAACCCATGAATTAGACATTCTTTTTTCGAACATCAACGATCACTCGTCAACTGTACTCCAAGCTTCAACTTGGCTGGGTTTTGGAGACAGTTTCGAGAAGAAAGATCGACGGGGGAGTTTAGAGGGAATCACAAGGGCAATATCTGTTATGTTCTGAAAAAATGATGGCTTACAGTCACTAGCCCTAAACATGTATCAAGACATGTAGTGATTGGCGTACTCTAGTCCTACTAGACGTAATCATACTGAAAGTAATCAGAACCAGTTGCCCCACTGGCGAAATGCAATTTCTTACAAAGAAGCTACGTACTCCTCCACAGTCACCACCTTTGATGCAAAAAGCGGCCATGCAACTTCAGTAGCTGCGTGTTTTTGCTCATGGGTAAATGAAGCTGTCGCATCGGATCTAAGAGGAGAAGAGTTAGTGCGGTGTTAGTGCGGTGCAGACGGCTACACTTCAAAATGGCCTTACAGCAACGTGACATGATATCCACTACAAGTGGAGGTTAGCTAAGGCTGAGTCAAGCAGTGGCTATGTTTACTTACAGATCATACGCGTATCTAGCGGTCGATTCGACACAGGCGTTGGCGGTAAGTCCGGCGATGACAACATTGGTAATGGTTCGCTGACGGAGAAGAAAATCCAAATCAGTGTTTTGGAAAGAACTGCATCGGTTTAGCTAATCACAAAACAGCTATTGCGGGAGTTCACAAAAAGTCGTACCTGCTTGACCAATGCTTGCTGAAGATCAAGTCACCATTCTCTGTATTTGGCTCCATGCCTTCGTAAATTTTAGCTCCCCAGCTACCCTCTTCAAAGACTTTTCCGGCCTTCTGAGATTCGTGAAGTGCTTTCATCTGGGTCCAACCGTAAAAGGCCTCTGCGTTGTACTGCTGGTGCAGCCCATAAAAGACAGGGATCTTATGAGATCGAGCTGCCGTTAGGAGATCAAAGATGTGCTTGACAGTGTTGGTGGCTTCTAGAGAAGCGGACATTGCCTTGTACATTTTGCCATCAGGATGCAAGAAGTCATTATACGGATCGATAAGCAAAACTGCTGTATGTGTGTGGGCTGCTGTCATCGTGATTTTGAACAGTCTTAGCTGGTTTAGGATATTCGTATTCAACTGAAGGATGTTGAGTTATCTTTGGTCCCGGAGGTCTTTGCCTCTTTATATGCCACAGATAATCCTGGGAATCGCTGTTGTAAGACAAGTGATATTGAAGAAGTGCCATACTGATGATTATGCTTTACCCCATGGACAGTCGGCAGCCGATAACCCCACTGCCGCCGCCAACCCGCCGCCAGTCCACCATTCCACCCGACACTAGCCCACCGCTCCACCTAGCATTAGGTACATACATGTAGTCTGATAAGAGGTTACAAATCCCCCATAACCAATTGATGGTTTTGCTGCACTGCTATCTTGTACCTTAGTTTCTTTCTACTTACCAATTGTTTCGACAGAATAAACATAGGCTCTCTTTGTAGCACGCGGTTAGTGATTGAATTGCATTTTACTTTTTGCAAGAAATAAGGCAACGCTTGAAAAAAACAAAGGCCATCGGACTATAATATTGTATATTGCTAATAAAGATCTGTGCATTATACACACATGACTACCTATATGTAGAGAATTTTATTCAGCTTAAGATCTAACGTCTTACTAACATATCTCGTTTCTAGCATGGCCCCTCCTTACTTTCCCTTATACTACACCAAGATGTTAAGTATTACTTGTTTCCATATCTCTAACTTGATGTATAATTAGCTAGCTAGAAATTCATATCTCTATGAAGTGTCCTTATTGACTAACTATTAGTTATAAAGATGCTAACATCTGCTCACGGGCCATAGAGATGCCCAGAAAGGCTTTGTCAGAGTTAGACAATCTTGTGAGCTGGATTGACAAATTATTTTTTTGATGTTCAAGGAAAGTGGTACTGTAGGCTTGAACCGGTAGATAACAACAGAGCAGTTGTGGAAACAACAGTTGCATATCTCACTTGACTACAATAATAGCTTACTCGGACAGATTGCGCATCGGCTGGTCTCGAACACAATCGGTTCCACAAACCTGAGTTTTAATACCTCATAGATTCCTAATTGAATATTCTAATCCAGAAAATACTTTCCCCTGCTTAATTTATCCATTCAGTTTGGTGGCATGTCTTCCAACACATCGGTTATGCAGGCAAAACCTAACATTCAGAACCATGACTCGAGTCCATCGATTCTAAATTAGTGCCACTATACTAGTTGTGACCTTGTTTATCTTGTTGTCTGTTAGTAGTTGCACAGAGCAGGAATTGATCTTTTGATCTTCAGCAGTCGTGAAAGATGCGTTCCTCGGTTTAGACCTAACCTCCTTTTTGCTGCCTGATCTGCTTTCTATCCTCAGTCCGTTGAACTGAGACAAGTCACGACGTGCTTCAGCGGCTGTTGAAACTGGCAAGCAAAAAAAGGTAAAAAAAGAGGGTGAAAAAAGGGTGAAAAAGGGTGAAAAAGGAAGGAGGAACACCAAGATGATCCACAGAGGCTCAGTTAGACGATGTTGCATAGCCGCTGGTTCAACACATGTATGTGTTATCTCGGATACGTCGGCGTCATAGAGATGAGCAGATGTTATTTTTAAAAAACGGAGTTGATTCACATCTGTAAACGTAATTATATTACTCAACTCCACTACTGGTAGACATTCTCCTAGGACGAAGGGCAGAACTCTTCACTTTAGATGATTACTATATAAACTGCGTGGCTACACCACCTCTCAGCTACTACATCATTAAACATACTACTCAAATCAGCATTACTAGTCTCAAATACGCTTTATTATCAGTATCAACACATCAATCATGTCTGGAAATCGACTTGTTCTCGTCACTGGTGTCAATGGCTTTATCGCTGCTCGCACAGTGGAGGCATTTCTAAAGGCGGGCTACGCCGTGCGTGGAACAACAAGGACTAGGTCTTCGGCAAACGGACTTCTTGAAAGTTTGCCAGAGTACGCCGACAAGATCGAGATCGTGGAGTTGCCCGACATTACGGTAGACGGCGCATTTGACAAGGCAGTGCAAGGTTGTTAATATCAACTAAAATTTCGCTTCCATAGCTCCCATGCTAATTTACCGAGTAGGTGTTGATTACATTGCTCATCTAGCTGCCCCGGTCTCTCAGTATTTCAAAGATCCGGCTCCCGTCATGCACGGTGCCGTGAATGGAGTTACCCAACTTCTACAATCGGCTTACCGTGAACCGAGCGTCAAGAGTTTCGTGTTTATGTCCTCTATATTAGCAATTCTGACATCCCAAAGACCTCACCGTTTCACTGAGGAGGACTGGAATACTGAATCTGAAGAAATAGTTACCGCGAAAGGTAAGGAAGCGCCTAGTCTAGCGATCTATGCTGCTAGCAAGACCGCTGCTGAAAAGGCGTTCTGGAAGTTTCGCGATGATAAAAAACCTCACTTCACAATGACAACAGTTAATCCAACGTAGGTAGAGCTTCTCTCCTCAATTATGCTCTCTATTATTGATGGGAGTTCTTATGGGCTAATTCTGTCTGGCCTTTATAGGTACGTTGGCGGACCCCCTCTAGTTCTTCCACCTACTCCAGATCAACTCGGTCAGACGGTAGAATTTGTCTGGCATGTGTTTTCTGGAAGACCGTTCGACAAATGCGGCGTTCCAGGAGCATTTTACGCTTATGTGGATGTCCGAGACGTTGCTCGTCTTGTGGTCTTCGGTATCGACCATCCTGAGAAGGCAGACTCCGAACGATTTATCGCCGCCAATGTATTTGCGCCCCTACAAGCAACCGCGGACATTTTGCGAGCTGCGTATCCTGAGCGGAGGCGCATCATTCAAGAGGGTAATCCTGGGGAGGGTTATTTTCCTGACTATCGCTTCCCAGACGATGTGATATTTGATGGTAGTAAGGCAGTTAGGGCTACTGGTCAAAGTTATATTCCGTGGGAGACAACCGTTCTAGACACAGCTAAGGCTTTTGAGAAATATCTGTAAGCACGTCCTTGGTAGATTACATTCAGATTATAATTGGTACTCAACTTCGCAATAAAGTATTTCCTCTTGTTTCTTATGCCAATTAACTTTCCCTCTTTAATTGCATTGCAACTGACTTACAGAAAAATGAAGCTGTAAACAATATAGAAACAAAAAAGAGCCTATTGCCTTTTGCATTATAGGGGTGTCTCGCAGTATGAACTTAGTAGTTGGTGCGTGGTGTAATACAATATAGGTATTTAGTAAAAACTTCTAAATAGTTTGTCGGGCTACGCCGATAAAGTTGATATTATGGAAGTATTTAGTAGTACATTTGACAGTATTAGCCATAAAAGTGACCGATATATCTCGCCAGTTGCGATGTTGCTAGAATAAATTGGTAGTATTGCACTGAGAGTAACTATGCAGACTTTGGCATTTTCAGCATGGATTTTTGATACGGAGCTTGGGAGCCTTTTTATTAGCTGACACTACGTATTACTATATATATTGCTATTCAAGATGATCAAACCCAGTTACCACTACCTGAGATATTTATTATAGCACCTACTAAGATTCTCGTCCCTATCTTAAACCAAGAGCTATTTTTCACCGAGCCCAAATTTGGTACACTATCCTTCTTGTATGAAGATACTGAATCCATATATTGTGAGCTCATGGATGTCCTTCGGCTGTTTCCACTCCTTCTTTACCCAAAAGTGTACAGGCCATTAATGTTTCGTAAAAAGATGGCTCCCATGGAACAAAAAAGTCAGGTTGGATATTAGACTGAAGTCCCTTATCACAGTGTACAGGCGTACTGGGTTTACTTTTCAGCAAAGGCCGATCTAATTTTTCGGAAACCATATCCGGCATAAAACACTGGTCATCTCTGATAGCCGATTGTCGTTCCCTCTCAAGCTGCCGGCACCTTTTTTTGAGGGCGGCACATTGCTGAATCAAAGCGAGCTTCTCAGACTCGCATGATCTGAGTTGAGTTTCTAAGTCAATTAAGCGTTTCTCTTTTCTTTCCCTGTAGGCTCTTTGAGAAGCTCGGTTCTGGGCTCGTCGATGCTGTACTGGAAAATATTAGCAACTATTCCAAGAGACTCTTGAGATCCAGTGGACCACTTCCAGAAACAATGGAGACTGAATCATGCTCTCCTATTTCCGGGCCGCTAGGGAGACCTTTTGACGCAAGCTCAGTTCTGGTAAGGCGATTTTTCACCACAAGAGGCTCTTTAGAAGAATCCTCAGGGGTAATTGTTGGGAACAATGATGTATCCGCTTTCTGGGCCTGAAAACACGAGTCTTCCATCATATAAAAAAACTCCATATCTCAAATATATGCTCGTAGAAGCTAGATACTACCTCTCACCTTGAATAATAAGAACTGGGGCTATTAGGCCTTTATAACTACGTATTTGGTGGAGTCCAAGGAATTTTTGGCTGTTTGAGCCTAGATTGTTAAGTGGGTTCGACGCTGCGCTGGGCGTATTCAGGAAGCTTTATGACGGAAATGCTCAACGGTTTAAATAAGCGTCGCACTAGGGTCCTCTCTTTATCAAATAGGATACCATCTCAGGGCTTGCTGACCGAAGAAACTATCGATAACATAAAAGTACCTGTCGCGTAATATCAGGAAGCACGTTTTACTATTCTTGGAACTGTTGCCGAACTCACCTCCTCACCTCCCCTTCCTATTACATTAACATATTCTGCGGTGCACCGTATTCTGCTGGGTCTCCGGATAGGGAAATATAAGCGCGAGATTTTGCGGATTTTTGAACAAGTCCTGTCCAAGTAGTCAGAATTGGTGAATGAAAACAAAAGTTCGGCTGGAATGCCAGCCAACAAATCACGCCATACCTTTTATTAGAATCATGGAGCAGCTTTCATTTCGGGCAATTCCACGTGGGTACGACAAACAGTAACAATATCAAAAATCTTTCTGTGGCATCCAAGAAGGCCTCATTTGGGCCATTTTCAGGTAACTGGGCAGGCTAATTGATGGAAATATGCTTATACTTGCTGCGGTATGTCGTTTTGGGTGATCTCGTTGTAAAGGCCGTCTCTTACTGAGAACATACCAGTAACGGGCCAACTTTCCACTGCTTGCATTAACGACGGCTTTGCTATACATTCGATGAGACATTTGGAAACACCACGAGAGATTTTTGTTGGCAATATGTTACATGCTGTATTAAATAGTTAAGCTTGGTCTCTCTGTTTTAGATTGAGATCGCGGTGCTGCTACAGATTAACACGTGTCTGCCTTAAAATATTCTTTTCTTGTGTTAAGAAGCATATGTGCAAACTGGGGTCAATGTCGTAATTGGAGATGTACTCAAGCAATGCGAGAAGCCGCCTTGTATGGTTGATAAATCTACTTATATTCGCCCGACATACATACACTGCTACCTTGTCTCTCGACATTTCTGTGTACTACACATAACAGTGTATGATGAGTATGAACGATGCCTGAAGACTTTCGTTCTTTCAGTTCGCTACATCTGTCGAGTTTCGAAGCAGTTATGAATACTTCACTGACTGCTAATGAGTGTTAGTTTGGCTACTTCCCGGCTTATGTACTGCACGATCCCACATTGCTGATCGTCTGTATCACAAACTGGAGTATGACCTCGTCAATCAAGTTCAGATAGAGATATTCATATGATTCTAGCCCCTGGAACTTCCCCTGCCGATTGCGATATTTAGTAGCATATAAATGAAGATTATCTGACTACTCGTGTTTAATCGTTGCCCAAGGCTATCTTTCAAGGATCTATTCAGCAATACTAACCTTAGTGGCCTTGATTACTTCAATAAGAAAGAGCGCAATTCTCACGCCCAATTATCCACATGGGCATAAAGAGCTTCCGCAGTAGGATACACAGAATAACCCAGCCGACACAAGCTGCTTCAAAAGCACTAACTTGGGCGGCAGCAAGCATATATTCAGCAGCTCGGCCAGGGCCAATAAGCCTTATTGATTTTTGAAGTCCACCGACGTAAATAAGTCACAATGCCTCAAGTGCGCCAAATTGAGCGTCTAGCCCGGTAAACTTTATAACCATTCTAAGTAAATGTTCATCTCCAGCATCCCATGCTCAACCACTAACCTCACCAAAACAAATAACTGGAATTGTTAAAATAAGTTCTAACTTTGCAAATTAGGTGTTAGAAGCTCTAAAGAATTGCGGCCTGGGATTGAATTCGGTAGGAACAGATTCAAATCAATCGGAGCCGCCCAGAAATCAGCAATATCGCTATCAAAAACCACGAGTCTGGTCTTCTGATTGGCCAAGCTGTGTATAAAGGCGGTGAATTCTGTGATAACGTTGGCATCCCAAAAGGTTGACAGGGGCGTTTGAAATAGTGACACGCTTGGCGCTGCAATCGCGATCAATGTATAATTGCTTCAAGGCCCACCGCTGAGGCATGACATAGGTGAGAAAGAGAAATAAAGAAGACAAGTTTGACCATGGGATTGAAGTTTGCCATGTTGAGTAGATATCAACAGACAAGTATCGCAGTTGAAATGGTCATGCTATTCAAGTTTTCGGATTTCAGCGATATGTGTATACAATTCTTAGATAGTCACTACCTGAGCGCTTGTAACAGAGCGAAAGAAAATAAGCAAACTACCCATTGCACAGAGCTAGCAGTCTACTTTGTGAACAGTTTCGCCTTGGTACCCTATTGGAGTACTTTACCGTGTAGCTCTAGAAATATTAAGTTAATACGCCCCGGAAGAACCGGTGGCGGATTGGTGGCGGATTGGCGGCGGATTGGCGGCGGATTGGCGGCGGAGAAGACTCTGTTTACCTGTACTTAGTCACGATGCCATGCAAGAAGCAACTATCCTTGCACAAAAGTCGGGCCCCCACGGCGAGTTTACCACCTTCCCCTAGGCTATAATTCGCGTAAGACTTAGCATCTAAGATCACCAGAACCTTGGACCGTTTACTATAGCCTGCATCAGCAATATTATGAGGCAATTACATGAGTTTCCACCGCTGGAATCCAATTCTGTACAGTGCTGAGAGCTCTTATTGGTTTGATGAAAGGACATTCGGCGCTGAGATTTGCAAGGGCTTAGAACTTGATCCAGAGAAAGGAGATGTCGTGATTTCAAGCATATTAATCAGAGGTAGGTGTCTCAAGCCATACCTCATCGCGTTCCCAGCTGATCATGGCCTTATCTCGTTCAAAAGCATCGATCTCAACTGGTTACTTCGGCAACGTAACGTCACTAATCTTGCTTTTGCCGGATTTAAGTTTTGTTGTAAAAGTTTGCATTGGAACCACTACTCGAATGGCGAACGAAACGTGTAGTTAAACAATCATTTCCACGCCCACGAGACCCTCCTAATGTCTCTTTTACGAGGGATACAAAGCCACAAATATGCGGTATGTTATGTCTCAACACCTTCATGCTGAGACTTAAGCTCGTTGCTAAATGTACTTGTTTAAAGAAATGATACTACCGCTGTTGGGCTAAAGAGTAAACAGAAGCGCTAATTGAGTTTATTTGGCTGTCGCTGCGCAGAAGGTTATCTCTAGAAAGGACATGGAGGGTGTTATAGAAACCGGTGAGTAATGTCTCAAACTTTCCACTCACGAATAGTCAATGCGCTGCCAAGTGTACTAGTTGTGAATATTAAATGTTGTCTTTACGAGAATTAGTTTACTTATTCATTACCTCCGGTATGTTATAAAGAAAGTTGAGATGGTTGAACGAACATATAAGCGGCAAAATCGGGAGCAGGGTAAGACCCAGGGCACTCCACAGACGATGGATATCCAACGCCGACGCAATTACCAGGCCGCTCTTATGTCTATATCAAACCTAGTAGCAGTGATAATGATTGAAGATTAAAATTGCAAGTTCGATGGCTTCTCATTGCGGAGAAGGAGCAACTATATGCAACTATATGCGCTATTCTAACCGTGTGGTTTCAATACACATTAACAACTGCGCTCTTATTGCTCTTTTGAGGCATGAAAACCTCTCTGATTTGTCATTTTACCTGGTTACATTCTCTTCACCCAACCATCCGCCATACTTTTTGCTTCTTTATTGTATCCGAAGTTGCTATAAATACCTCATGTAGACTAAAAGCAACACCCAGTGTTGATATACATTACTAGTTGTACAGCGTTAAATAGAGCCGTAATGGCATGCAAGAGACTTGATGCTGATTGCCACTCAACTCATTTTGAGAGTTATTCAACCTCGTCTTTACTTTTGCCCTGTTTACTCTCGGTAGTTCAGAATCATTTGTCTTCTGTTCCAAGTCCCCAAATATGAAAGCAACAGGCCTATCGACATGGATGGGCTCTTGGCGGGAAGGAACTGGCACTATCTCAACTACAACAGCCACATTCAAGGAGGTTGCCTTCAGCTTTTCCAGCCGGTTTCAAGGGACACCAGGCGGCAGCCCCGAAGAGCTCCTCGCCGTCGCCCTCGCTGGTTGTTTTAACCAAGCGCTTGCAAACAACTTCGGCATGATCGGTTTGGAGGCGGACACCATCGAGACTTCGGTTGCTATTGAATTGGGGTTTGGGTTAGACAAATTCCCGAATATCTTCAACATCATCATCGTCTGTGAGGCACGGATAGTTGGAATTTCTAAAGAAGATTTTGAAGGCTGCGCAGAACGAGCAAGAACTAGGTGTACTATTGCGAGGCTGCTCAAGATAGACCCACATCTGACTGCAACACTTGTTGTTTAGAGGTATCAGAACAAAATTTCGCAGAGCGTGGGCTTTGAACTAAACGTACATCTAGTGCAACAAATATTCCCACAACTTTCCTCTCGGACTTACCATTCTAGCTGCATATGCGTGAAGCATGGGTATGCAAACTTAGTTCCTCCAACAATGTTCACTGGCCACACAGCAGCCGGTTCACCCTTGTGTCAAATTAGGTAGACTTGAATAGGTCATTAGGGTGTGTTTGCTACCATCTTCCTTATCTTGCGAGTTGGACGTATGTTTTTTGATTAGTGGTGTTTTAAAGCTTCTGACAATCGGGCAAACCGGCACTTTCGTCCTCGATGAGGATCGCAAGACAGAACTGATGCAATTTTCCCTATACCTCATTCGTCATCAACTGATTCGCGAAGCGATTACAGGCCAACTCATACCACAGTTACCGTAACCTCCACTACTACCTTTGTGAAAGGCTGGCTATTCCGGATATCTGGGCACAGCTGGGAACAATCCTTCAGTGGTGGCGTCGGGCCGAGACATGGGAGCGATCATACATGCAGGGAGCGGCGGACTAGCGGCGGCGGACGCTAACCCGCCGTGTGTGTACGTTACGAATGGCATAAGCGAGAGTTGAAGTCTAGACTGGGGTGTGAAGTTACATCTTATTATCTTTTAAGCTGTAAGATGTATCTGCCGGTAGAGTGATTTATCATCTGATGATAGCAAAATGGCAGCTGATATGCTGCATACGTTATTCCGCGTAGGCAGTCTAACATTAATCGTGCAGGAACTCAATTACATATCAATAACAGTACACACTACACAACTATAAAAACAAGCAAAAAGCACGGCCTATATATTGGGCAGGTAGAGTACATCAATCCAAGAATTATCCTAAAATTCGACGAACCTCCCCTCCATTATTTTACTACAATTCAAGTGCCTTTTCAAAAATGGAAAAGCTTATTGTAATCATTGCTGTCACTGGTGTTCAGGTGCGTTTTGCTCTCTTTGATCTGCAACATGACGACTGTGGGATACACCTCCACTCCTACCCTGACAGTCTACTAAGCCGAAGCTCATAGGGCTCTTCTGTTGCAAACGTTTTCCTTCGTGAAGGTGGATGGAAGATACGCGGTATTACCCGAGATCCCTCCAAACCTGCAAGCAGAGCTCTCGCTGCCAAAGGTATTGAAATTGTTAGGGGCGATGCAGAGGATATCGAATCCATCAAGGCTGCCCTCCGCGGTGCTTCAGTTGTTTTTGGGAACACGGTATTCCCAGAGGCTTTTTCAAATCCAACTGCAGAGAATGCACCTACACTAGCGCCTGGACAAAGTCTCCGAGAATGGTGCTATGAGACTGAGCTGCGACACGGAAAGAATATCGCCGACGCTGTCGCTACTGTAGACACTCTTGATCTATTTATTTGGTCTTCATTATCAGACGCGAAGAAATGGAGTGGAGGAAAGTATACCGGCGTCTACCATTTTGATGCAAAAGCACATGTTGTTGATTATATTCATAACGAATACCCAACTCTAGCAAAGAAAATGTCTATTCTCCAGATGGGCTTATTTATCACTAATTGGAAATGGGGTCAGGCCGCTGTTCCGTGGGAGAAGGTCTGCTCTACACCAATCTATTCTTTGATCCAAGAACGCCCTCTCTAATCTAGAAATAGCGCCCGGATGGCTCAATGGTACTCCGTGTGCCTGGTAGTGGTGACGTTCCCGTACCTCTGGTTGTCCCTTCCGATGCGGGATATTTTGTCAAAGCTCTCACCCAGGTTCCAGCTGGGAAAAACTTGATCGCTTTCGGCGACCGTATGACCTGGGCTGAATACGTCCAGCTATGGAGCAGAATCACAGGTGTTCCAGCTACTTTCGAAAAGACCACAGTGGCGGAGCATGCTAAGCTTGCGCCAGGGGGGTACGGGGAGGAGATGGCAGAGATGTATGCGTATGCCCAAGACTATGGCTACGACGGCAGTGATCCGTCTGTTGTTTCGGCCCATCAAGTAAGTGTTCGACCTCTTGCATATGTGCGTGTTTTATCCTAAACTGAATTTTAATTTTCTTATATACAAAGCTTGGCGTTAATATTCCGGTGACTCGAATTGAGCAATATATCAAAGAGGAAGACTGGTCTCAACTGTTGTTTACTAAAAGGGCTTAAATATTAAATGTACGCCCCATAGTGCATAACCATTCGAGTAGTAGATTACTATTCTAACCATTGGAAGTTTTTTATATGTCAAAGTAAGAGAATGCCAGCAGACTGCTAGCAGAAGCTTCAAAGATAGCGCGTGCTGGATCGGCATTGAAAGTAGTAGGATGCTACATGTGAATTTCGAAGGCTCATCCGCACGATCATGTCGATCAGAAAGTAATCGTATAAGTGGTAGATATTATTATGGGCAGTGGAAGTTGTTGAGATAAGGTGTACTAAAAGCCACCATAATACGGAGAAAAAGAGCACCATTGGAAGAGATAGTAACTTTACAGCTGTAGCAGTATTCTATCTTTATGCCATACGGATAATCACAACTTACGTATATGAGTCGATACTCCATATCCACCCAAGGTCCTGACCCCCAAAGGAATTGTCGATCAAAGATGCCATGCCACTCAGCTCCATACTGGTGTTTGCATGTGTGTTTTCCTCAGAACCTAGGTGGAATTAGTCAAAAATTTTCCTGGGGCGTAACTGGAAGATTTCTCACCTTGTTCGAAGTTGAACAGCGCCTGTATCATCGATGGGTCTTCGCCGATATCAAAGCGCAGCATGTTATCGTTGTCTACGAAACTGGGAGAGTTTGCGGGTAGGGCGATACTGGTGAAGATGTCCTTTGATGTTTCCATAGGTGAGACCGTGGATTGATCGCTAGCCTGTATATCCGCTTGATGGGGGCTTTGTGGGAGTGATATCAAATGCTGAGGATTGGGTAATATCTGATCGCCCGTGCCTTTGGTCTCGAAATCCAATAATTTCTTCGCTTCTTTTTCAAGTAAGAGAGACATCAGTGTCTTCAGTATCCCGAAGCCCTGTTCCGCGATAATACTTTTAGACTTCAATCCGGTTTGCATTTCCATGAGCCGCCGTAAGCCCATTTTCGATTCATGGGACTCTCGGCTCAATGGTTCAAGACTAGTCAGGATAGACAATGTCAAACCCGCTGTGAAAAGATGCTGCGACACAAATGATACAGCGTACGTATCTGCGACCTGCTGAAAGATGGGAAGCGAACCAAGCAACGAAATCTGAAGTGCTGCATCTCGGCATATCTGTATCGATGTCTGAAACGGATCTGTAGCTTGCCTATCCTGTGTTACAGAACTTTGGCTGGTTGCATGGCTAGTGGCGACTCGTCTGTACGAAAGCAAGGGCCGATAGATCAGTATCCTTGCGTTATCGAACCCGAGCTTAAGCGCAAGAGCCTGAAGTTGGAAGAGATGATCTTCAAAACAGCGATCTAACGAATTAGGCACACTGGAAGTCGAGGCTTTGATCGCCTCTTTCAACGAAAGCCGTACCGGCAAGCTCTGAGACCATTTTTGTAGCCTTGCATCTAATCTTGTGATTGTTTCGACCAGTTGTTTCAACTCATATTTGTCACCCCGTCTCTGGGGTTCTTCAGAGGACCGATGCAAACCATAAAGATCACCCAGTACTGCCTTGACAATAATAGACAGCTGCACCATGAAGTATTTGTACGAAAGAAGAGTTGGTTGGCCGGCTGCACGGCGAAAGACGGAATCTCCTGGAGAATCCAGCGATCTTACTGCATATGGATGCAAGGGCTTAACGTCACAATCCCTGTCCGAGATGCTGAGCGGAAAGCCATACAGCATTGAACAGAAGGTCTCTATGTCATATATCGCCCACCAACATCGTTTCCTGGATTCTTGAGCTCTTTGTAATGGATCGTCCAAATCTGGCGTAGAACTACCGCTTGATGATTGTCGATGCAAGTTTAGAGCTTGAGCAATCCGCAAGCCACAGCCGCAAATTGGCCAGGCAAGTTCTGGTTGCCCATGGTAGAGATAGTAGGTCCCTAGCAGAACACACGTCTGGATTGACTCTAAGGAGCCTAGTGATGCAATGTCAATAAGTTTGAGCCTCAAAGCATCAAGTATTTCGTCCTGTAGCACAAGTTGCTCAATCCCAGTATCTTCTAGATTATGCTTTTGATCAGAACTGGTATACTGTATACTGACGGCGCAGACTGCGAGAAATACGCTGACAAAACCGAGCCGACATTTCTGCTCGTCAAGATTTTGCCAGTCAGAGGCGTAAAGCTGCTGAAACTGATCTCTAAATTCTCTTTGGTGGAACACAAGCACAAACCAATGAATCTTGTCAAAATAATTATTGACTAGTAGCGTAGCCGTCTTAATGTCTGGAAGCAGTATCATCAACTTGGCTTCAGTCGCAATGAGCTTCTTTAGACGCGTTTGGCTTTGTTTAGGCCAGGTACTGCCTGATGCGCCTTCTCGAGTCCAGTGTGTGGCAGAGAGAGCTGAAACATCTCGCCCCTCTGGCGCTACCGTGTCCTGATGATCAAATGCCTTTGGACATCTTCAGTCATAATGCTACGAAACTATCGTTCGAAAGCCTACCTCTTTAATAAAAGACATGGCCGCGGAGCTGGAAGCCCATGGCGACTGTAAGGTGGTAGGGTCTGCATCCTCAGTCTCGCTGGGCTTATTTGAAGTCTCGTAGAATGCAGGAGATGAGACTGTCGTTATGACCTCTTCTCCGATGGCTTGAGCTGAATAAGGAACCCGCTTCGTCGCCTGGGGGCTGGAGCCGTCGCCATCGGCTTTACGAACTTTGCTGATGATCTGGTTGGGCCTCACCGGCTTCCAAATATCGGGCGCTACGGCTGAGCAATTGACCCCAGCTCTTCTACAGAGAGTGCATGGACGATTAATATCACACTGTAAAATAACATTATTAGCTTGCTGTTTCGGCAATGTTGCCAGAGTAGCTTGCCTTGAGTTTTTGGCGCCGGCATCGCTGACAGGCCCGGAAAACCTTTTGAACCATCTTATCTACTCTCCAATGATAATAATAGACTGCGCTGGACCGTATTGGTCTACCGGATAGGATGTTTTTACTAGCATAGCATTGGTGAAATCCCAGGAATATTTCTTGGCTACACAATGTCGAGTTCATGAGGACAGATAGAGAGAAAAGACGTGGAGATTCACACACAAGCCCAGAGTGAGTGAGAGCCACAACAGCTAAACCCTTTTAGGAATGTTTTCCCACCGGAAGCAATTACTCAAGAAGAACGCATCTTCCCTTTCAAGGACATGACTCCGGGCCCTGAGAATGTTGTATTGGTCCAACGTATGGCCACCAGGAGACATTAATTCTAAACCTCTTACATAACTTTTTGTCGAGAATACCTCCTGTCGTGTGGATCATCCGGTGGAATAGGCAGCCCTAAGGAGACAAAATGGCGATTGTTGGTCTGCGCGACCAAGTATGTATTTGTATGTTAAGATCTTGATATAAATTGCCTGTCTGCATTTCTTAATAAATCGCCCACATAGCTTTTTCCATCGATTCCCTAAACATTTCTGCTTGGGTTACTGTTTCAACAAAACTTTGCCTCCGAAAAAGTACGAAAAAATGGATGGCGACCTCACTTCCATGAATTCAATCACTGTGACTTTGCAGCAATTGGCAAAGATGATCGATCATTCGCTCCTACACCCCACAATGACTGATGCGGACATACTTGAGGGTCTCGCTATTGCCAAGAAGTACGATGTCGCCACGGCATGCGTCAAACCATACCTCATTCCTCTCGCCAAGAAGGAGCTTGAAGGATCGAGCGTCCAAGTATGCCCAGTGATTGGCTTCCCGCACGGCAATAGCACCACAGAAGTCAAGGTGTTTGAAGCAGATCGTGCCGCTGCTGCGGGCGGCCGTGAGATCGACATGGTTATAAATATTGGGAGAGCGTTGGGCGGTGATTGGGACTACGTTGCGCAAGAGATTCGGCAGATTAATGAAACGGTCATCAAGCACGGTGCTACACTCAAGGTTATTTTCGAGAACGACTATCTCGAGGATGAGCATATCATACGGCTCTGCGAAATATGCTCCGGGATCGGCGTCGCATTCGTCAAAACTTCCACGGGATACGGTTTTGTTAAGCAGCCAAACGGGCTCTACTCATACGCCGGAGCTACCATTGACCACCTGAAGCTGATGAGAAAATACTGTAAATCAGAGGTTCAAGTCAAAGCAGCTGGTGGAGTCCGGACATTGGACGACTTGCTGCACGTTATGTCGCTCGGCGTGACGCGAATCGGAGCCACGGCAACAGTCGCCATCATGAAGGCGGCAGCTGATAGGGGAATAACTAATAAGCCCACGACGGTCGAGTTCAAGCCTATGGCTGAACAGCAGCTCGGAGGCTACTAGCAAACAGTGGATAATTAATGCATTTTGATACTATTTCTCTTTTATATAAATATCTTTCTCTCTTGTCTTCTGCTAAAAGCTTGGACTCTTGATGCACATTCTTCACAGTGAGATACGGGGCCGTTTTTTGCTTTTGAGTTGATTATGCATGGTGTTCATACTACTTGGGCTGACTATCAATAAGGATTGCTTACTTTAGGTGGCCAGGCAGTCTCGCTATTCCTTGAAATCGCGGGCCATCTGGCCTAATTAGTGAAAGCCCAAAATCTACGGCGGAACACATTTCCTTGTATCACATTAATTGTCTCTTATGCCTTGGGCAGCGCCTTGTAAATGATCATCTCTTAACCCTGTGTGACGTTGATTGGTCTGCTGTGGCATGTGACTGGTCAAGTGAGAAATACAATGAAACAAATGGAAACAATGAGCTTATCGAGTGATCTGTCAAGGAAAAAAGAATGGAAGTATAAGAATCATGATACAAGCTGAGGCTAGAGATATGAGATGTACTCTCCACTGCCAAAGCTTAGACGTATCCTTCATTATCGCCCCTTTTCTGAAGTTTACTGTATGCGACTAATTATATCTTACCATTTAATACCGTCGGGTCCACTACACGCTGCAAAGCTTGCCAGTTGAAGTACTATATTACTAGTAGAATTGAAAGAGACGGCAATCACTCATCGCCCTGAGTCTACTTCCAGCTGACATAGCTACTAAAATGCCAAAGCGGCAAACCTCATGGTGGTGTAATCTAAAATCGTCCTCCAAGAGGCCAGCACTATCAATGTATTGAAAAACACATTATATAGATATATATATATTATTAATTACAGATTGCTATGCAACACTATGTAGTCAATAGAGCTTTGGGCCTCTTTAGGATATATTTCAAACTGTAACCAAGGTCAATGTACTAATTGCTTAAAGCGGAACTTAAGGGTAGCTATAAAATTTACGCGCATAAGTAAGCTAGCCTGCCTCTATATTCCTATTCCAGTAACATCTTCAACTTACTTCCGTTTCCAGAGCTTGCGACCCACTATTAGGGCTTTACATTCTTCCTAGCTAGGAAAGATCTCACCCTGCTGCTGTAGCTACTACCCTTTGTGAAGCTGTATTGACCCATAATGCAACCACAGTCAGGAGAGCTTAGCAATCATCAAGCTTCTTCCCCTTCGAGATAGCTAAGGATAACTGAATCGAGAATTGAAAGTTTTATAAATATCCAATGCGGCGTCCGCTACGCATTTCAAAGCTATGTCTTTGTTCACAGTCCTCAGCATTGGCCCGTCGGCACATAATACCTAGCAACTGCACTTGGTAGAAGCAGGACTAGCACTACCTCATAGCTTATTGCCAAGCTCGAAGCTTGCACAGCTCTACGCCATGGCTTCAACAGATGGATCAACAACTCCGTCGTTGTCTTTGGACGAGAAAATTCGCAACAAGAATCAAGATCCTGAATTAGCTGTGGCGGAAGGTCAAATGGAACAACGCCAGCAGCCACGGGGCTCATTCTCCAAGCATGACGCCTCACAAGTTTCCGAGCAGCCTGGAGTTTCGGGTGATGGAGGGGAAGAAACCTCTGAACCAACTCTACAAACAGGCTGGAAATGGTGGTTAATTTGCTTCGGTGTTTATTCAACTTGCCTCATGTATGGGCTCGACACCACAATTGCATCAGTCGTTCAAGCCCCGGTCGTTGATACGTTCAAAGAAGTCTCTCAGGTCGCATGGATTGGTGCTGGCTTTCTCCTTGGATCAACAGCGGTTATCCTTCCCTACGGCGCCATGTTCAATACTTTTGATCTGAAATGGAATTTTATCGCGGGAGTTATTCTGTTTGAAGGAGGATCAGCACTATGTGGAGGCGCCCCAAACATGGGTGCCCTCATCGTAGGCAGAGTGATTGCTGGTGTCGGTGGTACCGGTATCTTCTTAGGGAGTCTCAACTATATGACAGTCCTTACTCCCCCAAAAGTAAGAGGAACATATGTCACTGGCGTTGGGTTCTTTTGGGGCATTGGCTGCATCCTTGGCCCCATCGTTGGTGGTTCTTTGTCAGACAGCTCGGCAACTTGGAGGTGGGCATTCTACATCAACCTTGTCATTGCCGCCGTGACAGCGCCAGTGTACCTCTTAGTGCTGCCCTCGTATAAGCCCTCTTCAGATCAGTCGCTCATGACACGCCTTGTCAAATTGGACTATCTGGGCTTCGCTCTTAGTATCGGCTTCTGGGTCACTTTTGCACTTGGCTTTCTATCCGCAGGAGGGATCTGGAAGTGGAGCGATGGACGCACAATTGCCACAATCACGATGTTTGCCGTCTTATTAGCAGCTTATGCTTTGCAGCAGACATTTTGCATATTTACGACACCAGAGACGCGTTCATTCCCCCTCCATCTCTTGAAATCGAGAACTCAGATTCTGCTCTACATCGAAGCAGCCGCCGCTATGGCTGCTATTTACGTACCAATCTTCTACATCGCCATCTATTTCCAGTTTGTGCGTAATGACAGCTCGCTTGAAGCTGCCGTACGCCTACTGCCCTACATCATCCTGTTCATTGTCGCCAACTTGGGCAGTGGTTACCTACTTCCCAAGGTGAACAGATACATTATTCTTTACGTCGTCGCGGGAGTCCTTCTTACGATTTCCGGATCACTCTTATATGTCTACCTCACCCCGACGACAAAACCAGCTACGATCTATGGACTCAGCATCATCGAAGGAATTGGCGCCGGAATCAGTGCCCAAGTCGGCTTCTCCATTGCGACGCTCGAGTCGGGTCCTAAAGATGCCGCACACGCCCTAACACTTCAAAATCTGGGCCAACTCGGAGCGGGCGTGATTGCGCTTGTGGTCGCTGGTCAAGTTTACCAGACCACCGCTATCAAGGGCTTGACTGAAGCACTCGCACCGGCCGGCTATACGGCCGCTCAAATTGAGGATGCGGCTGCTGGTGCACAGAGTGTTGTCTTCCAAGATCTGACGGGCGACCTCAGAGACAAGGCCATCATTGCAGTAACAAACGCTATCCAGAGGGTTTTCATCTTGCTCATTGTTGCAGGCGCTGCCTCTTTCATCGCGGCTGTGGGCATGAAACGACACAAGCTGTTCAAGTAAAGCACCGATGCTTGGACGCCTGAAGAGCAGGCTTTAAGCGAGAGATGAAAGAGCGAGACAACCTGATTGTAATAAGTCTGTATGGCAATAATTTATTGGGACGAGACCTGTTTCATAGATGATGCTCGGATCAATCTAGTCAAAGAAGGTGTATTAATAGACGTTGGCGGAGATTGAGCTTAATTGAAGGAGATATCCAGCGGTATGCTAGAACTTGTAATGAATTTTTCTTATAACTCATAAACTTTTAAGCAATCATTACGACGAGATGCAAATACCTTTCACGCCTACGGTAGAGTAAATAGCAGCCAGCTCCCATATAGTTTCAGTGCTGACTACTATAAACTTGCACGCCTAGTATAACATATACATTTTTTGATGTTTGTGCTAATGGAAAGTGATTACTAAACCCGACTTCAGTACAGATACTACCTGAATGAAGTTAAATTTAGAAGACATGAATACGTGTATCCATTTTTGCCGCGCGGTATAGACATGTTGTCACATAGGGATTTGCGAACATAACCAACTGTTTATTGGCCCCTGTAGCTGTTTAGTGCCGCCTTGGGTGACCTACTTGGCATCGACACTAGCTGCTTATATGCGCCCAATTGAGGGCGGCTGTTGTCGGCGGCTGCATCTAGCATAAGTATCAAGCGAGCCCGGCATCGAAGTCCTCATCTTCTGCTTTAGGGCTCTTCTCAAATGCATGTATGCGTCTTTTAAAATGAATGGCGTTCAAGATAAGCCGGAACTATCTGCAGCCCAGCCTGCGTTCCCACTAACTTCTAATGTTAATCATCCTCTCGAACATCCCACTCAAACAGACGCTGCGCCTGAGGAGATCGAAGAAGGTAGAGCCGCATATCGACCTGGAGGCTTGCATCCTGTATATATCGGCGATATTTTCGATGACAGGTTCAAAGTACTCAGTAAGATCGGTTATGGGCGTTATTCAACCGTCTGGCTAGTCAGAGATTTACAAGCTAAGTGAGCGGAGTCTTGCTCGCAGCATATTTTCTTACATCGCTTTTTACTAATGTTCCGGCTACACAGTAATATACAACATGAATTCCGAGCACTAAAGATACTGAGAGCTGAGGCATACGGCGGCGATAATGACATCTTTGAAAGGGAAATCTTGACTCATTTTCGAAATGCGGAGGATCGCGACCTGTACGGTTACAGATACGTTTGCCACCTGATTACTCAATTCGAACATCAAGGTCCGAATGGCACTCACATATGCTTTATCTTTGAGCTCATGGGTGAAACTCTCCTCAGCTTTGGCGCCTGGTTTCCAAATGACATGATCCCATATTCGGTCATGCGCAGATTCGCAATTCAGCTGGTATTGGCCCTCGATTTCGCACATGAACTCAACGTTGTTCATACAGGTATGAAGAGCGCCCGCTAACAGCTGACGATCCACTTGACTCCTGCGGCAACTAACCTATAAATCTCAATTAGATATAAAGCCTGATAATATTTTTGTCAAGTTTCGTGACTACTCCCTGATTGAGTCTGGATATCTGAAGCATATTACCATCCCTCAGCAAGACCGGGAAGAATCACAATACTGCCCTATTCCGTCCTGGCCGCTCCGTGCTTTCTATTTCAACAGATCAGATGATGCTCGTGTAGACGAATCCGACATTGCACTGGGAGATTGGGGTGTCGCTAGTTGGACAACGAAACATCTCACTGAGAAGATCCAACCAGTGGCACTTCGCTCTCCTGAGGTACTTATCGAAGCCCCATGGGGTACTACCACTGACTGGTGGAATTTCGGTGCTGTATTACTGGAAGTCTTCCGCGCTGTGCGAATGTTTAGCGGCAGAGTGTCTCCAGAAGGCCATTACGAGCTCAAGAAACACCTAACTGAAATTGTTGACATGTTTGGGCCTTTTCCAACGAATCTTCTTGAGAAAGGGAATCAGGATATTGTTGGTAAGCTATTTGATAGCGAGGGACGCATTCAAGACGCAGACCCTTCAGAAGGGCCTGGCTTGTTATCTGAAGATTGGCTGCCTGGTCTTGATCTAGAACAGAGAGAGTGTTTCGTCTCATTCCTGAAGACAGTAATGAGGATCGATCCTGATGAGCGCCCATCACCGGAAGATATTTTGCGACACCCTTGGCTAGGCGCATTAGCTTAGTATCATGACAGAGTGGATAAAGCAGTACCAAGCAATATTATATTTCATCTATACAAAACTTATGTAGGTATGTATGTCATGTACTATTTATATGTACTTTGCAAAACTTCCAAAACCTCATGTATTTAATCCCAAAAAACCCAAGCTGCAAATAATTATCCATGCGATTGGTGAATTGCTACTTTACGTATATTCCGATTCGGGCATCTGCATAGCTACAGTGGGTCAGCAAAAGTCAAGACAACCCCACAGTATACACCAAAACTTAGCATATATATATATAAATATAACACTAAATATAAATAAAATTAATAAAATAATAACATGAACTATTATTTGAATATAAAAATATTTATAGAATATATTTTATCTTATATTTATATGTAATATATATATATAAATATTAGCTTAAAGTTTATCTATTTTCTTTTTTAAATTCGCACTGTAGCTAGCGGCTTTATAGAGGGTTTATAGTGGAAAATACAGTGCTAGTATTAGAGTATATTTTAAGAAATATATTCTAAATTCTTTTAAAAATTCCTAAATATGAAAAATAAAAAAATAAGTATATATTTATATAATAATACTATTTTAAAGCTTATGTTAAATACTTTATTTAAATTAGTCTTAATTTGTAAGATATATAAAAGAGTTATAAGTATAGATTTTCTTAGGCATTAGGCGGTGCACTGTGGGGCTCGTCGTCACTTTTGCGTCCCCACTGTAGTACCCCACGAACGGGGTTTAGGGCCCGGAAATACAAGCAGCTTCTAGAGAAAACATCTCGTTGGATTACTCCAGGCTAATAAGCACTATAAACGCTCGCGTTCATACTAGACTGCCGGGTCATAAATGCATTGGCATTGACTTACATCCACTTTATCGGAGTCGATACGTAGTTTTATTTCTTCAGGCATAGTAGACTATCGTATATCTAAGTTCGTTCTTACTTAAGGACTCAACTGTTATTAAGTAGATAATTAGCTTCTCAACGTACTAGATTTGTCATCGCTCATAGATATGTCCATGTGATAGAGAACAATCTATTTAGAAGTCTACATAGGCAAAGAGCGACACTACAATTCCAAGCGAGTACTTGGATGTACAAATTGATGTCACTACCAACCCCGATTCCAAATCATTTTAGCCTCCATCATTGAGCATAAATAACGCAAGTATTCCTATGCTACGAACTGAGTTTGCTCTGTTTCTCCCACCAACGTTTTCGACCTCTTCGAAATCTATAATGAACGAGCTACAGGGCTTTTCACACAAACGTCTGCGAGTCGGGGTTGACGTAGGCGGCACAAACACTGACAGCGTGCTTATTGATCTGGCATACCCATCAGAGCCAGACAAGGCAATACTAGCTTGGCACAAAACACCCACGACACCAGATCCAAGCGATGGCATAAAGACTGCACTCAGCAGCTTACTTAAATCGACGACTAGAAAGTCAGACATAGTCAGCGTGGCGATAGGGACTACGCACTTTATCAACGCGGTCGTAGAGCGAGATGCCAATCGACTCTCCAGGGTTGCTGTGCTGAGACTGGGCTACCCCTATAGCAAGCATATGAGGCCTTGCAGTGACTGGCCGGATGGCTTACGAAGACTCGTGCTGGGCCATCATGCTTTATTGCGGGGGGGGCTTCAAGTGGACGGAAGCCCCATCGGCGACATTGAGCCAGCGGAGATTCGGGCAGAGTGTACCCTTATCAAGCAAAAAGGCATTCACACCGTGGTTATCAATGGGATCTTCAGCCCCCTCGACTCCGCAGAGAATCAAGAGCAACTTGTATCTGAGATTGTGCGCCAGGAGCTGCCGGGCTGCGATGTTGTACTCTCCAGCGAAGTTGCCAATCTTGGCTTCATCGAGCGAGAAAACGCTGCGATCCTCAACGCAGCCATATTGCGATATGCACGGCAGACTTTACGTTTGTTTCAGCGGCCTTTGAAACAATTGGGTCTAAATTGTCCGGTTTTCATAACTCAAAATGACGGGACAGTCCTCCCAGGGCAACTTGCTGCAAAGTTTCCTATAAGGACATTTTCTGGTGGCCCGACCAATAGCATGCGCGGAGCTGCTTTTCTTGTAGAGAAGTATTCGCTGGGTAAACGCGACGAGAAGAAGCCAATGATGGTGGTCGATATTGGTGGCACAACGACGGATGTTGGACTTCTGCTTCCTTCGGGTTTCCCAAAGCAGCGAGCGGCCTTTAGCAACTTGGGGGGAGTTCGGATGAACTTTTCTTACCCAAATGTCACTAGCATCGGTCTCGGCGGAGGGTCACTCGTCTATCGTGATAAAGACATGGCTGTTGGTCCAGAAAGCGTCGGCCGCCGACTTACAGAAGATGCAATTATATTTGGTGGCGCCGTTCTGACAGCCACCGACTGTGCCGTTTCCGCGGATCCTAATCTGGCGATTGGCTCGCCGGATGTGCTTGCGGCACGCCTCAACCTAAGCCCAGAAGAAATCTACAATTTCCAGCAAGCCGTTAAGTCAAAGCTGGAGCAGGCTATAGACTCGATGAAGACGTCTCCGGAAGACCTGCCCGTCTTGTTGGTTGGTGGTGGCGCTATCCTGGCCCCGAGCAAGCTGAAGGGGGCTAGCGAAGTGCTCCGGCCGCCGTGGTCAGGCATCGTGAATGCTATTGGGGCCGCCATGGCTGGATTGAGCATTGTGGTCGATACCATTAAGACGATTGGTACTAAAACAGAACAGCAGTGGCTTGAGGATATTAAGAAGGCTGCCATCCGCAAAGTAGTTCACGCAGGCGCTCTACGCTCTTCGGTCCAAATTGTCGAGTTGGAGACACTCCCGATGTCGGTAAGTTTGTTTGAGCTGCTTGAAATTTTTGCATGGCCATTGACTAAGAGCTAACTCGGTTCACACAAGTATGTCGAGAACAAGGCTCGATTCATTGTTCGCGCAGCAGGTGACTTCAATTATAATGCTCCAAGTCTGGAAGTTGCAGTTGATGGCATGGACGATGCGAATGACCTAGTAAACTTGGCAGATGACACAAAGACTTCTCGGTATGAGCTTAAACTAGGCGCTGGTGATTTCTCCAACGCTACAGCAGAGGAAACTGGCGACTTACGTTCATATAAGCCCAAGGTCCAGGACCGAGTGTGGTATCTTAGTGAGACAGATATTGCCTGGATTGCCACCGGGTGCAATATTCTTGGATCAGGAGGTGGTGGCTACCCATTCCCAACGGCTATGCGTCTTCGACAGATGATACGCAATGGCGATGTAATTCGCGTAGTCGACTCGCATGATGTCGACGATAACGCCATCGTGGGAGGAGCATGCTTCGGTGGTGCGCCCAATGTCTTTTCCGAGCGACTTCCCGCCGACGAGCTACTTGAAGCTCAGAATGAGCTGATGCGGCTATATCAAGACCCGATCACGCATCTCAACTGCTTGGAAGTTGGCGGTGCAAATGGCATGCAAAGCTTTGTGGTCGGTTCCAGCTCGAATCTTGATCTGCCGACGGTTGATGGCGACTACTGTGGTCGCGCATATCCCGTGCTATGGCAGACAACGCCGTATGTCTATGGTGATCGCCAGCCGGTGTATCTCCCAATGGCGCTGAGTGATGGCAACGGAGCCTCAGTCATTGTCTCCCAGGCCAAGTCAGACAAAGTTGTTGAACGACTCTTGCGAGCCGCGCTTAGTGAGCTCGGATCTCTGGCCGGTGTGGCCGTTGCGCCTGCTTCAGGCGCCGAGTACAAACGCTGGGCTATTCGCAACACTATCTCACAATCATGGCGGATCGGAAGGGCTGTTCACTTGGCTCGTCTGTTGAATGGTCTTGATACAATGACGGAGTCGATTATCGACGAGTGCGGCGGCACCGATGCGGCCAAGGTCCTGTGGCGAGGCAAGATCGTCAGTGTGAAGCGGACACTTCGTAAAGCCCATCTCTACGGCGAGTGCGTTATTGAGGGCGAGGGTGGAGACAGTTTCAACGGCCATGTTGTAATCCCGTTTAAAAACGAGAATATTGCTGCTATAAAGACGTCTCCTCGCAATGAGCCGACCGAGTCGATTGCTTTAGATTCCGAAGAGCTTCAAGGCGAGGTACTAGCCGTTGTGCCAGACCTCGTGGCCGTTCTAGATGCCGAAGATGGTGAGGATATTGGTACGCAGGATTACCGGTATGGTCAACGTGTTTCTGTCATAGGCATTGCTGCTAGCGAGCAGTGGACTAGCACTGAAGAAGGTATCAGAATTGGGGGCCCTGAGGGTTTTGATATGGGATATTTGAAGTACAAGCCGTTTGGAAAGTACTCTGCTCCAAAAAGTGTTATCAATGAGTATAACATCTCATAGATTACTTTTAAGAATCAAGCATACTCTCTACTGGTGGACTGTTTCCAGGTGGATGAGGAAATTGCTTGGAAGAATTATTATGCTATCACCATATACCAAAAAGAGAAGAACTTTTGACTTGCATCCTGACTGGTGTACTGATGAGAGTTCGGAGCTGAAAACATAGATGGCTTTGCGAGCCAACAAAAGCCCTCTTATTCTTCATTTTTGATGCATTAGAAGGCAAATGGGTACAGTCGCACGAATCAAATGCACAGAGTAGTCGCACACACTGCAAAACAACGTTCGAGCGAAATTTTCATTATTTGAATATAATAATATTTGGATTCGCTTTGCTGACTGTTGTTTTGCGGTAATTAAGCTGATCGATTGACTTGACCCGCTGTCACAATATTGATACCTAGAAAGGCTTTACTTGGTCAATTAGGGAAGCGACACGTGGGCTAGGGAAGCGCTGTGATAAGCTGGTTTATCTAACACCAGTTGTCTGATGGCGTTTCCTAGTATTACTAAATAGAAGTAAGCACCGATGAAAGGCGCCGAAGAAGGGGACGAGTTATCTGTGAGGTGTTGGCTGAAAGCCTTTAGCTTCTTGGCTACAGCACTAGCTGAGGTAGAGAATTCTGGGCGGCCGCCATTCCTCACGTTCTGGGGACCGAGCCGGGGCACGTGCTACGGCGTGGCAAGAAAAAAGATCTTGGCAGATGCCCATAGGTAGCTGACGGTATGAGAATAGCATTGTCTTTACACTAATTCACAGCATGTGTCAAAGACCCTGAATCGTTCCACGCTGCTAGCTCTTGGAAGTCGCCATTGACACACAAACCTAGCCGTAAACCAGCGTAGCGACGAGAAACTGCTCACGGTAAGAGATCTGGAAGTAGCTAGCGCTAGATTTCCGCCAAGCTTAATTATTAAGTTTATGCAGCGGTTCCTCAGTAGTCAACCTTACTGGGGTTAAGTCCAGCAACTTGCCAAGCTTGGCAAAGCCAACACTCGAAGTTTTGTTCAAGCACGTGCTCTTTCGCGATTGAACCTTTCATGTTAGTGCTCTTTCAGCCTTTCTTGATAATATTTTCCCATGTACGCACGAAGTTAAGACCAAAGGTGCTGCTGTATCAATAGATTGCCTCTGCACCTTCTTGTCTTCTTCAGCTACTTCTAGTCCGTCCGTATTACTTGCCTCTCTGAATATTTCACGCGACACCCCCTCCAACTTCGAGATACGGCAGGCAATGGGGCTGCTTCTGGATCCCTTGGCTGAAGTAGTAGACCTAGGCAGTGGGTCCGGGGGCCACCCCGATCTACCGTTACGGTGACTTGCTCAAGCCCACGTGTGTTTTCTTGATAATCTGATAGGAAGAAACACCATGCTTAATATCTACGCTGAAGGTGGCCTCATTCAGTGGCGTCGTCCGTTTGAGCGATCCAAAGTCCCACCAGTGCATTTGCCAAGCAGCTATCGGCTCGAGTCCAAGAGAAACTTATTGCGATAGGCCAGCTCGCCTTGACTTTTCTCTACAATATTCGTGGTTCTTTTGTGACTTCGGTGCCTGAAGCGGCAAAGTCCACAATATGACACTCCACTTTCTTCTCATTCTCTTCTCGTATGCCTACAATCTAACGGCGTGAATGAAGCATGCGAAGGGCCTTGAAGTTGGACCGAAACTGAACACTTCAGGTACCCGGCGCTGTGGCCGTCTTTCGGCTAATGGATGCACACGTGCAAACAAGACTTGCATACGTAGGACTGGTATAATATATGAGGCTCGCCCTGTGTGACTGTACTGAGCTTTTATCTCAGTTCCTTCTCAATCACCATCAAACCTTTGAAGATCTGTCTGGTTACCTCTTTGAGCTGCCCGGACACTCATCAGTCAACATGGTGCTCCATCAATATGACTACATCTTTGCCATTGGCACTTTGTTTGCCATGCTAGATGCCTATAACAACGGTGCAAGTGCGTGTCCCGAGCATACAGCTAGTTCATCCTCCTAACAAATGAACGTACGAAATATCATGATACTCATATTATATCTCCTCTAGATGATGTGGCCAACTCCTGGGCTACCAGTGTCTCTTCAAGATCAATCTCTTACCGACAAGCCATGGTTCTCGGGACCGTCTTCGAGATGCTCGGCGCCATCACTGTGGGTGCCCGAACTGCGGATACTATAAAGAACGGCATTATTCCAGTCGCCGCTTTCCAGGGCAACGCCGGTGTCCAGATGCTTGCATTCACATGTGCCCTTGCCGCTGCATCCTCTTGGGTGATGTGGTGTACTCGCCACTCTGCCCACGTTTCCTCTACCTATTCGCTCATCTCTGCTGTTGCTGGTGTCGGTGTCGCAACAGTAGGCGCAAGCAAAGTCCAATGGGGATGGAACGACGGCAAAGGTCTTGGTGCCATCTTTGCTGGGCTGGGAATGGCTCCCGCCATTGCTGGAGGCTTCGGTGCTTCTATTTTCCTTCTGATCAAGTTTGTTGTCCACGTCAGGAAGAGTCCTGCCAAGTGGGCTGTATACACCTCTCCCTTCTTTTTCCTCATTGCCGGCACAATCTGCACTCTGTCCATTGTCTACAAAGGATCCCCCAACCTGGGCCTGGGCAAGAAGCCAGCATGGTACATTGCAGCCGTCACTATGGGCACTGGTGGAGGAGTTTGCCTTCTGTCTGTCCTGTTCTTTGTCCCTTTCGCGCGCGCCAAGATTCTGAAGAAGGACTACACTGTCAAGTGGTGGATGTTCATCCTCGGCCCTCTCCTTTGGAACCGCCCAGCCCCCGCCGATGCTGAGTTGGCCGCTGTCCCCGACTACGCCGTTATTCAAGGAGAAGAGCACGTTCATGAGTCCAGCCGCTCGTTGCAGACCGAGTCGCTCGATAGCGAGTCGCCGAAGAAGACTGACGCTGTCCCGGGAGAAAAGAATCTTTCGGTTGTTGAGGCTAACAAACCCAGCTATGAAGAGCTTGCACAGGCAAGTGATGCCAAACTCAAATCCCGCCTCTACCAAAGCCGAGGACCAATTGGCTGGGCTATGCGCACACTTCGCGACAATCCCATGGGCCCAGGCCAGATATACGAGTGGCACAACGTTAGAATCTTGGCCAAACGCATCCCGGCCATGATCGTTTCCGGCCTTCTCTATGGTTTCTACTACGACATCCATGCTGCCCAGACTGGTACCGAGGGAACACCCGATGGTGATCGCATGAAACGTGTCTACGCCAATGCCGAGAAATACCCCAACGAAGTTGAACACACATACTCTTTTGTCCAGGTTTTGACAGCATGCACTGCTTCTTTTGCCCATGGTGCCAACGATATTGGCAACTCTGTCGGGCCTTGGGCCGTCATCTACTCTGCTTGGAAGACTGGCAACGCTGCTGCGGCAAAAGCGCCTGTTCCCGTTTGGCAATTAGCCGTGTTGGCTGCGATGATATCGATTGGTCTCATCACCTACGGGTACAACATTATGAAAGGTAAAAATCACCTAAGCTTCCATTTTTGTTTAGTATTAGCTACTAATCGTGTAAAATAGTCATGGGCAACAAAATCACCTATCACTCTCCTTCCAGAGGCGCTTCCATGGAAATGGGTGCTGCGATCACTGTTCTCGTCTTTTCTCAGTACTCTCTGCCTGTCTCTACGTCTATGTGTATCACCGGCGCAACAGTCGGTGTTGGTCTCTGCAACGGTACTTTCAAAGCTGTCAACTTCCAGCGAGTTGGGCTCCTGCTGTTTTCTTGGATCATGACTATTCCCGTCGCAGGTACTCTTGGCGGTGTCCTTATGGGCCTCTTCCTTAATGCGCCGCACTTTGCACCTTCGTAGGTGAGCCTGGAAACGGTCTGCGGAGAGTATTTGACAGTTTTTTTTTTAAATAGAATTTTTTCGAGATATTTTGGAGTCAAATAAAAGTAATACATTATTAAAGGCATTCTACTTGCTGAACTGTGCTCAGCTCATATAGCCCCGCCATGTAGATAAAATGTTTTCCCTTAGGTTTTCTTTGCCAAAAGAAAACGCTCTAATCTGGCGTAACGCGGAATCTTATTAATCGATGCCAAAGGCTCCTTGGTAGAGTATTTATTTGTTGTTCTAAGCGAACTAGCCGGCTCTTCGTAATCAGCTTCCCCGCGATTTTCTACAAGCTAATATCACCAATTCGCATAGATAAATACCAATATTCCACAGAAACGCCTTTACCTGTGCACAGCGCCAGATAAATTGCTTTCTCATCATTAGCAATGCAAGCTACCAGATTGATTCCATAGACCTTTGTGGAGATACATGCGTTTTTTGCTCCAATCAAAATCACATTATTTAAACTCAAGGGGCAGATCGATGTGTGCGGTTGTCCAACTACCAGCGTCGATTACAAATCCGAAAATGGCGTTAGAGTCGGAATTACACGATTGAGAAAAGCAACCAAATATAGAGGCTTTATTGGAAAGTTGGGCAAAGGGTCCTGCGATTAGCAAGATTGAATAATGAATGACAAAGAATGCATTTAAACTTATGAGTATTCCAATTGTTTTGGCTGCACTCGTTGTGAGATGCGGCATACAAATATCATGATAAAACAATGGGATTGCTTCATATCACTAGAAGAATTCAACTGGCCTTCACAGATTTCACGGGTTGAGTCAAAAACGCAGTCGCATACACCAAAACAAAATGGCTAATGAGGGTTACTGGCTTGTTGGAGTTGGAGAGACACCAAAGCTTGGTCCTGGAGACATATATGAGCCCGGAAAGGGTGAAATATTGATACAGGTGTGTTTATACTCTGATAGTTGAGCTCCTGGATTCATGGAATTATATTCACTCGGGAACCAAGGTTAAAGCCGTAGCAGCTCAACCTGGAGAATGGAAAATGCAAGAGGGCCTCATTCCAATCAAACTCCAATATCCCACCATTATTGGCCGTTAGTGTCTGTATTCTTGTGTTCGGCTTCATTTCTAACAATTAAAAGTTTCTGCCTCTGGTATCGTCAAAAAGACGGGTCCAGGAGTGACTCGATTCCAGCCAGGTGATCGCATCTTGACAAATACTACGGGCGTCCTGCGAAATGATAGTCGCTTTGGGGCCTATCAGAAGTACTGTCTTGCCCCAGAAAACTTGGTTTCAAAGGTACGTTGGTTGTGAACAAGGGAAAAAAGATTGATATAAATACTAATCGCTATAATACCCAGATCGGCAATGTGCCATATGATGAAGCTGCGAGCCTTGCGACGTCTTATGCAGCAATGAGTGCTCTGGTCCTTCATCTCGGGTTAAACAAGCCGCAAATACCAAGTGCTATTTCGACCGGCGAAAAGATTCTTATTTGGGGAGTATCTTCGTCAATGGGAATGTTTGCTGCACAGCTGGCAAAACACGCTGGCTACGAAGTTGTAGGCGTTGCATCTGGACGCCATCAAGAGCTAGCAGCGCAATATGGAATCGCTCATTTCGTGGACCGTACAGCAGCAGACGTTGTCACTGTAGCCTCTTCATTGGGTCCGTTCAAGGCTGTTTTCGCAGCGGCCGATTCCGCCGAAGACCAAGTTAAAATCGGTGCAATTTTAGCCGCTTTGGGAGGAGGCTCTTTTTTGACCACAATGGGAGTCCGGGCTGGAGTACAATTACCCAAAGGTGTCACTGGGTTTTTTAGGCAATATCTTGATGACTACTTGGACGAAAATAATCGTGAGTTCACGGAGTGGTTTTGGTGGAACTGGCTAGAAGCTGCCTTGGAACAGAAACAGCTCAAGTCTATTCCTCTTACAGTTGTTGGGGGCTTAGATAAAACTGGAGAGGCCTGGAGAATGTTGAAGCATGGTGAAAATCACGGCACTAGGTTGATTATCGTGCCACAATGAGCAAATGCCCGATTTCTGGAAACTAGAGAGCCATATGCTAGGTATTATGTAGCTTTTCATTGATGGGTAGGTAGATCATTACAGACGCAAGGAAAGCGCTATTTACGAATTAGTATCAGAGAAGAAAGCAATAGACTTCAAAACTTGTAGCCAGTGAAACATTCACTGAGGCAAACAAAGTGAATTATATACGCGTAATCTCGAGGCAATGGGCAACTGGCAATCAATCAGAATGCTGCATCACCCACTATTACGTACAGCAGCAACCAGAACTGAAAAGCGAAAGCGCCCTCTAAACATGTGGGTCGCGGTCGTATCTGCGCGCCCTTCCAAGTACCAGCGGCGATATATGCATAGCCAATTCTCAAATTCCTATACCGTTTTTCCAAGACGTAAAGCCACTCTTTCAACATGACGATACCCCCTTACAATGACAGCCATGTCAGTATCGACAGAAATGGCATTGTTGAGAACAGGCACTTTGTCCACGCTGCCGTCGTGGACTCTACGGGACAGCTTCTCTTTAGCCTAGGGGATCCATCACGTTTTACTTTGCTGCGTTCAGCCGCGAAGCCTGCTCAAGCGTTGGCTGTCACAGAAACTGGTGCGCTTGAGAAGTTTGGTTTTGATGACGCTGATCTAGCCCTGATGTGCGCCTCACATAGCAGCGAGGATCGTCATATTTCGCGGGCTCAGGGAATGCTGGTGAAATCGCAGCACACAGAAGACCAACTGCAGTGCGGTGGCCATCCCGCTCTCAACCCGGCTGTAAACCGCGCATGGATAAAGCGTGATTTCGGGCCCACAGGCGTCTACAACAACTGCTCTGGCAAACACGCAGGCATGCTGGCGGGAGCTAGAGCTCTGGGCGCCTCATCAGATGACTACCACCTTTTGACGCATCCAATACAAGCAAGAGTCAGGAGAATTGTAGAGGAATTGTGCGGCTTAAGCGAAGAAGAAGTCAGCTGGGGGGTTGACGGATGCAACATGCCAGCACCGGCGCTTCCTCTCTCTCACCTTGCAAAGCTGTATGCTTCATTCGCCCAGGCCTCTGACCTGTTGGCAAGCGGCGATAGCATCGCTCCTAGAACGCAGCGCATGGGGCGAATATTTAACGCAATGTCCCAGATGCCCGAAATGGTTGGCGGCGAAGGTCGATTTTGTACTCTTCTCATGGAAGCTTTTCATGGATCGCTGATTGGCAAAGTTGGCGCAGACGGCTGTTACGGCGTGGGAATGCGCGAATCTGAGATATCGCGCAACCTGGGAGCTGTTGGTGCTGTGGGCATCGCGGTAAAGATTGAAGACGGCAATTTGGACATTCTTTATGCCGCAGTTGCTGAAATTCTGGAGCGGCTGAAGATTTGCAATCAAGCAAGCAAAGAAAGTCTATATGCATATCACCATCCTGAAATTAAAAACACAAAAGGCATTGTCACAGGTACTACGAAGTTTCACTTTAGCTTTCGGTCGACCGGCTAGGCGGTGCTAGCTTGAATGGTTAAAGCAAGTATTGAGAGGGCAACGTGGGATTCCGTATCTCTAATCTGTTTCCTGCTGCATTCTAAACGTCCTATACTTCTGTAGTCACGTATAAAAAAAAGTTAATAGAATATGAGCCCCTGCTAGTTACCATCACAAGCTCCTGTATGTGTATCTTACACCACCAATAGCTGTAGGTCTTACATCATCGATCCTGATAAAGCGAAAGCCCGTGTCATCACAGTCCTGTGCACCATGTGGCGAATTCAGTTTTCGCAAACAGGCACCTACCGATGTTGGCGACTGGACCGCGTGAAGTAGGATGGAGGCGACACGGATTTTCCTGAATAGGTAGGTATTGGGCCTACATTGCGTGGTTTCCAAAGTGTGAAACCCGGTCATGGAGCTATATACTAAAAATTAGTTGTATACGAAGTAGCATTCATTGCTACACGACATAGATATAGGGTGGTCCAGTGCGATAAGACGGTGAGACAACGTATGCCACATGAAGGGGGAAAAAAAGACATTCCAGGTCTTTCTTAAACCTAAAATCGGAATGTCATGATGTGGATCATGACAAACAATACAATACATAATGAAGAAATGAAAGTCAGTATCAAAGCGTATGGGTTTCTTCTTATGGTATTTGGATTATTGATGCATTATTGGATGTTGAAAAGAGGCGTTGTCCCTAGTATGGTTTGCAATCTTGATTCCACTACGGACGGTACAGTAAGAAAATGTTTGCCGTGGTAAAATCAAGCTTCCTCGGCAAGGTGGCTTTCTGGGCGGAATCGGTGTCGTCGGTAATGTGGGGTGCCAATATCCTGAGTCAAAGTATAAATATCTTTGATAAGTGGCTATCAGTGCACGGCGAAACGCGAATTGCTCGGTAGGCCTGCTAATCAGTCAAATATCATAGATTCGCAGCTGAGAATATGGCTTCTTATACTGGCAGTTGTAATTGTGGCTCTGTCACTGTCACACTCGCTACAGCCCCTTCTATGACTTATGCTTGCCACTGGTAAGACCTCTATGATTGCTATAGTATTACGGAGCTGTATACTGATGAATCTGCCAGCTTGAACTGTCGCCGTGCAGGCGGACGTACGCGTAACTTCGTCTGAACTGTTTCTTACTCGACTGACAATGAAACAGCCTTCTCCATGAATTATATCCTCGGTGAAGACGAAGTGACTGTTCATGATTCCAAGAATTCAAGAAAGCAGTACATTGATACCAATACGATATCCAAAGCCACAGTAAAGGTGCGTGTTTTGTAGTTTTATTTAAATCTATTGAGTATTTACTAAGCCTTGCTCTTCGATTAGAGGACATTTTGCCAAAACTGTGGAAGGTCCGACAATCCTTGTAATAAAAGTATACGGAAAGCAGTGCTGACTTCAAGGTTAATCTCACAGCCCTCTTTACAGCCAGGCGGAAAGTCTAGCGGGAAAATACTTTGTGAAAGCCTCTCTGTTTGATGAGATAACTCCGACAAAGACAGACGTTTTCCAAGATCGGCAAATTCACTGGATATAAACACTATTGTTTCGACCAGTACCCCGATCTCATGCTAAGCTATTCCCAGAAGCCATATACGCAAGGACAACAACCAACTTCGAGATAAGAGTATTTTACTAGGGCAGTGTTGAGAATACGATGCTTTGGGACTTCATGCACTCTAGGAATGAGGGCCTGAAAAAGTTCTGCAATGAAAGCGAAAATCCATTTCTGACATTGTAGTCGATGAAGCTTAGTCGAGAACTGCGCAGTATATTTTAAGTTGCAAAGCTCATCAGCTTGATATGTCATATACTCAGACTCTAGCTGTCTAGTTGATGCAGAAAAGATTCCTTCGTTTTACCTCGAAGAGACTTTCCCCAGAACCAAAATAATATGCCGAAGCTACAGAAGAATGTAATCAAGGTCATGAGTGTCATGATAGGCGTGAGATAACCAATCTCGAGCGTCCAGGGTGTGATAAACTTGCCAAACCCATAGCCCCACACATTCTTATTGCTATTATCCTCATTAACTGACTGAAAAGCAAAAAAAACTGAAAGGTGAAAAATGTGACTTACATAGTAATTGCGACAAAAATAGCACCTGTAGCTGGTTTGTAGCTGTCAACGGCATAGGTTGATGCTATGCTCGGCAAACTCGTTACCTGCATTCCGAGACAGGTGTACCCGACGATGACAATGACCTGCCATGACCATAAACGACTGTAACCTACCCCAACCACAACTAGGCCAATGATCATGATCAAGGTGTAAGGGACCATGGTGATTAATCTCATTTCGGGCTCTCTAATACCTCGGTTGCGCTTGGTAAAATAACTTGCAACCCAGTCTGACAGTGGACCAGATGTGAATAAGCCAATCATTTGGCCTACAAAAATCGCAAAGTTGGTAAATCCGACCTGTTCAATCGAAAAGTTGTAAGGTGGCGCTCCAAAAAATTGCTGTTGCGTCAAGTTGGCCAGTAGGAAGCCAGATGCTGAAAATGAAACAATAAATGCAGCAAATTCGACGATGGGAAAGGCAAGCAGGTACCACGGGAGCCATAACTCTTGAAAGATGTTTCCCTGGTACGAGCCCCAAGGGCTGAATTGTTTTAGAGATGGATGCCCTCGCGATAGCCAATGATCCTGAGGTTGCCCATTGGAAGCGTTCTCTGAGTGGTCTATAACTGAACTGCCCTTCATCTCCGGTAGGTCAACAGGCTCAGCAGGTTCAGAAATCGTTTTAGCGTGTGATTTTCGAGGAAACCGCGTTTCCGGAAGGAGTCCGATGTTAAGAAACAGAGTGAAGATGAGAAGGCCCGTGTTGAACCACCAGAAGCTCCTCCACCCAAACCGTTCAGCCATACTGCCAGCTATAATGGGACCAATCTATCGGATGTCAGCACGTGTCATGTTCAAAGAGTCCGAGCACGAACAGCAAGAGACCCAAAGTAGATCGTAAAGTATAGTGTCTGGTATTTGCCGCGGTCGTGAAGAAAGATAACGTCGGCAATTATTTGCGGCATCATGCTTTCGCAAGGACCAGCGCCAAAGCCGTTGAGACTAACAAATGTTAACACTTCTAATGGTCCGCATCACAGTAGCGCATACCCATGTGTACTAGGGGCGAATCTTACGCAGATGCTCCAAGAAACGACTTGTAACTGGTCGCCCGCACTCTCCAAATTGAAGAGACGGTACACACTAGGGTGCTGAAAATCAGGGCTGGCCTTCTGCCAAAGCATGTCGAAATCGGAATCCACACCAAATTACTAAAACCGAGAACCAAGATTGCCACAGCTAAAATCTGTAATTAGTAGTAACTCCAGACTGGATGACAAGTTCCTATGGCCAGCGGAATCTCACCGGTGGTCTGAACAGCATCAGCCAAATCAATGTTCCACTCTTCCATATACAGTCCTATTCAGAGCAAAAATGTTAGGTGTGAGAAAGCCATAGGCATTATCATCTCGGGGTACTGACCGAATAGAGGTGCATTTGCAAGAGGACCAAGATTTTGACTGATGGAGACGAAGCTCACGCAAAGCAAAGTCGTCCATTTCCATAGCAAAGACCAGTTTAGAGGATCGAGGGGGTCATCGGAAGGCTGGGGAACGAGTACGCGCCCCGCTTCTTTATTATGGCTGGATTTGATGAAATGGTGGGATCCAACATCCGCCATCACCTCGGTGCCGGGATATATCGAAATGTCGAGCTCATTCTCGATGTCCTGCAAAGTGCGGTCTCCTAATATTTGGCTCATGATAGAGAGCTTGAAGGCGACGATCAAGCCTAGTTATGCATAGAACTAAAGCCAGAGGAATACATGAAATGGATGGCTTTAAAGCGAGGGACACTCTTTATGTAAAAGGTGGATGGGGTACATCTTGACTGCGAGTAATGCACCTAGTCCACCAATCGTACTTTGAGATTAAAACAATGGACAAGTCCCCAAGGCCGCAAATTGAGCCAGCGATGTACATGCTCTAGCTGTTTAGCCGGGCATCAATGTGGCCATCGACATGGGTATTTACAACATTCAAGTAAGCCATCCATCATTAGTTCGTCAATCGGCAATAAGGCACCGTATCTGTGCTCCATCACCCGGGCCTATACCACAAATAGTCCCTGCATCATTGGTTACGCAAGCTTTGCGCTGATCCGCCCCCAGATTTACCAATCGCTAGCGCAAATTGTTTCCTGCCTACTCCGTTACTAGCGAGCCGAAATATTCCTTTTGATGCTAGATATCCCCGCATAATGTGATAGCCAACTGCCGAGCAACTCTGTTGCTGGTGAATGTGGGCACGAGGCGGTCCATAATTTGAAGCCGGTTTGAAGGCTTGAGGCTGATGCTTTACATGGGATTATTAAGAGACACATACACTAGGTAATCAGCAGAATTGCCGATGAAAAATGATACATCGAATTGTGCTCCGTTTTGGGCAAATGGTGTAAAGAGGAGCTTAGAGATATTGGCTTACAGCTATTTTTAGTCGGCATTCCTGGTACATTTCACGCACTTTACTTGATAGCCATAAAAAGTTGACCGGGCTCCGACTGAAACAGCGTCAATAAGATGCTTGTCGACTGGACTACACATCTAGGGATCGCATCCCGATTTAGTCTATCGTACAACATAGATTTTCAGTCATATATGTTTAGGGAGTGATGATGTGGCGTTCTAGACTTGCACAATGCCTGGTGGTGCCGCGTAATCGAAACGGGGGTACCGTGTAATCAATCTCTTTGGACCCTCTTGGCAGGCAATGTTGTACACCGACAGAGGCCAAAAGCAATCTAATCCCACGTTGGCATCGTAGAGTTGATACAACGCTGACAACGAGATTGATAAGCTAGAAGACCAGTTACTGTACCCCCAAAGCAGAGCCAAGACCGGTTATGCGGATCGGTATATACTAGTATCGGAGATTCACATGCAAATAAGTATGAGAGAAAAGTAAACACGATATCTCAAGACGCAGACATTAACTCCTCTTACAGTAGCTTTCAATTCCGCATGGCATACTGCCGACGCTGCTAAGCCTAAAGCTCAGTAATGAGAAGGTTTCAAATCAGAAAGATGCTGCACTACGCAAGAACTCTTTACGTTTTCCTATATCTTTCATAGGCAGTCAGTCATCTATATCCCGTAATGAACAATATGTAAATTTCATTGGCGTTATTATCTCGAAAGCATTTGAAAGATAATTTTGCTTTCACATGTTACTCATAATTTAACTTTCATGTCCTTTATATGCAATTATAAAGAAGAACTGTTGCAAGGGAGACCAGTAAAGTAGAGCAAGATAGTCTGTCATATACATCTATCACAGGTATCAACTGGCATATTCTATATAATGAGTCCGTACAAAACAACATTGAAGTGGGTATGTAATCTCAAGCTTTAAAGCTCATAGCTAACCTGATGTATGGCGACGGTACCTTTAAGAAATGCCTTGAGGAATGGGCGCCGGCAAACTGTGATTGGCTCATAGTACTCCTTTACATATTCTACTGCTCTTCTCGATCATATATGTATTAATTCCGACCCAGAAGCCCGATATATGGGTAACTTTGGAATCTTTCTTATTGGCACCGCCTTGAAAAACGAACCTCGCAGTTTCAAACTTTCCTGAAATTTCCGAAGGTTTGTAGCATTGATTGCGGATACTGCATTTGATGCTGTATATCATTTCATGGGTTAGATGACACATGCTTGATCTTTGGCACTTCTTGGACGGCGTCCATTGCTGGCCAAGTTAATACGGCACTAAGAAGGTACAGCTGCTGCCAACTTTTTAGCAGGTATTATGGCTCACTAGTGGAGCTTGGTAATAACACAGGCACGCTGAGTAAAGTCTGGAAGTTCTACTGATTGACGCATGACTCAAGCCATCAACAACAGTAATGTGGTTGTGGTTTAGCTACATTTTATGTTCTGGAGCTCAACAGTTCCCAGATTGAAACAGCTCAGCATGCTTGAGCGAGCAATTCTACTTTGTAGCCTTTGGAGAATGTCTTATCATATGCTTTAGAGACTCATATAGTCAAGATCTTGCGATCGCAGCACTTATCGTCCCCTTGCAGAGCTCCTATCAACTGTTGCCGCAGTATATAGCATATTACTGACCACAAGTAAGAACTGACCTGGTAAACAATCATCCAGGCCTTGCTAACAGGGGTCTCTTGCTAGGTCTACCTGTCAACTATGTTTACTAAATGCTTCCTCATTCACCACCTAAACGCTAGCTCCATGTAGTACTTTTTTAGTGCCAATTAATATTGCCGCGATGGATTGCCGTAGCGCTTCCCCCGCAACTTCTCCGCCACATGGATTCCCCAGTCAGCTCTGTGCTCTTGGTGGCTACGTACTGTCAATCATGAAGATGTTTGTTTATGAGGCAATTGCTCTCAGATTCTAGTTTCAACATTAGATAGAAGAGAAATTAGTAAAAGAGGTGTACACGAAACAGGGATATTACAAGTCAGCCCAATGCAAGTGGCTATGTTGGGTGCATCGTACACACAGGTCAATTACTAGGCAATCAATACCCATGCGTAGTATTTCAGCGCCAAAGAATAATGTCTCGCACCAAGTCGAATTCTCCCAAACCCTGTCTATATAAATATTCAGCATTTATCCCACCAGTTTATCCTCTTCAGCGCATCGTTAGCTATAACTTGCTTCCCAAAGCTGATGATGCCACAACACTTTCTGCCTTCTGGTACGGTTGCGTGGCCCTTGTCGTGCCCTGAGTATCTAAATTACGCTGTTCGCTCTCTGCAACCACTTGCTGGAATGCTTTCTCAACATCATGTTCGGATAGCCACAAAAGATCAGGTCTGCTCCTCATTCTACTTCTGAGAGCTTCATCTTCCTCTTCCGGCGTCGCAAAAGTCGGGGCTTTACGATTCATCAAGCCGTGAACAATGCTCAATAAGCGTGCCGTGTGCGGTCTTCGCGTTTGGTCATAGAGCTTCAATGCTTGTTGGATATTTTCCGGAGAAAATGAAGAGCCACCGGCAGCAAAAACATGCTTAAAGGCCAGCCCAAGAGCACGAGAGTCGTCGAGAGCCAGCGAACCACCCGCAGCAAACGCGCCTCCATGGGTGTGCGCCGCATCGCCCACCAGAGTAACTCGTGAAGCTGGCACCCACGTCTGGAGGGATTCTCCCGCATAATTGGGGTAGAGGCGAGCGTGGGGCGTCAGCTCTGTTAGAGCTTTAATAACAGGATGCCAGTCCTTTTGAAATGTTGGCTGAGGAAACTACCAGAATGAAGAAGAAATTCGTACCTTGTATTTTTCTCTTAAGAATTGAACATTGCCAACCTGGTCCCACGTCACAGACCTTTCCAACTCTTCAGCACTGCGCCCGTCGTCGTATGCACCAACAACGGTGTATTGTCCCTTGCCTTTCTTCGGTCAGCATACTTCGCATGCCTTATCTAGGAGAGTTGGACATGAACATACCAAGTCTAGAAGAGAAAAATGAGTCATTCGTCCCCCACTAATGGTATGTTAGCAGATGCAACATCAAAATGAAATAGATCAGCTAACCCAATGAGCGGCGTCAGCTGGCAAATCGGGAATTTTGCCCTCTACTAGGGATGCATCAAATGTAGATCTCATAAACACTTTTCCACTGAACCTCAGCTTATAGTCGGGATAGAAAGATGCTCTGACTTGCTGGAACTGATATTAATATCTCACAGCTGAATATAGATTGAAGATAGTAACTCACAGATCGAATTCCATCTGCCCCTATCAAAATGTCCCCGTAGGCACTGGAACCATCCTCGAAATGGAGCGCCACACCATCATCATTACTTTCGGCACGAGAAATCTTCTTATTGAGGTGAATCCATTCTTTGGGAACATGTTTCGCCAAGGCTGCGTGGATGTGTCCCCTGTGAAACCTCGCCGTCTGGTGTCGACGATCAGGAACATTGCCAAAAGTATCTACTGATACTACCTGGTTTGTCTTCCAATGCCTTTTTCGTTGTCAATCTATTAGCGAGTTTCACAACTTGCAGCGTCATATGAAGAGATACTGCACCTATATATTTGAGGTATTCCACTTGGTCCTCTGAATCCAAGCTCATCGCCCAAAGCCTCGTCAATGCCAAGCTTCTCCAGCGTCCGCAAGCCCTACATCCCATGAATCAGCAAAACACAAACATAGATAAACACGGTTTACAGGCCCCATAAGCTTACATTAGGACTGAGAGCAATGCTGGCTCCAATTTCCCGCAGCTCTGCGGCTTGCTCATACAGCTGGATATCTAGATTTGCGATCTCAGATATGCGCGTAAGTGAGATAGCGGTTGCCAGCCCCGCAATACCTGCGCCTGCAATCAGAATGCGGAGTCGCTTCTCAGTATTTGCCATTTTTGCAGCCTCTGCTGTTTTGTTTCTTTCTTGAAAGGGCAGTGAAGATTGGCATCTCATGAAATACCTAGTCAGCCACGCGCAAACCTAACGCACTATTTTATATCCGGCAGAGAGTTAGCCTGATTAAGCTTATGATCCCACTACATCTTGCGAATTTCTAATCTGCGATCGAGAAATGTTGAGATAGATTAATTTTCGGGACAAACTATGCACGCAAAGGTAGAAAGATATGTAAGAGTTTAACCGGAAGTGGGCTGATACGTTGATATTGAGAGGTATGATAGGCCTAGCACAAGCACGTCAACAACACGACCATGACGCCACGCCACTAGATTAGATAACATGGCAGCGGGCATTGGTACGAGGTTTGCGATTTCGGTCAGCGAAAGACATCTTGCGCCCTCTCTCCGGTTTTGATGTCGAAATCATTCAGTGGGTAAGTCTCTGCGGTTCGGCAGTGTAAGTGAACTCCATACCAAGCTGATTGTAGGCGCGTTTTTGCTTACGGTCCTGGTCCTCTTTGGGAAAGGGTAGACATCGATCTTTAGCGATGACGATCAACACCGTTACGATGGCGCCATGTCTTGGGATACGGGGTAATCAGTTAATAGTCACATGAAGAACATCTTCAAGTTGGATATAATATAGAATATTCGGTTCATATGCTGGATATCGTCACTTGATTAAACATTCGCAGAAACTATGTCGACAAAAGCTGCATATGAGGAAACAACACACTCCCAGCCTGACTCCCAGGATGAGAGTAGTTCTGCCGGACCTAGGCTGAAATTATCCGACCGCTTAGCTGATGAGAGCTACAAGCTCTTTTCCAAGGTGCATGTATCCGATCCAACGCCAGAAGAAGCCCGGAAAATTCGTAATAAATGCCTATGGAGAATACTTCCATTTCTTTGCATCGGATATCATCTGATGTATGTTGATAAGCAAACAGTATGTTAGTAATATCTAAGTTTTCGCTGAGAGACCGCTAACATACAGGATGATGATTGGCGTATAGCTAGGAAGCTCAGCTATATTAGGTATCCTTGAAGATGCACATTTGAACGCAAATCAATATAATTGGCTCTCTTCAATATTCTATTTCGGCTACATGGTAGCTGAATGGCCACAGAACTGGGCTCTTCAACGTTTTCCTGTTGGAAAATGGTTAGCTGGGAATCTTATAGTATGGTATGTAGAGCAAAGTATTCTTCGTCGAGAGCTCATAACTGAGCCGTGGTACTGACTTTGTTTGATAGGGGTGGTATAACATTACTCCATATTCCTTGCAATAATTTTGCATCTCTCTTCGTCGTCCGCTTCCTCTTGGGATTGAGCGAAGCCTGTATAGTGCCTGCGTTTTTACTCTCCATGTCCATGTTCTTCACATATCAGGAACAAGCCATCATGATGTCAGTCATGTGGTCCATTGGCAATTCTAGTCCAATCACTTCTGGCTTTCTCTCATATGGCGTCTTATGGATCAAGACTGGGTCATTTCATCCCTGGAAATGGCTTATGGGTATGTATACTCCACTTAACATATTGAAACCAAGCTGCTAAACTGACTTTGATAGTGATTACTGGTGTATTGACCATCATTTTCGGCGTTTTTGTGTATCTGCTCTTCCCTGATAGCCCACTACATGCGACATTCCTCACATACGAAGAACGGGCTCAAGCAGTTTTGCGGATAAAGGAAAATAATTCTGGCATTGAGAATAAGCATTTCAAAAAGCATCAGTGAGAAATTCGTTTTGCTTCAATTTTTTTCGTTATTGACCTTTTTATTATAGATTCATCGAGGCAGTCAAGGATCCCAAGACATGGCTGTTTGCCTTGCACGCACTTTCTCAAGAGATGGGCAACGGAATTAACAACCAGACCTCGTTGATTATCAGCTCTTTTGGGTTTACTGTTTTCCAAACAACGCTACTCAGCACTGTATCTGGCGTCATAGCCTTTTTCACGCTCTCGGCAGCTGCAATCACATTATACAAAACTCGGGTAGGTTGCTGATAATTACTTTTTGGCGTTTCATTCTAACCAGCTACTTAGAACGCCCGAGCTTGGATTTCACTTGTTGCATATATACCCGCCGTAGTATCCAGTATTCTTCTTTTGGGTGAGTCTTTTACCTTCAAAGTCTTTCGAGTTGACTCTTACCATCTTAATGCAAAGCTCTACCGTGGTCCAATCGCTGGGGTCTCATAGTGGGCGTTTGGTTGCGGTACACAACTGGCGTACCGTATGCCGTTGTCATGATCTGGGCCGCCAATGCTTCCGCTGGCCATACAAAGAAGACGACAGTCATTGCTCTCTATCATGTCGGGTACGGATTGGGAAATATCATTTCGCCTCAGCTGTTCGAGCCTCGATGGAAACCTCGATACAAACCGACGTGGATCATTTTGTTGGTCGTAAGTAGAACCACGTCCACATCGACTTCATATCAGCTGATGATTACCAGTTCTCCGCGATTCTTCCCTCCATCGTCATTGGCGTCCTTCGAGTATATCTATCACGCGAGAATAAACGCCGTGACAAGCTCGAAGCGGAAAATGATGTTGCCAGCAACGGATTTGTAGAAACCACGACTACCGACGGAATTAAAGTTGTCCATGAAGTGGATACTAATCAGCTAGATTTGACGGACAGAGAAAATCTCAAATTGTAAGTCAAATTGCGATATCAGGAAGTCATACATTAATGTTAACGATATACAGTCGATACGTCCTTTAAATATGCCCAAGTCCGAATTGAGACCCAATACACCTCATTTATTAGACTTTAATTGTTCTATACTATACACGCTTCTTGCACTCCTAATGATAACCTGTCATTTCCTGACACTTTGATCCCTTGTCTCTGTTGTATGCTATCCGCTGCGACACGTAGCGAACGCGGACTCTGAACCTGCGGCTCCTACCGTCCTATTGCCCAGAAGGGATTTATGTAACTAGCTTACTTAGTGGACGTTAATAATAAAACAAACAAACAAACAATGCTATCCGCTGCCTATCCGAATAGATGAAGATAGGCATCCATGAGCAGCCGCGATGATACATGGTTACTTCACAAGGTACAGTTAGTAAGAGGATCATGAAATAAGACAAACCACACAACTTTGATCCCCACATGATTGATTAGGTGATTTATGTTCCATTTCATATCTAGGATTGGTTAGTGCTATAATTGGCGAGTAAACATGACATTGGTCGCACTTGAACTTGGTCTATATGATAGGATGCTCGTACTGGGGCATCTTCTAAGGCTAGTAATTAATAGACATGGGTTAATGCATTTTAATGTGGTTATCTGAGTCGGTGCCATGTCAGAAGAGAAATATGTACATGTATGTTTAAATGCGCAGTGACCAAAAGCCAAACAGAGAAGAGATTGTCCGTATATAAGTTATTCCCAGCCACTGCTGTTGGTAGTATGCATCTCTATGAACGTATACTCGCTCATTTTGTAAAGGTCTCCACTGCTCTCACAATAAATTCAGCTGTTTCTTTTGGTTTGCTGAGCATTGGTGAGTGGCTGGTATGGATTTTCTCAACAACAACTTCTCCTCCTTGATCTTTGGCGCCTTGAGCAATACCCAATTGAACTTCGGTAGGGAAAGTCCGATCATCTGTCGTAATCAAGTATCGAGTTGGAACATCCTTCCAACCTGAGTAGACGCGCTCTCCACTGTCTGTGAGAGACTTCAATGAGTGGTTTAAAAGTCGGCCGACCCAGTAGTTGCCCTCTTCTTCCGGGAGATCGTGATAGAACAATTCTCTTGTGTCAACAATAAGCGTGGCGTATCCTTTCTCTGTATCTGCTTTCCAAAATGGCGGTGGGTTTCCTCCGATCCCTTCAAGAAAGCCAATGCCTGTCATACAGTAGCCAGTCGCCATCATTGCAATGCCAATAACACGTCCAGGTCGTTCACTTGTAGCTTCGGTCAAGCCTTTGACAGCACTTGGGCCCACCATTCCGCCGTACGAGTGAACCACAACGACAACATCTCGACCTTGCGTCGTTTCAGCTAAAATAGCCTTTCTTGCTTCGTCAATGTCATCGGCTATGCCCTTGCTTGGGTCGGAAAGAGTGGTAGGAAGAGTGATACAAATTGTCTTGTAGCCTTGAGGTTCCAATTCGGCAGTAACTTTACCCCACGTATCAGGACTGTGCCATGCGCCAGGCACGAAAACAAGAGTAGGCTTCGAAGACATAATTGGGTTGGAAATAGAAACTAAAGAAGTTTTGGCTCAAGCGAAGGCAGAGATGAATATATATATTGAGATGAATTGAATGCTATTCAAATTATGGTTGAGGGCAGCATGTCCAGTTTTTATAGAAACTTAACTCAGTGCCGGATAGTGCTCATATAATCTTAGCATCCGAGTCTTTTTCGTATTTTTTGTCATTTTGAACTGACTCCTAAACTGGGTCCATCTTGAGACAAGGAGAGTACTTCTGCTGATCCATAATTTACATAGAGTCCGATTGGGGTTGGAATAAGCTCTTGTATTATAGTTTAACTTCTCTGCTTCCAGAAATAGCCTGTTAAGACAAATAATACTTTACAAGTCAACATTTGGAATGAAAGTTTTATATTGACATGCCAATGCAGCTAGCTGTCACAATCTTAAGCGTCATGATTCTCTCTACATAAGAGGCCGAATAAACTGCCCGCCAATACAACTTTCAGTAACCAACTTGTTAGGTAGTTACTCGGGAATACCTCGTAAGCATTTCTAAAATTAAACATCTTTGTTGTCTAGACAGTCGCAGTCCGAGCAATTCCGACAGCGATTGCATTTTAGCCATTTTTAGTGAATAGGTCGTCGCAGTTTGAGATTTTCCAGGTCGCACTTCGGACATCTTTCGTGGCCCGTAGCGTTGCTGACTACTGAGTCATGCAAGTCGGTAGCCATTCATCGCATCTTGAAATGCACATTGAGGGATAAATACTAATCTTCCCCTTTTATTTGGCAATTCCATATCTCTCATTGGTGGGATATTTATGTTTATAATGCCACAAAGTATATTGTTTTACATATATATTTGAGTGCGTCGTTACTTGATGCTTGTTCTCAATAATAGCGACTCGGTAGTGCCTGGCGCCCCCATTTATCCATATCCGTTGTAATGGCGCATTAATGCTACAAATTTCCTTTCAATCCTTCTACCATTCTTTACAATGTTCATGGTTATTTAGTAACTTCTTGTGTGCTCAACATCGCAATTCATACTTTTTAATTTCAACGATTTCATCTGAATATATTCACATCAACTCCTTTTTCAGCTCCATCTCCACCAGCATTTACACGTATCGCATATCATTATGCTTTTCTCCTGCTAGTCAAATAGGCAGCCAATTATCACTTCACCATTTATTCGAAAGCCAATAGCTTCATTCAAGACCCGGCTGGAATAGCAAAGAGAAATGCTTATTTCGCCAAAACTCATTGAGATTGGCATCTTTAGGTAGAGCAGGAGCTTTTAAAGAGATGACAATTCGTCAACGGCAGACTCAATTCGTAAGTTGCCTGCGCTACGGGCTATAGAATGTAATTCCGCGACCCATTATGCCAATAACACACAAAGAAGCGGACCTCGATAGGTAATTGTATCCATTTTCGTGCTGCTGCCTACAAATTTTTTAGAAACTTATGCAGGAGATTCTGCATCAAGGGAATAACGAGCTGCAGTCCTCATGCGCCAAGCTGGTTTGTTCAGTGGCGCTCTCAGTGGAAGACTATTCGCAATCCTCATCTGGGGCCCTGTCGCTGTGGCTAACGTAGGATCATTAAGCTTTTAGACTGCAAAGCTGCAGATATGGTCATAGCTCGACATTTGTCTATAGACTGGAAGTACCTGTATATATCCACATACATAGGAAGATCCTACAAGTCTTATAAACTTCTAAGCGCTCGAAATTTTGAAAAGTATCAAGCTGTCAGATAATACCACACGCAAGGTAATTGTTCAAGCATGCATCTTTGGGGTATGCCTGACCCAAATAAAGTCTTGCTCGTACGGAGACACACCTCTATCGGATGAGCGAGATCAGCGAGCTAGCGAATGCCAAGAGAGCGCCACTGGGCTGATCTACATGTATATTGGTGTAGCTGCATATGTAAGGTGTTAAGTCTTGGCTCTATGTCAAAATACCCAGCAGGCAGCAAGCCATTTGAGAAGAACTCAGGGCCTTTCGCCTGTTGGACAGGATAGCTATAATAATAAAACGAGGAATTGAAGCATTTTCTTCAGCTTAGTCATTGGACCTTTTGTTAGGCAGCCATGCGCTAGTGAGTGCTGACTTACACTAAGTCACTATCTATAAAGTCGCGTTCACTTTCTCCCAGCTTTCGTCCTCGTAAATCGTGATCAGAACACACAAACTCTCTTTCTCGTTCTACAAAACATTACTTTGAAGCAGTGATATCACAATGGCAGAGGATGGCTCAAGCATGGCTCAAGCCAGCATCTTTGAGGCGATTGTCTCGGGGGATATCTCCGGTCTCAAACAAAGTCTGGCAACGAAAGAAGTAGACCTTGAAACTCGAGATGCTGTTGGCCGGACTGCATTGCATCTGGCAGTTACTACAGCGTCGGTAGAGATTTGCCAGTGTTTAATCGACAATGGCGCGCGTCTGGATGCATGGACTAAACAGGGTGAAGCGGTGGTGCATCTCGCTGCTAAGAGAGGCGAAGTGGATGTTTTACACGCCGTCATGAAATCTCTTGGGGCAAAGAAACCAGTTGCTGAGGGCGATGTCACCGCTGAGGATAAAACGCAAGATCGCACCGTACATGTGGATTGCCTCACGCAGAAACACCCAATGTCACCGCTTTATATTGCTGTTGCTCTCGGTATGTGACAGATTGATCCATATTGTCCAATAGGCGCTTACATGTGAACTAGCACATATAGAAGCTGTGGAAGCCCTGCTTGATGTCTACCATGCTGACATCAACATCACTGTCGGCAAACGAGACGACTTCAAAGGAACCCGAACTGGCGATGTTCTTGAAGCAACTCTTCAGCATCCTCGCGACACCTGCCGTTCCCTTTTAAGAATTCTACTTCAGCATGGTGCCAGCTTGCTTAACCCATCAACCGGTGTCGTATCAAAAGAGTTGCTTCTTCTAGTCTTGCAGAGAGGCGAGGATGTACTCGATATCTTTGCGGAGCTCGACTCAGAAGGCTTCGACCATGCGATCAAGAAATTTGTATGGGGAGAGTCGATGAGATACAAAAACGCCCTGACTAGTGCAATCGAGCTTGGCCTTGAGGATACGGCATTCAAGCTTCTCGCATATGGGGCACCTGCAAAATTAGAACTCAATTCTTCTTCTGTGGATGCTCACAAACAGGAGCCATTTTTTCATTATGGAAAGACCGCTTTGGAAGCCGCCGAAGAGGATTTCTGGCAGCCAATCCTGTGTGCCGCTCATTTTGAAATGCCACGGCTGGTGCTGGAATTGTTGAATCGCGGAGTAGATGCCAAGTCTCGTTTCACTGATCACCAGGCTCGCAGCCTGATTTCGCCAAGGGAATGCCGCAGTGTTTTGGATCTAGTGAGTGCCAAACTCGTAGAGCTGCGTGGCTGGCATATGGAAGATGAGCGTCTCCCTCAAGAGCTCGTGGGGACGCCAGAGGGGACCATTCAACGGGATGGAAAGAAAAATGCAGTCACCCAGATGATCAAGCTATATGAAGAAGCAGAGGCTAGATTAGTCTCTTCGGGAGCCAAGATAACTGACGGGCTGAACCTTCAAGGCGATGATTCGCCTCGACCCCATAAAAGAGTCCAACTGTTTGCTCCTAATCCAGAAACACAGGCGGAAGTCGCACTGCCTTCACATACATCTACCAAAGACGTCGACCTCCAGAAGCTGGAAACGGCGGAAGACGGCCAGAGAGCACTGTAAGTCTCCGAACTTGCCCAGGAATTTGATATTGTGTGATTGCTGATTCACGTTTTCTTTTCTAAACTAGACTGGCAGCTTGCAGAAGCAATGATGTTGCGCTGGTAAAAGCACTTACATTGGGCAAATGGGGTCTAGACTTACAATTCTCCCCTATTTCGATATCGGAGGTATCTGGCTCCTCGAAAGGCCCTTACTACACCGCTGTGAAGTCGCGAAATTATGATCTTGCTCGCACTATTGTTCAAATTGCGACAGCTCAGCATGCTGATTTCACAGATAATGAAGCAAACGATCTGTCTAGCGTTTTAGCCGACGATCAGCACTCCGTCGAAAATATCAAGGGAGTTTCAGCTCAAGTCAAGTCAACGAAATCAGCAAGAGATATTGTCCGAGACAGTGGAGCGATCTCTATTGCAGAAAAGCAAAAAGACGATGAAATGATCCAGTTTACGGTTGAAATGCATTATTCGTTTGGGCTTGACGAAAACGATGTCAAACAAAGTCCCGGCCAAGTCTATTCTTTGATGGAATGGGGAGATTGGCCTGAGAGTGTCGTGGAGCGAGTTAAAGCAACCGGTGCACCGTTTCAGCATGCCATGGTTCAAGGGAAATTGAAAGGAAGAAAGCAGCTCGACAAGATTCGCCAATTGTCTCCTCTTCTTCGAGCTGCCTGGTCTGGCAACGTAAACATGGTGCGGTTTTTCCTTGATAAATCCAAAATAATGGCCGCATACAAGCACTTTGCTGCACGCAACGACTTTTCAACCAACAAAATCGCCTCTGAACAAGCTCGAGCAGACTTCATGAACGCCGTCAAGGAATGGTTTGACAAAGAAGGTAAGTCTCTGATGGTTTATCATGTCGCAACCACTAATAACCATTCTCTGTCAGAAAATCTTGTCTTGCACTGTGCTATCTTGTCTGGGAAAACAGAGCTGGTCAAACTTGTGCTAGCAGCTCGTCCAGACCTTTTAGAAGTTAGATCCATCGACGGGTGGACGCCCTTGCTAACAGCGGCATTGTGCCATCAGGTCGAGAGTATACGCGTTCTTCTTGAAGCAAGGGCTGACCCTTTCGTCACGGATACATTTGGGCGTAACATGCTTCACCTTTTTCTCGTTTCTCCTACCGAGAGTCACGTTCATGAACCTGAAAAGTTCTCTACTTTCCTCCGTGTGGTGGAAAAGCCAGTACTTGACAAGCTTCTAGAGGGGCGCTGTGCTGATAGTCCCGGTGGACTGACACCTCTTGCACGTTGGGTATCTTCCGGTGTCAAGTGGGCGCCATTCGCAGTATCCATTGCTCTGTTAGAGGCTTCTACTATTAAGGCAATGGAGATGTACGACGGCAGAGGCTTTACACCCCTTCACACTGTACGCTTCTCCTTCTACCAAGTTTGTCCCGCTAGCTAATCGCAATGCATCCAGGTGGCAATTACATCGCTGGACTATTACACTCGCCAATTTATCGAGAAAGCACCTCATGTTCTGTTCTATGAGGATATAGACGGGAAAACCCCTTACGATATCATCATCGAAAGACAGCTACATGGATATCTGGAATATCTCATGCCAAGCTATACGCAAACGAGACGCTATCCATCGAATAATCTGCTTCACTGGCCTTTATTTGCCTTTGGTACGGATTACAAGGGCCCTTTACAGGAGAAACAACCATATAAAGTATGGGAAATTTGCCAGGATGTTGTTAAATCGATGAAGCCTGGGTTACATCACAGGAAACTGCTCACTGATGCTGAGCGAGCCGAAATCTCGCAGCTGTATGTATAGCTGCGACACATTTCTCTGGGTGACATTGCTAACGTCAATATAGATCCAAAGACAAGAAAATACCGAAGAAGCCGAAAGCGGGTCAGCGCGATGTGATATCTCTGGCTGTATTCAAGCCTGGATACTTGTGCTGGTAGAAGAACGCTGCTTAAAGAATAAGCTGCTTACATGCCTGGTAGCTGTTCATCTAGTGTTCAGCTTTAACATCTCGCGTCTTGGTTGAGAGATGCTGTTAGACGAAAAAGGAAGTCTCGCGACAAGTTTGACATTGTATCTTGACAATAATGGAATTCATTTTCACGAACAATATTTGTCCTCCAACATACTCTCCTTTCGAGTTGCTCTGCATCTTTGACGGTTATATACTCAAAACATCTGCTGCTCTCCGTTTCCTAGACTTCTTTTCCGATGCTCATTGAAATGGTCTCTATCGTGGTCAACTCTTTCAACCATGACTCTGCTTCTTTCTTAGCCAGAGGCCAACAGTCTTGACCCATGGGTATCCGTAAGCACTTCTTGATATCTTCAGAAGCTGCAAGGCCTGTACCGAGGATGACGCTGAGAAGCACCTCTGCAGCCTTGGCGACGTCTCCATGCTTATGCCGCTTCATATCTTCCGTCACTTCAACCATTTTGGCAGTTGGTGTACCTACATACGGGCCTAATCCTGCTCCTGGGAAAACCAGAGTGTCCATGAAATTAGTTCGAAATGTACCCGGCTCAGCGATGATAATTCGTATGTTAAACGGGGCGACTTCATTCGCGAGTGCCTCCGAAAGTCCCTCTACCGCAAACTTGCTACCTGCGTATAGCCCTCGGCTAGCGAGCCCAATAAATCCTGCTCCGCTGGTAATATTGACAATGATGCCGGATTGGCGAGAGCGGAATGTCGGTAGAACGCCTCGAATAGCCCGTAGTGTCCCGTGGAAGTTGGTTTCCATCTGGGCATGAGCTTCTATGTCGCTGCAACCGACAATATCAGCATTTTTTCCTCATCTGAAATACCTAGCCCAGGAGAACGAATATCACAAACCTAATCTGCTCCACAGGGCCCAAAAGTGCATACCCGGCTGAGTTAACTAGAACATCCACATTCTCTTTCTCAGCGATGTCGCGAATTACATTCTCGCACGATGCGCTAGAAACATTTAATTCACACCAAACACCTCCCAATTTTTCAAACTCTGGACTAGATTCTCTAGCTTTTTCTGAGCTACGAGTTGTTCCAAAGACTTTGTGGCCCTGCCGCAGAGCATCAAGACTTAGCTGGCGGCCTAGACCGGAGCTCGCGCCTGTGATTAAGAAGACGGTCATGTTTCCCTTTTTAGAAGTTTGTGGAAGAGATTGGGTTGTGCAGCAGCAAGAAAGAAAGAAAAAAGACGACTGGTGATTTGTTTATATATAACCTGCAGAGCTTCGCGATCATCTCTCGCCGAATTGGCGTGCCCGGAATGGATCGCCGGAATTATGGCTTAAGCCCGGTTCAGTGGAATTGACAGCTCTATGCAGCTGCCACCTGTTGTGATAGTCCGTTAAGATCCGATATGTCCGCTCTATTTACTCTTTAACTGCCTCTAATACCCAAGTAGTCCTTTCATTTGTTGCTCAGGCAAAACAAACCAGGATAACTTCAAGGCCAAATTCACGACGCTGCTTATATTGCCCACGAAGATTCTGCTACAGCATAATAACATTTCCAACTGCGATATCACTTGTTCGTCTAAGGCCTCTCATTGAGTTTGCTAGTAAAACTGAATTATTTCAAGGAAAGATGGAGAACATTATACTCGCTGGCGCTTGATGTCAAGTTTACAGGTGAAACTACACGGGCATCGAGAATGAACTTGATTGCGAAAATTGAGAATATTTAACGCGAGATCGACGATAATCCTTGCATTGCTATATACGCTAATATTATGATACGCGTTGTACGACAAAGTATCCTAGAAACCCGCCATCAAGTTAATATCCTCGTCGATTGACTAAGTATCCCGACCAATTGCAAGGGTTTGAGCCTCGATGTAGAAGCTACTGATTTACCTCCAACAGCCCCGTTGTCAGCTAACTGGGGATTTTACCAGCGGTTACTTAGATTTCCGATCTCATTTCCTTTAACACATGCATTTTGATCAATGCTTTGTTCCATAATATTATTACGATATTGACACCAAATGGAACCGATATGGCCAGCAAACCCGATTGTCCAATGACTGCTCTGAGCTCTGTACTATAACCTAAACTATTCCTAGCTTGACACCTTGTAGCGCGTTAGACAAACTTGAAACTGTATGGTCCCTTGAAGTATATCATAGTACCCCAAGACCCTAGACCTCCTCATTCTCTCGTACTGTCTGTGAGTCTTGTCACAAGTACTTCAGCGTAGAATTATTTTGCATACTAGCTCCTTATGATTACCCTATGAAGCATGTGGTAAGAATTAAGCGAGTCAAGCTACAGGCAACCATTGATCTCGGGCAAGCCAGCCTTGGTGTGTAGTCGTCAACAGCGGAATCACGTCTTGGCCAGCACAATTTACTTGCAAACGGTGAGGACTCGCTAACGGAATCATGAAAGGCCTTTGCTACAGCAATTTCTGACTGTAATAACAGGACTGTGTAATGTACTAAGAAGATCAGTGCTTCTTGCAGTAAGGAGCAATAATGTATGGAACGATGATGGCGCATGAGAAAGGATGCGGAAGTCGTATTGATAAATGTAAGAGGCTTTTCGCCAAGTACTCATAGTGATTCGATTGTCTCATAACAATGTATTAGATATCTACCACAAAAAGTAGGTACTCATAGCAATCAAAACTCGATCTCCACCATAGTCGCATTTCTGCACGGTATGTATCTGGCAATTATGTAGGCGGCACCTCCATGTCGCCGAAACTCTGCTGACTGTCAACTATTCGGGCGTTTTAAAGCTGGGAAGTGGGTGTTGAGCGTTATGACGTAGTAGCAAGTTCCAAATTGAGTAAAAATGTTTGCATTCGTTGTACCCATATCTGGCTTAGCGATAGAATATTATATAATGCTTATCAAACCATTGGAGCTTTAGGTTTGACTTGCACCTGTTCCGTCCTCGCGAGGTAAAACAAAAGCGCCAGTGCAGCCTACCGCTCCAGGACTCGCCGTGCCCAGGAACCAAGACAGCTAACTTCATATGGACAAGCAGTCCGCAACAATATTTCCTATTTGGGATCACCCAACCTCACAACTTTTAGCGAGGCCTGCTAATGCTGGAATCATGCAGTGTAGATAACCTTTCGAATAGTATGTTAGTTTAAGAATGGAATCTTGCGAGTTGAAGACCTCATTACTAAGGCTTGTAAGGAGCACTCTTGTTAGAATACTTGCTCTTCTTTATAAGCTATACTATGAGATTATAGGTTTATTCCCGTCTATTCCGATTCAACTAGTGGCTGCTTCTGGAACCTCTTAATTCTTTGCTCAAAGTGTTGTCCGGAGATGTATATAAACGTGGCAGATGTTCTTCCTAGATTTTAATATTTTTTCCCAAGTTTCCAATAGTATCAACAATAAATCACAACAAACCGTCAACTCATTTAATCACCCATTACTTTTCTCCTTGACAATTACAAATATCCTGACCCTCCAAGATTACTCTCAACTGATTGAAGTCAACCATCTCGAACCTATACACATTTTGTTTCTCTTCACCTCACATATCTACATCTGGATACAATATCTCTATAGACCATAAACATCAAACAATGGCTTTCTCAGACGCTCTCCTCTTCACACCCTTAAAGTTCGGCAAGGTAGAGCTTAGCCATCGAGTTGTATTATCCGCTCTCACACGACTCCGCGCCGACAAGAATCATGTTGCAACGGACCTGATGAAAACATATTACCTTCAGCGAGCTTCCATGCCAGGCGGCCTTATTATTGCTGAATCCGCCGCAGTCGCCAAACATCACGGCGGCATGTCTTACACGTCGGCTATTTGGGGCGAAGAGCATGTACAGGGATGGAAGCCTATCGTGGAAGCAGTCCACAACAAAGGCAACCACATGTATCTCCAGCTTATGGCATTCGGAAGAACTGCCCAGCCATCAGCAGCTGAAGAAGACGGATTCACAATCAAGGCACCCAGTGCGATTCCCTTCGAAGGTGGCGCAGTGCCTGAAGAAATGACCAAAGAAGATATAAAGAGCACTATCAACGATTATGTCCAAGCCGCCAAAAACGCTACCCGAGCTGGCTTTGACGGCGTCGAGCTGTACGCTGCTAACGGCTATCTCCTGGATCAATTCATTCAAGATGTGAGTAACCAGCGAACAGACGAGTACGGCGGCAGCATCGAAAATAGAAATCGATTGGTAATAGAAATTGCCCAAGCCGTCTCCGACGCCATTGGAGCAGAGCGTGTTGGGATCAAGTTGAGCCCATGGTCTGATTTCCAGGGCATGCGCATGGAAAACCCAATCCCACAATTCACCGACCTCATTCGCCGCCTCAGTGATGTTGGTCTTGGGTACCTCAACTTGATTGAGTCTCGCGTTTCGGGCATCGACTACACAGATGGTACGGAGAAGCTTGACTGGGCATGGGCGCTCTGGGATAAGGTGATCATTGCAACTGGTGGTTATCTGCCAGAGACGGCACTGGCGCTGGTAGAGGAGCACAAGGACAAGAATATTTTGGTAGCCTTTGGAAGACGATATGTCGCCAACCCTGATCTGCCGTTCCGTATTCAGAAAGGTCTTGAGTTGAACCCATACGACCGCAGCTCATTTTACAAAGTGGGCGCTCCAGATGGACTTATTGATTATCCATTTAGCAAGGAGTATCTGGCGTTGAAGAATTAACATGGAGGCAGGAAAGTTAATATAAGATTCATAGATATTTAACAGCAAATAAACTAATTCATCTATTCTACTGCGTTACCGTGACTGTACCTATGTGAATGTTGATTCATCCATTAGAAACACGTCGCCAAGAGAATGCTGTATGTCAGACGTTGCTATGAAGGAATCATGATGGGGGAGAGTGAATAGAGGCGATTAAACCATGAAAAAGGTGGGGATATATTGTACTGTGGCGAGCAGCGTATAATCTTGCCGGGGTATCTATAAAGAGAAAGCTTGCAACTATAAAGACAAATCGTGAAATGCAGGGAAATAACGCCGGCTCCTATGCTTGTAATGCCAATCATTGTGAGAATCCAACACTCGAGCCATCTAAATCTTCGCCGCTGCACCCAGCCCTGCCGGGATAACGACCATGATTTAGGAACTAGCTTCTTCGTGGTATACGACCTCCAGCTTGATTACGCCGCTGCCTCCGACCCTGTCAGACTAACGACCATATCAAAGCGCCAGGTGTATACTACGACGTGCCACCAGTTTCGTATATGCTGAAAGACTGCCCGCTGCCCCCAGCCCTGCCAGGTTAACGGGTATGCCTTTCAGTCAACTGGTACTCGAATGCTGGATTCCCTATGCGACGTTCACCTGCTGTTCGCAACTGCGCATGCAATGCCATTGTCGTTTAAATACCACAGTTCGCATCCGGAGCTCCGTCTGGAAGACCGTCTTGAGTGTAAAATGGTTTCGATGAGAGGTGCATCATTATGCTCTAGTGGTTTGTCTTGGCGACGGCTATTTTTCTTCCGTCGTGGCTGTCGCTGAGATTCTTTTCCTTGGGATGATACTGGGGAAAGGATTGCAGACTGCCGGCGAGAGCTTCGCCGTTTCCTTCTGAGCGGAGACGGGCAATGCAGAGTCGTTTGCGGTAGGTTCGGGGATGGTGATGGCTGCGGTATTGAAGTCGAATTCTGCGGTGAAGGGGTGGCGTCGATAGCTGCATATTCGTTTCCATCAGGCTCGCTTGTGTCCCTATCTGAAGGCACCGGGCTTGGTAGCGGATTTCGGATCACAGTCTGTGGCTGGCAGCTGCACACTGATTCTGCGTCTATCCACGCCCGGTGAAACGCCTCTACCCGCAGATTCGGCTTCTGTTCTTGTTCTGGCTCATATCCTATGCTCGGCCACAGCTCTGGAGAGGAGCTTCGAGACCATCGTCTGGTTGAATTGCCTGACGTGTGGTTCGTCCTGGCCCGCTTTGCGCGAGGCTCTTCGTCCGAGTCGGTCTGCAGCTGATTCGATCCATTCCTCTTGCGCTTTTCGAGTCGTGGGGGCATCGCTGGAGACAGTGGCTGTGGTGGCGCGAGGAAGACATGGCGAGTCTGAGGATTGGACGCATCGTCAAGCTGCGTTAGCCGGGCCTTTTTGCGCGGCAAAATCGAGCCAGAGTCGGATTTTCGTTTCGTCATCGTGTTCAATGGCCGGATTATGGCCGGGTTATGTCTGAGAGAGGCGTCGGCGACCGTCGTGAAGTGTCTGGCGTTTGCTGAATTAAATCGTCCGCTGAGCTGCTGGCAAGCGGCTGACGATGCTGCGAAGTGAGGCGCGCAACCGCATCACGTGACCTGCGATGTGCATCAGCGCAAGTCGCGACAAGGCAGAGAATCAGTTGAAATGGTCTTTCATTCGAGTAAAACATACTCAGGTGAGCTCATAAGCAGACGCGCACTGGCAAAAATACTTGATTAACTCACTTCTAGTCCTCCAGTTGCTTTTCTCATGCCCGACAACCGCCGTTTCCAGCGCCCATCGCCCGCTACAGCTACTGCTCCTCGCCAGCCATTCTCATGACACTCGCAGACGCTGCTCCCAATGGCGAATCAACTGAAGAGGCCAGCGACATCCTGTTTGCCGTCTTCTCTGCAGATAACGAAGCTGCGATTCATCTGTTAGAGACCATCGAATGCAAAGTATCGCCTCCCACCCTCAAGAGCGACGAAAACGCAATTGGTTATCAGCTATCGTTGCCCTCTCTATGCGACAGCTTCGACTCCGGCCGCTTCAGATGGCGCATCGGTGCCGGTCCATCTCCAGCGCTGGTTGAGAAAGGACTGTGTCACTGCAAGCCGGATATTCTTCTATGTCCCCCCGGCAGAACGCCCAGCTCGACAGCAGTCCGCCGATTCATCAAAGACATTCACGCCACCATTCATATCCATCCGCGATCAGGCGTCCTACTGCTGAAGACGCACTCTAGCCGGCCTATTGTCTACGAACAGGGTGACGTGGACGATGGCGATTTGACTTTGGATGCATCACCGAGGAGGAATACATGCGTTTTGCGGCGACAACGTAACTATCTTCGCTTTGGCCGATATCGTTTTGTTCTTGAATTTGTCGCCAGTGACCAAAGTCGCAAAGGCCTCAACTCGCAATTTGACGAGAATCTCGATTGTTGTTACAGTGGCCTCCGCCCTTCTCAGCTTCTCAGCTTTATACCTACGTCACATTCTGAGACTTCTTGGAATGTATGGCTTCATCAGAAGATTCCGAACTCTTCTATAATCTCCGGCGTTGACATCCACACGGGCTGGCCGGTTGCTGTTAAAAAGTTAGAGACCAGGTCTAAAGGGCGACAACATATGCGACGGCGGCTACAAATTGCCTCTCAGTATAAAGATAGGTTGCATAAAGGTGTCTTGGGTATTATTGATATCTGGTGCGAGCACAAGTCACCATCTCCATGCCTTTTTAATAGGCAGAGCGAAGCCACGAACCGCTGTCTCCATACATTCTACTCTGTGCCCCTTGCCGAGCACGATTTCCTCAACATGCCATGGGCCAAGGTCGATATCAACACGCGCCTACTCTATCTCTTTCAGACTCTGACAGGGCTATCTGAGATACATCAGCAAGATATTGCTCACGAAAATATCTCACCCGAATCATTGTTGATATTGGCTGACACGAAAGGCGAACCACTGCCAGGTGTCAACTCACTGCCAAAAAAGGCAGCCATTTCTCTCTCCATACAACCGCATGGCAAGAAGCCAAGTGCCAGTGTATGCGTTGCGCCAGAAGTTTGGAAATCCAAGGCGATTTTGGATCAATTCAAAGCTGACATCTGGTCACTTGCTGCCTCATGGCTGTTTGCTTTCGTGCGGCCACCAAGGGATATCAGAATCACCAAAGAGTCTTATCACACTCTGGAGAAGACATTAGATGGCCAGTGTGAAAGAGGCTTCATACCAGGCCTGTTTGCAACTCTTTTGCGCCAAATGCTGGCATGGGATCCCAAGGACCGACCAAGCGTCGAAGAAGCGCTTGCGCATGAAGCATGGGTGCCTGTGCTGGCACATGGGCAGTCAATCGCGGACGACAGAAAGCGAAAGCGAATAGAGCAGACACAGAACCCTTCTGCCCAAACCAGGAGAGCTAGAGTACTTTCACCCGACGCGAATGATTGAACAGAAGGTGAACTGCAGATAATCTTCCTCTCAAAGCCTTGGTTGTCAAAACTCCTAGTCGGAAACGGTACATAGCTATTGTTTTGGTAGCTTCGAGCTATCATCCAATCAACGACTGCCGCTTCTCAGCAGAGAGTCAACTGCACGACTGGGCTTCTTAGTCAAGCACTGCATGAAATTGATGCCAAGCTTCTGCTTGGTAACTCAGCCGACGTGCCTTCATTTGGCCACGCAATCACCGCTCTTCTAGCGTCCATCTCTATAACGATGTAGACTACGCAGTTTAGCTTCTTGCAAACGGGGCAATAAAGCGACACACTTTTAGCTTTTCGCCTGCAAAGACTTCTGAACTTAGAAGAAGACATTATCTTACGGATATCGGCCTTGACTGAGTCAATCTGGCTCCCTCATAGCGCGACAAGATCTGTCAAATATGCCTACCATGTGACCTTATGACTGCTGCTAATAAGCGAGTGAAATAATATATCAAGAAATATAGCACTATCAAGCTTCTGTATATGAAGTAATAATGAGCGGCACTGAAGTCATAGAGAATCATTGCTACCAAAAGTCTACTTGCGCAATGCAAATCTGTTTTTAGCACGCGCCCCCAATAAAAAGCCAATGCTTGTATGCGCCAAACTGGGCCTGGTTCGCGGCCCGTTCCGCGACCTACCCGAGAGTAATCGGTGCCATAACCTGAACTCAGTCTCGCACCAGAAATTTTCCAGCTATGGTGCTTTATAGAAAATTATGTAGTAATTACTAGTGTCTGAATTTACACTTTAAAGGACATCTTCAGGCTGAATTCAACTGGTTGTCCAAAGTTCTCTTGCATTTGAAAATTTGTTGTTTGAGTCATGTAATGTTACTGCTTTCCGATCTTTTACAGCCACGCAGGAGAAACTGCATAATATAATATATAAAGCCAACGATAGTATAACCTCCAAATTCTAGAATAATAAGTTTCATATCATGATAATAGAAAATACTTGTCTGCTAATGTGCCTCGGAAATACAACTCCTTTGTTCAGCAAATCACAGTAAATACGCGTGAAGGCTCTTCATAAGAATATTTGCAATCTCGTCTCGCCTTCGAAGCCTCTCTTGCTACAGTAATATTTCCGATTGCTAAGGGGATGTCAAAGGCATCGGGGAAAGGGACTTCTTTCCTATGTGTAGGATCTCTAATAAGAATAATAAGATAATATTGTGACATCGTCCCAGAATATTAAAGCATTTCTTTGCGGGAAGCAAAGGGAAAAGGCTTTTGGGTTACAAGCATATAATATTAACAGTTGAGACTGATTTAAACAGAGATATTTATTTTTGTGGAATATATATACAATACCTCCTGCTTTTCCCTCTATCCTTTACTTGCTTCAAGCATGAGCTTCCTTGCAGCTAACATTAAATATTTTGAAATGAATTGAAAGCCTCAAATTAACTCCATTATATGTGTCACTTCTTCTCAGAATACTGAATACTATACTCCACCGTCCTCTTTATTCCGTTATTTGCATCGTTCTGCCCGCCAGCCAGAATACTCTCTTCACTCCCTGCATTCGAGTTGTTTCGCTGAATAGTCGTCATGTGAATGCCGTTGGACTTCGCGCCCGGTTCCACCCATTCATCTGTAGACGTAAGTGGTGCTTGACTTCTTCTTCCCGTACCCCTTGAGCCCCTCGACTTCGAGCCGTACCCGTTCGAATCGTAGCCAGGGGTGCCGTATCTGTTGGCTGAGTTTTTACTTCCGAGTGCTGGGAATAGTTTGACAACCAGTTGTCGCAGAGTTGGCAAGCATGCGCAGACGATAGCCACGTTTGGTTCGATGATTGTCCACATCACATTCGCGATATCGTATGTATTGTCGGTCGAGGTAGCGAAAACATCGAGGGTTGTGACTCGGAGGCATGAGGTGATGACGACGAAAACACCAATGGCGAACACAGCCATTAGAGCGAGTTTCTGAGCCCGAGGTACCTCTAGCCCGTATACTAGAGGCATGGGAAGCAGAAGAATAATAACATCGGTAGCGATCGAGAATCCGGCGTTGGCGAACCAGAACGTGGCAAGGTTGATGCAGGTTCCTGTCCGGGCCTTGTCGAAGGCTTTGGCAACCGGGTTGCACTGGAAGATCGTCGCGGTCATCGAAGATATGCAGTAAATAATAACGCAAGCGAGGAGGCCCCTGCAAGTCCATCTCATCCAACGAACAATCTCAAATAGACGCAGATAGAGTAGTAGAATGGAGCATTTGGTGAGATTAATTGCCGCTTTATAGGTGATTTGCGACATGTACAGGAACTATCCGCACCATCTTTGTCAGATACGCAGTCACAAAGCAGCATATGAATGGTACAAGCTCTTTATGAAACGTACCTTTAGTGTTTCGATCTGATTCTGGTGTTCTATGTACTTGAAATGTCGGCCCATGCCGTAATGGCAGCCTGCGTTGGTAGTTAGCATCATGGTGAAATCCAGCTGGCGGCTTAATAACTTACATGTCATCAAAAAAGCACTGGTAAGAAGTGCAAATATCTTATGAAATCGAAAGAAATCCGAAAGTTAGCATATACATCGCGGGCAGAAATATCGACCAGGAAATAGTTACCAAGGCCGCAATAGCAGTCCAGTCATCAGCCCCCATATTCCCACCTTGCCTCAACCGCGCCCATATTCGCAACACAACGACAATAGGACTTATGACCAGGAAAATGATTGCAGGAATGTAAACCAAATAAGAGTCATTATCGTTTGGATTGGGTATTGGAGTGGCCATGCTGGACTCGGCCGTTGCTGGCTTGACAGCTCCAGTATGTGTCGATAGCAGTGTAAAATTGTTGGAACATCAAGACCGAATCCCACGGCTGAAGTCGGGTGGCCACTGTTGCCTCGTTATAATAATAATAACAAGTGCCGCTATCTAATACTGGTCTGGAGAGGGTTGCACTCGACCTCAGCTGCGCAAAAGCCACCACCTACGAAAGCGTCAAACCAATGCAGGGACAAGGCTCTGTGAACCCTTCCTACATTCTCTTCTCGTACTTGGGGCTCTCATGCCACAGTCGCCTGCCTACCAGCTGAATACAGACAGGCGTACATGGGTGTAAGAGGATGAACAAATCAAAGCAACGTCAAACCTCGTGGGAGCCAGCACAGGGGCCGCCTTTAGTCTGTATTTGATACCACCATGATTGCATTGACAGCCCCCCAGCTCTTTTTTGATTGCAAGAGCTTGCGATGGACTGACCGATTGTGCCTGTCGTTGCCTGGTGCTGCCCTTTCTACAGGACTTCGATTCCATCGGCAGGTCTTCCGAATAAGCTGTCTGTATCGACTTTGCCTAGTGCCATTACGCGCAAACGTCTTGGCCATTTATCCTATTGGTCCGCGTCTCGCTTCCGGTGGCATTGCAAGGGTGCAAGTGAAAACTTTGGCCGATCCATGTGAGAAATAAGATTGCTGAAGAAAAGCGGCCTTCTGCCCATGTCAGATCCACTCCGATGCATGTATGTTGTTGGCTCTAAGGTCTGTGAACTGTTGGTCGTCAGGTTATCATGCAAAAGTTCTGCACGAAAAAAATTCTCGTCAAGGGCCTGATGCTACCTCGTCAAGAAGCTGATCAGCCCCCCCCTGCTGAGCGATTTTGGGCGTGTTTGAGATGATGAGAGCAACAGTTCGGTGCCAGTGGTTTGCGCCCGCCAATGTACAACTATTGTTAGTACTCGGTGGTGATCCACCAGTTCGGGGCCGTCCGGGATCAACGCTAAGCATACGGATCTATCTGGGGAATCGCCTGTGATTAGGTCTACATCGAGATTGTGACAGTGAAGACGCTGAAGAGGGTCAGTAGCGGGCAAATTCAGTTGACAGGCGAATGGCAGCCGATGCAAGTGTGGCACTGGTAAAATCTAGCATAAGGCTAGTTTCTTCTAGCTGCGGCTTAAGACGGCCCTTCTGCCTCGATTTAATTCGGCGAAGTCTTCCCACGAAGTTCACTTGTAAATGCCCCTTCGAGGGCATCCTCCGGCTCGGCAGAACAAATCAGGCCATGTCTCCTTACATGTACTCAACTCGCCACGTTACATCGGTTGTGCTTCAGAAGCATGCTGTATGTATGCTCTACTGGGTATCTGCAATGAATTCCGCCGAAACCCACACGCTTTTAGCTGATTGGAGAAAGGGTAAGAGCAGCGTACGTATTTCCTCACAGCTGCGGTCCGGGTTCTTCATTTTCACTGCTCCTCATTGGGGCTGGAAGACCCTTGGCCGGGGCTTTCCCCCTGCGTAATAAGACAATAATCGACTACTGTATGCTACCTGTTTCTGGAATTCTCGCCATGATAATACGGAGCAGCTAAGTCTGCGGCCTAGCTCTGGCTGGCTTCTTTGTGTTGACACCCTTGGTCCCCGTCTTGGCACTCCCTACTCTACTATAGGTGGCACTACCACGTACTCGTATGCAAGACCGATTTCAGTTCTCAATGTCGAATATCGAGCCGCTGCATTGCATTACTCAACGGGGCCCGTCGTTTATTAACCGACTGAAGGCACAGCTTCGCTAAACAGGCACTACCCGAGCCACGCGATCCGTATCTGCAAGCAGAGCCTGTTTTTAATCACCCGTCCTGTTTCCTCTTTATACATCCTTTTCTCGTTCGTAGCATCCGCGTTATAGATGTCTCACTTGCATTCTTGCTGAGGCCAATGTCACACAGCGTGACCGTTTAGGGTTCTTACACAACTACTCCTGCGTTCCTTTGCAGATTCTTTACCCTTTTTTACTTCTTCTGCCCCTGGTTCTTTAATTTTCTTGATTACCATCTCCTTTGGGACCAGACATATTGCCTCTTCTGGGTTACCACAAAGCTCACACTATGGCGACGTTCGATGAGAAGATTCCCGTTGAGACGGGGGAGCAAGCTGTGCCGCAGACGCCTCAGAAAAGCAGCGAATACTCTTCGGATGCTCCAATCGATCCCAAGGCCGAGAGTAGGCTGGTTAGGAAACTCGACTTTATCATTTTCCCTACCTTCTTCGTGATATACATGATGTCCTTTTTGGATCGTATCAATATCAGCAATGCTCGTATTCAGGGAATGGTCGCTGAACTTGATCTCGTCGGGAATCGATTCAATGTCGCGCTCTTTGTAAGTCTGCAACAACTGGAGGTGTGTTATACTATTCCAGAAGCTGACTCTTGTACAGATCTATTACATCTCCTACATTCTCCTGGAAGTACCCTCCAACATGCTTATCAAAAGATTTCGGCCTTCCCTGTACCTGTCTTCCTTGATGTTTTGCTGGGGTATCATCAATATGTGCATGGGATTTGTCCATTCCTATGGCGCCCTCCTTGGTCTCCGATTCCTCCTCGGTATTTTCGAAGCTGGCCTCCTCCCTGGCATCATCTACGTTACATCGCAATATTATAAGCGACACGAGTACCAAAAGCGCATGTCCTTTTTCTTCTGCAGCACTGTCGTCGCAGGTGCCTTTGGTGGACTGCTGGCCTATGCCATTGCCCATCTCGGTGGCAAGCACGGCTTTGCAGCCTGGCGCTGGATCTTCATCATTGAAGGCGCCACTACCTCAACGATTGCCATAATTGCGGCGTTTCTCATTATCGACTGGCCGGAGCAGACCAAATATCTCAATGCCGAAGAGAAAGAGCTGCTTCGCCGTCGTCTCGCGGCTGATGTCGACGACTCGTGCCGCATGGATGTCCTCAACAAGGCTTCGCTTAAGCTGATCCTCAAAGACTACAAGATTTGGCTGGGAGCTTTCATTTACCTGGGAATCAGTGTTCCTGGTCTGTCTGGAACCTTCTTTCTCCCCACCATTCTGTTGGAGTTCCACTGGGCGGCTGAAGAGGCACAAGTCCGCACTATCCCCGTCTATGTTTTTGCTGCCGGCATGATGATCATTGGTGCTTGGGCCTCTGATAGGCTTAAGCACCGCTATGGCTTCTTTGTTCTTGGAACTGCCATGGTCACTATTGGATATGGAATGCTTCTTGGCCAAGTCGGAAAGTCTCGAGACTACAAGTTCGGTGCCGTCTTCCTTGTCTTTGGCGGCGCCTACATGGTCACGCCCATGGCCCTTGCATGGCTGCAGAACAATCTGTCAGGCCAGTGGAAGCGCGCATTCGGTTCGTCAATCCAAGTCACAATTGGTAACATTGCGGGCATCATTGGAAGCAACATTTTCCTCATCAACGAGTCTCCCACGTACAAGACTGGTTACGGTGTTGCGCTTGCCTTTATGTGGTTTGGATTGATCGCGGCCACTCTCATGTTCTTGCTCATGTGGCGCGAGAATAAGAAGCGTGATGCCGGCGAGCGGGATGATAGACTGAACCTCCCCGACGATGTGAAGAACAACCTGGGTGATGCGTATCCCACCTTTCGATTTACTCTTTAGAAGACTATTATCGTGCAATTCGTCTCCTTTTCATTGCATGACTTTTTGGACTCCTTCTTATACCCTAGGCTAGTTGTTGTAATACATATCTGGAACGCATTGATGTTATTGTGAGCGATAGAGAATCATTCAGATTGAGCGAGCATACCAAATATAGACTAATCAATAAATCAAGTAATTCTGCGTACTTATTTGTTTTCATGTGTGCAATATCGGTGCACCATTGTATATAGATGGCCACCTCTGGCACAAATTCCTTCATGGATCTCAACCTACATGCACGTAGGGACCTAAAAGCGAGCACTCACGCAAGCAGCATCTGCAGAGCATCATCGTTATCCAGAGACTTCCAGTACTAAAGACTTTCCATTTGCGGTCGGCCCGTCTGTGTGTGGTAGACATGCAATACTACGTATCTAATGCCTAGTATTGATACCATATGCAGGATCACTGAATAGTGGAAAGGTGCTTTGCTTTTGCGGGCCTATTAGCCGAATTATCTACCAGGTACGCGGCACCAAAAAAATTACGACACTGTTACCACCGCTGGTAATATTGATCAGTTCCAAAAGCAGTTAAAAAGACGCAGAGCATGCACAAATAGGCAGCATGAGAGGCTGGTACAAAGAAGCTGGGATGGTATACAGGTCTGTTGCTACAACCGGCGAAAAGCGCATCGGCAAACCCGCGTCGGCGTTTATGTGCCTATAATTGCGGCTAGTTTTAGTACTGCTACCTCACTAGGGCAAGAGAACTGGCACAGGCTGAGCTGTTCGATATTGACGGCGAGGCTAACCTTGAGCAGCGAATGATACGGCCAACCACAGATTTATTAATGTCGCGTATACAGGTATACTTCGAAATACGCAAATCCACAGAGCGGAGTCATGGGCTCTGCAACAACTAACACTATTGAGAGCCATGCTGGGGTCTATCTTCGCCTCTTACAGTCGCCCGTCAGGAGTTGCAAGTTCCCCGTCTGTCAGCTGTTCTCCGATACGACGCTGCAGGAGAAAGCCAGGGTTGGCATTGGTACTCCATACGAACGACAAGAAGGGACTCGCTAATCAAATGGGGCTTGATCTCGTCCGCTGGAAGGATCGCTTTATGCATGGTAGAGACCCCGTAGTTGCATCCTTTTAAACAGGGGCACAGCGCACGACGCGGAGCAGAAGCTCTTTGCCGGCTAGTTTCCGCAAGAAGCAAAACAATTATAGTCTCGCTCTGCTGCGTGTTGTCCGGATTGTCAGTGAGAACATACTTGTTTGTAGTGTTCGTAAGAGAGTTCAGTATGTATTCGACATCTTCGGCGTTCTTTGAGGCAATATGGGATGCAGGGGTCACCCACTGTTTCGTCAACTTGGGGTCAGATCATCCGGGTATGATTGAGGCCATGGTAAAGGGCCAGCGAGAGAACCAAGGAAAATTCCCGCGTATTATTACGTGCCCTAGCGAGGTATCATTCTTCCCTACATGGAGCCTAGCCTCTTATACAACGACTGCTGATAATAGTTGACGTGGACAGATGGTGGCCATGTCCATGGCAGATGGCTACGCCCGATTGACTGGAAAGCCACAATGTGTTATTGTCCATGTCGATGTTGGAACACAGGCCCTTGGCGTGGCCGTTCACAATGCGTCAAGCGGTCATGCCCCTGTCCTCATCTTTGCTGGAATGTCTCCTTTTACTCAGGAGGGTGAGATGCTCGGCTCCCGCACCGAGTTTATCCACTGGCTGCAAGATATCCCTGATCAAAAGGCGATTCTTGGCCAATACTGCCGGTACACAGCTGAGATTAAAACGGGCGTTAATGTCAAGCAGATGGTTAACCGAGCGTTGCAATTCTCCAAAACTGCTCCACAGGGTCCGGTATACCTCTGTGCGGCTAGAGAGGTAATGGAAGCAGAGATCAGCCCTTACTCTATTCAGCAAGAACACTGGAATCATGTCGAACTAGGCGGTCTTCCTTCAAAGGCTGCAAGTAACATTGCTCAGGCGTTGGCTAATGCCGAGAGACCATTGGTGGTGACAGGCTACTCGGGTCGAAATCATGGCATTCCTGAAGCTTTAGTCGAATTGGCAGATACCATCAAGTCTCTACGTGTGCTTGACACCGCGGCAAGTGATGTGTGCTTCCCGGGTGACCATCCAGGCTGGTTAGGAGTTAAGCAGGGAGCTGATGCCTCTATTCCGGAAGCCGACGTTATACTGGTTCTAGACTGCGATGTGCCATGGATCCCAACGCGGTGCAAGCCCAGTCCGGATGCAATAGTCTATCACATTGATGCCGACCCCTTGAAACAACGGATGCCTTTACACTATATTCCATCCATTGCTCGGTACCTGGCAGATGGACTGAGTTCCATTGAGCAGATTCTGCAAAATCTAAAGTCAGGAGAAGCAGCCGGGATTCTTGCGACGAAAGATCAGGCCACAGCCGAAGAAACTCGTCGTAGCTCTTACGCTGCCAAGATTGAGCACATCACCAAAGCGGCGGAACCGTTCGCTGATGGTAGTTTCGGTACGGGCCATCTAAGTAAGGTGCTTCGATCTGTTTGCCCAGTAGACACAATATGGGCTGTAGAGGCGGTGACCAACACTGGCTTTATTCACGATAATGTGAGACCAACAAAACCAGGCTCATGGATCAACTGTGGAGGGGGTGGTCTTGGCTGGTCTGGTGGCGGTGCTTTGGGTATCAAACTGGCCACCGATGCTGAAGGAGAAGGGCAGTTTGTGTGCCAAATTGTGGGTGATGGAACTTATCTCTTTTCCATGCCTTCAAGCGTGTATTGGATATCTAAACGATATAATATTCCCATTCTGACAATTGTTCTGAATAACGATGGTAAGTGTTTCGCATGGGAATTTATATACTTTTGGACATACAAAAACTGACTTCTACAGGATGGAATGCGCCGAGAAAATCGTACATGTTGGTTCGTCCCGATGGTGAAGCTGCTCAAGCAACAAACGAAGACATGAATATTTCATTCAAACCAACACCTGACTATGCTGGTATAGCAGCAGCGGCTGGCGCAGGCGATATTTGCGCGCTGAAAGTAACCAACGCTAACAATCTCGAAGCTGTTCTTAGAGATGCGGTAGCCAACGTGAAGGCTGGCAAAACAACTGTTGTGGATTGCAAAGTTGTCCCAGACTGCTAGAACTAAACTGCTTTAAGTAGAAAGAAAATAAAAGCAATAAAGGCAATTTGCAGTAATAACTGTATGGATTGGGGCATGGAGAGGCTTAACATAGTTTCGTCAATCGCTTTTACTTGACGCTGTATCATGATACGTTTATTTACACAGCCTCTCCTTTTTGTCAGTGAACAGTGTTAATATCGCCCCAGCAGTGTTTATCTCTACAACTGTAAACCTTTATTTTATCCCCTTTTATGACTATTATAACCCTGTCCTATACTATATAGGCATATGCAACTGCCAGCAACACTGGCCACGTTTATTCACCAATTCTAACGCCCTTCTTTGTAAAGACTCTCTTTCACTTTCGCTTTCAACCCAGTTGAGGTAAATTGCACACATTTTCAATTCGCGTTTGTTGTGCCAATTAGATAGCCACATACATGCTTAAACTTTTGCCCATAACTTCCCTTTCGCTAAATACAATCTCGAGGCTCCGTAAAACATACTTCCCGTGGCTAGCATGACTCCGGTGAAAACTTGCAATTTCCAGTAACTCCCATTTGCAACTGTGATCAAAGCACCTCCGATAGGGCTTCCTGTCAATGCTGCGACCGACATAAAAGCATACATGGTCCCTGATCTCAGGCCAATCTGATGTATATCTGATATCTGAGCCACCAGCGCGGGGCTTATTGCCGTATAAGTCCCACTACTGAATCCAAACAGAGATGCAAAAGCCATAGTAGCTGCATTGGAATGACTAGGAAGCCATAGAGCGAATACTAGAGTGGTAGACAGGCAGGCGGCGCAAAGCGATACATTGAAGTTTCCGACTTTGTCTGCCATGTATCCTGGAAGAATACGGCCAATACCACTAATATATGTCCAAAACAATTAGCATGTTTGACGATCATTGATGTCAATAAGAAATACACTGATACGACATACCTTGCCCCGTTAAACATAGAAACTAGATACCCGGCAAGTTGTGGCGACATACCCACGCTTCTGCCATAGGTTACAAGAAAGGTGATGGGTATAAACATGCCCATTGAGTAGAAAAAGCCAGCAAGGGCTGTTAGCAGAAAAGGAATATCCTTGAATGATTTCATCAAGGCCCCAGCGTCATATTTCTTTGGCTGTGGACGTAGGCGTGAGCGAACAGTCAGATTCGTGATAACGAGCAATCCCAGCATAAGGAAGGCACATATTCGCATCGTCCAGCCGAAACCGATAATAAGAATGAGCCGATTGACCATGATGGGTAGTATAACTCCGCCCATGCTGGATCCACTGGCTACAATACCCATCGCCAAAGCGCGCTTCTTCTGAAACCATGTGGTGGTACAGCTAAAAGACGGGTATAGAATCATCGCTGCTCCAATCGGACTGCATATTGATTGAGACAGTATGAATTGGTAGTACTTGGAAGAAACGGATGCCATCATGAGACCAAATACGTGAATAATAGTACCAAAAAGCAAGAGCGTCTTAGGACCATAATGATCAAATAGATGCCCTACAAAAGGCCCCTATGATCAGGTAAGAAATTGAGCCTATACTAGTTCAAGAGAATGCCCCAATTACCGCGATAAAGATTGTAAACATAGATAATGACGGGATCCAAGATACCGTACCTGGCGACAATGATGCGAGTTGATGAGTCTCGTAATACTCTTGGAACACGCCAACACCTATGAGAGTTAGCTTTTATGAGGGTGTCTCCATGTTGAGATTAAGATGTCGCACAATTTGTCCAACCAAAAGATACAAATAGACCAAAGAAAGCGCCCAAAACAACTAGCCATGCTCGCAAGCCTCCGTCTGGGAATGACTCAGAATCGCTACATTTTTCATCCAAGTCACGAACAGGTATAGAGCGAACATGGCTTTCGCTTTTGTTATCCATGACAACAATTTAGGCTTTTGAGAATACGAAGCAAAGGATGGAAGGTTTTGCCTGTTCAAATTTTGATCACTACACATAATGGATTTTTTTATTGAGTCATTGGGCGGTCTCCAATAATTTATACGACGCGCAAATCATCTGCGCCCTTTGAAGAGTTCGGAGGTCCGAATCCTCTAGCTAGTCCGATCGCGGCATATGCATTCGTGTCGGTGTGCAGAGCGCTTAATGCTACAAAAAAAACGAGTAAAAGTCATGAAAAAGGAAAATGGGCCATCTGTCCAGTCCTGTATTCCCCTTTCTTTTCTTCGTCCATCTTACAATCGGGTAGGGTCTCACTAGTAAGCATTAAGATCTGAGTAACTTCACAGCCAGCGTTTCCGAACTTGCGCTTTATGAAATACGCGAAAGTTATTAGCATTAAGCTTATACAGCCAAGATGTCTTGTTTCAGCATTCATCAACTATAGAATCTGCAATGTTGTCGATAAGGGCCTCGAAGATTGAGGCAAATCTGCGGGACAGTTCCCAGTGCCCTTGGCGATGGAGAAGGTCAGTCATGTTGTACAATATGCTCGGATCGAATTGGCGAAGGCTGGCTGTAGGCGGCTCTGCTGCACCTTGAGCCGACACGCGTCCAAGATCACCCGCTCTCAGCTCGGGAATGTCTATATCACTATGGGGTTCTACACTTGGCCGAAATTTGACATAGCAATATACAACCAGCCCTGCATAGAACAGCGCCTTTGGTACGTGGATGGCTGGCTCTGCACTGATGGGAAGTGTCTGTAGGCGCTTGTAGATGAGCATGGCGTGAACAACGCAACGCTGGCCCTCCAGACCTGCCGCCCAGCCGCGGATGCGTGTCAGATCGCTGTCCCTCATGGGCGACCCTTCGCGCCCTATCACACGTTCCAACAGATCGAAGCCTACGTAGAGTGACATGAATGCCTCGTGCCAAAGCACAATGAGGCAATGGGGATCACGACTTGGGTAACGGAGACTTGGAAAGTACGCTTCGTACCAAGTTGTCAGACGGCTCCGAAAGTCTCCAATTACTGCCTCATTTGGGGCTGCACACCGAGCGTCCTGTATTGCCGCGTTGAAGCCGGAAAGTTGGACGTAAGCGTTCATGAATGAGTGAGAACTCGGTATTGCAGGTATAACAAGAGAGGATAGATGCTGCGGCTCGGTTGAAGGCAGAGACGAGTGAAGCGACTTGAGTATCGTTTGCCACTGAGCAGCCGTGGAGGCGATGAAAAGCTCATCTGGGCAGCAGCGTGGTAGTCTTCCCGGGTCATGTCGTAATAACGGTTCGTGGTGAAAAATTCCTGCAAACTCAGAGTCATGAATGTGCAGTGCCGCCAGCACACGGACAGTTTCCTCTGCTTGGGACCAAGATCTCCATGCCGCTTCCACATCATCAGGGTCAGTATGATTCGCTTCCAACAAGGAATCTTTGATCTGGAACATCCCAGCTTGCCGGGCCCAAGCAATGATGGTGCCGTGAAAGCTCTCAGTCAACAGAAGATCGTTTGGATTGCCGGAGAGCATTCCAAATGTCTGACCCAGAGCAACGGCTTGCGTTATAGCCAATGCTTCGCGCCCGCCTCGGTAGAAATATACTTCCCACTTGTACAATTAGTACTAACCAAGCAAAAGGGTTGTATCGAGACACACCGATGCTAGAATTGCCTTGTTCAGCCTCAAGAAGATTCCCCTACCACGAGCGGCAGCGCCGGCGGATCCCACGAAAAGGGCCCCCAATGAGCAGATGGATAAGAGTAAGAGAGCATTCTCTGAAGACGGTCGAAACGAAGGGGCGTGAACAATGGGAAAGACGGGCTGAAACTTGGCAAAGTATAGCTTGATGCATGTGTTCTACGATATTGTTAGCTTGAGCGGTCATGGTTCGGTCTCGATATGTTAGTTGTGTGAGAGCATACTAAAAAGTCGGCAGATGGCAAAACATCATCCTGGAGACAGGGTCGCAACCGGCTTGAGAGACCAGCACGATATGCTTCGTCTACCCGATCCGGGTTTTCCGGTCTCTTTAGTGCATAAGGGGACGCCGATTCGATTGTTGGTCGTGTGTACCATCTGTCTCGAACAAGATTCCGCATGTTGTTGCCAGTGGTTGACTCGTCTGCGTTGTCTGCTTCGTTTAAACGTTCACTTGGATGGCATTGAGCCAAGTTTGCAGAAGCATCGCCATAGACCCATGGCGAGCCAGTTGTCGAGATGGAGGAAGTTAGAGCATTGAAGTCAAAACTTGCCCCAACCAGCCAGGATGGGTCATAAGCATTACCTCCAAAGTCGAACAAACCCAAATCAGTCCAACTTCCCCAGACAGTGGAAACCTGATCGGCACTGAGAGAAGTAGTGTCTGCGCGTGTAGAAGAGTATGTGGAAGGAGAGAGATAGTTTGAAGGTTCAATATCTGTTCCGGAGGCAGCCCAGTGATTCCGTGGGTAACTATTGTCTCCCATTGAATCAGTTGGCTCGGCCAAGTATGCTGGTTCATTAGGGGGTTTACTCGTAGACAACACGTCGTCATTGATATCAGATCCCTGGTCGAGTGATGGGTGGCTAGCAGCTGCTTCTACATCTGCGCCTCTTATCAGAGAGTAGCTACTTGAAAAGAGTAGAGGCAAGAATCTTAACAAGACATACCTGGAGGCAAGGGCGTCGGTGGCTCTGCCATCAAAGCAGCGCTGCCTTCTCCACGACTATGTGTTCGCGCGTGCCGAATCAATGAGTCTCTAACATTATCGGATGTGAGAAGCCTTTTATAAAAAAAAAAACGCTGGGTGAGCGATAACCTACTGGCGTCCATAGCTCTTGGAGCAAATGTCACACGAAAATGGCCTCTCTTTTGTATGCGATCGAATATGTCGTACCATGTGTTCTCTTTTCTTGAAAGCCTGGTCACATTGCGGGCATTTCCATCCCCTGGTTTGTCGACTCCGTAGCTGGCGATGGGCCTCAGCCTCAGAATCTTTCGCGCTGCGGTCTTCACGCATCGTGATAATCTTGGAGTTGTGGGGAATGCATCTGGGAAACACTTCCCCGCATTCCACGAGATTGCGCGGCGATTTATAGGCGGCAGCAGAACCGAACTTCCGGCACTACAGGAGCGGAACTCGGCGTATCCACGCTGAATCGGATTTCATACCCTCTATACATGTATGGAGCGCACTTCTTAGGATTAGCGGGGCCACTATACCTAGACTCCGATCTACAATGACTTTTTCTTGCAGAGCAAGTAGCACAAGGCTTTGCCAGTTTCTTAAATTCGCCATAGCAGGGGCTAGATGCTAGGGGTACAACCCTCGGGGCGGGATACGGCTCCACAGACTTTATGTTATGTTCGGGCCATTCATACATGTATTGTAAACTTGCTGTTTACGAGAATAGTGATCAACAATTACTTGTCCCATGAATCCTAAAATCCTCCTCAGCGCATAGGGCCGAACACAGGAGGGTCGAATCGAGTAGATGGACTAGAACAAATGCACCTTCGAATCCCGCGTCCTGCGCCTACAACTCTTACCATAGAAGATCAACGCGACCATTCCCACCAGTGTAAAGCCAGCCGTCATTGCCATAAGAAGCATAACTGGCGGTACAAAGCCGTCAGCGGTGGCCCAGTCATTCACGAAATATGTCATCCCGAACTGTGAGTAGCCTTGTAAGCATAATGTAGCAGTAGCTCAGAAGATACTTCGTGAAGACAAAGTCCACTTACTCCAAAGCTGTTCTTGGAGACAGTAGCAATAGCCATGATTTCTCCCGATATTGGCCTATAGCAGTCAATGGCGTACGTGATGGTGATGGTAGGGATCGCGACGACCTGGACGCCGATGAACCCGAAGCCGATGATGATGATGGCAGGCCATGGCCATTTTTCTTGCAAGCCAACGCCGAACGCCTTTGCACATGCTATGATCAGCCGAGTTTCCTACAATCAGCTACGGTCTTGCTGCGCGTATTCTCACAGTTAACCCAACAATAGCAAAGGCAATGAATGGGCTCAGAGACACGAGCCGCATCTCTGGCTCACGAATGCCCTTGTTCCTCTTCGTCGCTTTCCGTGAGACATAATCCGACCACGGTCCAGCTACGGCGAGTCCGAACACCCCTCCGACTACGAGTGCGAAATTGGCGTATCCAACTTGCGCCGGTGTGAAGTTGTAAGGCGGAGCAGCGAGGCCTGGAGACTGCAAGATGTTGACCGCCAAGAGAGCATTCGCCGCTGAACCCATTGACATCGATGCCCAGAAGATGATGGGAAAGAAGAAGATGTACACTGGGGTGAAGAAACGCCTCACTACTGATCGCCAGGCATCCCGGTCGATCTTTTGAAAGACTCCAAACTGAGATCGACTAGGTCTTCCGCTCCCCATAACTTCTGGTTGGAGGTTCTGCATCCGTGCTGGGGAAACGAATTCGGCATGTCCTGAGCTCGTTTCCATTTTGGCGTTGTCCAAGTTGGCTTCTTCGGATATCGGGACACCCGGAAAAGAGCTCTGCTCTCTTAAGCGACGTGTCTCAGGGAAGAATAACAAAAGACCAATGATGTTCAGCCCCTGAGCGCCAGCACAAGCCCAGAAGAAGACTCGAAAAGAAACATATTCTACAACAGCTCCTGATATGATGGGTCCCAGAAAAAGACCCATGAAGTAACACCAGCTTGGATCATGGGTGAGTAGGAGTCTTTGCCTTGGATGGAATCGTAACTCACAAGTAGGATCCGACATATTTACCGCGCTCGTGGAGGAAATAAATATCGGTGACCACGATGTTCATGACGCTCTCATTCGCGGAAGCCCCGCTCCCCGCGAGGATTCTCGCGGCTAGGAATGAACCGTATGATGTTGCGGTTGCTTGCCAGATACAAGCGCCAAAATTTAGTATCGCGCAGGCAAGAAGGGTTGTTCGTCGTCCCAATATCTCACAACAAGGGACAATGATGAAGTTGCAGTAGCCTAGGAGAATGACAGTAACCCCAGTCTTGGGGGATTTAGCATCACTATTCCAACGCCAGTGTGTGTACCGGAGGGGCAAGGGATCAACACTTGCTGAGACAATGCTGCCCTATTCCTTAAGCGCAATGATGTAGCAATAAGGCTGAATAGACGAGGGAAAAGTGTCGCCTTACCAACAAAGCGACATCAGCCAATGACGTTTGCCACTGCTGCATGAATATCGGTGTCAATGGCGCAATGGACATTGTTGGAATGACGCTTGCAATCACGAAGATGCCTTGGTTGACAATCACCAAGGTTTTCCACAAAGTGGTCCAATTCTTGGAATCCAAATTAGCTTCTAATCGATCTATCAAAGTCTCTTTTTCGGAAAGGGGCCCAAATAAGAGGGCCTTTGTCAAAACACTCAAAAGAAGGCAAGGTAAAGTTGGTGTTATACTGACAAGTGGATCATGAGGATCGTTTGTCGGCTGCGGAATAAGGGCGACTGTATCTTGATTGTTAGAGTGGCGGTAGAAGCTCACTCCGTCCATGTTTGCCATGACCTCTGTTCCTGGCACAAGGTCGACCTCGATCTCTCTCTCAGGTAGAGCCGCCATGGGCGCGGGGTTGGAAACGTGTTCGGCTTGCTCCATTGTTGACAAAGAAAATTATCATCTCTAGTAATTATTGGGAATCTGCGGATAATCTCAGCTCTACTATGATAACCACTCTGCTATTTTAATGCTCTCGGCAATCACTCACACCCCACAGATGTGGGAAAGATAGATCCGTGTAAGCTGCGGGGCCCCAACTTGTGCCCCACGATTTAGTAGAATGGTGGTCGCTGCATCACGAAACTGCCGCCTCTTGCGCCTCTATGTATCTTTTTTGAACTTGGTTTTAGAAGAAAACTAAAGCAAGGGTGGTTGTGCTTCCGTGATAGCTACTCTTTGAGATGTCTGATTCAATGACCTCTTTTGTCCTTAAATGCATGAAATGAAGGCCACTACCATTATCTACGCTTCATCTAATCATAGTTCTCTAGCAGTGTTACTCCGGCATATAGAGCAAAACACTTAGACGGCGAATGAAGACTTGTTACAACGCCATGTGGAAATTAGAACAACAAAGATAATTTATCTAAATGGAGCATTCTACTGTGGTACTAGCTAGTCGCATATGTAGGATATCCTTAACAAATCAAGAGGCTGCATGAATACACACAGTGCTTTGCTAATTCTTCCCTCGCTCTATATAGCACTGTATCTCACTATATTCACAAGAGTTCCAATTTTCTCAATCTGTACATCAATTCTGCCTCCATTCTCCAAGCTCACACGTGGCTTTCGAAAATACCCGATTCCAGCCGGCGTGCCGGTCAGAACGGCTGATCCTGCTTCCAATGTTGTTCCTCTGGAAAGGTAAGAAATCTGCTTCTTGACAGAAAATATCATGTCTCTTGTGTTGCCGTTCTGCACCGTTTGACCGTTGTAAATGGCCTTGATGCCAAGGGATTGTGGGTCATCAATGGCCGAGGGAGAAACAAGCACTGGGCCTGCAAAGTTATTATTAGCCTTCTATGTGGCAATGACTGGTCCAAAAACATACCTATCGGGCAGCTATTATCAAGGCCCTTTGAGAATGACCACTGTTTAGCCGCGAGCTGGAGCGTTCTAGCTGAAACATCGTTTGTCGCAGTGTATCCGAGGACGTACTCCAGAGCCCTTTCCTCAGGGATATCTCGACCGGTTTTGCCAATTATAACACACAGCTCGGCTTCATAGTCGCTGGTTCCATCCTGGGCACATTTCGGAATGGTAATGGCTGCCGGAAATGGACCTGTGAGTGCCATTCGCGGCTTTGTGAAGACCTCGAGTTCGTCTGGAATCGGGAAACCGCCTTCCTGAATATTATTCAGTATGTATGCTTGTGAATGTTACCGGTGGCAAAGATCTGCATCTTCTTCTACACTTACCTCGGCATGATCTTTGTAATTGAGTCCGAGGCACCTAATATAGTTGCATTGCTCTCGGCTGACTGGAGACAGTAACTTCAGGGGCATTTGTCAGTCTTTTTATAGACTTGATGGTACTAGTAGTTGTGACTTACATGGTCCACGGTAAGCACAATATCAGTCACCGTGCCGCTAAAAATATCTCCATTGATCAGGAAGGCTTTAACTTCGACGCCATTCAGACAGTCGATTCCAACATCTCGTGAAGTATCAACTAACTGCCCAAGGTGAACATGGCCGTCTTCAACGGCCCTGAAACGAATCAAGTGAGTCCAGCTTGGCATCTTGGAATTTAGTAAACGGACAAAATGTTGCTGTTTCCCGCGGCTATTGTTAATTTCGTCGGTGTCACTGGGGGCTAAAAGAAAGGGGGCTTGATGTTCTCCGTCTTATCTAGGTTCTGCGGCGAATCTTTCCCCACGATTTCACCCACAAAATTCTCCGTCATGCCCCGCAAAGTCCCCGCATAACGAATATTGTGGCCAAAGGCAGAAGAGATGAAATGCTGTATACACTCAGATATTTCAGGGCGGTCTCGGAGAGTTGAGTTTCCTAATCACTAAACAACTGACCATGACAAAAAAAGTTATCATGGAGATGACCGAGATCATCGTGTGTGGCTGCGGGCCAACTGGCGCTATGCTGTCAGTCCTCTTGAGCCAGTACTCCATACCCCATGTTGTTATCGAGAAAGAGAGCGATGTGAATGCAGATCCACGTGGTATCGCCCTTGACGAGGACGGAATCCGCTACCTCCAGGCATGCGGGATATACGACAAAGTATTCACAGAGATTGGCCAGTGTTTGTTTACCAGTTGTTGTCATTAGATTTCGAGTAGCTTGCTCACGGGGACTCTAGGCATGCGCAATTTCAAATTTATCGGAAAGGAGCATCATGACCTCACCGAGAAACCTTTCATGACGATGGATTACAGTACGGTGCGTGATAAATCCGCAGAATTTCTCTAACCCTGGACCTAGATGCAAGTCGACTAAAGACAGCATATAGACCGAGGGCGGTACTGGCCATCCAGGCTTCATGTGTCACAAACAACCATGCATTGAAAAGCACCTAAGATCGCAAATTAAGGCGCTTGGTGTAGCTAAAATCCATCTAGGAGCACACGTCACGTCCATTCATGAGGACGAAGATTGGGTATATGCAAACTACACCGATGAATCCAATCAAAGTCGTACCGTCCGTGGCAAATTTCTCATCGGCGCCGATGGCAAGACAGGTTTCACGCGCAAACAGTATTTGGAGCCCCAAGGCGTCACGCTGGACCAAGCCATGGCAATGCCGTACGAGGAAGAATGGGTTGCCCTCAATTGGAAGATTTCTCTGCCCACGCCTGAGACACATCCCGAGTTTCCCCTCTGGGAGAAGGGCTATACGCCCCAGCAAGTCTACGATGAGTTTTTTCCTACCGACTTCCGCTTCATGTGCAACCATGTTCGGCCTGCCGTTTGCGGCCGCTTCGGTCTCGATAGCGACAGACTTTGGCGTTTCGAGTTTGTGGTGAGGCCTGGTGAGGACCCCGTGGAGATGGCCAAGCCAGACCAAATTGCGGAGGTCGTCTATCCCTATATAACTCATCCAGGTAGTCGCTATGGGCTACAAACGAAACAAATCGTATACCCGCTGGATTGCGTCGACGTTCTTCGTTGTCGACCATTCAGGTTCTCGGCAAGAAGCTGCAACAAATGGTCTCTTGGCCGAGTGGTCCTCTGCGGAGACGCTGCTCACGTTTTCCCTCCCTTTGGGGGTCAAGGAATCGCGTCGGCATTTCGCGATGCCGTCTCGCTGGTGTGGCGTCTGCGCATAGCGACCAATGTCTCTTCTAAAGGCAGGAGGACTCTGGATTACCGGACCCTACTCCAAGGCTGGTATACAGAGCGAAAGCAACAACTCGATAAGTCGCTCCGTTCCACGGTTGAGAACGGAAATTACGTTACGGAATCTAATAAGATCAGAATATTTCTACGTGACTGGTACCTCTGGCTCATTCAGCTCGTACCAAGCTGGAAACACTGGTTACAGCTGGGAAATCGCAGAGATGGGATGACCAGGTATCAGTGGCGTGATCAAATGGGAATGGCCTTTTTACATATGCTTGGTGGCGGCGGGAATTTCCCCCAAGTCTACGCCGTTCGAGTTTCTAATACGCCGCGAAATGAAAGGGTCTCCTTCACTGACGACATCATATTCGGTCCTCAAAAACAGGGGCTTTTTCAGATAGTTGTGATTCTACAGCACCTCGAGAATGTTGACAAGGTGGAGATGGTTCTACGCGGCCTAGAAGATCTATCTGACGGAGCCCTCAAGGATGGCGAAGCCACAGTCTTTATCAACAAGACTGAATCTATGCCTTGGGACTCGAAATGTCGACACATCTACCGGCTCGCCACCGCAGCAGAGTTCGCCAACGACCCAATTCTAAGTAAAGGAAGACCCGAGCCCAAGGGCTATGATCCGCATCGCATGTCCAAGGAAGTAGGGAACAAGACTTTTGTTATTCTACGTCCTGATCGGTTTGTTTTCGCGGCCTGCGACACAAGGTCTGATCTGGCCTGCGCAGCTCAAATGCTTCGCAAGCTTGTTGCCACTGGGACACTATAGTTTAGAGGGTAAACTTGTTCATTTGAGTATCTAGTATATAGCTACTAGATATTATTTTGCACAGAGCTAGGGCGCCCGAATTGATCCTAAATTCATAGGCTTCTGAAAGGTATTGCCAAGTTCCCCTCTGCTATTTCCCAGATAGTATACTTGCTAGCAAACAAATATTTTCCAAGTCAAAAGAGATCTTAAGATGACCTAATTAGTATCCTGAAGTTATTCAACAATACAGATATTTATTTAAAAGCCAAAAAGTTAGTATAATCAATGCTTTGTATTCCGTAGTTGGCAAGCCAGATCAAGTCTATGGTAATACACTTAAGACAAGTACCTGTTGCATATGCCCAGATACATCTTCCAAGAAACAGTAGACATCTGGCACAATCAGCAAACATGCTTTTTATAAGACCTGGAAGATGATAAAACACCTCATTATGACAGTAGATGCTACGAGAACGCAATAGAAGACAATGTAACTAAGATATCCTCCTCCTCGCTGCCTCTCTTAGTCTAGAAACGCCTGTGGCACCTCGGGACCCCAAACCGCCAGACTCTCGTTGCCTGCAGGCAAATGCCCAATGGGCGTATCTTGGTTGACTAGATCTCCGTCCGCGTAATGCTCAATCATATTGCCCGCTATGTCCCACCAGTAGTCAAAAATCTGGCTCCCCAAGATATGGCGGCCGACGCCCCACACACTCTTGTATCCTTTCCCCGCCAGCCATTGATGTCCCAGCTGCTGCGTATCAAAATCGTGAATCTCGAATGAGCAGTGATGAACGTGTGATGTTTGCGCTTTACTTAGAAAGATGGTGTGGTGGTCTACATAGTCATTGCCTCTATCAATGTGTGCGAAGACTGCAATATTCTGATCGACGTTGTTCTCATCTCGGGCATAGAGCAGATCGGTAGGCACGAAATTGAAATTACGAGTATACCAATCGAGTTGCTCAGCAAAATTCTGCACACAGAGGCCGTAGTGACCAAGCTGTTTTGTTGTCCCCATTAGCGGGCATCCAGTCGAAGATTAGTTTATAGGGATGTGTTCCAACCTTGTGGACCGCGGCCGGGCCTTCGTCAAAGCGCTGGAATCTTCGCCTGCGCGGCTTGTCGGCCTCAAAATTGACAACAAGTCTCTCCGGCATCTTGCCTGTTTTCGCAGGCTCCTGGCCATGGATGAAATTGATAGGGAGCCCCTCCGGGTCGAAGGCGGTAACCAAGGAACCACCCCCGGGTGCATCATCCAACGACTCAATGGCACCGGCGCCGTTCAATTTAGAGACCTTGACCAGGTCATCAAATGTTTCCACCTCAAATGTCCCGCCAAGAAACTTCTTCGGTCCCTTCTGTGCGTAGTAGACGTACTGGTCGACTCCATATCCCCGGAACCACACACGATTTTCAGTCTCCTGCACAGCACGCATGCCAAAGTCATGAAGAAACGTGCTGATACTCTTTAGGTCGGGGTGCTGATATCGCATATGGACCAGCCTGACGACACGGATCTGCTGCGACAGATCAATGTCACGCTTCCGTCTCCATTCTGTAATACTTTGTCCATTGGGTCCATTTGCTTCCGTATCCGGTACGGAAGCGCCAGTGTTAAAGTCGGCGAGAGTCGCGCTCCTCTAGGAAGATGTTAGAGCGCTGGGTTGGTTGACAAGAGGCGAGATATACGCACGTTGCTCATTATGACTTGTAGTATATTCTTATAACTTCTGGGCTATTGTTCTCCTTGTCAGAGAATGGACGCGGCTTTTGTGAACTTATTTCGCAGTTCCTCATTAGATTTATAAGCTATCCAAATAAACAGGAAGCGGCATGCTTACCTCCTATCTATAGGTAGATAATCATACCTGAAATGTCAGGATTATTACCTTGCAACTTTCAGCAACTATTATCCATGTCTAATATTTATCTAGCTACCTAGGTAGTACCTACTCTTTGCCGTCTTGTTCTCTTTGCGGGGCAGGGATCATAAGTCGCGGGGCACTTCACAAGCCGCGGGGCACATTTTCTTTGTTTGCGGGGCTAAGACTTTGACCTTTCTGCAACTTGGAATCCAATAAGTTTCATTGTTGGATTATGCTAAAAAGTTTGGAAAGACTTTATTGGTGATGGAGTGGCTATTTTGAAGGAGCACAAGACACAATAAGCCAGCTTGTAAGCAAAAGATATACTTAACTACATATAGCCTGCGATGTTAGGATCGGGTTTACACTCGGCGTCTGATACATCATGTTACGGAGCAGTGTAGCCACCGTCAACGATAAAATCAGCCCCAGTTGCATAAGAAGAGGCATCAGAAGCTAGATATAGGTAGATTCCCTGCATCTCCACCGTCTCGCCAAAACGTCTAGAAAAGTTAACAAAGTTTCCATATAGTATGACTTTGGGTGTTTGCTCACCCCATAGGAATTTTATCTTTAATGGAATCCATAACTTCTTCAGCCACAGAGCCAGACAAGCCGGTGTTAACGAACCCCGGAGAGACGCTGTTTACTCTGGCAAATCCGAGCCACTCGATAGAAAGCGATTTGCCTTTGCCAGGATAACTGAGCGTCAGAGAATCCTGTCTTTGGAGATGAGTTCTTGCGTGGGCTAACTTACAAAAGTGGATAATATGCGCTTTGGAAGCATTGTACGCTGCCTGGCGCCGAGGAATATTGACAATATGTCCGGACATACTGGCGGTGGCAATGAAGCTACCACTAGAAAAGTTACTCAGCTGCGATCCATCTAGAGTTGTTCCCTCCTTCTTTTGTCTCCGAAAGTGTTTGCCAGCAGCACGTGCGCAATAGACCACTCCGTCAACATTGATCTTCATGAGATTGTGGTATCTCTGAATATCTGCGTCAATGAATGTTTCATCGCCCCACGAAGCGCCCGAGTTGGCGACAAACACATCAAGGCGGCCGTCAAATTCTTGGATAGTCTTCTCCATCGCTGCTTCTACTTCGTCGCAAGACGTTACGTTGACTTGATACGCTCTGCCTGCTCAGCAACATGATTAGTACAAGAGAGATAGATACCTTGAGCCTATGCAACAAGAGGAAGGGGCTTGTTTAGGGCTCATCTTTGTTACATTTGATGTTGAACGCTTTCTCAATTCCCGCTGCCCTTTCAATAGCCTCTTGATTCGTATTATACCAGATCGCCACATTAGCACCCGCCTCGGCGAATGCTTTGGCTGCAGCGAGACCGATTCCCCCTCCTGCGCCTGAAATGATTGCCGTCTTGCCCTTTAGGGAGAAGAGAGACATGACCCCATTATCCGCAGGGGCTGTCGTGTTGTTACGCCGGAAGACGCCGTTTTGCATGCTTTCAGCCATTTTAAGCGATGGTGGTAGAGTGAGAATTACTGTCAAAAGGGAAACGGCGTCGATGGAAGGTCGATTGAAATACTTCGATGAGTTATTATTAAATCATGCTTTCTACTACTCAAGCGCGCCTAATACAAAATGTGGAGTAGCCGGCCAATTAGTTACCCCATCACTCTTCCGACTTCGCATCGAAATGGTCTTGACAATGTGCTATTCTTCAATTATTAGTAAATAGATGCAATGCACATTGTGGCTAGTTTCACATATAAATGATAATATGATCGCGTAGGCGGATGCGCATTGTCCAAGTGTGACCCCCACCCCCAACTTGGGGGCTGCAAATCGGGTGTAATAGCCGAGTTCGTTGACAACGTTACAGCTCAGAAACGGAAGACTGACGACATGGGCTGCTCAGCTTTTTTATAACCTGCAAAGTCTATCGGGGCATATGCTAGGAACGCATGAACAAACGCGAGAGTCTTCACCAGAATGCTGTACAGTATGCAGCGTCCCCCTGCTATGAGGTAGGCAGGTAGGTATTGCTGCCTGTGTCTGCTGATTAGTACGAGGAAGACAAGGAACATAATGGAAAACAGAAGATGTTACGCCGCTCATTCCTTCACATATTTACTGTGTGCCACGCAAAATACCATCCAAAGTCAGTAATCCGGAGAAAAGGGTAGCCAGAGGTCAAGAGAAAACAAAGTGCGGGGTAGAACAGTAGCCTGTTTTGTGTTGCCTGAAAAAGGCTTCGTTTCTGGCAAACAGGTTTCGTAGTATCGGATGGGGAAAAAAAGAAGAAGACAAGCAAACATATGCATAACGGAACTGGTTTTCGAGGGTTCGCAGTGATGAAGCATGCTATATATAGCCTTCACAGGTAGTTTCGTGCCTGACCCGAAACCTCGGGTCGTGAGACTGGCTCGTATTCTAGGCAGGCGATAGCTAAAGCCACAAGTAGCTTAGTTTGTTCGCTATTAAAGTCTTCCTGCTGCCTAGCCCCTGGCTATACGCTCCCAGTTTCAGCAACTCATTACAACAACATAATATACTTTACAACACTTCACAACAACATACAGTATCAATCATAATGGAAGACGCGGAACTTGGGCTTTCTAAAGAGAAAATCAATGGCTTCAAAGAGTGGGTCAAGTCACAGAATAAAAGACCTCGCGTCTGGGATGCTCGACGATGGTTCCGTGAGCCCGGTCACAGCCATGATGAGCAAGATGCTTCACTTGACCAGGCTCTTGACTTGCTCATTGACGAAGCCATTGAAGATGCTGTAAAGGAAATGAACGATCGCAATAAGGTAATTATTATCTCGTTTTCTTATTTGGAGTCTTTCCGAACACTCTGTTCCTCATTTGGCATTACTCGATGTGTGTTAACGATGACTATAGGAATTGTCACATCTCAAAATTCCTGGCTTGGGTCTTCCTTTGCGTTATATGCCGCCCCGTGACCAGAGATTCCCGGTCTTAATTGGTGCTGAAGGGTACGACTGGAAGGCTGCAACACTTCTGATCCGAGAAGTTTGTATGTTGAAGTTTGTAGAGGAAATAACAAACAAAGCTCAGTGGTGGGAAAAGGTTTTCAACCCTCAGATTGCCGAAAAATGGAAACAAGAGGCGCTGCAAATGAATTGGAAAGAATATCGAAATTACGCAGATTTCACTCCTGCTATGGCTGACGCCGTAAGTCTGAACCATCCGCAATAAGAAGGGAATACCCAAATGACTTGAAAAATATCAGTGCATCAACGAATTGCGAATTAAAGCGGATTTATTTACAAAGACTGGTCTTATTCCCATATTTGACTATTCTTCTTGTGTCATCAAATCCGAGAGCCTAGTTCCCGAGAGCTTGAGAAACGCTCTTCGCTTGGAAGCTGCAAAGCTTGAAAACGTTCCTGATGAGGAAAAGGACTGGCATCCGGGCACTAACAGTAAGGTCCTCGATCTGGTACACCCATCTCTGTGGCCATTCATCTATGGCCGCACTCCCGTGCTGCTTGACAAGAGGATTAATGTTACCAACGCTTTGAGCTATTGTGGGGTTGGAACTATTCTACCGGCTCCAAAGCCAATCGAAATAGCTAATCCTGACCGGGCCATGCATTCAACGCCTTATGAGCTATCTATGCCTTCTCTTTCACGCAGATTTCAATGGCTGCCATGCGATGTTGCTCTTGATGGCCAATCTGCCAAAATCGACAGCTATATCAACAACTTGCATCCAGTGGACCACGCAAGCCTGTACCCCATCATTGAACGCTTCATCGAGAAGTCTTTACCGGCATGGGATGTCATATACCGATGGCCTACAGAGTTTGAAACTCAGCGCTTGAAAACAAACCAGGCACGCGAGGAGTGCACAACGCCTGAAATTTGTGGGCAACATCACAACTGCAATCCGTGGAATCGTCCACTTGACGAAGGCGAGCCACGGCGCGAAGACAATGAAAGTTATACTGTAGAGTATCGGGAGTCTGAACGCTTCAAGCGTGATATGGAGTGGATGAGTGAAACGCACAAGCTCGATCTGCCAGAACCCGTGCCGAACGGCGATAGCCATGTTCGGGTAAAGGCATCCGACGTCAAATCCAGCGGTTTCTTCAACGGAGCACCTCGAATCCAAGTCATCGTCAAGCTGGCTAATGTTCATCTTACTCCCGAAGACCCTGACTACAAATTCGAAGTGTCTAAAGAGCTTGCTGATTGGTATATGAATCCTCTCAAAGAGAAGGCCAGCGACCCAGATTTGGAAGGATCCTCGTATAAGCCAGGCACCTCTGAGGCTTCTTCGTCTTCTTCATCGGACTCTGATACTTCGTCAAGCCCGAGACGATCTTTGTCCTTGAATCTCCCTGATTATGAGGATATTTTGGTCAACAATGACCCTACTGAGTTTGAAGGCGGAGCGTGGCATACAGAGGGAATGTTAAATGAGCGTATCTGCGCAACCGCACTTTTCTACTACGACTCCGAAAATATCACCGACTGTCATCTTGACTTTCGTACGCCTGCCGATCGCGAAGAGCTAATAATCAATCTCGATTACGAACAAAGCCAACATTTTCCGATCGAGCGCACATTTGCTATCCCAAATGCCTACCGCGACACTTTACAAAACATTGGCGGCGTTCTCACCACGAACAGCCCCTCCACAGGAGATGCCGATACTCGAGCTGTGTTCTTTCCGAATCTCCTGCAACACCGTGTATCTCCATTTCATCTTAATGACCCAACTCGACCGGGCCACCGCAAGATCCTGGCTCTCTTCCTTGTGGATCCGGCGATTCCTGTTATTTCCACTGCCATTGTGCCGCCACAGCAACGAGAGTGGTGGTCTCGTGAATCTGGTGCCGAAGAGGCTCTTGCTCAAAGACTACCAAACGAGTTGGCCCATACCATTCTTAAAGATACAGGGCTTCCAATCAGCTTGAATGAAGCCAAAAGCATCCGGTTGGACCTGATGGAAGAAAGATCTGCGAAAAAAGATGATATGGATGAAGAGCTGCAGCGCAACACCTGGAACTTTTGTGAACATTGACAGCAGAGAAAACCATCCTTAAAGAAGAGTTCTAACGGTGCATCTTTGCTTTCATCTTGGGGGAGACAAGGATCGGGTACAGTTGTATAGATTACATATTCACTATTGGGTCAATGAGCTTTTGGGCAAGTGTATCGGTTCGATGGTCTGATCGTCTGATCGTCCCCGACGCAGTAGTGGCGTAACATAGCTCTATGTGTCGTTGTACACCAGCGCTCACTTTCAAATCGTAAAAGTCACTTGTATCATCGCTGGAAGCACCAAGTAACGCGAAATAGAGTTATTATTCGAGATATCTAGTTACCATCTTGCTTATCGCAAGGCGATGGAACCATTATGACCTTTCGATGGATCTCCCTTGATAAGTTCTTGAGCTATATCCTTCTTACAAAGTATTCGAGAAATAGCTGCAAGGACAGATGAAAGAGTTCTTGTGAACTTCATAGCGGGATTTCCTTTGCAAAATCATATTATTAGCGAAAAAGAACATGTTCAAACCTTGCTTACTCTGGGGCCGGGCAGAAGTCATAGTAGCCGTCGACATGGTTTCCCCACCATGAGGGAAAGGGGACAGAACGGCCGCCGGCCCCGAAAACTGCAAACGATAGAATGAATAGTGCAGTAAGACTGGCACCATCGAAGGCACCAGTAATGAGGTACGAGTAATCTTTGAAGATACGCGGTCGATAATTTCGCAGATAGAACTGAGTGAAAAATCCGGCGAGGACCTGACTCAAGATGACGCAAGTCTGGGACGCATTGTACGGGATGTATCCCGCATATTGAATGAACTGAGGCATGTTGATGTCGTAGGTCGAAAAGCCCCGGATCTTAGGGACGAACTACAAAAAGAGAAAGAATGGTTAAGGGCCATTGAATGAAAGACCAGTTGAGGTGATGAGACTTACGTATGCGAATACACGATGGGCTACAACCACTGCAGCACCGATAGCCAATCCGACAGACACCATTTCGTACTCTGCACCCGCCTTGTAAAGATACTTTGCGAGGGCCCAAGATGTCGCATTGGTGTTGTATGATTGAATGGTCGCACCACTCCATGAAGCGTTTCCATTGCCGTCCACAAGGAGGTCGCGGTTACCGCCGACGATGCTGATCATGATGCCGTAGTTGACAAAGCCGCCCAGGATAGTTCCGTAGATTTGTGTCACAAACATGACTCGAGGAGGAATTTTCACTGCATCGAAGCATTAGTTTTTCCAGCGACGCACGATGCCGGGATGATACATACGATATTCTCCCATCTTCAAGTCATTGCACAAATTGACACAATTCACAATAACGTTGTGTGACCAAGCAGCAAAGTACATGTTGCCGACGGGGCGGCCCGGAAGCATCAGACCAGCCAACATCTTGGACAGATTGTTGGTGGCAATGCCGTTGCCATATCGTGAGTAGAGGATGGTGCTCTGTGAGCTGTGTTAGATTGCTCAAGGTATTTGTCCTTGCTTATGAAAACTTACGAAAGGCGCAATAAAGATTCCCAGGAGCAGCGATACGATATAAGCCCATGCAGGAAGCGTAATGTTTTCCTTGATTACAACGACAAGACCGAGGACAAAGCTGAAAACAAGTACCACGATGTACCACCACCATGGTGTCTCCTTGTAGTTCTCAGCCATGTGTGCGTGATGCCGGTCGTCGTATCGTCCGCTCTTTGCGCTCTTGTATGCTCTCTTGATGTCTCCGCCCCAGAACAGAGCGCAATGAGCAACTAGGGCTCCGATCTAGAATGACTGTCAACCACCTCGAATCATAGTATTGGTCTATGATGCGTGCACTTACTGCGGCATTTGCCATGAACATGGCGTAAGCAAAGCTTCCTGTGAGCTTAGGGATGCCATACTTCTGCAAAGCGCTTTCGTCGAGCACGCCGCCAACAAACACTTTCGCGATGGGATACTTGGAACCATCTTCAGCTCGGAGTTGCGTAGACATGAATGGCTGCGACTTTGCATTCCAAGAATTCGTATAATAGATGGCGAGCATCACAGCGTAACAAACGATATATCCCGCTACGGAATGAGCTTGTAACGTCAAGGGTAGAGAGGTGTTGAAAGACGTAATCTAAACACAGGTGTTAGTTTAATCACTCTTACTTTAAATACCATTCCATAGGTAGGTGCGCTCTCACATATTGCCAATCGAAAGAAAGACTAAACAATCCCAACCCTTCGTTGTTTATCGAGCCGCCGAAAAGGTTCGTAAGGACAGCTGCTTTTGAACCAGTGGCACGCATGGCTGCCAAACACGGGATAGAGACGGAATTCAGAAACGGGAAAATGTAAGCTGGAAAGAACTCGTAAAAGAACATTCCCACAAAGCTGTACCAGAAGAATCGAAGTGGTTTAGAACCCTTCAAGTCTTGCCAGTGCAGTCCTTGGAGTGTCTTCACAGTAGGAAGAGTGCTCCAGTAGACAGCTTCCACGTGCCAGACTGCAATAGGACGCAGCATGCCGCAGATGCCATAGCCGAATAAACCAATGGAGATTGTGCTCAAGACGACAGTAGATGCAGTCAAGGGTAGGTTGTAGAATAGATCTTGTGCAGTGAATACTGTAATACTGGCAGAGGCGTTTGAGGCTGATGTGGCTGTAATAGCACATACAGCGTGTTCTTTGAGGTTCCAGGGTCCGGGGTTGATGAAAGAGGCGACAGTTATCCAGAGGGGCACCTTTGCTTGGCCGTGCTTGGCTGCCCATCGTGCCCTTAATCGATCACCGCGAGGAAGAAACGTAGCCCACGCATTGCCTGCGAAGTAGGCGATGAGGACAATAAACGTTCCTGAAATTGTTACTGCCGTTGGTTTGAACTATATTGTATGTCAGCTTTGTCTCAGTGGATATAAAGAGCATTTCTCGATGCAGTGTAATGCATACCTGGTAGATCTGGCTCATAATAGCTTGAAAAGCAGAGAGACATGTAGCCAGGAAGAGACTTCGGAATGTCACGGAAGGCTCCCCATCATCTCGCAGCGGCAATAGATGAGCTGCTGCATCAGCGCCGGTAATGATGATAACATCGTCGCTGGCGTTGTCCTGTCCACTATTGTCGTCGTCACTATCAACGGGGACAGCGCTGCTTATTCCGGTTTTAAGCTTCTCGTTCTTCTCGGAGTCACCATAGCGAATCTCCTCGTCGGAGATTTCATGTCTGACTGCCTTATCCTCGGCAACAACGTTGTCATCTGTTATTGACGCCGCCATCTTGGCATGAATCAGCAACCACGTGGGTAGTATAGATGCTGCGTCAAAACGAAACGGAAAAGGGAAGCTGAGCTGACTGGCCTTTTGGCGGAGGCTGTTTCTATAAACATTTTCGTATTTGCCTCATCTTCATCGCGATATCATGCGAACAGTACATCCCAAAGCAAAACGATACATCTGGATCGTTACGGGGTTGCAAGGACGGTGGTGTAATACGGGTGAGACGTTATGCAATCAATAGATTAGGTATTTTGGAGTGGCAACTAACGACCAACTACAGACTTTTTAGCAGGGACTTTTGAAAGCATGCACCAAAACGGCCACGGACTTTCCGCCTATGGCTAGCCTCGATACCATGCGCTTGGAAAAGGTCCCGAGACTAGTTTATAGATTAAGTTGATGGAGGCGTTCTAGATTATCACGCAAAGCGACATCAGACGTTGGTTGGTATTTATTCCAAAATCTATTAAACACCTCGTAATTTGCGCATCCGTTGAGTTTGCAAAATTCAAATAATACTGTTATTCGCCTATCTCGTGCCCCAGGAAAGACCAAAAAAAATATTAGTAGTATGCTCCACTCTGCTACTTCAGATAGTCGGGCTGAGACATGTGGGTAATGGTTCGCCAACATATAAGTACTGTACTTCTAGCTTGGCGTATTCAAGTATAATAATTGCGAAGTATGTATTAATCTCATCACACAGAGTCTTTCTGTTGACTCGGGGCTACCTCTATGCAGTGGCAAAGCAGAGAACATGGGGCAATCGTTATCTGCCTCCAATCTTTCACTAGACATCTTGGCATCCTCCTTGGCATTTGTTCCTTCTCTTGGAACAATCGACCCTGCAGCACTACAGAAGTACTTGAAATAACTGTATTGGGGCGAATCAAGTACAAGATGGCTGCATGAATCCACAGCCATCTCGGCGGTTTGGGAGTCACCTTGCCACCCAGTTACACGTTTGGAAGCAATGGCAGCTGCAGTGATACAAATTTTCCGAACAGCTGACATGTAATATGCTTAAATCGCCTTCCTTATCACCTCATCAAGGATATCGAGCCAATATCAAGACGCTACGGCCTTTCTTAATGTGTTTTAGCCGTTTTGAGGCTAGAGAAGACCTTTTGTTCGCCCCCTCGAGCCAACAGGTTTGGAATGTGTCGGGCAAAGTTAGCAATGTGATAAGTGCCCAAGGCAAAGGCCATGTGGCTAAATTTGGGCCACGCCTTGAGGAACCGGATCTGTATTTGCTAAGCATAATGTAACATGATATAACCCTGTTTAGACATCATGTTGCACAGTACCCATGATATTAAGCGGGGTTTGCCACAGAAGTTCGAAGACATGGACTTTATACTCTTGAAAGCGGAGCAAACAAGTACAAGTAAGATGCAGGCACTAGTTCGTATATGAATCTTAGGCTGAGTAGGTATACATCCAATATCCCTCATATTTCTCCTACCTTGAGAGACAAAGCTTTCTCAGGTATGTAGGTACAATTGCTATTCGTTTTTGTGCCCATGCCGCCGGCTTGTGGCTTTTTAGAACCTCGGGGCTTTTCTTTTCCCACTAATATATTATATGCCTTACATATATATAGAGTATTGCCACAAATGCCTCATGCAGTCGTTTGTGATTTTCTAATGGTGGAAAAGGGCACACACTCTGATAGTATTGTAACGGCGCACTGGTTCCAGGCGAATGATATTATTTCTTAGCGTATTTGTTCTGATAAAATCTAAGAGGCTGAGGGACTGAAATTTAAAAGCTTTGCTTATGATTATAAGTTTGCTGGGGGCTGAATTTCTACGCTCAGTTCAGGCGTAATCGTCCGCCCATTTTCGAATACCTATCCCATTTATGCTACACGAAGAATACCATCAGGTGTTAAAACTGCAGTTATCGTCCCATAAGAAACATGGAGATAGAAAATTGCAGCATCTCTCGCCGTATGTTGGGCAATATACCTGCCTGTATTTCTGGGTGCGGGCGGTTGGTGGCGTGGTAATCCTACAGCCATCCAGTTTTCAACAATACTATACTGGCAAAAGCGGTCATATTAGTTGCTAAGTATCTTGGTGGCACTATTACCATGGAAACCTTTAATCGGAGCCCGTTCTCTATGATGCTAGAACATGAACGCATTGTGTAAATATGATTCGGCTGGACGCTCCGAGTCCAAGCGGCCAGCGGCGCCGTTTCGCCGGGCTTTTCTCACCGCGCCTCTTCGGCGCATGTCGCCGAATATATGAAAAAGTCTATGGGAAGAATCCAGTATTTAATACATTTGGTTTCCCAGTCATGATTTCTAATTGTTCAGTCTGTTTTCATCACTCTAAAGTCATTCAATATGGATTCCAAAGAGATCAAATCCGGCGTCTTGACTACGCTGGCCAAGCAGATGCGTCTTTCCGCTACGTTGGAAATAAACGAACTTGTTCATCAACGCACGGCAAAAGGTTTCAAAGTTGTGCACCTGGGATTTGGCGAAGCTACCTTTCCTATCCAGAAGGATGTAGCTGCGGCTCACAGGGAAGCCAGCAACATCACTAGCTACCTTCCAGTTGCAGGGCTGGCCGAATTGCGAGAAGTTGGGATTCCGATATCATATATGAGTGCAACGTTTCATACTGACCTCCGAGGGCAGGCTATTGCTAAATTCCAATCTCGGCGTCTCAAAAATGACATTCGGGCAGGCCAAGTTGTCGTGGCTCCAGGATCCAAGCCATTGCTCTTCGCACTTTTTGATCTGCTTCAAGGGGACGTTCTACTGCCGCGGCCATCTTGGGTCAGTTACGAGCCTCAAATCATCCATGCAGGAAAGCAGATCTTTTGGGTGGAAACGGATGAAGACGATCGCCAAACCATCACAGGTCTGAGAATATTAGTTCATTACTTTTCAGACCATTCGCTAATAGCTTGTATAGAAAATTCTTTGCAGTCAGCATTTTCACGCGCAATTGAACAAGGTGGCAATCCTCGAATAATGCTCATAAATAGCCCTTCCAATCCCACTGGTCATGCTTTCGACGAGAGCGATATAGAGATAATCAGCACCTTTTGTAAAAGCCATGATATTACTCTCATCAGCGATGAGATCTATTCTGATATCAGCTTCTCCGAAGAAAGTAGCGCAACTCCGTGCTCAGGTTCGCAATTCAACTTGAGTCAGAAAATTCTGACTAGTGGGCTTTCAAAGGTACATATTTCTCTTTATAATGCGATTCGCTGACCACTAAATGCTGTATCATAGACATATTCCGCCGGAGGATGGAGGGTTGGCTATGCTATCTTTCCTGCAAACGACTTCGGAGAAAGGGTACAATCGGCAGTCTTGGCATATGGTTCTGAATGCTGGTCTACTGCTTCGGCGCCCGCCCAAAAAGCTGCTGCAGTAGCGTTTGATACCAGTCTAGAAATGGATTTGTATCGCGGCCAGGTTGTGTCATTGCACAAGCGATGCACATTGGCACTGTATCATGCTTTACGTCAATGCGGCCTCGCAGTTTCAGAGCCAAAAGGTGCCTTTTATGTTTATCCCTCCTTTCATCCATATTCCAAGCAGCTAGAGGCTCGTGGAATTAGATCCAGCCAAGAGTTATCCCGCTGGCTTATTGAAGAGTGTGGTGTCGCAGCCCTTCCAGGTTCGGTATTTGGCGAGGACGATGCTGGGCCCATAGGCGGTCGATATCGTCTGCGGATGGCCACAAGCTACCTGTATTTCCGTGATCAGGCTGAGAGATACCAAGAAGGATACCGCATTCTGGATTTGGCGTTGGACGCGAATAATGGTCTTAAGCTGCCTTTGCTAGACGAAGCCATTCATGCCATCCAAGATGCCGTTGCAAAGCTTCGATCAGCGCCATAAATATGGAATACAAGAATTAGTTAGCACTCATGAACTGTATTGGTCACATGTAATTAGCTCGTATAATTATCTCACAGCTTTAAAGAACACACTCACTATATAGAGTTTTGCAAACTAGCTAGGTATATTAGCGGATATCTCGTCCAAATCTGTATGAGGTGCCAAGTTCATGTCGTTTGGAAATATGTTCCAAAATGTCTGTGTTAGGTCTTGACCCATAAAGTCTTTGAATATATCGAAATACTCATACTCCTCCCCAAAGTCTATACTAGCATATGATGTGCCAATGTTAAGGCCTTGATCTAGCTCCAAATTATTGTCTGTATTTGTCCCAAATACAGAGCTTGCAGCGCAACTGCTTGCGGTTTGTGAGGTTATAGTTGAAGATATCAAAGTGAGAGTATCATTTGCTAGTAGCTCATATTGAGAGTTCAATTTCGACAACAACTCTTCTTTCAGGCGTTCATTCATAATTGTGAGACAGATGGAACAATTTCTGATCCAAGACTGAAGATCAACTATTAAGAAGGATACTTCAACATGCGATAATAACTGGTGAAGACCAGTCCTGGCTGTTATGAGCATTGTCAAGCCGGCAAATAAGACGCCTTGAACCAACATCCAAGACAGGGGTATGTTGCTAAGGCGAAGAAGATTAATGACGTCGTCGATATAGCTTCCGGCGGATCTAATACATCGCTCCAGAGACTGAACAGAGGGACGTGGGCAGAGTGGACTTTGTCGATGCAAGACAAACGTTGTTCCATGGTAGAGGCGATTCCAGTAGCTTTGGCTGAGTTAGCACGTATACAGTGTATTTTCAGTGAGATTGTTACTACAAACCTGTATGGGTATGGTCCATCGTCGCGAGACTCAACTGGTATATTGGCTTGCCACTCGTCAAGGCTCTTTTGTAAGTCCAAGATCAGCAGCTCCCTTTTCTCGACTGGCATGTTTCGAGCACTGCTGTTAGAGCCATATATCTGAGCCACGATTCGGCTTTGTAGTTGTCGATGCCGTACATAGTGCAGGCTGTTTGAATTCCCATTCGTTGGTTGTGGCAATCCACTAATGATATGGTCTTCTCCTATCGACGGAGGGCGCCCGAGATTATACGCAAGAGTAATCTCGATTGCGTATATGGTCCAGAAGACGCGATTGCGTTCATCTTTGGCCCCACCTGAGGCATCAGAAGCCTCGGGAGTGCAATGCAGACCTATTTCTACAGCCATCTACACAATGTCAGCAACAGTACCACTTGGCTCTGAAACAGAAAAGAAGACCCAGCAATACCCTCATTGCGAAGCCAGCTAGCTGCCATTGGCTCGATCCGATTGGCCCATAAGAGCTATAAATTGCAATCAAGATGAATACTTGAATGAGGCCAACGCTCGGACGCAAGATATGAGAGTTGTAGTCTATCAACTGCAAAACTCGTGTGCAAAGAGATGTTGGTGATGGCCTCGAAGCGTCGAGGCCTAGTAAATCTTTGTGGCAAGACTGTTTGCGAATCTGCTGACTTGTATTAGCAGCATTGACTGCCCCAAGCGCCATCACCATGTAAAATATCATCAGCTGTATATCTTTCTCAGATTCACCTTGGCGCATCTGGGAATCTTCCTCGCCAGTCTCTTCAGTATATGTCCTTGACAGCATATCTAGATCATGAGAATTCAGTACAGGATAGAGAGGCAGTATCCACATCTTATATGAAATGAGAAACAGATTGATGTCATCCGAGGAGAGACCGCTCGGCCTATTGGCTGAGATATGTGCTTTTGCTCTGCTAGCTTCTGCTTGCTGGGAACTGGATGGGATGTTTCCCAAAGTCTTCGTAGAGAGACAAGACCTCGCGAGCGCGCTGGCGTATGCAGCGAAGAAGGCACCGCTTGAAGGACCCAGATATTTCATTTCTCCAGTAGCATTCAAAGCCAACATGCCTATATCTGCTGCATCGCCCGCTGATGTTGAAGGGCCCTGTTCATGCGACTGGGTGCTTGGTGAAATAATTCCTGGGTTTGGTGTCGGCCTTTCAGTAAAATCACCACCTTCTGACTTGAGAGAACTTCCAGTTGGCACATTCTTGCATTGGATGTGAAAATTTCGAAAAATCTCATCTTCAAGCCAAGAAGCCCTTTGCCGAAAGTACTTGAGTTCCCTTTTATAAGTCAGCACTCGAAGTCCTTCAAAGCGAACAAGTAGTTTTCCGTACGCTAAACTATCGCTTTTCTTATACCTGGTGTACGGTTCGCAGCGAGTTCTCGCCTTCCCGCATGCCAGGCAATCGGGGTAGCCAGAGCACTATTTTTATTAGTCTTTTATCTCATTATCACCTTTGATTCGTTTGTCCTAATCCGCTTTATCCTACCTTTGTTTTCTTGCGGTGGCAACGAACGCAAGCCCTTACGCTATTAGTCGCCATGAGTGGCTCAAGCCAGCAGCTGCATGTAGTTTGGCAGGGTCGCTAGAGTATTCGAAACTTCACTTGTTCTTAGGAAAATGCCTTCCTATCATCAGCCAAAGACGACAAAAAGACAAAAATAGGACCTCATGGTAGACGTCTTGGAGGTTTTGCGAAAGAGAGGGTGGGCCTCGGCGATTTTTCGCCGAACCTTCTCCACAGAACCATAGTCCGCTAAACTGCCTAACTCTTGATACTTTTCCTGATTTGTTTCTGCTGACTTTCGATAGCATCATCAAAGCTTGATGCACGTTATCAACATGCTCCAATGGGAAGAAACAAGTTAACCAATATAGATAAGTAAGTCATTCTTCGTGAATTAGACCAAAGAGAAAAGTTAGCCATAAGAGGGAAGAATAGGCGAAGCGCAGGGTGGAGGACAGTGTAGAAAACAATGGTGCGAATGCTCTTGGTTATACCGACTCTCGTGCCATAAACTGTCAAAGTCTACGCATGCAAAGGCTTGCCAATTCATTGTGGCTCGAGGTTTAAAGAAATTCAACTGTGTTGAACCTCTTTCCCGAATGGCACAGTGGAATGCATATTACCGGAAACACCGCGCTACGCGACGCGATATCTTTCCGCGCAATGTAAGTCACAGTGGCCAATTATAACTGTGGACACACGTCCTTTATGGATGGCTGCCTGTCGCAATTATACAATAAATAGGCATCTTTCCGGGTCAACATAGCTGCACATTTTTAAAACCATGAGCCTCTCATGGCATGAATGTGAGTAGGTGTGTATAAACTGATATAGGATGTTCAAAATGGCACGACTCCACAGGTTCGATTTACGGTGGGCGGGGTTGCGCGAAGCCGATCATCATATTGTACTACCTACCTTAGGCAACTATGTAAGGAATAGCGATGGACAAGAGGCCAATTCTCGCGCTGGGATGAAAGAATACCCACACGCGGTGGTTGGCAGATACCTTTTGGATATGAACTTAGGCCCAGAGCCGCTTTTGTCATGTTCTTTCCGCGAACTTACCATGTTAGGGTTAACTGCTGCCTGCATCGGCACTCAAGTCCCGAAACTGACTCTTGGCCTTCTCCTCAATGAGCATCAGTGGCCATAAATCGCAGGGATCGGCATCCAGAATCCGGAGTTAAATTGGAGTTGACGATCGCCCCTACCCATGTCTTAGACCCAACCCCGCAAACAGAGATTCGCATAAAATCTGGGGTTTCGTGACGTTTTGCTGGTAAATTATTCCACATCACCCTTGTTGGCAACCACAAGAAAGAACAATGCAGTTGTTCAAGTCAAAGGCCAAGCCTTCGCAGCCACAAGGCGTGAATCAGGCCATGGAAGCGGGTAATGTTGAAAAGGGCCTTTCGCCTGTCCAGAATGAAAACGCCGTCGACCAGCACGTTATCGACGCCGAGTTGGAGCGACGCGTTGTCCGAAAAACGGACAGGAACCTCGTTCCGTTGGTGATGGCTCTTTGTACGTTGCATTGCATTGCATCTCTACCACCACATGCAGCTGACGATCTTGGTTAGATCTCCTCGCATTTCTTGATCGGTCAAATGTTGGGTACGTATTTTTCTAATGAAGTATATGCAAGACTGTGTTCTAAAGGAAATGTGACAGAAATGCCCGCATTGCCGGCATGAGCCAGGATCTCAATCTAGTCGGGGATCGTTACGACTGGCTGCTCACAATATTTTATATTCCATACATTATCTTCGAGTTCCTTGGTATCATGTGGAAAATCGTGCCACCACACATATGGGCTACTGTTGTTGTTTTCATATGGTATGGACTCCACTGAACAAACCCAGATTGCATTTGATGCTAACACGAATCGCGATAGGGGTCTCGTAGCAACCCTTCAAGCAGTTACCCAGTCTTGGGGAGGTGAGATGGCTCTACGATTTCTGATGGGAGCTGCGGAGGCTGGTTATGGGCCTGGAATACCATTCTTGCTTTCCTTCTTCTATCTACGTCACGAAGTTGGCTTTCGCTGCGGAGTATTTCTCTCTGCCGCTCCTCTTGCCAACACGTTTGCGGGAGCTCTGGCGTATGGAATCACCTCAGGACATCCTTCAATCGCAAAATGGAGAGTTCTGTTCTTAGTTGAAGGCCTACCAACCATCGTTATGGCGGCTGTCGCGTACTTTTATCTTCCCGACTCTCCTGAGAAAGCCAAGTTTTTAGACGAAGACGAAAAGAGAGTTGCTATGGCACGAAGTGTCCGACAAGCCGGCTCTGCAGAAAGAATAGGCAGCATTGATTGGATGGACTTCTTGAGAGGACTGATCGACGTGAAGGCTTGGTTTACAGGTGTAAGAAGATATCTCTGTTGATTGGCAGAAATTTGTGCTGACATTATCTACAGCTCATGTATTTCAGCTGCAATGTCAGCTTTGCCTCTCTTCCCGTCTTTCTGCCCACGATTCTCTCGGAAATGGGATTTTCTGCCGTAGATGCTCAAGGGTTGACGGCGCCTCCTTTCTTCCTCTCCTTTCTCGTTACTCTTGTTACGCCGTGGATTGCCGATAGAACTCAGCAGCGTGGTATCATGCTGATTTTCCTCACAATAATTGGCGGTGTTGGATACGTTATCCTAGCAACTACAAAATCTGTTGGAGCACGCTACTTTGGTGTATTCATGGCTGCTGGGGGCATCTTTCCCTCCATCGCCAATATTCTGCCATGGGTGCTGAGTAAGTGTTCTCTAACACATAGCGTTTGACTCCGTTTCTTGCAGCTAACGCGCCTTAGATAACCAAGGAAGCGATACGCGTCGAGGGGCAGGCATAGTTCTCCTCAATGTCATCGGCCAATGTGGCCCATTGCTAGGCACGCGACTTTACCCAACCAATGAAGGGCCTTTCTACGTAAAGGGACAATCTGTCTGTGCCGCGTTCATGTTCTTTACCACATTGCTGGTAATTGGCTTGCGAATTCTCCTTGTCCGAGAGAACAAGAAGCTTGACCAGAAATATGGCACAATAGAGGAACAGAAGGCGAGGCTTGCCGAAGCACGAGAAAGAGGCGAATCAACTGTTCAAGATCAAGCCGTGGAAAATTACGGACCGATGTTTAGATACGTACTCTAGCTTTCATTCATGGTGCAAACATGCAGCTAGATAGCTATATATTGTAAAAACCATCCATCTTTTACTAGAAAAGCCTTCTGAGTATCACGAATAATCTGTGTAGCCACTTTTCCTTTCTCCCTATTATTTAAACTCGTGATATTGTCTAAAGCTTTATTAGAAACTACATCCTGCTCAATTTCTAGTTAACCCTTGATAAGCGCAGCAGCTGTGACTCTCCCTCTGTGAGCCAAGCAGAGTATGACTGCGACACCTTGGTGGAGTTACCCTTCCAGATGTCCGTAAAAGTCCAAGTTGACCCAGAGATGCCCAGGTCCTTTAAAGATACAGTCACTTTCTGTGAAGCGTAAAGCTGGGTTCCAAACCCTCCATTTCCCTGGTCCGGTCCATAGTTTACAATCAGCACGTAAGCCTCTTTGCGGTTGTCTGATGGACCTCCGATCCAGGCTTGGAGCTGCTTTGCAGCATTGCTTCCTGTTCCAGGGTTGCGAGGCTGCATGGGGTATTGTGCAAAGAAATTCGCAGCGGCAATAGATTGGCTGCTGGTGGTCAGCTTAAGACCCAGTGCATCGACTTGCTGCATGTCGCCACCGATGACCAGATTAGCGGCTGCTCCCAGCCAGTGGTTCATAACGGTCGTTCTAATAGAATCATTTACGCCTGCGAGATGCTCAGGGTTGACTGTAAATAGTGCGTCCATGTCGGGATAGATCGTAATTGGGACATTTCGCTGTGCCTGAAGACCGATGTATTGTCGATAATTCTCAATTGCGCGCTGGCCGACCTGCCACGCCATCAATGTGTTCGTGCCGTAGTTGTCCAAGTCCTGGTCTGTTCGCATAGAGTCTGCGAGGCCGCTCCATACTGGCAACCAGGTCTCGTTACGGCAGAGCTTCCATGAGACATCAAGGCGAATGTTCTTGCCAGATTTCTCAATCGCCTTCTTGTAGGCGCGCACAGCATCTGAGCTATCGCACGCAAGATTGGCACCGTTTGAGGGGCTGCCGGGAGTCACAAAGTCTAGCTTGAGCATATCAACGCCCCATGACGCCCACTGCTCGATAACCGAGTCATGCCACTGCTGGACTCCGTCCTTGCTGAAGTCAAAGTCGCAGTTGATCTGGTCATTATTGCCGTTCAAGACATCGGCGATTTTGATGTTGGTGCCAAGAATCGTCTGGTTGTGGGCAACACACGGAACTCCGGGCGTGATGTAAACTCCCAGTTTTAGGCCCCTGCTGTGGAGCCATGAACCTAGCTGCGGGAGGTTGAAGCGTGTAGAGTTGTAGATGATACGGCCATGGTTATCAACAGCAGTAAAGGCTTGCCAGCCAGAATCAAGACTGCAAAGGTCGTATCCGGCAGCCTTGAACTCGGGTCGGGCGAGCACACCGCACTGGGTCTCAACGAACTTTTGAGTGTAGTACAAGCCAGACTGCCCAGCAAAGGATGGTACTACCGCAGAGCCATTTTGCAACGCCTGGACACCGTATGTATTCCAACCTCGGGCGGAGGATTTGAATCCATTAGGTGTCTTTGCAGTCTTTAGGACTTTCAAGGGACCGCCAGAAGTGACATCCGGCTCCGGATAGCATTCTGATAGAGGCGAATCACGGTTCTGGATGCAGAATGGCGCCGGATGAGTCTTGACAACGTCTGTGCGGCTGGGATCGTTGGTGTAGCAAGCATCCTCGGCTGCTGCCCAATACCACTGATTGTCGCTGTAGCCCCACGTTGCAGTTGTCGTACCACTAAGCAGGCAGAGCTCGCGGATGTCTTGGAACGCAATGACGGCGTCGTTGTTCTGGCTCCCCGCGGCAGCCCCCAAGTTGGCTTGTTGCTGCATAAACAGATTTCCCTTGCCGTCGTCGCAGTTCACCAAGCTCGCATTGGCCTCGAACTTGGCGGCGCAGTCCATAAACGCATTGTAGCATTCCGAAGTGAAGTTGAGAGTTCCGGGGGTATAAAGATTGCCGCCGCATGAAGTTTGAGCGGCTACAGGGCGAAACAGAAGAAGCCCTGCTAGCGAGGCAATGAATGCGGTATTAGGGGCCATTGTGCTAAGAAACAGTTGAGCCCATGAGCTTCTTCGTTGACTGCAGCTCGACAAAAAAAAAGTGTCACAGCTACAAAGACGTCAAGGGCCCCTATATATACGTATGCATCTCCTTCAATCTGTGAAGCCAACCCCTCCCAACATTCGACCTTGACATCGTCAGCTCAGTAGACGATGCTGCACTTGCGGTGAAATTCCCGGGCACAAGGGCCCAAAACTTGGAGTGCCCTGCAGTACGCTGTCTCCAGGAACTACACGGTTTTTATCCGAGGGTTATTTATTCAATAGCTAAATTAATAGCCCGACAAGTATGCCGAGCATTAAAAACTCTAGACACACCATCATGCCCTCAATTCCGCGGTTGAATTCGTGTGGAGTTACAACTCCTCGTTACGAACCAGTTGGCCGGAATCTGGGGAATCTGGGGTTGTGGGGAGAGGCCGCGGACGATTGCTCGGTGCATCCTTCGGAGCGCCAACTATCAGTGGGCGAGGCTCTCCCCGCAGAATTTTCGCGGGCTAGGTTTGCGACACGCTTTAAGATGTATTAGTCGCCTGAAGAGTGACAGCTTACACGTCGTTTAAATACACATATGTGTGTTGTGATGGGCCTCATACTTTTAGGAGTATTGCTTAGGGACTTTCTATCGCTATGGCGAGCCGGCAAAGCTTGCGTGGGGAGCTATATGCGACATGATAGACACTTGCAATATAATTCCATATTGAAGTGTAATGATCATACGATGGGTCTCATGACATTTCTAGTGGATCAAGTCAACTTTAGCTTGTATTTATCGTTAGCAGTAAAGGCGAGCTGCCGTTCTTGACTATACACTTCGCCCGCAATACCTGGCACCACAACGTACTCCGGAATCCGGAATCCGCTTAGATATAAGCATCGGATTGAGAGTGAACAGTCTCTATTAGCCTCAGTTGGTGGATACAGCGCCTGCGTTGGCCTGCCGATGGAGATTTGCGCTAGCTGGAAATGATCAACAGCGCATAGCATAGTCGTGATCGATATCCGGATCGCAAAAAGGATTTTCTCTACAAATGCTTTCTAATATAGTCCTCAAGCATAAATGGGCATGTATAACTCAACTATTGGCCAAACTGGCCTCTGCCAACTCAATTGCCAAGCTTGGTCGTTATAAACCCTTATTAGGTATTTGTTTGCTTCTACTGGCTGTGGCCTACCCGGAATCACTATACAAGTTGACCAGAGCTTGAGTAAATGCTGTAGATTTGAAATTTGTTCCCCTCGACGTATGATCAATAAGTCGACAGAGATCCCACATAAGAAAGCTCTTCCGCGAGGAAATAGAAAGTCACAGGCGCGCAAAGCATTAGCTAGATCTGTTGGGCGCTGAGGGCTGAAATGCAAGCCATATCAACTGCCTACCACATTACAACCGTTACCCTAAGCAGCTTCGATAGGCGTGCAACACTTAAAAAGTAGCTTTTCAAATTATTCCAAGTCAACTAACGTTTGAAATGAATAACTCCATTTGTCTGAGCGCAGAATTAAAACACCTATGCGATGCGTTACATAAGACCGATAAGTCTTCACCGACTGCAGGCACGGTAGCAGCAGAAATGCATACGCTTTGAACCCATAGCGATGATATTGAGTGTTTTGATAGGAGTCAGCTACGTAATACGCACATTCAGTCGTATGAGCCATCAGCCGGCAGACGTTGTATGCGGATGATTGCTTTCAAAGTCAAGCGAGTAAGTTTTATCTTTCCGCGTTCGTCGCTATAGGAGTTCGCTTAGTCGCGCTCAAAGGTTGGTACGTGGTTTCACGAGAATTGACTACCCTTATCTCATTAACAATAACACGAGCGATGAATTGTCTACTTTGAACATCTATACCCTTTTTGAAACTCATATCCCAGTAATTGCTGTCATCTATGATGCACACCTCACAATAGGTCAAAGTATATTTCAAAAAGAAGAATAGTAACAGTAAATGACAAGCAGTTGCCAGTAATCTCGCCATACACAGTCAAAATCATGGATTCAACATAACTGCAATCTTTTGCCCACTAGGTTTATAACAACACAGGCAGAACAGTCTGCATGATGATACTAAAGTGGAACCGCCTTTTTTCACAGCGCCTTAGCTTATAGTCACTGTATTAATAATGTTTCTTTTCGCTTTGAACTCAGTCCGGGGTATTAGTTAATTCTCTCCGTTAAGAAAAGAGGTTGCGCTTGATTTTGTTACTTGGTTCTGTTGCAGGAAGTAGCACTAGACACCAAAGCAGAGAATAGTTCAGCCGTGAAGGCAACAGGATATAAACTGATCACTAATCAGAAAATTTAAATGACAGGATTAATAATCTTGATATCGAGATTTAGGAACTGTAGCAGTGAGGATCACTAAACATTCTACTTGGCATTTATCGAGGTCTTCATTATGATTTATAAAACAACAGATTGTTCTTTTTACAATGGATACAAATTTAGTTATGACATAAAATAAAGTAGTATAGATTACAGCTCGTTTCAAGAACTGTCCAAGAAATATCATTAGCCTTTTAATAAAAAAACTTCTCGATTTCCGCTGTCCAAAAATGTCAGACTTGAGAGAGATCTTAGTGATTGGTGGAACAGGTGCCCAGGGCACTCCAGTTGTTAAAGGTAGGTACGATTTGTCTGAGATAAACGTACGCTAACAATTGGAAATGACTCAGCACTCTCTGAGAGCAACCGATACCGCGTGAGAGTATTGACTCGAAACTCCAAGTCGCGACGAAGCCTGGAGCTAGCCACTCTGCCAAATGTTACCCTCGTCGAAGGTAGTCAAGACAACTTGGAGGATCTTCGAAGAGCTTTCGAAGGCGTATACGGAGCATGGGTTAACCTAGATGGGTTCACTCTTGGCGAGAAGAATGAGGGCTTTTACGGCGTCAGAGCTTATGAGATAGCTAGACACCACGGAGTAAAGCATTACGTTTGGGCCAATACAGATTATGCGCTTCGCAAATCGGGCTGGGATGAGAAATATCACTGGGGTCATAACGATGCCAAAGGTCGAATCGGCGACCTAATTCTCAGTCATGGCCAAGAGAGCATGAAGACGACGCTTTTTACCACCGGCCCATACATGAACATGCTCTTCGACGGCATGTATGTGCCAAAGGAGCAAGACGACGGATCGTTTGTCTGGGCGAATCCCGCTAGTATGTCCGGTCGAGATCGCCACTATGGCCAATGCTAAGTTTCTTTCTTATTCTAACATATGCTTCAATAGGCAATGGAAAGATACCATTGATAGCTCTTGAAGATGTGGGAGTGTATAACCTCTGGATCTTCGACAACCCACAAGAGTCAGCTGGGCTTGATCTAGAGGTCGCCACTGACCAAGTCAGCATGGCCGACATTGCAGAAACATTTACAAAGGTCACCGGCAAGAGAGGAATCCACAAGAAGCTACCTCTCGACGAATACTTGGAATGGGCTGAGCCATACCCCAACGCATATGCTAACTGGGCAGCGGGCCCCGATGCAGTTCGAGACAAGGACATGATGACTTGGCGAGAGAACTTTACGGCTTGGTGGCGGTACTGGAGCGAGGGCAAGGGAGCGACCAGAGACATGGCATTGTTGGACAAGATTCATCCTCGAAGAATTAAGACTTTGGAGGAATGGATGCGAATTGTCAACTATGATGGAAAACAACGCGGCGTTATGAAAGGCCTCGAAGACTTGAGAGCTCAGAGCTCCGCGGCTAAGTAGTAAGTGCTTCTCAGCGATCACACACAGGGCATTCTTAGGCTTGAGAAAAATGAATAAAAAATGTATGAAACAATTTAGCAAAAGAATATTTGTTACGAGCCTAACGGTAATAGACGTTGACAAAAAACCACATGCAAATCCCTTGTTCAGATATTGAAGCTATGGATGAAGGTGGCCTAGCCCATATAAGCTTGAATTTTGCGGCTCACACTTTGGTACATTACGCTGACGGAACAGCACTATGCCAGTTTTATTCGTTCTACTCAATACTAAATCTTCTGCTGCCAATGACAAAGATGCATAGAGACAGGATGAGAAATATGACGAAGGGGTCCAAGGTCAGATAGTAATCCGGCGTAGGATAATAGCATTTACCGATCAGCCAGTAGAAAGGGCATTCCGTAACAGGTTCTGTAATTGCTTCATGGCTTCTCATATACCCAGGGCATGAGCCAGTTTCTCCATACACACGGGTATAGACCTATGCTCATGCTCATGACAATACGGCCACTTGTACTACGGTGTAGGCAATGCTGCTACCGTCTTTTCTCTGTAGTATCCATTCTCGGCAGCTGTTTGGTGCTCTCCACCTGCCAGCTCATGCGTCAGCAAATCTTCCTAGCTTATAAGAGGGTGGTTACCAGTACCGGCCTCTTTAAAACACTCCTTTGACAAAAGACAGGGCTATTTATCCCAAACAAATGCCAGACCACCTTCCATCAGAACACCTATTTTCTTCTGTCAAGCCTCTTTCTCCTGATCTGCCGGCACATTATTTTGTCTGCTTATACGGAGTAGGCTATGGGTGTCTCGGAAAGGCTATGGGCTTCTTACGGATTGTGTTCCCTGTACGCATGTGGGGGCTGTTGGTAGGACAATTGGTTTCGATCAATAGCGACCTGTAGAAAGGCTGCCGCCTTATCCGAGATGCCGACACCCCGCAGCAGGAACGTGATCGATCCTGAGAGCTACGGTGGTTAACCGAACTTTTTTTGCCCAAAGAGGCTGGTGGCAGTCAGAGTGTCGGTAATCTCGTGTTTACAGGAGACGGCGTCGGTAGGCTCTGAGCGCTAAAATTAGCTGAGGGGAACTGGTGGTTGTGGGATATGAATTGCTCAGATTTTGGCTTCAAAGTACCCTAGAAGTGCTCATATTTCTGGTTGAAAAATGAGTCTACAATACCTAGTCAGTACTTTTGAAGGGATTTCCTCCAAGGTCTTGTCGAGTGAGCTGTCAAGTAAATAGTTAGGTTGCAAATAGAAAGTATATGTAGCCTGTAGGCACTTCGCATGTAAGGTTTTGAAAAAAGTATATTTGTTGAATTTACCAGATACGGAAATCGGATAATATCTTCAGAACAGCGGAGTAAATCTCATGTTTTCGAAATCATGATGGCTACGAATTCTGCTAGACGCCTGCATTCAGACACAATTTTCTATCTGGGCAGTGCGTGATCATGAACGCCGAGAACCTAATACAATAAGCGTATTACTCTACTTGTTATTTCAGGCACAATATCAGTGGCGTGAGTGTTTTTGCAAGTTTCCGTTTCTGGGCAATCTTTATATCAGCTAGCAGTGCGGCGTATTGATTCAACGTCTCCTAGCCCGAGCAAACCCTCTCGAGACATGCGAAATACTGTGCCTCTCCAGAAATCGACGGATCAGCGATCTATCGAGTGGCACATCGTAGCTTGCACATTTAGCTCCATTTTTCGCGTCCTAGCTCTGTCATGCTGCCCGCTATCCATCTGCAATGGCCAGGGGTGCATGTTCTCTCTTCTAATTTTGGCTGGTGGCTATCCGTCTTGCCGCCATGCTTGTATGTATCGCCTCACTCTGCTGCGCCTCTTGTACCGTGGATCGGAGACTCGTATTGTGCCTGGTATTTGGGATTGAGCTTGTAGAGAGTCTGGAGACCTCGTTGTCGTCGATTCCAGGTTAGACGGCCTGATAACAATGGCTTGTTATTCTTTCCTCATGAAGAATTTCGCTTAGATCAATGCTTCAAAAACAGTCTACGGGTACGCTAAGGATCCATGCGGAGAGGCATCGTTACGTCACGAAGCAACGGCATGCATGGCTAAAATGTCTCGTATGGAATGGAGCAACTCCATACACGAGCAGATACTGGCACCAATGCTCTTCTCTCCCATCAACCATCAACCAAGGAGCACAACGGCGTACTGCTAGCGGCACAGCGAAACCGAGTGTCGTATTTGCCGTTCGTATTGATGTAAACATCAGCTAGATATTGGCAAACGCACCGCAAATCATCATCCGTTTTGTTGATGTCCAGCCAAAAACGCGTCAGCCCAACATTCTGGCTAAATGTGCTAGTGGTCTAGTCTCCTCCACGCGTTGTACATCTCTCCGATGGTCCCACAAGCGTCCTGTAGGATGTCGTGGATTTCGTCGCCGCCCGCTATAAATGTGACTCTGCCCCTGTCATCATGGCGGATGTGCCTGAGTCCCAGCCTAGCCGCCGGATTCATGATGGAGGGTACTGAATATAAGTCATCTTAGGCCTGTCCCGGCCGCTCACTCTGCCGTACCTGGGTAACCCTCGTTTTGCTTTAAAAGAGTCCGACGTGCCGATTTTCAGCTGCGGCAAGACTCAACCTTTGCTGGTGCTTCATTCGGCGGCCGACGTCCATTGTAGATGAGCAATCGAGAATGCATCTGTAAGAGTGACATCTGAACTGCAACCCATAGCACCCACCCATTCGTTTGGCCAAAATACGTCGTGTAGTTTTTCCCCTCTCGAATCTGCCGCCTAATTTCTCGGTCACTGTTACGAATTTTTGACGCTGAATGAATCTTTATTGAATCTCTACGAATTACTGCAATTACACCAATACAATACCGCCGCCATGGGGATGTCCAGGGTTTTATTCCCACTTTTAACGCTCGCTTCCAGCGCTCTGAGCGCTGATCTGCCGGCGATTCAGATCAAGGTAGGCTCACGAATTCTCATAGCGTCAAGTTGGTTATTACATCCATTAAGACCAGCTTGTCCATGATTTTTGTATTTGACTCTGACACCGCATGATCAATTTTCTAGGGCTCCAAGTTTTTCTACGAAAACGGAACTCAATTCTTCTTCAAAGGAGTCGCCTACCAACAGGACTCCTCCGCCAATGGCGCAGAACCGACAAGTAGCAAATTCGTCGATCCGTTGTCGAACGAGGCCAACTGCAAGCGTGATATTCCCTTGTTGAGCCAGCTTGGGACCAATGTCATTCGAACCTACTCGATCGATCCGACGGCAGATCACTCTGCTTGCATGAGCCTGCTGAATGATGCGGGTATCTATGTCATCTCGGACCTCAGCAACCCCCAGCAATCTATAGTTCGCGACAATGCCCAATGGGACGTTGACACCTTCAATCATTTCCAGCAGGTAGTAGACAGCTTCGCCAATTATACAAACGTCATTGGCTTTTTTGTTGGCAATGAAGTCACAAACAATGACACCAACACAGAGGCTTCAGCCTACGTCAAGGCCGCCGTGCGAGATGTGAAGCAATACATCAAGGACAAGAAATATCGCGCCATGGGCGTGGGTTACGCCGCAGATGACGACGCAAGTATCCGAAACCAGATTGCGGCTTACTTCAACTGCGGACCGACAGAAGAGTCAGTTGACTTCTTCGGCTACAACGTTTACGAGTGGTGCGGCCAGAGTACTTTTGAAGATTCCGGCTACAACAGGATTCTCAACTTCTTCAAAGATTATTCTGTCCCTGTATTCTTCGCAGAATATGGCTGCGACAAACCAAACGGCGCTGCCGGTCGCATTTTCCAGGAAACAGGCGCACTCTACGCACAGAACATGACTGAGGTGCTTAGTGGCGGTATTGTCTATGAATATTTTCAAGAGGAGAACGACTACGGTACGTATATCAGCTTAAAGCAGTTCAGTTTTATCACCCAAGAAAAGGAAAGCTGACAAAAAACTGAAATGCACAGGTCTCGTCAAAGTTAGCGGCAATTCCGTGAGCAAACTAAAGGACTTTGCCGCGCTTCAGAACCAGATCCAGCAAGTAGACGTCAAGGGAGTACAGATGAGTGACTACAAGCCCACCAATACGGCTGAAGACTGCCCAACAGTGAACTCAACATGGCAGTCGAGCGAAAAGCTCCCGCCCTCTCCCAACTCTGACGGCTGCAGCTGCATGGCCAAGGCGGCCCAATGTATCGTTTCAAACAGCACGAATGCGGATGATTACGGTTCAATCTTTAGCTTCATCTGCGGATCGGATCAGACTCTGTGTGACGGCATCAATGGAAACACTTCTACGGGTGTCTACGGCGGATACAGCATGTGCGGCAACCAGGACAAACTCACCTACGTCCTTAACCAGTATTACTTGAAGCAGAACAAGGATAGTACAGCATGCGATTTCAACAGCAGCGCTCAGATACAGACAGCTTCGGGGACTCTGGACAAGTGCAATGAGCTGGTCGGCTCAACCAACTCTTCGAGCTCGGGCAGCGGCTCAGATTCGAGCAGCGGCTCCGGAAAGGACGATGGAAACTTTGGTGCTCTGAACGCTCCTATTCCCGGCAGTTGGGTGCTCGGCTTCTTGCTGCTGGCCACTATTGTTAGCACAAACATGCTGAGCTGATCGAACAGCTCGTAGTGTTGACACAAGAAGGGGTTTGAAGGAATGTATGGATGCCAAAGAGACTATCTTAATAACTAATATATAAATATGTTGTTCGAGTTCATTTGGGCCTTACCATATAGCGCCAACAACCGAGTATCTAATGCTGAATGAATTGACTCTACTCTCCACCAAGCACATCCGGATTCCTCCGTGGGGATGGTGATTTGATATTCCGTACCTAGCGCTTAGAGCCTCCAATTAGGCAAGTGCATGGCCTGCAAAAATTAATGGAGCTGGAAAAGATTATGAGCACACAGCAATATGCCATACACATATCTCAAAGACGCTAATATCTTTGGCAAAAGTGCTCCTCTGACAAACTTGTATGTGTATACTTTGCCATTCTTTTTTTTTTCGCAAGCTTCCTAAGAGGTGCCCGCACAACGAGCGCGGGTAAATAGGCCTGTGTCTGCTGTTGCGTTAATTTCTTATCTTGGCTATAACAAGGAAGCCGAGCCTCACGAGGAAGAATACAAAGGAGCAACTCAAGTATTAACTTTTTGATCTCTTTGGGTGTCGAAACACTTTTACAGTCAATGCTAGGGCTATACTGATTGCTATTTCACGCGCATAGCTAGCTGCACACCATCTCTACCACTGAACCGCCAATATGCCCGTTTACCACGTCGGTATGTTAGTCCTCAAAATGTAAACGATTAAGAGCTTTTGAGTAACATGTAGATACAAGTTCTCTTCAAATTGAAGCCGGAAGTCACCGCAAAGCAGCTAGAAGACTGGGGAAAGTTGGCTTACGCCATGTTAGGCCAAGTTCCTGGTGAGTAGACGTTTCTGGACTTTCGACACACTTCATTAATGTCGTCTATGCAGGTCTAACTAAAATCTCCTTTGGGAAACCGTTGCCTATGACTGCTTCCAGGGCGAAGGGTTTTGATATGGGTCTTGTGGCAATTTTGGATTCGCCAGCCGCTCTTTCTACCTACGCGGCTCATGATGCCCACCTCCCGTAGGACTATATGCTATTCTACCTTATATAACAACTGCTAACCTTATTGTAGAGTTATGGCATTGAGGGAAGAACTCTGCGTCGATGCTATGGCTTATGATCTTGAATTCGACGTCTAGATTAGCATTTAAGGGCCAGGCCAGATCTGCAGCCTGAGAAAGCTTTATCGATGTAGATAGCCTACTCATTCTATTTACTTACTGAACGATGAAGAAGTTATGAAGCATTAAGAATAAGCAATGCATAAAGAGGTGCTGTGATAACACTTTCAACATGAATATAAATGATATGAAAGCGTCATCTCTCGAATCACGTTGTGGTTGGCGGGCTCGCAATGAAGTTCATCCCATCTATACCACTCTTTCAAGACGATTTAGTCGCATAGCCACCACTACCAAAGTTTCTCCGATATCACAAGCTGTAAATGTATTGTATACGCTTCGTAGCTACAAACTGGATGTATTGACTAGTTTAATCGCTCTTTACTGAGAACTCCTCTGGAAACAACTCTTCGCTAACTGCGGGGTGGGGGTTCCCCGCTGTTGGTTGCGTTGGATTAGGTAAAAGGGTTGTGGTGCCTTGAATGCAACTATACACGGATATTGAGCTAGATTTCTGTGTATTGTAATAAGTTCTTTCATAAAATTGCACCACCAGATATTATCCACTTTCTCTTTTATCTGATAAACATGAATACTTGGCTTAATATGCTGCGATGCTCCTATAGTGGATGATGAGTCTTTAAGTTGTAAAATATCTCCGCAGAAATGAGCCACACTCATTCTTATGGAAGGTCTTGTGTTACAAACTAGGCGATTATATCATTAGGCAAATACTGGAGGATTTCTGTGCGGGCAATGCTATTGTAAGTGCTTATAAAACTGTGGTCCTGTATTTATAATTGAATTTTAGCTTGGTATTGCGTGTGACGCCATCTTTTTGGGAGAGCTGTTAAAGAGCTGCTAGAAGCTGTTAAAGAGCCGTAAAAAGCCGCTAAATATTACAGCTTGGTGTTCAAACTAACTTGCATCTTGAACTTTCTTTTTTATTGTAACCTATTTCCACGCTGAGCATTATACAAGAAAAAGTGCAGATGGCTGCGACGAAACCAATCTTAATCTCGGGCGGCGGCCTCTCGTCCTTACTATTGGCTCAATCACTTCGACTATCTAAGATACCCTTCAAGATATTTGAGCGTGATTCTTCCTTTTCGTTTCGCGCCCAAGGGTACCGACTGAGGTTGTCAACAGAAGGACTCGAGGCTATTGAGTCAGTTTTGGACCCTCAAACGTGGCAAAAATTCTGGGACAAGTGTGGTAAAACAGGCGGCGCCGGCTTTACTGCATATGATGCCGTAACTGGAGAACAAACTGAGCATGCTGCTCCCGAAACTCTGGCTTCGCGAGGCGGGAAAATCGTCGGAATCGCTCGAGGAGACATGCGCAAAGTATTCTCAGAGGGCTGCGAAGAGTACATTGAATGGAACAAGCGTGTGGTCGGCTACGAACTAAGTGACAGCGGCGTTTTCGCCATCTTCGCCGACGGATCGAAATCAGTCGAGGGCTCCATGCTTGTTGGAGGCGAAGGCATCTACTCCAAAATCGCAAAGCAGGTTTCAGGAGGAAAGCTCAAAGTCTACGATACAGGCGCGAGAGGCATTCACGGCCAGGCGCCAACGGCAGCTTTCAAAGGCCTCGGCGAGGGCGTCTTCTCCTTGCGAGATAAGACACGCCCCGATGGCGCTGTGTTTATCATCACGAATGTCCGCCCCGATCAAATGGATGATCCTAATGTCCAATTTGGGTGGACAATGGGAGGCCAGCCCGGCATAATCAAGGCCCCGAACGACGATTACACAATCGTGGGTAAGCAGGCTGCTGACATTGCAAAATCGTTCGTCAAAGACTGGCACCCGCGGTTCAAGCCTCTGTTTGACGAGATGATCGAATCGGAGGCGGCCTTTTGGAAAATCACTTGCTCCACGCCATCTGGAGTGCCGGAATGGCCGAACGAGCCTCGCGTTACGGTAATCGGCGATGCGGCGCATTCGATGACGCCAGCCGGGGGCATTGGAGCTAATACGGCGGTTCAAGATTCAGCATTGCTTGGCAGGTTGTTACGCGAGGCTGGTGGTTATGCGCCTGGTGTAACTGCGGCGTACGAGCGAGAGATGAGAGTCTATGCAAGCAAGGCTGTTCATACTAGCTATTCGACTGCGGTTGGCTCATTCGGCGTTACGATTGATGAAAATACCACTCCTACCGTATAGATACAGTTAATCGGTTGTAGACTAGAACATGAAAGAGACTAGAACATGAAAGTTTTATTTGATTAAAAGGGTGGAATCCTGGGAGCTAGTAGCTCATCAGCGAAGCCGCGGTTTCTTATCCTCGCTACTACAATTTACTTGTTTGTTGGGGGTGAAATATGGCTTCTGGCATACGTGCCATGTATACAATAAATAAGTGTTTATATCTTCTAATGTGGAAATGTATCGTAACTATCTAAATGACTAGCTACATTTCAAAATGGAGAAAGATGACTTGCTTGATCATTGTTGGAGAAAGTGATGGAGTTTTTGGAAAGACAACATGAAGAGAGTGATAATCTGTTACAGTGGTTTACTCCGCTAGGATTTGCCACGCTGGTTGCGTGTCGTAATGTTATAATTTGGATTACAGGCGGCTCTAGTGCTAACATCAGCGCTCGTCGGGAGTTAGATTAGCTGTGGCACACAGCAAGCCACCTACAACTTCATTTTCGCAGGATTCATGTTCTTTCGCTTATAGCTGAATTGCGCAACGTTTATTAGATCAATGCCTCAATGGATGTGTACCTATTCGGAACGAACATACAAGTTGATCGCACCCCGTATACAACATATCCAATGTAGCTAGAATGAATGTGTTTAAGTCAGTAGATATACATGTAGTAAAACATACTTGGGCCAGCGCCCGCACAGAGCTAGCCAAGGCGAGATTGAAGCTTTACTGCTAGCAGAGCTAGAATGAAGATCATATCAATCGGCAGCCACGCACTGCTTCATTTTATGAGACGTAAGCATAAGCATAAGCGTAAGCAACTCATCTCATCGTATTCAGCTAACTTTGAATCATCAATACGCTTGCCTGAGTACTAGATGTTTGACAAGATCAGCCTTTGCCAGTTATATAGAGGCTTGGTAGCCGGTATATCCCCAGGGAGGCTCATTACCTCCGTGTAATGGAGTTCGCGCATCTCAAAATCCCTAAAAGTGGCCATCAAGTCCATCCATTCTTTCAAAGAAAATCTATTTCATATCAACGCACTACCTGTTGCTCCGTAGATATATTGCTGCTGCCCTTCTTATCGCTGCACTGTAACTACTTCGCCGCCTCAACGCTACTAGTATAAGTATAATTGCCATTGAACGAAACATGGCTTCTAGCAAAGTAGAACGCAGCAGAGTAGCCGTCTGCGGACTTGGTGAGCGTCACTCCTGAGCACCAACATTGTTGTTGCAAGCATCACTCTCACTAAGACATCGAAAAGGCATTGCTGGTATTGCGGCTGTGAAGAATTTGACAGAGGTTGGATTTGACGTTACTGGATTCGAAGCCGCCGATGCGATTGGCGGCCTTTGGCATTACTCAGAAGACAATAGAACGACATGCTTGTCCAGTGAGAAACAAACAGCAACGTTTGGATTTTATACTTGCTAACAAGCATGGCATTTCTGCAGATACGGAAGCATTGGTTCGGAGGAGCGCAGTAAGCGGCACAAGCAATTTCGGGGCGGCAACATCTAACAAATCCTGTCGTACAGTTCGGCTTTTCCGATTTTCCCTACGCTCCTGGTATGTTTATACACTTCTGTATGCTCTATTACATGTCAGTGCTGAAGCTTTCCGTTATTTATAGGCAATCCCGAAGTTCGCCTTCGTCCGAACGAAATCCAGGCATTTCTTGAGTCATATGCTCGACACTTCAATATTGTGTCTCGGTTTCAACTCAATACAAAAGTGACAGCTGTCAATCGAATTGGAAATAAATGGCATTTGACTCTCACGCGTAAAGAAGGTCATCAAGAGGAACAAGCGTTTGACAGATTGGTGGTATGCACTGGGCTCTTTCAGACCCCGAGAAAACCCCACGTTGAAGGGCTCGACGAGTTTGAAGGCCAAATACTCAACACTCAAACTTATAAAAAGTAACAGCACTGCAATACACTGGTATAGTGACAGAGAGCTAACCAAACGTTGACAGGCCGGATATTGCCAAAGGGAAACGTGTACTGATCGTTGGTCTCGGCGCTACGGCAACAGACATGGCCAGAGGCCTTGCGGGAATCGCCAAAGAAATCTTTATTTCTCATAGAACTGGATGTCTTGTGGTTAGAACTCTTCTCCTTCCCCCCATCATTCGGAGACTGATAAATTACATAGCTGCCATTCAGCAAAGGAAACGATGTTTGTTTCCCATCTCTTCGTAAACAGCACGAGAAGGCAAATGCGCCAGGTATAGAACAGAAGCAGATGCTTAACAGCGCTCTCATGAAATTGCAAGATGAATCTTTTGACCTTAAGCCGGAATGGGGCCTCGGAAACGCTCCCTCGTTGCCTCAGAAATTACCAATCATTGGAGACGGATTTTACGACCTTTTAATTTCTGGAACAGTTACATTAGTGCCTGGTTTGAAACGAGTCCATCGCTCTCATGTAGAACTAACAGACGGGAAAATTATAGAAGTCGATACTATCATATTCTCGATTGGCTACGATAGGTCGTATTCTTTACTGGGCCCTTACGACCCGTCCCGGAATATGCCACAAGCTTGGAAAGACTCTCCTGGCTCAATGGGGCGACCCCTTCCACGGCTTTACCAGGGGATCTTTTCTCTAGACTTCCCGGATTCTCTTGCATCTTCAACACATGTAGGCTCCACTTTGTCGGCCACGATGAACGGGGATACGGCATCAATGGCGCTCGCTCAGGTGTGGCTGGGCAATTCCAAGCTGCCTTCTCTTGAGGAAATGACGATGAGTGCCGACAAACAAAACAGCATGGCCATAGAACTGGCCAACAAAGGGGGAGTTTATGATCCTGCACTTGTGGACGCAAGGGAATGGAGCCTCTGGGCGGACAAAGCAGCGGGATTTGGCATTCAAGATCGACTTGGGTATGGGTGGAAAGCTTGGTGGCTTCGATTCACTGATCCTCGTCTTTACAAAACACTTTTGGATGGGCAATTTGTGCCACAGGTTTATCGACTTTTTGATGAGGGCAAGCGGCCAGCGTGGAAAGATGCTCGAGAGGCGCTCTTCAAGGCGAATGAAGCCGAGTAGCCCGCTGCCTACTTCGCGGCATGATATAGGATATGTTCTTTCGGACTTCATCAGCGATATCACATTCTTTCACTCCTTAGTCTGATGCAATGTGGTATACGTAACGAAGAATTTGCATGGAATGGGAATTTAATTAGCAGAGAGCTATGATCCGCTACCACTACTAATCAATAGTAATCTGTACTGCACCAGGCTTGGAGTTGCCCGTCAGTCTAGGTATGGTATGCCTGAATATAGTACTAGACTCTGGTTTTAAGATACATGAATAGTGGCGCGGTTACTCTAATTCAATGTTGCCGCATGAAATCGGGACGAGCATACTGCGGTACCATTGAAGCACGCCCTATTCATCATAATTTTTTCCGTTTAGCCCGGGCTTCAAGGCGATTTAGGTATTTTAGTAAAGAGTAAGCCAGAGTCTCGTTGCGTTTGTGCGTAGCTGTAATTGGAGCTAACGGGCAATTCGCCGTACTACAAAATGCCGGACAATAAGCCGGCTGGATTTGTAGGTATAAGACATCAGGTATGCGATATCTCTGTTCGCAAATAAGCCACAAACTCAATTAAAAACTCGAACACAATATCTTTTTTGAATCAATTCACAGCTTCTAACTTACAATCAAAGTCATAATACAACCAGCCATGTCGTCGCCCTTCTTCATCCCGGTCGATATTGCTCATACCGCACTGCTTCTCTCGGACGTGCAAACGCAAATCTTACAGAGATTCCCTCCCGATGTTCAGAAAAACTACATGGACAACATCAAAACACTTCTTGAACATTTCAGGGCTGAAATCTCCAAGCGCCGCGCTGATAAGGCTTCCGAAAATGGATCCGCCCCTTATGATGGAGTACCTCTCATTGTTCATCACACACTGCCCTTCAACCTCAACTCCAACGCCTTTGTTTCGCCTTACAACAAGCTAAGCAATGGGTTGCGCAGCTTGAGAAGGCAGGGTACTTTAAGAATGCACCGTCGGATCCTCACCACCCCCATTATGGCGTCCCAGCCGAGATAACGCCATCGGACGGTTGGGGCAGCAAGGATGAGATCGTCTTGGGCAAATTGCAGCCAAATTGCTTTGGTTCATCAGACCTGCTGGCATATCTACGGGCACGTGGCATTCGTCATATTGTATTGGTAGGCTTGACTACAATGGGAAGCATCTTGGGATCGGCAAGAGCTGGTGCGGACTTGGATTTCCATGTCTGTTGCTTGGAAGAGGGAATTATGGATGATGATCCCGAGGTGCACAAGTTTTTGATGACAAAGGTGCTGCCCAAATTTGTGGATATAGTTGGTCTTCAAGATATTCTGCAGCTGTGAATACCATAGATTCATAAAGTCTTGGCCTTGAGCCAAAGAAGGGCTAACTAGCGGATCATGTTGACAGCTGAGAGGCAGTGTGGTACAGGGAATGTAGCCTCACACATATAGATAGCCAATGTTTACCGTGTGATTCAAGTCCATGTTGCAGATGACACTATGATCTAAATAGTTATTTCTCTCCGCCGTATACCCCTACAATAGATAGTGGCCATTCAAGGTAGCGGTGCCATTGGCTCTCCAAATTCTGTCGACATTGCTCCAAGATCCTTGCCGCAGCCCCTTCCATAAACCAGAAAGAATCGAGCATTTTCAACATGACACAGTAATGAGCTAGAACTATAAGGGCCTTTGGCTTCCTTTCACTGACCAAAGTGATGTATTTTTGGGGAACCTGCACTGCCCAGGAATACGTAAGTGTTTTAACAGAGATGGTCTGCCCAGGAGTAGAAGCCATAGCAAGCAGTCGTCGGAGGCTATTGAGAGCTGCGCAACAGAGGTTGCTCTCTTCAGAGCAATCCGCGAGTAGCAGATACAAAAGCTGGACGAGGTAACTATCATTGGGATTTTGGCTAAAGTCGGGGTTTTCATCCAGCGGCCTTTCCATACAGAAGCTGAGTGGGCCATTGGAGAGCCACTTCTCGGCATAACCATGCATTGAAAAAGCACCTCGAAGAAGGCCAATGATCTCCGATGATGTTCCTGTGGCGGGTGAAAACATTAGGCCCCGCCGAGACTGCGGACTGGCAAAGGAGTATTTTATGACAAGATGGCCACAGGCGTACAGAGCATGGCTGCTGCTCTCTGTAACACTAGCTAGAGCTGAACGGAACAGCGGAAGAGCAAGGCTATGGTGATGCGCAGCCCGCCTTTCGTGTTGTTCTATTTCGGTTGGATGTAGGTAGGCCATATGGAGAGAAGTCAACGCCAGCATAGCGTGCCTAGGATTGGTACATTTAGTAAATACCAGTATTATAGCTAATCAAGTGGGACGAGGCAATTCACATTAGATATCTGTGGTTCACGGCCATGGCGGGTATGCATTCTCGCATAGCTCGTTGCAGGGCTGCATTTGGTGCCAATGTTTCGGCCGTGCAGATGTTCCAGTGGTGCATGAGCTTAAAGTCTGAAAATGAGAAGGGGGAGATATCTGGGGATCCGGGCTTCAAACCCCCAGATGTATCGATAGTTGTCGAGTAACTACAATCTAGTGAATGTCTAATGCAGCCACTGCATATCGGCTTTAATTCGTCGCACTGCGGGCGGTCCTTCTTAGCCATGTATAGCAAACACTTGGTGTCTGGACAATCATACCTTAACGCGGCGCCGCTTACACGAGTCACATCCTGTTCGGACTTTTTTATGTGATACTTTCTTGAATGTCATTTTGGATGCTCCAAAAAACAGTGTACGCGATGTCATTTGCGGCCCAAGGATGGAGTAGAGGGAGAATACAGTTGTGCGAGAAGCGAGAATCACCAAGATCAAATATGTATGGTACGAACAAACGGTAAGCGAGGAACGGAGAGCGAGGGGCGAAGAGCGAGGAACGAGAGCCAATAACCAATGAGCGAGAGCCGAGCATGCGAGAAACTAACTGAAGAGGCTTAATGACCATTATGTCAGCTGTCGATTTAATTAGCTTTAGGCCCGGTTGGTTGAGATTTCGGTGAAAGTTGCTTCATTAGATCGACTGATTGATAACCCCTCAAAGATACAACCTACTGCTTACAACGCGCAGATGATTCAGATGTTTTTTAGTCATTGTGTTATTTTAGCGCTATGATATTATATGCTGCTTCATGAACATAAACCTGTGGCGCTCAAGGTGTATATATATCTATGTCTATCCTCGTTCTAGACTTCGCAGTTAGAAGAATTTCTATAGGACTTCTACAGCGCAACAATAGTATTACTCAAGATTGCCCAAGGTTGCCCACTATGGTCGGCAAGATCCCTGCAACGGCCGACTATATCATCCTTGGCGGTGGCATAGCCGGCTGCGTCCTTGCTTCCCGTCTCAAAGAGGCAGATTCCTCCTTGTCAATCGTATTGATCGAAGCAGGGCAAGATCCTACTGGCCATCCTCTGACAACCGCCCCACTCGCTTGCTTTGCAGCGCACCATTCCGATCTCGACTACGCGTACAGAACCGTGCCGCAGGAGCATCTCGGCGGTCGTCGGTGCTATGCAGCAGCGGCAAAGGTGCTCTCAGGAGGCTCTGCCATCAATTACGGCGCGTGGACTCGCGGCCCAGCCGCCGACTTTGACTGCTGGGCTGATCAAGTTGGCAGTTCTGAATGGAGCTATCGAAGCCTTCTTCCCTACTTTAAGAAGACAGAAGAATACACCCTCAGCCCAGGGGTGGAACCCGAGCAGCATGGAGCCAATGGGCCTATCCATGTGGTGTCTATATCTGACAGCGATCCCATGCGAAAATACCCCCTTCGGAAACCCGTAGAACAGGCGTGGCTTGAGCTTGGAGTGGAAAGAGTTGGGGACGCCAATGGTGGTGAACCGCTAGGACTCGCCGAGATTGTGGAATCTTGGAGGGATGGCAAGCGACAGTGTGCTTCTCAGGCATACAATCTGTCGGGCGTGACAGTACTCTGTTCTACAGTGGTCCACCGCGTGATAATCGAAGATCTATCAGGCGTGAAAACTGCCACAGCGGTAGAATTAGTTGACGGCCAGACCATAGCCGCAGCCAGAGAAATCATACTGTCTTGTGGAGCGTATCGAACGCCCCAGGTATTGATGCTTTCCGGCGTAGGAGCTAAAGAAGATGTTATACGCCACAACATCCCACTGACGGTTGACAGCCCCGAAGTGGGCCGCAACTTTCATGATCATTTAGCAGTGTGTCTTTGGTGGAAGTTACGGCATCCCGAGCAGGGCCTTGCGATGGGGACGCCGGAATGGAATGATCCGGCATATAGCAAAGGGCTTCCATCAGACTGGATGGTCTTCTCGCGTGTTCCCACCGAGATCTTGAGCCAGGCGCTGATTGCCGATGCCGAGCCTACCGGCGGCCACGATCTCTTAAAGCCGGAGCGATGTCACTTGGAAACGCTAGTTGCTTACGCTCCTGCTGGCGCGCATCTGGCGGATGTTGCGATCCCGCTGGACGGAACGCATATGACAACGGCGGTGCTTGGAATGACGCCTACGTCGCGCGGAACAGTCACGATAACCTCGAATGATCCTCAAACACCGCCGCAGATAGACCCAAACTACTACGCAACGGAAGCTGATCGCGTGGCCCTTCGATACGGCATTCGTCAAGCCTTGCGGTTACTCCAGGAAACTAAATCGGGCAGTAACATTGTCGAGAATGAAGTTGCTCCAGATGGATACCCAGGTCTTACTGCTGATTCAACCGATGCAGAAATCGATGCAAGGGTTAGCCGTGTAGGAAACACCTTCTATCATCCCGGAGGCTCTGCATCGATGGGCAAGGTTGTAGACTCCCGGTTACGCGTATACGGTGTCGACAGGCTGCGCGTTGTGGATGCGAGCGTTATTCCAATTCCTATTGCGGCTCATTACCAGGCGGTTGTTTATGCGATTGCTGAGAAGGCTGCGGATATGATTCTAGATCTTACGAAATAGACTATTTTGGGTAGAAGTTGTATGAAGTTTAGACTATCGTTTTCAATGCATTCAATAAGTGCCTCTTCTCTGTTCTCGATTAATCTTTTGAATGAGACGGCGCCAGATTATTTCAAAGTTTATATAATATTGCATGTACCACGGGCATTAATTATGATCTACCATCTAGTGATAAAGCCGATACACGTAATAGTGAATTCTACACTAGGAATTTCGTGATTGCATTGATCCATATTGCTTCAATTGTAGTATAGCAACGCGTGTGAGAAGGTCGTTGATAGTTATTGTCATGAAGGTGGCTCGCAGCTTCGGTAACTGTCTGCTAGCGCATGCCGCGTTCTACTTTTCATATGCGATGTATTGAAACTATATGTAAGTAGACTGAAGTCCCCCAAAAAGGTTTCGAATGCTTTGATGTGTTGATAGAGAACAAAAATGCGATTCAAGGCAAAACATACAGGGCTACCACCAGTATTTCCAGGCGAGGTTTTGGCTCCACCAGCCGAGGCTTGCCGTGAGAGCTTCGATCCCCAAATACCTCCAGTATTACTCGACATGGCGGTGCGGAACATGAACTACCCGGCAGCCGGAGCATGAACTGCGATTTCGAGAGTTTGCAAGAGCAGCTAGAATCGACCATGCGGCGCAGAATCAGTCATCGTTCTGCCATTTCAAATACAATTCCTGTAAAAAACTGGAGATGACAGGCAGCTTTCCTCGGCAGAGGTGGGCCAAAGACTCAAGACGGGCTTTTTTACAGTGGCTTGAACTCCGGGCGGCGGCTCTCTGAACTCGCGCTGCCGGCCTAGTAGCCACTGTTTCGGCGCGGAGTGGATTCCTCGATCCGAGCAAAGCGGCATCGCCGGCCCTCCAGTATCCATAACTTTGTTTGGCGGCAAGGAAAGCCTCGTTTTCGTTTAACATTTGTAATTTCCATGTCGTGGTAGTTTTCAAGAAGCTATATATACAGATGAATCTTCATGATTTCCCAGTAGTATGGCCTCGCTTAGCCAGAGCGGTCTTTCGGCGCAGGTGAGCGACCTGTTGAAGTCAACTCAACTTCTCTTAACAGAACCCACCACTTTTGGAACTATCAAGCCCCTAGCATAACCTTTTGCTCTGGCCGTGTATAAAAAATCCGATCACTTAAGATGAGCTCTTCCGACTCCCACCGAGCCCGCCGTCGAAGGCACCATACGCGAAGCCGCAATGGGTGCCGCGAATGTAAGCAGCGACATATCCGCTGCGACGAACAAAAGCCTTATTGGTGAGCTACTTACATGGCACATGTATGGGGGTCGTACGGCATAGTCTACAGCAGCTTACACTGTTCTGGAACTCTAGTACCAACTGCCTGGTGCATGGACGGGGCTGCCATTATGACGCTGTAGGGCCCAATATGCGGCTCAGAAGCACGCTGTCAAGCGCTACGTCTGATCCTATGGGACTGGATCTATTCGAAGTTTTACCTATCCCTATGCCGTTTGAATCGATGAAACTTCTTCACCATGGTTGGTGCAATCTGGCATATTTGCGAGTTTAAGCACATGAGCTAAACCCATCTTCTCAGGAACCCACTTTCGCCTCTTGACAAGTACAGTTGTGGCTAAAAATCCTAATGCCAGCCTGTGAGTAATGACCCTATACTCTCATGTGCTCTATCACTGACTGTTACTCTCTAGAGCTGGACTTGTCACGCACAATGCAGCCACTTTTAGGTCCTTCTTGCTCATAGCCGGTATACATCATGTCTGGGCCGGTGGTTCGCTCCAAGCAATCGAAGAGACGATGCTTCATCACAAACTCGAAGCAATCCGTATTGTTAATGGCATGATTGGCGATCCTGTGTTGAGCCAAAGTGATACATGTATATCTGCAATGGTTGGCCTGGCCATGGTTGAGGTGTGTTCTCCAGATAATACGCATAGCTCGACTCCTAACAACGTACATAGGCTGCGTTGGGCGATAAAAAGGCTGCAGAAGCTCATCTAAAAGCTTTGGCCCGGCTATACGATGATCAAAATCCGGAAGAGGACAGGTACAGGCTGTTCGGGCTGATCGAAAGACTTGTTTTGTTGTAAGCCTGTCCGAAAACCACCGAACCTCCATCAGTGCTCGGTCTGACTCGAGTTCTTCAATCTCGCAGGGCAGCCTGCCTAGTTGCAGCATCCAAGGACAGAAACGACAGCGAGTCTCATTATTTTGTCAACGAGCCGCGCGAGAGTCCAAAGCGGTCTCATCATTATACGCGGCCAACACGACCAGTGTTCAGCGCTGTCCCATTCCTTAGCCTCCATCTATCGCCTTTCTACTACGCAACTCCGCCAGACCTGGAAGCTTGCAACGCCGATGCCGAATGTGAGATTATTGCAATAACCTTGCGGCGATTGTCTAGCTTTGGCTCAGATCGGAGTGCTCAAAGTGGCGAGGAAAATAATGCAGCGTCGTCTCGTCAACAAAAGGCTCGAGACACTCTTCGAGAAGACGTAGAATCCTACACTGTCTCGTTGATTTTCAAGCCTGCCAGGCCTACACGAGACAATAGAAGCGACAGCCAAGCTCGGGTGCAAGTCTCAAGACTGAGTTCACAACTTCGGCGAGATGATTTCGAGGATCTCGAGGATGCCGACGACCAATTTGTCACCTTTCTAGAGCACCCCTTTGCTAATCTCCCGCCTGCCATCTTCCCATCCACGTCGCGAGCTTGGGCGTGCGCCGCGTATCTCTACCTTCACTTGGTTGTAGACTACCTCCCGCAGCAGCAAGATCATGCTCAAGAGCCAGTTAATATGGACAAACATCTGTGGCGCTGGCTTATCAGCAGTTTGCGTCAAGATCTTGATCACACAGAAGAAGCGATGCGCATCGGAGCCCAGAGCTCAGAGTTGTGGCTATGGAAAGCCGTGCTTGGCGCTTATGCAATGGCCAAGAATCCTCAAGAGGCATCTGATGAAGCCAGTAGCGGCGATGAGGACGAGAGCGATGACCAAAATAGGGCGAATAGCCCAGGAGGACGATCAAGTGGACGATCGAGCCAAGTGTCTTCTTCCAGCGACATAGCAGACATGCAATGGTTTAATTCAAAGATACGGGCATGGAGCGCCGTGGTTCGCACAACATCATGGGATGGCGCAAAGAAGGCCCTGAGCCGTATCGCATGGCCTGAAAAGTTTTACGATGATGACCGCTTGGCCGAATTGTGGGATGAGGCTATGGAATCAGTAAATCCAGAGTGATGACGTGCGAGAAGTTCTCTGGTTATTGAGAAACTCTGAATTTTTGGACAATGAATACGCTTAAATACCCCGTAAGTAGGTACCTACATTGGGACGGCTTCGAGATTGAGTGTGAATAAGTCCTTAGCCAACATCTGAAAAGGGAACAGCATTGTCAGTCCCATTTTACATTATGAAGTAGTCTTATAGAAACAAAGTCTATAGAAAGATTTCAATTAAATGAACCCCTGTTTCGGTTCTCATAATGGCTTGTCCATCTCTTGCAAACTAAGCCCTGGCAGCTTTCTTCTTGTAGTCGAATATAGCTTTGAGTCCTCCCGGAGCGTCGTACTTATCCAACACCATATCGATGCACTGCTCACCAGTCAGATCAATTTGATACCACAAAGTGATAGAGAATTCTCACCTGCGGACTCGTTGCATTTTGGAATCCATCTTCAGAAAGTATCCTGTCAAGCTCCGCCGCGGTTTGGATTTTGAATGTGGTTGTCGGAACTTCAGGAGAGAATGACTTGAAGAGCCCGCCATAGTCCCAGTCGGGCACATCATTGTAAATAGCGTCCCAGCCCTCAAAGTAGCGCTCGACAGTGTATCTGGTCATTTCAGGTTAGCATTCCCACTCACGGATGTCTTCTCTAAATGAAGGTTTTGTAGATACCCTTTATTATTAAGAATAAACCTACGTCAATGTCAGTATGCAACACTCATTCATGGATAAGTAATTGACGACTCACAAATACGGGACCACGCCGTGACGATTTAATATAGATATTGCCTGTACTGTTAATTGCAAGCTGCCTTCGCCTGTGAGAACAATCACCCTCTTATAACGGCCCAATTCTTTACCCGCAATTGCGGCGCCGATAGCACCGCCAATGGCATAGCCAATGCTACCCCAAACTGCTTGTGTCCAGTAATAGGCGCCTTTGGGAATCTTTGTAGCGACGGCTCCGACTTGAGAAGTTCCTGTCTCCGCGATTACCATATCGCCTGGCTTAACAAAAGAAGATAGGCGCTGTGTAAAAGGGGAGAAGTGTCAGCTGGCTTTACTTTACTTGTCTAGGTATTGTTAAACATACAGGCCAGAGATAGTCTTGCGTGATTATTGACGACGGAATGTCCAACACTTGGTCAAATAGTGGCGCGACAGGCTCAGGAAGCGATCTCTTAGCCAAAATGCTACTCGTTTTAATTGCTTCGGTCAATTTGGGCAAAACCTGTTCATTGTCAGACCCTGCGCTGTTGCGTATATCCCCCACTCTTGACTTACAGAGGTCATTCTTGCTTGAAATTGCTTATTTCCTACCTAGAGCCAATTACTGTTAGTATTCTTGTAGTATTAGAGTTACGTGGCTATACTTTACAGTGATTTGGAACCGTTGAAAGTCAATGATTGTAGAAGATTTGACTTGGTCAGTGAACATTCCGCTGTAGCCAAAGTCAGCACGATATAACAATAAAGACCACGGCGTATGGGCACTAACGTGTTAAAATCGGATGGCATGTGGCCAAGCCAGAGTATACAGTCCGAGTCCTCGACAGCCTTGCTTGTCTGCGGCAAGGAACCAACGCCAGCGTAGCAGCCCGCGAACAGAGGCTCATCTTCTTCAACTACACCCTTGCCCATGATGGTGTTGAAGTGCAAAGATCTGAGAGCTTTGATAAGATCGTTGGCGTGAGGAGCCCAGCTACCTCTGCCTGCACCGCCGTCAACAATCACTATAGGATTCCTAGACGACTCCAATGTTGCCATGATGGCCGCCAAGGTGTGGTCATCTTCAGCGCCAGCCGACAGCGTCATCTTGATTGGAGTTGAATTCAGTGAGGAGACAGGCACCATTGTTTTGACAACATCTTCGGTAATGCCAATACTGACAGGCGTTAGAGAGAAAAGTTGAATCTTAACGGCTTTTTATTAGAAACTTACTATCCAGGCTGAGAGTGAAACATCATGGCTGTTAAAAAGTAAGTGAAATTTCCCATTTTCGAGAGATCCCTGCTGATATGGGCGTACCATTCAAAACTCGATCGATTTCGGCGATGGCATTCTCCGGATTCTTCAAAATCGTAGTTGCGCAAGATAATTCCGAAGAAATTCGAACGTAATGGCTATATTGAGCTTTAGTACATGAGATACAGCGCAGAAAAAGAGATTAAAACTCACTCATAGCTTTTGTCACCAAGAGTATGGTGCAAAATCCGTCCGCTTGACTGAGCTGCAAATGACGGATAGCCGACGATGTGCAAAACAGGAACCATTTCACAGAAAGATCCTCCAATACCACAGAGAGCACTCAATTCGCCGGGCCCAAATGTGGTGACAAGTGCCGCAGCCCCTTTGAGGCGGGCATATCCATCCGCAGCATATGCCCCAACAAGCTCGTTTGGGGTACCGATCCAACGCACACCCGCAGGCTCTACGTGGTTGAGAAGAGCAAGTTCATAGTCTAGATATAGATAATCAGTATCAGATACTAAAGTCTAGCTTGTGGCTCAATGAAAAAAATGTGGCGGTTCTACCTCCAGGAACACCGAAAGCTGTCTCAATGCCTATCTGTTTGAGACGGCGGAAGAGATATTCACCAACTGGAATCTCTGCCATGTTGGTATAACAAAATCTCTTGCTTGAGACTGAAATAATTCCAAGAATTAACGAGGTATTAAGCAAGAAGACTGGTGAAAATGATAAAAAGTCTCTCGAAGCTTTATAGCTTCGACACAAGAAGATGCCAGCGAGTACTCGATTATATAGGATTGTATTACTAGTTCGTGCGTACTATGTCATGTGTATATACCTGCATAGAGATGTCATGACCACCAATTTCTCGGCTATTCGGCCACCTGTGAATGCAAGTAGAGCGAATGGGCTGCGCTATTAGCACACTACGCGTGAAATATACGAGACCAAAGCTGTGATAGTAGGCGCTCAACATACCCACCTTCCGTTAAGGTGTCGACCGTACCTATCACTGCTTCCACTGTATCATGTTGGCAATCGCGCATTGCGGAGTAAATTCTGGAAGCTAGGCGTGACCTATTCGAGCCAATTTGCGCTATGTGATAAGAACCACCACACAGCATTCAGCGCGCATAAGCAGACGAAGGATCCGCATAGACGAACATACGCAGCGTGCATATACGCGTTTCACCACCTATGGAAAGATGCTAATATTTTATCCTAGATATCCGACAATTTATCCACCCACTCACAGAGGCGACTGCTTTTCAGCTTGCCTTTTATTGTTGTAAGTGCCTCTTAGCTAGATGTCAGCTCAAATGAAGCATGTTATTGTGTCGCTGCGCACTTGCTTTACATTCAATCCCTGCAGGCTCGAATTATTATTATGTGATTCCTGCTAAGCTTCCACTATACTTTGTTCAAAAACAAGCCAGCTTAATTTCGCCATGCTCGGCATTAAGTTGACTGTGTGTTGAGATAGGATCGTAGTATATGCTATGTTGGCCGTTTACTCGTATGGCTGTTTGGGAGACCCATGTATCGGCTGCGCGTTAACCATTGGATGGATAAATTGCATTGACACGTTACGCATGAATGCTATAGAAGAAAGGTAATTAGAGATGACAGTAAAATAATTGAGCTTCCTGGCGGCAGAAACAAGCCATCCACCCTCCAAAAAATCCTTCTATTAGTGTCAAAACTATTAGTCTGTATGTATATCATCCTATGCAAGCGCTGAGTCTACAATATTTGGAATTCTCGTGTCATGGCTATCCATGTATGAGAGCTGCTAGCAGCTTTGCATTATGAGAATGTATGGAAGCCCGGATGGCAGGTGCTCTGTATCGAGGAAGACCCCTTCAGAGAATATATAATCCTCGTGTTTGTCAATTCATCTGCTCAAGATCGTCTTTACAAATAGCGCAATTCGCTGCGTCTCGACTCGTATTCTGTACCAGATATATATGCAAACAAAATGGCCGACATCCCATCCCCAAGACGTACTGTCCTCCTCATCCATGGTCTCTGGATGACTCCTCTCTCATGGGAAAATTGGATCCGTCATCTCGAGGCAAAAGGATTTAATGTCTTGGCTCCCGGCTGGCCTGGCGTTGACGACCGGACACCTCAGCAAATCCGTGAGGACCCAAAGCCGATGGCTAATAAGAGCATTGATGAAATCTGCGACCATTATACAGCCATCATCACGCGTCTCTCAGAGCCACCGATAATAGTAGGCCACAGTTTTGGTGGATTGTTTGTTCAGATTCTCCTCTCTCGTGGCCTCGGAGCTGTGGGTATTGCCATCTGCCCTGCCAATCCGGCCGGCGTGTTTGCCCTGCCTCTCAGCACAGTCAAGGCAACGCTGCCAGTTCTTTCCAACCCTTTCGACTTTGAAAGCACAGTCAAGATTACAGAGTCTGAATTTCGCTACTATTTTGGCAATACCATGTCTGAAGAAGAGAGTAAAGCTTTATACGAACGATACGCCATTCCGAGCATTGCACACGTTCTTTGGCAAGGTGCAATAGGTGGTCTTGTACACCCAAAAGGCGTATTGCATGTGGATTTTAACAAAGATGATCGCGCGCCTCTTCTTCTTATTTCTGGATCCAAGGATCACGTTGTGCCACCGCAAACTGTGAAGAAAGAATACAAAGCGTATCAAAAGGGAAGTGGCTTAGTGGAGTACAAAGAATTTCAAGGACGATCGGTAAAACTTTCCTGACCATGTTTGAGTTCATCCACATCTACTTTGAAGATCGCTAACTCCGAGCTACTAGCATGGTATCGTCAGCCAGGAAGGATGGGAAGATGTTTTGGACTATGCTCTCGTATTTGTGGAGAAACACTGGCCTAATGCTTGAGGTACGCGCCGCAACGAGACCAAAAGGGAATTGTTTACTGCTGTCATAAACACTTCTACAATGGTTGATCGAGGAGATAGTGAATTCTTTAGTTCTGAAACGTTTTACTATTATATGCGAATAACGTGGTTGAGTAAAGGTTTAGATTATTTATTGTATCTCCACGTCAACACCGTTCAATGACCGTCAATGATGACGCATCATGATTATGGACTATGATTAAGTTTAACACAATTCCAGATGCTAGATTGGCTACTTCAGCGCGCTAAAAAAAAAAAGGATCAACTTGAGGCGTACTTTGTGATATACTGTTCTTGGCGATTCTGTTTCTGTTTTGAAAGCGCAGCCATGATTCAACTCAACCCATAGAAGCCAAACTAGCGACCGCAATATGTAACGCCAAGCAATGTTCGGAATAGAAGATGCAACTTGTCTCATTAAGTTTAACGATCTATTAAGCCTCTGATGAGGCCTTTTGCGACATCACATAGTAGGCTTAAATTAAGGAATTGAATCTTGGCATCGCAGCGGCCGACCGGAAAATTAATCTGCTTGTAACGATGACAGTCGCAACCAAGCGCCTGGGACCTGATATCAGACCATGCGGCGCTTGTGTTCGTATAAACAGACATGGAAAATGCTCCCACATCCGTGGATATTTCCTTTTCCCCTTCTTCGGCTAAGTTTCATGAAACGTCAATTTTAATGTTTGGTGGCTACTGGTTTTGTTTAATTGGCACGCGTAAACTGGGATCCCGCTGTGGCCATGTCCCCGGCTCTCCTATCTGGCAGGGGGGGCCGCGGAGCTTCAAGGAGTTCATTCGTAACAGCCCTGAAACACAGAAATTGCCAAGCCGTCACCACAACTATCTGCAAAAGTGATATATGAGCTTCATTTAATCCAATGACTATAAATCTACAGCACATTTCCGCATCTAGTTTATTTTCCTTCCCCAGGCAGGAACTCATAAACTCTTTTACACATAATACATTCTAAAGACTTCAACTAGCTCTTCTTAATCTTCTCTTTTTTACCTACACACCAAGTCTTACTCGTCTATTCATCATGCATTTCACCAAATTCTATGTTGCCATTTCATTGATCTCTTCCGCTATCGCACTGCCCATTTCTGGCGCATCAATAGCGAGAAGAGCACTGCAATTCCGCGAATATGCCGATTTTCAGATTTCTGACGGCGAAGCGGGAAACGCCTTAGATGAAGCTAAAGCAAAATTTCCGGTGCGCAAGTTCAATCCCTTAATTATCAGCATCAACAACTAACTTCTTTCAGATTGATACAAGCAACTTGAAAGGTGTCTCCAGCTCAGATCTCGCCATCATCAACGCAGCTCGAGAGACCGCGGAGGCCGCTGAGACAGACGCTTTCAACGATCAGATCAAGGCTGCTAGCGGCTCCGCGGCAACGGCACTTCAGAATGGCAAGATCAAGAACAAGGTTTTGAAGCTGTTCTTGGAGGTGTCAGCCCTTCAGATCCAACAAGCCCAAGGAAAGGACAACCAGGATAAAATCGACGAGGAACAAAAAAAGCTCAACAACAACATTAGTTTGGATGCAAAGGCGGCTGGCCAGACAAGCAAATCAGTTGCCTTTACAGGGGATGTTCAACCGAAGAACTAGTGTGGAGACGGGTATAATTAGAAGTTAATGCTTGAGACTAACGATGCATGTTTGCTGGTCAAGTCATAAATATAATCGTCGTTGATGTCATACTTATGCTTTTTCACTATTGGAAATCGTAGCAATATCATTGTGATGCGCAATAAGTCAATGCCACGATATGAAGCAATTGATAAAAAATTCTATACATGTTTATTAGGTACTATGCTGATCTGATAAGGTATGAGTGGGAGTATCCCCAGTCCGGTCAATAATCTTCTGCTATGTCGCTTTATGCTTGAAATAAGGCGTATTGAAGGAATGAGTAAGACGCAAGGTTAAAGCATACCTTAAAATATACTACAAGGCCTGGTTCCAAAGTCATAGCCTTTAAGCGCTACTTTTATTACCAGGGAAAAAATACTACATATATAAGTCTCTTCACGTACGCATTATTTATGATGGGAAGATTTCATAGTGGAAAGCTTTGCGAAATAACATCATAAAACAATTACGGCCAGCAAAATGCGTTCAATTCAATAGGGTAACATTGATACTTTTAGATGCAGATTCTTACCTACTCAAAGCAGCAGCTGATAAGACAAAAAATATGTCTCCCTTGAGATCTGAAGTGGCACGGATTGATCATTGTAGAACTGACACTCAATGAATGAAACGCGGATGCATGACATTGATAAAATGAGTAATGTTACCTGGGTATTCGTAATATGTTGAATGGGGACAGTTCTTCCAGCCACACCATTATTAGTGTAATGCAAGTAAGCATGCCACCCACCATGGAAAGCTTGAGTAACGGTAGTAAGCCTTATGATAGGACAGTGACACGCATGCACAGCCCATAGCAAATAGTTGAGTACTTTTCTCTTACAGATCCTTTTCCAGTTAGACTATTCCAAGCTGACAATCCTCCTGATCTATAAGATTCTTAGCTGCAGCCTTCTGTCGCTTTCTTGACGCACCAAGCTTTCTCGATAGTGCAAACTAGAGGAGCTGAAAATCACAGTTCAGAAGAGGTAATACTATAGCAATGTGTACAACACGAGATGCCTTTTTATTCGTTATTAAATCGCGCATACGCCAAACGCATTATCAACGAGATATTGTAATAGCACTACAACGGTGGAGTGCATTATTTTACTTTCAGACCCGCCTTCCATCTTATCTCGACGGAAGAAGACTGACACTTGTGAACTTGGCTCACCAAGTAACTGTACAAAAACAATACATAGTCCTAAGCCAGTTATAAGAATGTCGCAATGTAATGTGTATTTCTTACACTTTCACAAAGTTGGGCTGTAACAAGTTCTGCGCCGCCTAATGAGTATGTTGCCCTTTAATCTTGCGTGGAAGTAATACTGCGCCTCCGGTTCTGGGTGGAGAAGCCCAAGAAAATAGTAGCTGATTACTTCGTTGGTGATACAAAACGTAAGTCAAGCTATGGACTTATTGGCTACCATCTGAAACGGGTCGCTTTTGTAGAAATCATGATAAATAAGAAACTTCTATGACTTATATTCTATGTAAGGACCTTGTGAATATACTCATGAGCTAACGAAAATTGGGCTTTTACATGCTGAGGTTTCTACTTCATAGTATATACATCAAGATAGCTGAGGATGTACATTGTTTGACTACTACTAATATTACTCTCGATCAGCCAAGCCCGTGAAACCACACTTTACACATATGTCAGGTTGTCTTACACACAGCAGTCCTCTCAACTGTTACAGCCATGTCTGTTGCAACCTTTGTATTGATTGAGCCTATGAATAATCACCGATTGACAACAGCGGCGTGAGATCTGACGTACAGCTATTGCAAATATCCATACCCTCATCTTGCTTCATATCATCTGGGCGCCGATGACGTCTCAGCCTCTAGAAATGCTGTGTAATTTGCTCATCCGCTCTACATGACTATAATCTGCAGGCTTGTATACGTATATATATAGGTAGACTACAATATCCCCAAGAGATCAGCTTCCAGTGTAATCTTAACATCGCACCATCGTCTATACTATGGGATCTCTCAGTGCTGGAGGAACTTTCATTAGCCAGCTGGGGCTCAGCCCATGGCTTGTCTACTCCGTGGCTGGCTTTGCCTTCTATCTTATACTATGCTCTTCTTTGCGGTTCCAGAGACTCAACTCGATGCGCCGGCGCTTCAACTACCCAGATCGTGAATCATTGTCCCGTATGACGAATGAAGATGCACAAAAGATTGTCCACGCCGTTAGCGTCTATGAGTTTCCCCTCCTTTACGATCTGGCCCTCAAATACGCGATTTTCAAGGTTGGCTTTTGGTACTTCCGATCTCATATACTATATTTACAATTATTAGTCTTATGCAATTGATCAAATTGGCAATCTCTTATATAGAGTCAGTGATCTTTCTCGACCTACGGAAGCTTCTAAACGGTATATGCTATCCAATCACCTCGAACCATGATTTTCAACCTCAATTTGAACTAACGTTCTACCATAGCTATGATGATACTTCGGTGTTACTTACCAGGTAAGACTGTTTGCATGCTACTGGACAAAGAGTCTTGGGCTGATGATGTCTCCAGCTACGTCACTTTCGCCCCGGGGTCGGACACCCTAGCACACAGTATTGCTCGGACAAATTTCATGCACAATCCGTATTTACAGTCCGGTAAGATTAAGAACGAAGATATGTTGTACGTACTCTTTGACAACATGTATGAGCCGGTGCGCTTCATGAAACTTTACGAGTGGCGAGAGCTGTCAGATATGGAGGTGGCAGCATTTGCAACCGTGTGGAGGTATCTTGGCGACATGTTGGAAATTGATTTCAAAGCCGAGCTAGGAAAAGATGAGTGGAAAGATGGTATTGAGTTCTTCGACGATATGGTCATCTGGGCCAAGGATTTCCAAATGAAGCACTTGGAACCCTCACCAAGTATCACTAAACTTGGCGAGACATTGAGAGATTTACTTTTGTCGGCTTATCCTGAGTTTATGCGAGGACCCATGAATAAGATCCTTATGGTTCTCGTAGGCGAGCGTCTGCGCAATGTTTTTGGGTAAGTAGACGGAATACTTCTCTTTACTGGAGCGATATTAACGTGGACACAGTTTTGATGAACCCGGAATGCTGGAGGCATCCTTCACATACACTTTCCTTCTTGTACGAAAATTTGTCCTACGCTATCTCACTCTGCCTCGCATATTCCCCGAGCAGTACATCAGTCAGCCTGATGCCGTGACGGGACGTATTCAACACTATAAGTGGCTCAAGGACCCTTGGTATACGCCTGCTACTTTCTGGTCTCGCTGGGGTCCCGAAGCTTGGTTCCGGCGAGCATTTGGCCTCAAGATTGCTGGAGATGGTGGTGAAGTAATGAGACCAGGAGGCTTTTTATTCGAGGATATTGGGCCACGCAACAAGATGGGTAAAGGAATGGAGGAGACTGCTCAACTAGCAAGAATTGCTCATACAAGAGTGGCTGCTGGAGGCTGTCCTTTTGCACTGCCCAGGAAGTCTTGAGCCAAATCGCGAGAAAATCGACCGTTCAACACTCAGACTAGATTAGATTCATGGGGAGTCATTATCGCAGCTACGTATTTGTTTACATGTCCCTAGGCGAGATAAAACAGCTATTTTATGTTAAATATCAGTTTCACAGAAGAAGCGAAGAAGAAACGATATGTTCTTTAGCCATTGCGAAGAATCCTGTGTATCAACGGCCAAACTGCGACACTGACGAGAAGACTACTACATCAAATTACGAGTCTTGCGTGGCTTTTACAATCTAGTGACATGCAACATATCAATGTCAAAGTTTATCACCTATTTTCTAGTTTATCTTGGTCAAACTGGCTTGCCTGCATTTCCGAATCTAGGTATTCAGGCTCAGCTGCCCCTCCACCTACCGCTCTGAGCGGATTATTAGTAGTATTTGGTGATTACATGTTTTATTAGTAGTACTTACAGGGCTGTAGTAACAGCATTACTACATGCTCACAGCAACCTTGCGCATTGGCGAGCCTGGGCAATCATGATGAGTCACTTGTATTACAGCCTGGACTAAGAAAACCCCATTGGTTGACTGGCTTTGGCGTGACAAGTTAAATCGTCAGTTACTGATGCGAACATGCTTCAGGGTGTCGCAAAAGGCTCCAATTCGCCGGTACTCTTTCCCGTCTGTGTGGGCTTGTACTCCCTCTATCGTAGCTAGAATCCCACAATTATATGTAAAATGAGTTCTCGCTGATTTTCATATGATCTGTGGAGTGATATGTTGCCGGCACGATGCTGGCTAAAAGATGTGCTACAGTGTACGACAGTATTTCGTCGTATATGATTGACGCTACTTAGTGTGTTCGTGCCATATCTTGTGCTTTCACGCGTGAAGCAGTACTCCTTCTTCGTACCATTGTGCACATATTATTCCCATTATGCAATCGATAACAGGTTCCGTTTTTGAGTTGGAATATCATTCTTTGAACTACCAACAACACAGCTTTGATCGGTTTGATCTGGCATATTAACGGAGAGAGTTGTTTGTATAAAAGAATGCCTCATTTCAGAACGAGAGAGAAAAAGCTGAATTATAGAAAAAGTTATTCGCAATACTAATATACATCTAAATAGCTCAGGAAAGACAATTTTTCAATGAACACAGTATAGGCAAGATGAACGCTGGCGGTGTGACGTATTTTATGCGCTCGGGAAACTTACCAAAACATTCCGATGCCGAGGGAGGGGCAAAAGCTTTGAGCCATTGGGTCAGCTTTGGCCAAGCCGGGTCTATTAGTAAGTTGATTATCTAGAGCCTAGAGGAGACTATATCCAAAGCGGAATCCAGTACCCTGGCCACGAGCTTGTCAAAAAGAGGATCTTGAAACGATCGATACGCGCAAGTGAATAATACACACCCGAATGCTGAAATGACCACAATCGCAGTGCCATCCCTTTTTATCTAGTGTATGCGTCTATTATGGTCCTTGACTGCTTGCAAACACCTCTGCCTGGCCAGTAGGGATACTCGGAGTATGAACACCTGTAAAGTCAAATGCTCGCAACTATGGCGTCCTTCCAAATCATTCAGACTCACATTTGTAATCCGCCTGACGGCCTCACCCTCGGCTTCTTTTGGTATATCGGCGGATAAGATCTCTTTTCATTGGTCGACGCCGTCTACCTTAACGTTATTACTGATACTCCGGGCTAGTTTACTGTAGGGGGCTACGTCCATGTATGCTGTATAGCGATACAATATGCCAACAACTAGGCCATTTCGGTTGGCGCTTGACTACCTCTATTCGAACCTTATTGCTGATGCAGCACTACGACCCTATAGGTGGCAAAGTGCATAACATTGCTGCTACTACAGCTTTGCTATAAGACACATTACATAACTGCGCTGAATTACGACGTTGTCTGCTCTTACCCTGGTTTACAAATCCTGAAACATGCCCAAACTGCATTTCTCTTGATCAGTAATCTCAGGTTTACACTTACAACGCTGCCTACTTATCGGATACTTTGGCATGACGGAAATAGAAGGAAAAAGAAAGCCATTAATCACGATTAGTGAACTATGTTAAGTAGGTAGATCACGAAGATATATAAGTGTAGAGCATCTCTCCATGAGAATATCTCCACCAGCAATTCATTCAACAATCATCTAATTAACCCAGCCCAGATTACTATCAAAAGAACTAGACGTGCTCACCATGTCCAAGGTCATTCTCATTTTGGGAGGAGCGGGTGTTCAGAACGCCGCCGTCGCCCGCGAACTGGTTACAAACAAGTCTTTTTCAGTCAAACTTCTGTCTCGAAACATCAAGTCGGAAGAGTGTGTGTCTCTCTCTACCATCCCTCGTATTTCGCTTGTTCAGGGGGACTGCTATGACGAAGACACTCTTGTCTCTGCCTTTGAAGGCGTTGATGCTGTCTTTGTAAACACCAATGGTTTTGCGATTGGCGAGAAAGCTGAGATATTCTGGGGCATTCGTATGTACGAAATTGCATACTGGGCTGGCGTCAAGCATTTCATCTACAGCTCTCTGCCAGCTGTGTCCAAGAAGTCTGGATACAACCCGAAGTATCGTGTGCCGTTTGTTGATGGCAAGGCCAAGGTCGTCGGTAAGAATGAGACCCCGTTTGTGCGCACAATCGTTTGGGAGTCATGCTGCTAATCAATGACATGTTTCCAGAGTATTTAAGAGCACAGCCTACGGACAAGATGAACTGGAGTGCTATCGAGAGTGGCCCCTATCCCGAGTCTCACCTTGGCACCTGGTATCCCAAGAAAGATGAGGATGGTGTATACGTCTTCCGCATGCCTCTTGAGGCCGATGGTGCTATGGCCATGGTCGGATTAGCCGATTTCGCTTGGTTCGCCCGCTACATGTTTGAGAACCCGAAAGAGTTCGAGGCCGACTTGCTGAGCGTCGGCATCGACCATGTCACCGGCAACACTATTGCGGCTGCCTTTACTGCTGTAACTGGAGAGCCTGCACGATTCGAACCACTGCCTCTATTAGCCGTAGCAAAGACATGGCCAGATACCAAGGTTGGTCTTGCCGGATCTCCGGGCTTTGAAGATCCGACCTTGAAAAACATGGCCGGCCATTTCATTCCATGGTTCACAATCTGGCAAGAGAGCGGCGGCAACAAAGGTCTGTGGACTAAGGACTACAAGCGCCTGGACAAGATTTATCCGGGCCGTATGAAGACTATTGAGGAGTGGATGCGGTCGGTGGGCTACTCGACTGAGGAGTATGCCAACCAGACCAAGACTGCGATTTTCGGCTGATCGATCGCGCACAAGGCTGTTATTGAGAAAGAGTGAATTCCAAATGCTTTTTTGAGGGTGAATATTATATAGTTTTGCGCATATAGAGAATGACAGAAACTGTACTTGCATCATTGTTTCGTTTCACATACTGCTCTTCAGTCGTCATCTGTATTTTCCGATATGATAACAATAGGTGCATCGTTAACATGTATCTTGTGTTCGACATTCAAGTGGACTCACCAAGAGCCTATCTATGGGCTAAGGCATTATGAACTGCATGTGGGCAGAATATTATTATGCTTGATAACGATTATACTCACGCACATTACGAATGCAGTTGGAAACGTAAGCTAGTGTTTCTGGACCTTGAAAATACTACCTAATGCTACCCGCGTGCTTTAACATTACAATTGCAATGGAATTGCATGATTGTGGTTGTTTTATAAGTGAGTTTAAAATAAAAAGACTATCTTTATATAAGATTTCTGTAAATACGCTGTTCCTAGCTCTCAGGTTCATCCAAGCTATTTTGATAGCGCAATTTGCTGCTCAACAAAGGCGCGGATAGTTTCCTCCATAGGTGTCCATTTCACTCCAAGCAATTTATCGGTTGTAGTCATATCCATAGTCATTGTAGGTTCCTCCTGGGGCGCAAACTTAACATCCAAAGCCGGATAGCTGGACTTGACAAAGTTTGCAAACTGTTTCCATGTATAGAGAGGGCCAGTAATTGGCAACTCGGTTCCGGAGGGAACATCAGCATCGATAATCCGCGCCAGCGCGCGTGAAACATCGCGAATATCCACCATCATGTAAGGCGTCATGGGTGGTCCATCGGATTGCAAAGTCATCCACATGAGGAAGTTGACTCCGCTGAGATCGCTTGCTGATTTCTGAACCAGACTTGGTCCAAATACTTGGGATGGATGAACGCTCACAACCTTGAAGCTAGGCTTCTCTTTGTTGATCCAATCGCGGTAGGCTTGGTGACCAACAATCTTGCCTGTCTGGTACTTGAGAAATTGGCCTGGTAGTCCTTCGGGGAAGTCCATTTTCAGATCGACAGGGAAAGATTCGTTCGTATTAGCTATTTTTCATTAGTCAACTGTTTTCGATTCCAAATCGCTTGGGAAAGCATACCCTTGATATGAAACGACTTTTGCATCACAGCATCAAGCGGCATGAGAGACACAAAAGAGGAAACAATGGCAACTTTCTGAATGCTGGCTTCCTTCTTTGCAGATTCCAGGATTGACAAAGTTCCGTTAACCGCCGGATTGACGAAATCGTTTTCGAGATCCGCGCCTTTATCCACCATTGCTCCGGCCAAGTGGAAGACATAGCTGACACCCTTCAAAGCGTTTTGGTACGCGGATGCTTGTGACATATCAGGCACAACGGCAAACTCAATTCTGTCTGAAGAAGAAGGATATAGGTCCTTAATCGCCTGGCCTTTCTCCTCGCTTCTTACAGCAGCGCGCACACGGTGGCCGGCCTTGAGGACATCTCCGATTAGGTGAGTTCCAATGTAGCCAGAGGCTCCGGTGATGAACACAAGGCTGTCGGACATGGTGCTATGTGATCGGCTTCGAAGTTTGAATGGAAGATGCGATAGAAGTTTTTTAAAGGTCATGTTGAATGGAGTGAATCTTTGGACGAACGAGTAGGGTTTTTATACCAAAATGTTTGTGTAAGTCAAGCCATCTCTTTATAGAGAAGTAGCTCTAGCTTGTAGTGGCACATTTCAATGCCTTCTTCCTTTGTTGGCACATGAACGACAATGTTAAACAGGCAAGTAATTCCGGATTTTTCATCAACGGCTTCGTATGTACAGGGTTGTTCACGCAATTGCTCACGTACAGATTATTATTGAATCTCTGTCTTCCTACTACTTGCCTCTATAGTCCGTGAGGCTTTGACGGGCTTCAAGCCGGATTAGTGATCCCGCGAATAGGGTCGGAGATACAATAGGACAAGGAGATTTGAAGGGCAAGTCTTCCCGGAAGCGCTACCGTAGGCATTTTATTGGTGATTCGACATAGAATAGCGGGCCCCGTTATGTGCGCTTCACCCGGCCAAGCCACCTTTTGCGGGCAACTCCATCCGTGCCAACAAATCTTTTGGCGTACCACTGGCCGTATCTTTGTCTATAAACTAAGCATTTTGCTGCTTCCTCAATCTTTGAGCTCTTTCTAGCGCCCTGCATTGTGTTTTGTTCTCTAAAATGGTGATATGGGGCCCATGCTAGTCTTGACAGTAATCATCTAGGAACCAATCACTTATTGGCAAAGATCATGCGAAACACAGTACATAAATATAATATATAGAGCTACTTTTACCAAGCAAAGCTCTCTTCATAATAATCGATGTGGTGGTTTCCCCCCTTTAGTGCATCAACCACTGCCAGTCGTGAATCATCTGCTAGTTTCGCGGGCCCGCATGCCACGACAGCCATGCTACCGTTTTGAGTATCTTTTGCTGCAGTCGTAATGACCGAGCCAATGTCAGGTCGGCCAACATGTTGCTGCACTCGGCTTGGCAAACTATCAGTGGCGAAACTCTCGAGCTGAGAAGACATATAAAGTTGCAGAGATAGTCTGCCCGTGTCTATAGCAGCCGTGACTTCTGTGGATAAAATATATGAGGATATAACATCCTTTGCAAATGCAGATTCTCTGACCGCCCAGTGTAGATCGATTTTGGTCGGCGTTGTCATTTTTCTGCAGAGAGAGGTCAGGTATGATAGTGCAACGACAACCCCCGATCCTCCAGCGATGAAAATGACACGGTGATACTCGTCTAATCGTTGTGTATGTCCGTATGGCCCATCCACTAGTATTCTAAGAGGCTTAGGATTCGCCTCTTCGTCAGCCGACATGTCTCTGAGGCGCATTGTGAATCCATCATATGGTCTGATGAGAAATGCCATATGCTCTTTTCTTGCTTCCAATGCTGTATACTGAGAATGCGTCTCTGGGGTAGCCACCGGGGAACCCAAAAGCGGTAGACTTTCCTCTGAGCCCTCCATCTTTTGCGGCATTTGGTCTGATACTAAAGCGACCGTGAAAGGGTGACTCTCCCAAGAATTCGAGTCGTCTAATATTGATAGGAAAAAATAGTTCCCCGCCTGAGGCTTATATAATGATGTATCGGTGGGAACAGTTAGGCGGATGATATTTGCAGAGGCATTGTAGCTTGCCAACGCAGTAGTTGACCATTGTCCAGGATTAAAGATGATGATTCGTAAAAGCCTCATCATTCGATCGAAAACCCAAATGATTGCTGGGACCCAAAATAATGCATCATATTCTCCGTTAAATATTGAAACGTGTCTGTTATTGCGTTAGCGTTCTCGTATTAACTATCCCATAGGAAAGGCGCGATCCTACCCAAACATTGTTAACAGGATCAGGATGGATAGCCCGATGTGGATGACTAGAAAGGCCTCGTAAAACCGGCGTCTTATCCAATACATGGAAAGTATTAACAGCGCGCACATAAAAATAGTGGCCTTTCCGTGACTTTAGCGAAATTCTTTAGAAGGATGGCATGTAGAGTCTTACCAGTTGGCCAGCGTTCCAAAACCACATAGTGAACCACCATGCGTAATAGCTTAATCCTCCATCTAAGGCCGTAATCAATAACTAGATTCGAATAATGTATGCTATTACAGTTATTGACGCGCCAACTTACTCATGAATATTAGAACGGTGTAAAGCACCGAATGGATTATAGCTTCCACAGTCGATATTCGGGCGACCCATCGATGGAAGTTATTATACGTTCCAAAGTCCCAACCAGTAAGCCACAAAGCGACACTGTTTCTCATTCCAAATAGCCATATGAAAGGAAAGTTGGCAAAAGAAATAATTCCAGTGCGATCCGATACGTAACGTAAAATCTGCTTGGTGGGCGTGGAAAAACTGCGCACTAGTTAATATGGCGGTTCAAAAACGCTGTTGGCATGATGTTAGACGTACTAGAGGCTTTCGTCAATAACTCTATAACCATGAATGTTGAAGATGATATTCATCAAAAAGAATATCATGAGAGTAATTGTCTGAACTCGTGGAGGAATTGTAGCCCACCAGACATTCTGAGCACATCTGTACCCAAACGTTGCTGGAATGGTTACATGGCGCTTTAACCACGAACTTGTATGTGAGGGGATCCCAACAGACGTAAAGCGGTTCTGGCTGCAACAAATTCGAGAGATTGCCAGGTACGCTTTGTGTGAAACGCCTAGAAGTGCGACGACAACCCAAAAGACCATCACCCCGATGCTATCAGAGCATTAGCAGAGTTTCTTTGAGATTAGTTGCAAACCGAGTTACCCATAGAGATAATGATGTCTGCGCGCATATTCCGAGGCATCCTGGGGCAAGTTAAATGTTAGTCCATGGACGACAGCGAAACATCGAAAGAGAGCCTTTTCACCAAAGTGTCGAACCAGACGCTAAAGAATTCTGGCGATGGGACAACTGCCTCATTTACAGGGTATGCAGAGCTAAACGAATCATTTTTATGGACTCTTTTTAGGCCTGCTATTTCCTCATTCGTAAAATCTGTCTTGAAGGACGGGATAGAGCTGCCAAACGAATCGTAGCAGGTAGCATTGAGTTGTCGCAAAGCCTGGTCGCGCGTTTCCTTTCCACAGTTGAGGCCAAGACAGAGATACCTTGATGATAAAGAGAGACGACTTTGGCACGCTTGCTGCGGTGTTGATACCGCAGGGCTTACGTCGACAAATCGCAGTGGCTGCAAGGAACTCTCACAACTTTTCATGCATAAGTCAGGTGAGCTTCTGGGCTCGGTGAGTGTAGCAATAGCGACATAAGTGAAGTGTGATAGGTATAGAGCATGTGTACATGCCCTCATTGCGTAAACAAATACGGATGGATTAAACTTGTCGACGGTGGGAAGCGACCTTGTGTAATCTTCAAGATAATCGCGTTGCTGCGTGATTTAGATCGCGTGCTAGAGCCGAGTTTTGCAGGTATCAGCTGATTCGATGGCTCAGCGCCCCTTCGGAGAGACTACTGAGCGCCGAGCCATGATAGTGGATTGCTTATCTGATTGATAAGATCCACTGACAACCGATCATCGGCGGGCTACTAGACACGTTTCAGCTAGTCGTATCATGTTTGTAGTGCTTGTATGAAACTAAACTTCACGTGTAATGAGTGTGTGATGACTGTTTCAGCCAATGCATGTGCTATCAACACCTGAAAAGTAGATAAGCTTAATACGTGCACATGTATCCAGGGCTCAGATACAGGCCGCGATCATCTTCCATCTTTGTATATCCCATCTTGTATGTCAGCGTACTTCTCAAATAATGACACATCCTCTCAATTTGTTTGTGACTAACATGCTTCTTAGCAATATTAAAGCTATATTCTTCCTACCTTGGACTAAAGCATGTGTATGGTGAATCGCAAAATTGACATCTAGTGTCTGCTCTCGAAAGCCCAGGGCATTTTCGTAGTCTGACCACGAAACGAGAGGTTTACGATTCTTTCTACAACGTCATCCATCGGGTGATTAGAGGCGTAGCAGACGGCACGGACAGTGTCTCTATGAACAACCTTTTCCGCACCATATCCGTGAGTACACTTCCGTTTGATCGGACAAAGAACAACACCTCAAAGACCTTCTGAACATGAGTGACCCATATTTCATTGCATCTACTCAAGCAGAGGTTAACTAGACTACTGCTGACTAGCTTCTACCCTAACCTTCAGCCATAATCTGGGGTAACGCTCGTTCAATTTAATCGTCCTTAGCTAACGCCTACAAAACGTTTACAAGTATGTGTCTTGCAGTTTCCTATTTGGTACAGTTTTCGGGATATAACGAAAGCATGAGAATACTTTGTTTGACAGAAGTCGGTACTCAAGTAAATATGTGCAAGCTTTAAATGGAGGTCGATATTCTTTCTTCGCTGAACTGCCTTACTGATTTAAGTGCTCTCTTTGACGTCTACTTCGTTTCGTATTCATCAAACTCATAATTTTACAGCTTCCAGCGGCTTCTCTTCTTTGTACAGAATCCTGCCGTTGCCGTCGGCTAGTGAAACTTCCCCACGATTAATCCCTGTCAATCACCACGGCGCCGAGATCAGTGCAGCCTAGCTCAGAAGACCCTACTTCCCATTCTCGCTTCGTGTTTAAACTAGCATTGGATTAGCAGATGGTTTGCGAGGCTTCTGTCCCACGCAGCGGCGGATTAAACAGCGTTCATCGTATAGCTCGTAGTTGCTGGTATCCGACGGCTTTAATGAGTAAAAACCCTACGGGCCGGGTAAACACCCTTCACGATGCGGCACCTTGAAGAACTCGACAAACTTTTCATGTGCCCGTCGTCAGAGTAAACCATATTGTGCTACAGAGATCGCTTGCAGGCATATCGGCTCATATCCCCCGCACTATGCAAAGCCCGTGATGCATGCCGATGGATGATGCCTGAGTTCCCAGTGACAGCTATTTAAGAAGCCAGAATAGCCCAAGTTGTCATTTCAGGAACTTGCAGATGTTTGACAATCATCAACGTTGAAGATAGAGTTACTGGACCACAATGCTTCTAGCTGGGCTCATCGCCGCCGCAGCCTGCGCCCAAGGCGCAACGGCAAGACGGCTGTGGGCAACTGAACCGGCCGATCCAGCCAATATCATCATGACCGCTTATCCATTAGGAAATGGAAAGCTTGGAGGTGAACACATTATCCATTTTAGGTGACTACCAGTGAATGAACTGCAGCTGACGACGCTTTAGCTATGCCACTTGGGTTAGTCGGAGAAGATATCGTGGTCTTGAACGAGCACAGTCTTTGGTCCGGAGGGCCTTTCCAAAGTCCCGTAAGCGATTAGCTATTTTCTATCTTTGGCTATTATGCCCAGCAAATCTGATATATTTGACGCAGGATTACATTGGCGGCAATCCACCCGGCCCAGTCTACACAGCTCTTCCAGGCATCAGAGACACAATTTGGCAAACTCAAATTAACAATGGTACGCAACAGCAAGCTCAATCGGTTCTATTCTCCGTTACCTAACAACGCGATACTCGAGCAGATATTAGCCCCTTGTATGGTGATCCGACAAATTACTATTACGGCAACTATGAAACTCTTGGCAATCTCACAGTCAAAATTGCCGGCTTGAGTCAATACAGCTCTTACAACAGAGCGCTAGATCTCGAGACAGGCATACATCAAACCACATTTCGATCCAATGGCGCAAGTTTTACCATGTATGCGCCGGTAGTTGCTGAACGAAGCATCTTCTAAGATGACATTCTCTTTATGACTAACACCTAATTTAGAACGACGTTTTGTACATTTCCCGGCCAAGTTTGCGTTTATAACGTTCAATCCACCAAGCCGCTGCCAGAGATTACCATTGGTCTACAAGACAACGTTCGAAGCAGCCCAGCGTCCAACTTTTCTTGCGATACTAATGGAGTACATCTGAGAGGACAAACTCAACAAGACATCGGCATGATTTTTGATACTCGCGTCCAAGTTATTAATCGACCCAAGGCAGCGACATGCACAGCGTCCCATGAACTTGCCATTCCTGCAGACAGCAAGACCAAGTCAGTCACCGTGATATACGCTGCTGGAACGGATTACGATCAGAAAAAGGGAACCAAAGCAAGCAATTATTCTTTCAAGGGAGTTGACCCAGCGGCAGCTGTATTATCGACTATTCAAGCGGCTGCGAAAGAAAGCTATAACAGCTTGTATAACTCTCATGTAAAGGACCATAATGCCTTGTTTAGCCAATTTACTCTGAACCTCCCGGATCCCGAACACTCGGCTTCAATCCCTACCGCAAAGTTGATGGAATATTACGATGATGACATTGGCAATACTTTCATTGAGAATCTTCTTTTTGACTATGGAAGATACCTTTTCATTGGCTCGTGCAGGCCAGGATCTTTGCCTCCCAACTTGCAGGGCATTTGGACGGAATCTCTCACGCCAGCTTGGAGTGCGGACTATCACGTCGACGTCAATGTTCAGATGTGAGTGTAATTATTTTATTTGTTGGCCGAAACTGATCCATATTCTCGTAGGAACCACTGGCATACTGAACAAACCGGACTTGGCGATATCCAAGGGCCGCTATGGGACTTTATCACTGACACATGGGTTCCGCGTGGCACCGAATCAGCAGCGTTGCTGTATGATGCTCCTGGATTTGTTGGATTTAGCAATCTTAACACATTCGGGTTCACTGGGTAAGTCTCATTAACGCATAACGTTTTGTCTCATCGCATGAGCTTGCTGACCAGCTATTAGCCAGATGAACGCTGCTGTGTGGTCCAACTACCCAGCATCTGCCGCCTGGCTGAGTGAGTATATCGAAACAAAAAGCGACCCCCTTATATACCTGTTCACTAACTTATTCCGCCACAGTGCAGAATGTCTGGGATCGATACGACTATGGCCGTGACACCACCTGGTATAAGGCAACTGGGTACCCGCTGATGAAGGCCGTCGCCGAGTACTGGATTCATGAAATGGTTCCAGATCTGTATTCGAAAGATGGAACCCTAGTTGCCGCTCCATGTAACTCACCTGAGCACGGCTGGACGGTAAGACGATATGACTTTAATCACTATCGTATGTTTTTTACTAATTCGAGTAGACCTTTGGCTGCACACACTACCAACAACTAGTATGGGAATTGTTCGATCACATTATTGAGAGCTGGGATGCTACTGGCGATACCAACACTACATTCCTTGAAACCGTCAAAGAAACGCAGGCCAAGCTGTCACCAGGCATTATTATCGGCTGGTATGGTCAAATTCAAGGTATTTACATCTCAGAGTTCTCTGCCTGCTTATCATCGACTTCTGCTTAAAAAAAATCACAGAGTGGAAAATCGGTTGGGATCAGCCCAACGACGAGCACCGTCACCTTTCTCAGCTGGTGGGCTGGTATCCCGGCTACAGTATCGGCACAAACATGTGGAATAAGACTGTGACCGATGCTGTCAATATTACCCTGACAGCGAGAGGTAACGGCACAACTGATTCAAATACCGGCTGGGAGAAGGTTTGGCGCGTTGCATGCTGGGCTCAGCTCAACAATACAGATATCGCGTAAGTATTTGCACCTCATCCAGATTATCCTACTTCCCTAAGCGTCTGCATCGTATTAATCTATTGTCTTAAATAGGTATACATACTTGAAATACGCTATTGGCATGAATTATGCGGACAACGGCTTCTCTGTATACACCACTGGCAGCTGGCCATATGAACTCGCAGCACCGTTCCAGATTGACGCCAATTTCGGCTACACTGCCGCGGTCTTGGCCATGCTGATCACCGATCTCCCTGTGCCATCTGCCTCCAAAGCTGTTCACACAGTCATTTTGGGCCCGGCTATTCCGTCAGAATGGGCAAATGGCTCAGTTACGGGTATGCGCATCAGAGGTGGAGGATCTGTGGACTTTTCGTGGGATAAGAATGGCCTTGCGACCCATGCGACGCTTCATAACCATAAGGCATCGATTAAAATTGTCGATGTAAATGGTAAAGTGTTGCTTCACCAGTAGAGAAGGAAGAAAGAACTCATCTGAATCTAATAAAACAAATTCCCACCTAGATTGCTTGGCCTTGGCGCAATGAGATTATGACATCAATTTTAAATTCTCAAGACTTGGTGATGATTCCACTTGAGGACTCAAGCAACGCGGGCACGACATGCTTTGACAGTTTGACAGATGTGCTTATGGAGGCGGGAACGTGTTAGTCTAGCAAGTTCCCTTTTAGGCTTCAGACTGCCGTAAGAATTGAACTTGTGTTGAGTATGTTGTGGCTTAGAAGTGCCGCAAAGTTACGCTAGAATGTCTCTTACCTATAAGTGATGGCGCGTATACATTTTATTACAAACGATCAACTTCAATCTTCATCCACATCATATCATATAAACTTTGCCTTCATGCAGCTTATCCATTCGCTTCAGCTCCTATTAGCCAACTAATCTTCCAGGACGTGCAAATCCCCATCTCATCACCCTTTCGCTGTGGCGCAGTCTAGCAGCAAGTGGAGTATGCCGCAATGGCTTTCGGCAACCTGTTTCTTCCACTGCTGCTAACTGTTATCCGCCGGTAAGCTCGATTTGTGCATGAATAGGGCGTTGCTCCAGCGCCGGCAACCAGATCCGACAACAAAGAATGGGCAGCCAATCGATTGCCTCAACCGGCGAATCCCTCGCAGCCCTACCCACATGTGAGCGTAAACGTAAATCTGTCAATCTCTTGGAATAGGAGATCTTCTTCTCCCTGAGACTACAAGTACATGGCCCGACGGCTAGTTTTCCGAGCGAATTCTCGCCATTTTCCGTCGACGGCTAAATCGCTGCTCTCAGTCGCCGCCACTCTCTCTTCAACACTGGACTTTTGGCTCTACAGTATCCCCGTCGGATTCGGCGCCGCGGCCCCGGGCTTGGCATTCACGGGCAGACAGTCGGGCGTCGCTTCGGATATTTTGCCATCCATCGCCTGGCCTGATTCCGCATCTAGCATAGCCATCGCCGAGAGAGCGCCGGATATTGTTGTTGGGCAGGCTGAGCGGAAAAGGGCGCCATTGGCAGATGCCAGTATCGCCGAGCTGAGATTGAGATTGAGATGCCTCTCCATCTGCAGGTGCCGCCGCCCACAGATCCGGCCTATCGCCGATCGCCGTCACCGCCTCCATCGCCGTCAAAGGCTCTTCAGACGTACTGCGACAAGTATGTTGTAGTCTATGACTTTAGCGATATAGGTGCGTTTCCAATTAATTCATCCATTGATCTCATATCGTGTGTAGTTTGCAGAATTAACTGTGAAAATAGATTACGATACGGCCACAAAAGAGTTCATTACGCTGCTCCAGAATCTGGAAGACACGGGCCTTCACGTTGAAGTAAGACCAGGCTATGAGCAATCCATCCTGCTATTTGTCAAAGCACCAATCGAGCTTCTTGGAAACAGAGTCTACAAGCTGAGGTATGAACATTTACATGCATACATAAAAACTTTGACCTCTCAAGAAAAGACAAAGACAGGAGTAACTAATGCAATGTGGCATAGAGTAAGAGATTGGCTCTATGGCATCACCCAAACGCGGCCACCAGGCAACAAAGACACCATTGTGTCTGCATGGTATGAAGCCGAAGATATCCTGTCCATGAACCATTTGGTTTGTTGGCCAAAGTCCATGGGCGGAGCAGGCATCACTCCCAACCATGGCCAATGGAAGAATGTCAAGTCAACATTTCCCATGCACAATGAGAAAGTCAACCAAGCGTTTCTCCGGCATCTGGGCAAGAAGCTGCTCCTCGGGACCGAGGACCTTGACAAGATACGGGACCTCTTTGGTTCAAAGGTATGCCACTGTCCCTGACGTATGGCTGTTTCCCCCGTCAATAACATGTAATGTCTTTCAGGTTGCCTTCTACTTTGCGTTTGGCCAGTCATACTCGGCCTTTCTCCTGTTTCCGGCTGTTACCGGGCTTATCGCTTGGCTATGGCTGCCCAACTACTCCCTTGTCTATACAATTCTGACCGTTATCTGGTGCACTGTGTTTCTGGAGTACTGGAAAGTCCGTGAAGTCGATTTGAGTATTCGTTGGAAAGTGAGAGGGGTCAGCAAAACGAAGATGAACCGGCCAGAATACAAGTATGAGCGAGTCGTTGTCGATCAGTATGGCCGGACTATTCACTACACTCCGAAATGGAAGCAGATTGCGCGACAGCTTCTTCAGGTACCCTTCATGGCTGTCTCAACCGCGGCACTGGCGTTGATGATCAGCTCGGTATTTGCAGTTGAGATTCTAATATCTGATTCATACGACGGGCCAAACAGCTTCTATCTTGTGAGTGGCCTTTCAAGCAGTAGTTTTGGATGGGATTTTGCTATTCATGTTCCATGTGTACTGATATGATCTGCAGGAATATATACCCACTATACTACTAGCGGTTTTGATCCCCTACATCAGCTCCTACCTCGAAGGCGTTGCGAAATGGTTGACAAATTTTGAGAACCACCGAACAGCAGACAACTTCGAAATGTCACTCACGCAAAAGACGTTTGTCCTCAGCATCATCACCAACTATCTGCCCATCTTTCTGACGGCATTCGTCTACGTTCCCTTTGGCGATCAAATATTCCCTTGGATCGAAGGCCACATCGTTCAATTCGCACCTAGCATCGGCAATCGTCTCACCGAGTTACCCTTCCGACTAGACGCTGACCGTTTGCGCCACGAAGTCATCACATTGACTGTTACCGGCCAGCTTTCCAGCTTCTTCGAAGAAAACATATTGCCCTTGATCAAATACAAGATGAGTAGCCTGTACCGCGAATATCGTCGCGCTTATACAAAAGACACCATCCTGGTATCCATGGTCACGGACGATGCGGACGAGACCTTATTCTTGGAGCAACGCCGCAATGAGGCCACGTTGGAGCCATATAATGTCCAGGACGACATTGCAGAGCTGGTTCTTCAGTTTGGATATCTGGCGCTCTTTTCGCCTGCCTGGCCACTCATTCCTCTTGGCTTCCTCATCAACAACTGGGTCGAACTTCGGTCGGATTTTGCAAAAATATGCATTGAGCATCAAAGACCAGCGCCGCATCGAGCTGAAGGCATCGGTCCATGGATTGCCTCGTTGGAAGTTCTCGTCTGGCTGGGAAGCATCTCTTCCGCTGCGATTGTTCACCTGTTCAGCTCCGACAGCCTGTTAGGCGGGGGTTGGTCCACACTGCCATTAACCATTTTTGTCAGCGAGCATATTCTTTTGGCGATCACAACGATTACTAGGGTCATCTTTTTGCGTTTTGGCTCGGAACAAATCCGCAAGGAGAGAAGCGAGCAGTATGCCAGGCGACTGGCTATTCTGGAGGAGATTGAAGAGCACAAACGTGAGGGAGAGCACATTGATGTCAGGGAGCGACAACGGAGAAGATCGTTGTTGGTCTCTGGCAATGAGAGCTTCTGGACAAAACAGGCTTCAGATGGAGCGAGTGCAGCAGCTGGAGTGAAGCTGATAAGATTGGCGAGAGAGTGGGAGGAGTCTCAGGAGCTTAAGAAGAAGCAATAGAGACGTGGCTGTCTGTGGCCGTGCCAAGAGATGAATTGCATAGCGATCTGGGTGATGGCTAATACAGCCTGCTCATAACACCAAGTTGTAAGATCTTTTCCCTTTTTCTTGTTGTTCTTCTATTACTCTTTTCTTGTTCGTGAAGCCAGCGGAGATGTGTAAGTTTAGGTGCGCTTGTTTGTAAGTCGGCGAATTCCCTATGTATAAAATCACCGTCCTTTTGCAGCCGTAAAGGGTTATTCTCAGTTGTTCGCCGAGCACTGGTAATCTTATCACATTACAAACAATTTTTGTCCTTGATTCATGACTCCGCAATGCAATTTATCGGTTCTCGTCGGCATTTCGGCGCCCGCCGTGCTCCGCAAATGAAAGGAACTCCATTTTGATTTTTAGTGTACATATTCACGTTTAAGCTTGAAATTTGGCGTAAAGCCAGCCTCTACCCGTTAAAATCATATGCCAATTGCAAACTACCTGCTATCTCTACTCTTCAATTTCCTCGCTTCATCAAATCTCAACATCAAAATAGACCCTTGTACACATAAAGAAGCCGAAAATGTTGCGTTGGGGCATTCTGGGCACCAGCTTCATCTCCCACACAGTGGTCAAAGCCATCATCGATAGCCCTGGTTCACGCATCACAGCCGTCTTTGGACGCAACGAGGTTCGTCTCGAAGAGTTTGCCGCAAAGTATAACATCGCCACCAAGTATCAAGACTTGGAAGCCCTGCTCGACGATGCTGAAGTCGACGTCGTCTACGTAGGCCTGCCCAGCCACATGCACTCTGCCGCAGTGATTGCCGCTGCGAAGAGGGGTAAGGCCATTCTCTCAGAAAAGTCTCTTGCAACGACCATGGACGACTCTCATGCCATGATGGCGGCTGTCAAAGAGGCAAATGTCTTCTTCCTCGAGGGCCTGATGTATCTCTGCCATCCTTTGATGGAGAAGATTGCCTCCATTGTGCAATCTGGCGTTTTGGGCACAGTCAAGGGCATGTCCGGCTACTACGCCGCCAACATCTGGAAGAAGGCCAATCCACTGGGAATGGGCACCATTTACAATTTGGGCTGCTACCCTGTTTCTCTGGTGCATTTCATCATGGAGACTGCGTTTGGACCTGAAGCGTTTGCAAAGCGGCAAATTACTGGGCTGGGCAACGTTTCCACTGACGGCACCTTGCATGTTCGAGATGCCTCTCTTAATGTCCGATTCGACAACGGAGTTTTGGCCACCATTCAATCCACTGACAGCTTCGGAAACGACTTTGGCTTTTCCATCCAGGGCGACAAGGGCGTGCTGCGATTTAGGACAAACCCTTGGCTGCCGCTGGCTGGCGATAACATCATTGAGATCAAGACCTATGGCGGGTCCACGGAGGAAATCGTTGTTAGCGCTCAATTGGACGCTTTTGGACATCAGGTTAAGCGTGTGGAAGACTGCATTGCTCAGGGCGTCAAAGAAGCCCCGCGGCCATCACCCAGCTGGACAAATTCTGTTGAAATCATGGGGCTGCTGACAGATTGGGAGACGGACATTAAAGAGCGACACTCCAATTAGGTGGATCAGGTCACACGAATAGAATTATAAACAATATACACTTTAATGTTATTATGAGTAGCCCAATTATAACATCTTCAAATCGCAAAGCCTCCAGAGGACACCTGCCTTGGCTCTCCTGCTGCCTCAAACGTTCCGTTGGGGAGCAATCTCACAGCTTGTGCTGTACTTTGTCCCGGCGCAACCCACGTAATATTGTGGCCAAGTGACTTCATGAACGCCACAGTCTGGTTATCATATGCGTATTCAAAAGTTGCCCGATCGGGAACAAGCTGATCATGCAAACGCGGCTGGGCCAGCGCCTCAGCAGTTGTCATATTGCCATCAATGACATGAACCGTGTTCTGGATATTAGCAGTAATGATGCGGCTGCCTCCAGCAGAGCCAAGTGCGAGATAAAGCTTGCCGTCCGCAGTCTCTGCAATGATGGGAGAAATGGATGATAGAGGACGCTTTCCAGGGCGGATATAATTAGCTGGACTGGGTATATAGCCGAAGCTGTTGCTAAGGCCAGGAATGCTAAAGTCGTTCATCTCATCGTTCATGATAACGCCCGTCTCTGGAACGATGACAGTTGATCCAAAGAGTAAGTTGATAGTGGTGGTCATTGAGACGGCCATTCCGCTGGCATCAGCAGCGACAATATGAGATGTTCCCGGAGTCTCGAGAGATTCCAAGCCTTTAGGATCATAGTAAGACACGTTTTGCGTCCGATAATTGGAAATCTTGGAGCGAATCTCAGCTCCAGTTTTGGCGGAAATCATCTCCTTGGTGTATTTGTCTATGCCATCAACAAATGACGGATCTCCAAGCTCAGTGCGCTGGCCGTAGGCAAATCGGATAGCCTCATCCAGCCGGTGTGTCGTCAAATTCACCTGTGAAGGGTCGTTGAATCCATCGAACCCGCCAACAGTATTCAAAGCGCTCAGTGCTACGGCACCACTTGAGGGAGCGTTGGTGCTGGTGAGTTTGTACCCGCGATAGTTGATCTGCAGGGGTTCTCTGATAGCAACAGTATAGTTCTTCAGATCCTCCAGTGTCATGATTCCACCAGCAGCTTTCAATGCGCGAATCGTGGCATTGGCAATAGGCCCGGTGTAAAACGCATCGGCGCCATGTTGAGCAATTGCCTCCAGGGTATCGGCATATCGCCTGCGTGTCATTGTCTCGCCCAGCCTGACGAGGCGTCCCTTGGGAGCAAAGTCAATAGCCCATGCTGGGTCTTCTGTGAGAAAGTTGTTTGGTGACGTCTGCTTGATGGTGCTAATCAAGTCCTCGGTCACCTCAAAACCATTCCTGGCAACCTCAATGGACGGCTTTATTACGTGAGCCCATGGAAGAGCGCCATATCTATCGTGTATGTACTCTGTTCCTCGAAGCTCTCCAGGGACACCACTATGAACAGTAATCAGCAATGTGTTAAAAAGAGAACATCCTGTCGTATTGCCATCTTACCTTGCCATTCCGCCGTATAAGCTGAGATTTTCATCCTTGTTGTACATGTCTTGAGTAGCGGCACCTGGAGCAGTCTCGCGCATGTCGACAAACTCATACGTGCCGTTGCTCAGTCTCATTAGCAAGAAGCCGCCGCCACCAATTCCGCTGTGATACATCCCAATAACACCAACGCAGAAGACGGTACCCACAAGAGCATCGACAGCATTACCACCGTCCTTGAGCAATTGGATACCTATATTACTGCAGACAGTGCTTTGAGAGGCAACAGCTCCTGTCTTGGGAATCTGCACTCCGGGGGGTGTACTGCATGGTGGCGTTGGTGATGTGTTGCCATACGGTAATAACGAGAGCAGGAGGGCAAGCGGCTTGGCCACTGACTTTAAACGGCGATGAGCCATGCTGAAGTACAGATTATGGAAATGGCTGGGCCTGGAGTATCAAGACAGGAAGACCTAGGCTCTCACAGATATAACCCTGGCTCTTCAATGTCTCTGAGAAAAGGATTGAACCACCTTTATATACCTACTTTTTTGCCCATGTCCTCCTATCCACCTTCTCGTCCGTGTGCCACACCGCATTGTTCGCGAATTTGCCGACTAGCTGCTGCGCGAGTTCCCATGTGTAATAGAATAGTGGTTGAGACATTATGGGACTGGCTCTATCGGTAAGTCTTCGCGAGCGCAGGCACCGAAAAACGGAGCTCCAGGTTTGGCGATTTTCTTGCGAGGGAGGAAACAGCAAGGATGGCAGTGATATTAGGAAATGTTGCTCTTACTATACAAGGACAATAGATAAAGGCACTAATCGGCTAGATTACAAGCCGACAACAGGCCTAGAAGAGCCATTGGATCATGACGTCTGGATCATCCATATGCATTCTTATCTCGGCCTTCCTGTCTAAGCTAAAGAGGCCGGATGGCCGGGGTGGTTCACGATTGATTGCTACACATGGCAAATCTACGAACCCCTGGACTCTTTCTCAGATCCCAACAGCCAGTGGTATCGTCTACTGACATGGACAAGGCTGTCATTTTCATACGATCCTGTCGCTATCATAGAGCCCAGCTAAGAGCCGCCTATTTCTTACACTCAGCCTCGTGCCATGCAGTATTTTCTACATACTAAGCCATGGCTTGTCCTCCGTACCCTTGTGCTTGCTTTCCCGCATCTCAGAATTGGCCTACAGAGGGCGCACGTTATTACGGGGCCTTTGCTATGGTATCCCCGCTTTCCCCTCACGTTGAATCAACAGTTGTAAACCCGCTATGCCAAAACAGATTGCTCTTTGTCAAGACATACAGATTGTATTTTCTACCCCATCGTTATCAGCGTTTGTGATGTTGGGGGTTTCAAGATAATGTCTAAGGCGCTAAGCAAATCTGCAATAACCAGCCTCAACCTGGAGACTAAAGTCGGCCGACCGTGGAGAGTAGTCAATTGGAACGGGCTTTATCTTTGAAATGGACTAAAATGGGCAAACAGTCTGAAGTGAAGATCTCAGACTAGGCTAGATATCGCCTAATTTATTCCTACGGTGTAAGTCTCGGCTCACGATGCCGGAGCCGGTGGCTGTTCAGTCTACTCGTATAGTTGCCTCTACTCAAGTAGAAGCATTTATATGTATTTAGGTATAATCGAGAATATTCTATTATTAAGTTTTCTTCATAGCTAATCTCCATAAAAATTGTATTTCAACCATGCCGGATTAAAGCTCCTTCAACGCCTTAAGCACTCTTCCAAGACCCTCACGCAAATATGGCTCCGGGTGAGAAAACACGATTCGAAACCAGCCTGTTTCCTCTGACCCAAACTTTGTTCCAGATGCAAGAAAGATTCTATGCTTGAGAAGTGCCGTGGCTATTGTCTCGTTCAAGCCATCAGTGACGGCATCGGGATGCAGTGACTTGTAAAAACTTCCCAAGTCCACCCACAAGAAGAACGCAGCATGGACGCCGGGTCGGTACCTGATGCCTTGTGATTTAGCCCATGAAACTGCTGATTCGTACTGCTGCGCCAGTCTTCGTTTGTTCTCGGCGATATAATACTCCACCCAGTCATGGTCATCAAGAATGTTTGCCGTGGCGTGTTGTGAGAGAGAGGATGCTGAGCTATAGAGACTAACGGGTATCAACGCATCGTGTAGAGATTGGTTAGCCTGCGATATGACGGCGCCAAGTCTAATGCCATTTGCTCCAAAATCTTTTGACATGCCATAAACAACGTGGACTCGCGATGGTTCGATAATGCCAGCCAGATCAATGCTGAGGCAAGATGTAAAGGGCTCAAACGAAGCGCCAGCATCCACGGTATTTTCCCAGACTGACAAGGCATAAATTTCGTCGCCGATAAAATGGAGCTGGTACTTTTCACAGAGTTTCAAAAGTCCAACAATCGTCTCTCGAGAGTAGCAGCGGCCAAGTGGATTGTGCGGATTACAGAGAACAAGACCAGCTACTTTCGTCCCCTCTGCCTTGGCCTTTAAGAGTGCTTCTTCGTATTTGGCGACAGCGTCGTTACTGAAAGGATCGACGCCATGGAAAGGCACCGAGACGACTTTGGCGCCCGTTCGAGCCGTTAGGTCCTCGATGAAGGTCCCGTAATATGGCTGTCCCAGCAGATATCCCTCTCCTGGATTGGCAAATGCCCACGCAAGATGTTCAACCGCGGCACTGCACCCGTTTGTGATGGATATATGTGCAGGGATAATTGGAATGACAAGTTTGAAGTGTTTATTGAGGAAGCGAGACAGAGATTCGCGGAGACGTTTCGACCCTGCGGAGCCATCTCCATAAGTAAATGCTTCGTTCACCAGAGCCAGATTCTGATGGATGTGTTGGGAGAGAATGTCGTGCATAAGTCTGTTTTCTGCAACGCCCAAGCTGACAATTCCAGAGGGGTTGGTATCTGGATCCCAGAGATCCTTGAGAACTTTCCATATCAAAAGGCTTTCACTGGCCTTTTCTGATGCATGGGCTCGTACTGATAGAGACATGGTGGCTGGCTTTGGCGAGAATGAACTGAGGGGATAGAGTTGAGATGCGAATGCATTGACCGGAGGCTGAGCACCTAGATTGTAAGCAAATTCTCCTCTTAAATATCTAATGAGCATAAATGTGATGCTATCAACAAACAAGATGCTGCCTAGACCTGACGTAAACGATCAGCGGCCTTGATCATGATCCATGGTCGTGATTTTGTTAAGGGCGTAGCGCCCTCTGACAGATGGAGAAACCGTTTTGCTAACAGCGCCCAAGTGCTGCCAATCGAGCTGTTTAACGCCCAAGGCCCAAGCTCTAAACGATAGTGGCGCTACATTTCTACCGCAGGGACTATGCAGATAGATGCATACTGCTGCTTCGAAAACCTGGACCCTATGCGGGGCTGATGGTAAGAGAGACATTATTAGGGCGTAGATATAGTCATAACATCATCATTTGAGCAAGCTTTGATGGCTGTGCTTGTTGGAATTAATTGAATCGAGTTTTAAGAAATGAGTCATTGGGTATTCGCATGAGCAATTACCATCTAAATACTTCGCCGTTATTGCACCTCTTCTGGTATAAGCCCGTTCCGAATCTTTGACTGCCACTTCTGTGCCGATGACGATCGACCCCGCCATGTTTCGGAGTTAGTGCACCAGCTCTTCAAATCAAAACCCGAGTTTTAAGCTCTTGAGTCGTGGTCCTTTCCATGAGATTCGATTAGACCAAGAACAGCAATTGCCCCTCCGGCTTGTGCCTCAGACTTTAGTACCAGAAGTGCTATAAACGCCGGAGCAGAGCGGATTAAAGATTGCCTTATTGGGCAATCGAGAGAACCTCTGCTTCGGCGCCGTGAAGCTGGCTTGGCTTGTCTCCGAATTGCCTGCAAAATCCGCTGTTGGGAAAGGATTTGCCATATGTACATGGAAAATAATGATGACCATTTGTAAACAATCATGAATCTATATATACTGCTGTAGAAGTCAACTCTTTGGCATTTCTTCTAATATCATCACTCAACATACAAAGAGGAAACGAAATTGCCAGCTCAACAAGACATTATTGCAAAGCACCAATACCAAACTTTAAACATTCTTCAACTCTTTTACAACCCAAGCCCCTTCAAAGAAACTTAATTCTCGCAACAATGACCAAAGTTCTTATTCTCGGAGCCACTGGCTATGTCGGCAAGAGGCTCGCCGAAACGCTGGTGCGCAGCGGACAGCACAGAGTATATGGCATTGCTCGTTCCGAGGCCAAGGCCAAGACTCTGGCTCTCGCCGAAGTTATACCCATCATCTGCCCTGATCCGGTAAATGAACCGAAGGCTTATATGGATGCTGTTCGCAATCACCATATCGAAGTCATTGTCGACGTTGCCGGCGCCTATCAAGAAACAGCCAAGTTTCTCAGTCACGCCAAGGAGATCAGCCAAGAACGCTTGGATAGCTACGCCGCTGCGGGTGTCAAAGGCCCTAAACTCGGTTTCATTTACTGTTCAGGCACTTGGGTCCATGGATCCAGCAATACGCCACTGACCGATCTCGATATTGTCGGTCCCACTGCAGTTACCCCTCCAAGAGCTCTCGTTTCATGGAGAGTTGGCCTCGAAAACACCATCTTGTCTGCTTCTGACGTCCTCGATGTTGCCATATTGAGACCAGCATTGATCTATGGCCATGAAAACACCATCTGGACTCCATTTATCCTCCCACTTCTTGAAGCAGCACGGAGTGGTGGCCCAGAATCCGTTAATATTCCTCTAGAGGCCGATTCTAGACCAGCGCTCGTTCATGTAGACGATGTGGCGACTGGCTTCCAGAAGGCTATTGAGAATCTATCACTCATTAGCAACGGTTCTACTTATCCAGTGTTTGATCTACTCACTAGTCAAGAGAGCATGTCGGAGATTTTCGCGGCCATGGCTTCTAGCTGGGGATATAAAGGAAAATGGACGCTGGTTGGAAGCGGAGACGATTTGTTTGCAGAAGCCATGAGCACGACTCTGCGTGGATCATCATCTCGAGCGAAGCAATTGTTGGGCTGGGAGCCTACAAGGACAAACGGTTTTGTTGCAGACATGGATCTTTACGCAGCTGCATTTGCCTCTCAACACTGATGGAATTGTATTTAGATTAGTAAGACCAGATATGGATACTTTATATCTGTTATAGAGCATTGTATGACTGCTAGTTTTATGCTAATCTTTTGCTTAATTTTAGTCTAAGGATGTTAACTAGCTTTAACGTTAGAACTATAGAAATTTTTACAATTCATGAAACAAAACTTGTTGTATCTGAAGGCCTTGAAGCGTATTAACGGAAGATGTAAAGTGTGTTCTTTCTTTAAAGTACTCCGAGCTGTCTAGAGTACATGCAACGTTGTTGACAAAGAGATGGATTTAATATTCTGCATTCGGCATGAGCCATTGATAAACCACCATGAATATCATTATCAACTTCAAAGGATTAAATGTTCGGAAATGTTAAACCCGATAGACACAATAGCGCCGTTAGTGGAAATCCTGTGAATTAGGTGGCATCGAATAATTTCGAGTCTAGCATGTGCTAATGGCACTGATGCATCAGCACAGCTTCTAGACTGCTGTCTTAACTTTGTACACCTCGCTTAGCATGCTGAATAATTTCCAATTGCTATGCATCATTGATTGAGCTTTTTTCTCCTTCGCCTTTGATGTCTGGTGCGGGTTAGCTAAGCCTCCAACATTCACCTGCCGATGTCTGGATCTCAATGTCAGTAAAAGCGCATGAAGCTTATTCGCCAGAATATCCCGTCCCCATGTCAGGCTAATTCCAAGGCCTCCACATCGCTACTAAACGTGCAGACAAAAGATCCACAAGGCGGATTTAGCTCTTATATGGTTCCAGCCTCAAAGCATAGCCGACGTCTTCATGAATGGCTGCTTCTTCCATACATGTAATTGTATGAAATAGCCCACACTCGCTCCCTTACTGACACAATGCTTCTTTCCGGAACTAGAGTAACCTGACAGGTTCATCGTTTGACTGACTCAGACCATGGCAACCGGACCTGGAGATGATGTGGCTGAGAAGCCTCGAGAGAAGTTGAAGAGATCAAGAAATGGTAAGAGCAGCAGTTAAGCCGAGATATAGCACTTACAGGCTCACAAATGTTTCTGCATAGGCTGTATCAACTGCAGAACAAGACGCGTTAAATGCGATGAGAAGCAGCCAGCTTGTGGGAGGTGCTCCTCTCTAGACCTGCCTTGCCACAAGCCTGAGCCTCCAATTCCGCTCAAAATCCGCAGACGTGGGCATGGTCCTGTTAAATCCAGAAACATCCTACGTTGGGAGCCTCCGAGGCTGTTGCCGAATTCATGTACCCAACAAACTACCCCAGACTGCCAACCCGCATCATCCGCCAAGATTACCAATAGCGTATCTATCCGACAAATCGACTCCCCAGCGGATCCCGACATCATTAGCTCCCCTGCAGATATTGCAAATGGCGTTCGCTCATTGGAGATCATTGAGCCTATATCCTGGAGTAGTGATATGGATGGTCTCATTGCATCACCTGGGGAAGAAGTAGCCAACCAGCTGACGACAGCCTCGGTCACGGCGGCCGGGCCAACCAGCCCCCTTCGCCAAGCATTTGATAATAGTTTCAGTCGTATGCTGGATGGCCTTGTCGAGAACCCCCCTTCTCACGAAGAGGGAAATACCTTCTTGACGAAGTCATCATTTCCCACGCAGTCGTTGATTGCAGAGCCCACAGATGCGTACTTCAAGCCTACATGGTTGAATAATCCTGGAATTTCTAGTAGCGGTTCTTTGGATCCTTTGACCCAGCCCTTTTACACGTACACAGAGCCGTTATTTCCGATCAAGTATATGAAAGAGCATTTCAAATTCCAGCAGGCCACAACCTTACTGTCGCCCAAAATGTCCTACGAGCTGGCCGACGCACTCAATCTTAGCCAAATCGAGAGGAAAGCTCTAGATTATTATAGAGGCCACTTTTCATACTTTCGAAGTGTCAAGGGGTTCTTATGGTCAGAGTATTCCATCTATCTTACCGCGGCGACTAACAGCAACATGATACTCCATCTCATCCTGGCAATCTCTCTTCGAGGCCTGGCTAGAGATACACAAGATGCCAATGCCTCGCGACTGAGCTCAGCCCACTTACACAAAGGACTTGTGCTCTTGCATAAGCAGCTGGAAGGACAGAACAGTGAAATCATGGAAGTCATGATATCCTTTTGGTTCTTGGCCTTGTTCACAATGGAGAGTGACTCTGCAATCGGCCGCATCCAACGGCAAGAGCTAAGCAAGAAGGTGTATCAATACTCACGCGCATACCTACTGGATGAGGTCTGCGGTCCACCTAATGCCATCATGGCTACACAGTCTTCTAAAGAAAACAGTGCGGCAAGAATAAGCATGGTGATGAAAATACTTTGTATGATTGCCAACTTGGATGTGCAGCTTAACATCTTTGGCTACGGCGGAGAGCTTTCCGACTTTTGCTATGAGAAGGATCGTATGCGTCACATACAGCAGATGGCTCACAACTATCTAGAGTTGAACCATGGAAGGGAGTATCCATATTGTGAGCTCGCCTACGATATTGAGAGTTCAGAATGCGCCAGCGTGTACCAAGATCAACACAGGCTCTATCATTGGATAAACCAACTGTTTTGGTACGGAGTTGGTGACTATCAAAGCATCGAGAAAGATATAGAAGCACAAGAAGAGGTGAGTAGCAATGTACCTGATCAAGAGGGATGATGCTGGTTTCTAATATGAGTGGTCGATTATAGAAATACCGATCCTTCTTTCGAATCGCTCATCGCGATGGTATGGGGGACGACGACTATTCCCGGCTACGCTTTCAGATCGATGCCGCCGTATGCGAATTCTACGCCATTCGCCTATATCATTTCCGCTGTCAGAGTGAGACACTGCCCGATGAAAAGGTCCAGAACTGGGTCACATCGTATTTACAGATTGCCTATCGACTGCAGCAGTCAAAAGTCCGCTATCACTGGATTGACAAGTCTCTATTTCTGGTAGGGTCTGAAACGCGGGATCCGATACACAGAGACTGGATCCAGCGTCGAATGCTCCGAGAAGACTTGAAGAGGGCATTGAAGTGTGTATGGCAGAAGGAGAAGATGCTTAAACGACGACTCGGCCGTGAAGAGTTTCAGACAATATTGCGTGATGAGGCTGATGTATATGATCCTGCCCCCACTACAATATAGTTTCGGCAGCGTAGTGTATTCTCAGTTACTTTGTTCTCAATCTTGAAACTTTCGTTGTGAAATGTTTCAATGCCGGGTTAGTTATTTCCTTGTGGTTCTAAGGTGACACTAAAGATCCTTACATATCCAGGGAATCTTGTATATAGGCTCATAACAGTAGTAAGTTTATGGTTTATGCAGCTGACTCATTTACCTCTAGAGACAAAATAGTAACTTGCCCAACGTTTCTTAATAACTCGTGGCTCTGAGGCACGATATTCCATGCAAAATTGTTTCGCTTTCAGTGGCAGCCCATTTGACAAGCTTATTTGTTTCCTCGTATGTGCTCTTGATGGCAGTGATGAAATGCTTTGCTGCTCCTCTATCTCCGCTAGAGCAGTATACAACGGCTTTTTGTTCCGCAATCTCTTGGCCCAAACTAGAGAGATCTCGCGAGATGTCCTCAAGTGCCGAGGAGACATCGGTGCCATTTGAGTAAATCAAGCCCGTTTTTGCAGTTGTAGCAAAGCTCAATGAGCCTGGAATATTGATTTGCTTAAATCAAAAGAATCTGGCTTTTCATTAATGCTCTCGGCAAGGTCCTTTTTATATCTAAATATATTCAAGATACCCTCACAAAACACAGGTTCTTTTGTGGCAGAGACTTTGCGGGCATTACACGATGAAATCTGTGTCTGGGTGTTACTATCATATCGTAAATATTTGCTCTCCCGGCTTCTCGGCTTTCTTTCTTCATTATGAGACTGTAATTACAGAGCTCACGCCACGGTAATCTATTCGAATAATCCCTCTCTTGGTTGCTTGCTAAACTTACGTTGGCGCCTTAATCGAGGGCTTCTTCTGTTCGAAGTCGACAGTTCTGACGGCAACGGCGACTTTCGCGGAGAGCTATCCCAATTTTCCCAGTCTTCAACACTAAAGTCTACACCTTTATCGCCGGGAACAGAGGTCCTCCCTTCCATTTTGATTAAAGTATTTGGATCGAGTTCCTGAATAAGAGGTCGCTCAATACTGGGTTCGTACACCGGCGTCGCGTCATTGTCGATCTGACTGGACGCATTGCCTCTTTCCAAGAGGTCGTCAATCGTTTGTACTTGATCTAATTGCCAGGTCCTCTCGTCACCGCTTTTTCGAAGAGCCGGATTCCCTTAAAAAAGATTGATCTTTAGGATCTACTTTGTCTGAGGGTATGGGGTCTCTGTCTGGAGGTATAGGGTCTTTATCTATGTCCCTTGTTGGTTTCTTCTTAGCACCACCAAACCGTTCAGCCATAAGACTAACGTTTCCGCTGATCCCTGTAAACCAAGGCTTCTTAGACTTCTCACTTCCTTGGCTGGATGTTGAGCTTGATCGGATATCCCTCTCTATTGATGATCTGGGGCTAGAAGCAGAGGGATCTTGCTTTACGCCATGCTCTTCTAAAGAAGGCTCTGAACCATTATATATGTTGCCTGGGATTGGTTGTTGCTCCGTTCGGCTGTTTCTTCGCTGAGGCGTAGAAATAGCTGGGTTAACGAAAGGCACATCTTCGATTATCTGGCCTTCTGGAAGCTCTTCTTCTGATTGCGTAGCAGATCCGTGCTTCTCCCATTTATTTGTAAACAGATCCCATGGATTCTCCAATTCATCCTCCAGAGGGGAAGCAGGAGCAGCTGTTGAGGGTACATCTCGAACTTCTGACTCGGGCTCGTCCTCTTCTCCACTTTCATCAACTTCACTATCAGCCTCTTCACACTCTTGCTGATTGTCATTATCTTCGAATTCCCGCATGCTTCGGAGAGGCCACAGTCCCAATTGGTCTTGATGGCGACCAATATGATTTTTGACCAGCTCAGGATATCGTATTTCGGCACTGCAGAGTGGACATTGCGTTTTCTCATATTCAGGCAGCTGTCGACTGTAAGCACCATGCGTTTCAGCATCGGCGGCTTCCGTAACGCTTTTGTGAATACCTTTTACGTGGCTGTCAAATTCTTGCCAGGAATCAAACGTCAGTGAGCAACCGGATATACAAAACCATTTTCTCCGATGGAAAGCAATTTCATGGCTATACCAGTCATGACGACTAGGAAACAGCAGATCGGTGACTTTGCAATCGGCGAAGGTACACACGTAGGGGCGCATGTCAGTAATCACATGTCGCCTACAACCAGCTGTCAATTCATCTTATTGTATATATGGTTCCTTCAATCTCCTGACTTACTTCCATTGTTCTCGATTCTTGGCCTCTATCATCAAGAAGCAGCAGGGGCATTCGAACGGCTTACCACTCTGACCTTCAAGCGGCATTGAGGGCACTCGAGCCATCATATCAGAGCGGAGAGATGACGAATTCGAGACGACGGTTCCAACCTCATCACCATCGCTATACGATAGTCCGATTGGCGAGCTATCGTCCAAAGGTATGTCTGGGAAGAATGGCGTTGCTACAGTGTCTGCGAAGTTGCTCTTTCCCTCCGCGTCGATTCCCTCGCCTACATCCTGGCTAATTTGGGATGATGACTTGTGTCCTAGTTTCTTTCTGTGTTCTTCAGCATATTGAAGAAACCGTCTACGACTGAGGACAGCTTCAAGTAGCCTGTCTTTGAGTATCAGATTTGCGGTAGGAAATAATTCTGTGATGTGATTCTGATCCGTTCGGCGAAAATGCTCAACGTCGATAAGTGGAGCCTTTCTATATCTATCCACCGATGCTGGTGCTCGAATGGCAATAGTAATGCGTTTCAGACAATCAACCACCTTATGCATTAGGGTGATAGGCTTTGAACTCGCTGCTTCATATACCAGAACGTCGAGCGTTCTGTCCTCTGTCGGCGAGCCATCCAGTTTATGGCTCGTAATTCTGGATATGTCTTTTCAGATCAATATCTTTGTCAGTTCTTACTTCTACAGCCTTAAGAAAGATGGATGAAGTGTCACATGTAAATGCTGGATTTCGAATGAAGGGTATGAGTTTAAGGATTTTGAGGTAAATTTGGCTTACATGATGATTCAACAGGTGAGTTCGGCGTGAAGTCATCAAACATGCTGATCAAAATATTAAGAAATCGCAAAATAGCGAGTCGAACATCTGGAGCATCGCGCAAACGCTCGTCAAGAGATGCTGGTCCCGCTCGATGTGCCGCAATGTTGGAATACCATTTTGCAAAGTGTTGGCTCACATCCTTTAGCTCACTTGACTCAGCCAATGCCGAATCGAATAACTTGGAACAACGCAAGACTTCTTCACGTATTGAGACGTCTTCACGTATCATGAGGCTCATCGTGCTACCTTCGTCAGCTCAGTCCAGTGATATGGAGAGGTTAATTGAAGCAAAAAAGAAGAGATAATGGAAATTTCTACCAAATGCGAGCTTAAGCATGAAGTACTCCGCATCTCCAACTTGAATCCTACTACTGAAGGTCATTAGTTGCAATTAAAAGGACAGGATCAGCCCAATATTCCTTTAGGCGCAAGAACCCCTCAGTGCTACATAAGGCTGGCGCATAACCCGCGAAGTCATGCCATCAAGGGCTCCCGGCGCTTACATGTACACTCGCCTCCCAGCAGTAATGGCTCATTCATTAACACAGATTACAGGAACAGTCTTTGGGGGTCTCATTTTCCGATTTCGGGAAGCTGTGGATTTTTATCAGCTTCGCATGCGTCGATTTGTACTTCTCCACTGCTTGTTGGATATTGAGGCTGAGGAGATCATTTTCAAAAATGCCGTCTTGCGAGTCCTGGAAATTGACCACAAGTTTGACAAAATCGACTGGTTATTGGCAGAGAGACTTTTGAAATCGAAGCTAGGAGCGCAATACATGATATACAATGACTGCATTGAAAAAGTGCTCGCTAGTGTGAATGCACTAGCATTCCTAACTGATCCGGACAAGAGCGAGGTATGTAACAAGCTTCTGCATAGGTTAAATCTACTACATATTTATCTACTTGGTTTAGCCCATAATGTCTAATATCACCTGCTTTTTTGAAGCCGGCCATTGTCTTCAATATCGGTTATCTTCTTGATGGGGCACTAATATGTATTCTCTACTAACATACTTGAGGCAGATTAGTGAAGGCAGCAGAATTGCTTACCAACCATATATCAAGCCTTTGATATGGGATGAGGCAAAATATGATAGATTTCTGCTTGCGGTCTTGGATATAGATGCTTCAGTTGAAAAGCAGCTCCAAGCCTTACACGAGGCTAACCAGAAGCTCATGTCTGTCAATGTGCAGAAGATTAGTCTCGCGAAGGGAGAATTTGCTAGGTTCGAAAAATTGAGGTCAGACTCATCAGCTGCAGTATCAAGCCTAGCGTCCGAATCATTATTCGATTGCTCCTGTCATCCAAAGCATGCAACCTTCCTCAAGATACCCGACTGGTACAATAATCAGGACCAAAAAGGAGAAGAACGGATCTCAGTACTATTCCAGAACAGAATTGAGAGCTCTGCCTGGAAGAACATGGAGATGAGCTTTGACGTAACAATAGCAGAAGCTGAGCAAAAGGAGCAACCCCGTCGAAGGGTTCGATTTGCAGGTGTAAAACAAGAGGTGGATGAAGATACAGCTGACTCGATCATCATCAACTTGCCTACAACAGATCTTTCGCACAGTCGAAACCTATGTTCCTTCTTCGCATCATACCAGGAGTCGAAATCGAAAAACAGTGGACTCAATGTCATACTGACTACTACTTCGGGATCGCGCGTCAAGATGACTTCAATGATCACAAGCAACGAAACACCCGTTCTCCTGCCGCTAGAAGAACTTTTCAAGGGATGTGAAAGGAGATCGCTTACTACGCTAGAAAAGCTCAAACTATCGATACAGGCTGCTTCGGCAATTTTATGTTGCTCTACATCTTGGCTCACGGGTTATTGGAGTACTGCAAATAAGAACTCCTGGTATGATATTGATGCCATTAAAATCAATCTCTGGGCCTCCAGGGATGCCAACGCTGGTCTAGCGGCCGACACACCAGAATACTCAATAGGCGCGTTCACGGACCCAGCAATTCTAGCTCTCTCCAAATTCTTAGTGGAGCTATGGTTTGGTGCGCCCTGGGCTCATGTGAAAAAGGCTTATGGATTGCGTCACCAGCGTGGCCTAACAACTGAAGCTGAAGATCGCAAGATGCTTGAAGTGATATTGAACTGGGCTTCAGACATGTCTATTAACCCCCATGACCGCCCCTTTTACGAGGAGGGTCGCCTTTATATGCATGCAGTGAGGAACTGTTTGGAGTGTGATTTCGGGCAGATGAAAAGTTCCATGTCTGACAAAACATTTCGAGAGGGAGTATACAGCAAAATACTACGCCCATTGAGATGGGCATTGGACGAATACTTAGCCGCCCAAATCCGGTTGTTCGGGGAAGTGCGCGATGTTCAGCCTGAAAAGGAGCACGCAAATAAGCGTTTGACAAACAATAGCGCCCTTTTTGACGATGCTCGTAACATTGATGGTACTAAGTATGACCTCTTGAATTCTTATTTTTATTATGCCCAATACTCATTTATTGGCGGCTGTTCAGTAGCATTTTCGTGTGGCTGACCGTACGAATTTGCCTACAAGGCGCTAATCTCGTTAAAAGCTGGGTGCATACCCCATTTTCTAGACACCATACTAACATGATACTCTTTCATTATTAAGAAATGCCATCACAGATGAGTGGTTCGAAGATTACTACGCGGAAGTCAAGGAGGTCTCCAGGAGGATGCGGTCGAGCCGGCCGAGCCTGCCAGATCAGCGCATTCGGGTTGCCGTCCTCGACACGGGTATTGATACCACTGACTCGCTGCTGCATCCTTTCATGCTCAGGCGGCAGATCATTTACCAGGACTTTACATGTACCCAACCGAGCTCCTCACTTAAGGTCCATGAAGACAAAGTTGGCCACGGAACACACATATGCGGCACTCTTCTACGGATTGCGGAGAATATCGATCTTTATGTGGCGAGGGTGTCTGTCGACGGCAAAGACTGGAATGAGTCGCAAGTTGCTAAGGTTTGTGCATTCGTGCTGGTAACTTGAGAACCATGACTCATGTTAATTTATACCAGGCAATTAATTGGGCTGTGGAAGAGAAAAAAGTTCACATCATTTCCATCTCCTTTGGTTTCCCTCGTACCACGGGACGGCTTGAGCCCATACGACGCGCTATTCTCAAGGCCAATGCAGCAGACGTCTTGATCTTTGCTGCGGCCAGTAACGGTGGGAAAAACAAATCGATAGCGTTCCCCGCTTGCATGGACGAAGTGCTATGTGTGGGTTCAACGGACGGGAATGGAAATAAATCAAGCTTTACTCCTAAACCTAAGTATGGCAAATTCTCTGTGCGGTTGGAGAGTGTATCGAATCTTCCTGGCCCACAGAGCTGCTTGGTGATGATTTCCCGAGGAAATCAGGCACATCTTTTGCAACACCGATAGCGGCTGGTGTTGCCGCGATGGTACTCGATTACATGTGGACATTCAAAGATACCGAGGATTTAAGGTTTTTGGTCCCTAAACTGCTCACAAAGCGTGGCATGCTCGCCTTGTTCAAAGCGCACATGGTTGAATCAGGGGACGATTACGACTATCTTGTACCTTGGAATTTGTTCAATCACGTACGCAGTGGTGACCAGAAGGACGATGATGATGGAGAACTAAAGGAAAAGGCGCCAGGAATGGGCGTTGTCAATATAATTATCGACGTGCTTCGAATGTTATAAGGCTATACTTAATATAAACTATGAGCTTGTTCTGATTGAATTGCCTCTCTTTCTCAGTTATATGATATATACACTATATCGATGTGTCTGTGTTGAGCAGAATGACAGTACAAGGCAAGCCATCCTCCTCATCCATAGAAGCAAAGGTGAGGAATGCATCGCCGAATTTAGCCTGAATCGCCTCGGATGTCACTTGCTCAGTTGATGTATTTCCCAATTCAATGGCTGGCAAGCCACTATCCGAAACCAATCCAAACAGTGCACCATTGTTGTACTCCTTAGTAGCAACGCTCCCATTAGCATCGCATCGGACTTCCATGAGCTGAAATGCAAACACAATTGGTGTTGAGTTACTAAAAGTTTGAAGCTCGGAGTTCTGCGAATTGTGGTTTGTCTGTGGACCAACAGAAACAGGTCCTACATCCACTCCCAGAGATGCCATGAAGCCCCTTCCCTTGTTTTTAACTGTCGTCACACTGGCTCCCTCGACAATCTTTAACCCAGTAATCATGTAGAGTGGACTCTCATATCCCGTTCGCCTATAGTAGCTGGCTGCTTTCTTGCTACGCACTGCCTTCTCCACTAGCTTATCGCTTGGGAGGAACCACTCTGTGTGCATCTGCTGAAAGGCATATTTCAACAAAGCTTTCCGGTCATATTGAACACTGGCTTCTGCGCCGAGGCCGAACAAGTCGAGGAATCGGAAAAACAGCCCGCTTTTATGACCTTTTTCTGATTTGACAACGGCAGAGAAATTATCTTTCGTGGTCGGAAACGTCGGCGTGTCTATGTCCTCATTGCTGGGCTTATACAAAGTAATATGAGGTTGAGCCGGGCTTGATGTAAGGCTTCCTAGGCAGATGGACCCTGTGGGAAAATCCCATGACGATACTAAGAAGTAAGTTTTATTATGGTTAGCCATGATTTGTTTTTGAAAGCTGCAAAATTAAGCACAGAAAATGCCTCAGTAGCATGGTTATAACGAATCCCTTGTATACCGATATCTGTCTATAAATGATGTGGAAGCATGAAGCTGCATGTACACTCCAAGTCAGTGTCCAATTACAGAGCGTAATTAGCAGCGTTAGCGTACAAGGTCATGGCGGGCTGGCACATTGGTGAAAAGGTACTTCTTCCGCTAGCCCGCAGCGAAATCTCGGCGCTCAGCTCTTATCGGAAACTTTCTTATCGGCGCAGTCTGAAAATATTCTGGGCCTAGACATTTTTCTGTAGATTGTCCCATTGTCAAATCTTCACTCCCTCTACACCGAATACCACCAATCCGAATAAAAAATGCGCCCCCTCACCGAAGAAGAGACGCAAGCCGTCTTCAAAAAGCTGGCCGAGTACACAGGCGCCTCGCTCAAGAACATCATTGCGCCCCAAGAGGATGGCGATCGCAACGTTTTCCGCCTGTCGCAGAACCGAGTCTATGTCGTTCGCCTCTCCATGGCCAATCTGGCGACATCAATTGCCCGCGACAATCTGCTTTCTCTAGGGACTTGCCTTGGTATGTCATATATACGCTGATCTCCGTGCGATGTCTTGTCTTGCGAGTAGAGAGAAGAGGGGAATAGAACAGATACTAACCTACAATGCGCCACAAACAGGCAAATTCACAAAGTCTGGCAAATTCCGAATCCACATCACGGCCCTTCCTATCCTTGCCGAGCACGCGCGACACAAGCTCTGGATCCGCCCCAACGGCGTCATGCCCTTCCTCTACGGCGGAAACATTGTCAAGGCGCACGTCGGCCGCTTCTCCGAGGACTGCCCCGAGCACCAGGGCCTGGTTGTCTACACCATGGACGACGTTCCTCTGGGCTTTGGCGTCAGCGCTCGCAGCACTGCAGAGAGCAGGAGACTCGATCCCACCGGCGTTGTTTGCTTCCGACAGGCCGACTGCGGCGAGTACCTGCGTGACGAAGATACCCTGTTTCAGTCTGGCTAGAGGGATGTAATATCAGTGACCGTTTTGAAGCGTCGAATGCAATACCTACATCATGGAGTTTATGGGCGTTGGTGGCTGTGATATTTTACCACTCGGCATGGCGTTTAAAAAGACGAGGGAATGTTTGAGGGGGATCTTTCGAGACAACAAAGGCGACGAGTTGTAGCAGCAAATTTGGATATGATTATCCGATGCCTGCTTTGGGATATGAAGCAGTTCAATATCTCGAGGAATCGTTGAGCTGGCCTGCATTCACGAGGTAATTCTAAGAAGCAATAGATCGCAGAGTTAATACATAAGCGACGTGCCGGAATGCAAGGCTATCAGGCTGGCAGCGCTCCGCTCGTTAATGCTGGCATTATTTTCATGTTAATAGCTTACCTCTAGCATATTAATGGAACAAGTCGAATTTAGAGTCACTTAAATCTGTTCGACTTGGATGATGGTCCAAACTGCCTTGCCGAATTTTTTGTCTAATACAACATTCTCCAGATTTGGAACACACCTTCATATAACTGCCTGCGACGTCAAGATATCTGTGAAATATTGCAACTAGACCATCACTGTTCCACTGACTCTTCCCGCTAAAAACAGCTTTTCATGCCAGTTACCTCTTCTCACTACTTTTGAAACGCAGCCTTCATCGCCACCTCATCCTGGTTGATGTTTCCAATCGTTCCCGAAAACCCTTTCTTATGGACATCATCCAGCACCTTATCCTTGTGTTCAATTCCTGCTCCAACCCCCGTATGAGGTGTCTGTCCTATCGCAATTTTCAGAATGTCAATCGCCTCTGCCACAGCTGTCTTGTCGCTAAGAGGAGCTCTCCATGCTACATGATCGTCAGGCCTCACAAGAACTGCGGCGCGTTCCCAGATCTCGTGCACGTGCTTTTCTTGCGGCAAGTGAACCTTTTGCAAAGGCACTTTGAGCTGTAGAGCGGCATCAGCAAAAGCGTCTGCCCATTTGCCCTCCTCAGAAAAGTCGACGATAGTGTAGTCTTGACCAAACAAGTCAAAGATGCTCGTCGTTCCATCTGAGAGGAACACATGCGGAGGTCGAGCTCCAGGCCAAGTCGACGGAACATAATGATCGAGATCCCATCTGGGCTCAGCAACCTCGGTATCAGGAACAACAATAGGGGATGCGTTGTATCTATAGCCCAGCTCGATACCATGAGCTTGGTTCTCGCTATTGTTTATCGTCACCCAATTCGCCATCTTGGCTTTGAGCGTTTTTCCTTCTTCGCTCTGAGATAAAAGGACTTCCACGCCGGCTTCGGCGCTCCAGTCCCAGATTTGCCGCCACACTTCCCAGAAGGCGCCCGACTGGTCGATATTCTTTGTCGCAACAGGCAGACGCTCCAGCTCGTAAGACTCCAGGAGGCCTTTTCCGCCGTATCCCTTCAAAGTAGCGGCAAGTTTCCAGCCGAGGTCAAAGCTATCGCCGATTCCAGTGTTCATCCCGTAACCTCCAGTAGGAATGTTCTGATGAGCCGAATCGCCTGCGAGGAAGATTCGCCGACTGGGAGAAGCATATTTTTCTGCTATGCAAATGTTTGGCCTCCACGCGCTTCTGACAAGAATCTTGTCCACCTTGATGGGATATGGCGTTGTTGGAGTGCCCAGGCCTTTGTATATGGCTTCTATCGGGTCAATCTTTTCCCAGTCAGCACCGATGGCGACTGGGACATGCAGCGTCCACGTGTCGATCTCATCTTGCGCAATAAGGATGCTTCCGTTTGAAAACGCTATATGCCAAAACTGGCCCAGTTTGTGCAGCTTGGTGAGATCTCGTGATTTGAAGTGGATCAGCATCATGGCCGAGGGGCTGTAGTCGTGGAGAAGATCATCAGTTGGAGAACCAAAAGCAGTAGAATGCCCATTAACTTACACAGGTCCGCCAATAAGGTCAATTCCCGCTGATCGACGAACACGGCTTCCAGCTCCATCACAGCCCACGAGATATTTGCTCTGAACAATGTGCTGGTCGCCGGTGGTCACGTCGGTGAGAACCGACTCTACTCCATCCTCTGTCTCCGTGAACGACTCAAATTTGAGACCAAAATGCTCGTCGATGAATTTCTCATCTTGAATCCGCGGCTTGAGCCAGGCTTCCAGGACAGCCTGAGAGCATCGCTGATATGGCTCCCGTGGCATTGAGCCATCGTTCTGCTCGCTTGTACGCTGTCTCCAAGCATCGACGGAATCCAGGTTCTAATATTTCACAGTTGGTTTGCCGTTCAGTCATGAGAAGCAGGTATAGACTCGACTTACCCATCTTGCTACTTCTTCGCCATCTTCCGATAGTCCTGTAGTATAGATCACATCAAAAGAATATTGCGGTGGTACGGCTAAAGTGGACATTAATAATTATGAAGATGAATCTTTGGCAGTTGGAAAGACTGACCTATTTCCCGGAAACCCTCAGCTATTCCCAAGCGCTTGAACAATTCCATGCTGCGAACGTTGGTGCAGTCCATTTTCGGCCATTTTGTCGTATCCAGGTTGCGTTCAGCCAGCATACAGTTGATGCCAAAGCGAGCCAGCTGGAGGGAGAGAATCAGCCCGACAGGGCCTCCACCAACCACCAGAACTGGCGTTTCGTGATGGATAGCCTAGTCATGTAAGAATCCGGTATTAAGTCTCATTTTGAGAAAGACACAAGCAGGACTTACACTCTTGCTCGGCATGTTGAATCGAGGCGTCGGAAACAACAAAGATAAAGAAGATACAAGATAGTTTTTAGACTTTGAGAACTTGCAAGCTTTTGCTGTTGTCTGCAATTAGAGAATTACAGAGGATAAAACAACAAATATATATATTACTATATATCCAACTATATGCGTATATGTAGGTATAGTTATGTATTTACATGTATTCTCTACTACAACATCATAGCATTAAAGGCAACCATAGTACCTAGATATCGCAGATTTGCCCATGTCTATAGCTGATGCAGCTACGCCGTGGGCAAAGAGATCCTGCCAAGGCAAATTTCCAACCAATAGCAATTCTCTTTTCCATGAAGCCTGCATGGAGCTTCAACAATGCCCGCTTACGTAAACTGATATGTAGGGCCTATTGTGGTAGGATTGTGCCCCCTTTAATTAATTTTGATATACAAATCATCTCGTAAGAAGATTTCTCCCTAAATTGGTCGCGATGAGAATAAGGTTATTAAGTTTTCACAGATTTGACAAACCGAAATGTAACCGAATGCTCTCTTATTAATGCTGAGAAATAGGAAATTGGCGGAAATAGGTAACACTGATGCTCGGAGATAATTGTCTTCCGTTTCTCAGCTTTTGCAATCCATGCAAATTGCTCGATCAAGAAGCTACCGAGTACTACGTTGATATGGAGAAATGGATTGCGAGGTAATTTTTCTTGTGTACAGTTTTCTTTTGGAGTATAGTCAAATGCGATGGCGATTGCAATACCTAGCATGAATGCCAGCCAAGTAACAAGAGTTTGTCACATACATTATCAGACAGTTTCTCAACCACATAGCTTGGATAATTAGCTGGAGCACGGACTAATGAGCAACCTCTTTTATCGTCTATTGAGTTTTGAGCAACTTTGGAATTACAGAAGACGACACGTGCCACTTTCTTGAACACCGAGATGCCGCATTGGAGCTCGTAGCTCGTAGCTCGTGATAACAGGCACATGCCATGCCTACCAAGTCAGACTGTAAGCGCGCGGGAACCCCACCATCGCTGCATAAAATTGACGATACAACGCTGAGATGCGCGAGCTTGGCGAATTAGAAGCAACATCTGTATGTCTTTTATTTTGTAAAACTCCATCCTCTTCATCCTCTCCATCTACTTCATTTTTCCAGTATGTGAGCTTATGAGCCCAGGGACTCTATCGAGCTGGAGACGTCTGAGGAATATTCTGTCACTGCACTAGTAATACGGAGCATCTAGAAAGAAGGACGGCACAGTTCTTTGTTTGAAGATGTAAATGCCCTGGAGGGCCATTCAATCGCAAAGGACCTGCATTAGAGGACTGGCGGTCGAAGCAGCCAAGGAATGATTTTGTTCTTGAATAGCCGAAGCCTGTTGTTCAGGTATTTAGCGTTATGCGTAAAATGTTCTCCCCACAAGCTTATCGTCGCGATTGATATTTGGCCACATCATGATTGTGTTTATGCCTAAAGATAGTGCCATCTAAACAAGTGCCGTGCACCGATTTGCAATGCATATCGCCCAACTGTTTGCGGTAAAAGCACGAGGCAGGGAGAGCTAGGAAACGGTCCGAGCCGAGTCGGCCGAGAGGCTGCCGCAGCTGGTCATGGAACACCAATTGAGATCTCACGAGTCGGCGAGAAGAAAACAATCACAATTCACGTGCATGGATCGAGCCTGATCGAAGATACCCTTCGGCAGCTACTCTTCACGTTGGGTAGAATCAACATGTTGATATCGGCCAGAAAAATTCGGTTATCATATACATGTAGCTGAAAATAATAGTCCTGGGCTCTCTAGTGCGTCCCTACCCGATAATAGAACCAAATACGAGTGAGAGGAAAGCAAATCGCCCGCTTGATAATGATATCATCCTAAAGAAACTCTCCCTCCCAAAACACCATGTAAAATAAGACTTGCATGCCTTACTTACCCTATCATTTTGCTTTGCCCGGCACAAAGCGGATATCTCGGTGGTGTCGGAAAACAAGGCTGCTCCAAGACGCAGCCTTTATCGTGCCTCTTGCGACTATGGTGCTAAGCGTTTCCGTGAAGATGACAGCTCGCAAACGGAAAACATGCCTCCAGAAATCAGCTCCGGTGGTAAATGCCTTGGGAGATCGACAGTTTGTCTCCTAATGTAAGACTTTCGCATAATCCTATTTCGTGTTAAGTGACATGCGATTTGCTGACGAGACTAATCATTTCCCCTGAGAGCAGTAAGCTTGTTTTGACAGTGGCTGAGTTGTAGTGCTCTTTAGTTACCATGGCTCGCAGAAGCCCGTTGCAGGGTGTTTGCAATCTTGAGCATTTCTCTACATTCACACACGCAGCGGCACTTGTTTCGCAGCTGTGGTACGGAAGATATTTAGGCTAATAATGCAGAATAACTTCAAAAAGAAGCAGAGATCATTTCTTAATCTGGCGGGGCACGCTGCCGCTATAACAATACAGGCAACTGGAAACAATCTTGGTGGGAATCTGGCCCAGCATATCGTTTATTTTCCGCTGCATTGTTCTGCCAGTGTCGTCATATTGATGAGGCTGTGACATACAAAACAAATTATCAAATGGAATCCAAGTTTAACAGCAATACAATTCTCGAAGTTTGTAAACATGCAGTATCTCGTATAACAATGAGCTGCGGTAAAAGGCTAGGCCGGAGCGCACAGCGCGCTGTAAAGGGCGCCGCCGAGACAAGAAGCTTGCTACGTAATCAATCCGAAGTGCCGTAACGGGCAGAAAGCTGTCGATCTCTTTATCTCGATTGGTCCGGGAAGATGTTCGGGGGCTACTCACGGGGAGATGGCTCGCGTTCACATCGTAATAGCGCTTACGCCACCAGCTGTTGAAGCTTGGCGACGGGAAAAGAACCACAGATGCTCCATAGCCGACAAAACAAAGTGGCCGGAAATAGTATGTTCGCAAATATAATCACCATAGAAGGAACACATTGCGGCGATCTCTAGGAGCTGTTCCTGAACCTTGCAGCTCCGCATGAGCATTCTAATCGAGAGCTTTATGAGCCGGACTACATATAACGACGGATTCCTTCATCTGGGCAGCTTGACTACTGGAGAGACAGCCTCTTCACCTTTCAGTAGCATACCTCATTAACGATGCTTCGTCTTGAACTATTGTACCTTGGGCTGGGCGTTGCTGGAGTCACAGCAGCTCCAGCAGCCTCTGCCGCATCGCCCTTGAAAGTCATCGGCTATGCTCAAACTCCCAATGGCTTCAAGAGCCCAGCCCGAGGCTGGAATTCCTTTGCTCTGCAGGCAAACCCCAACGCAGCTCCAAGTTTCAAGTTTGACCAAGCACACGTTTTGACTCAGTGCAGCGTCTTGGCCTCTGCTCCGTTCAACGGCCAGTACGATACCTGCAGCCTCGACTCTGGCTGGTCGGTTGGCGGCAACGGAGACGACTTTGGTCGGCTCATATACGATGACTCTGTTTTCGACATTCCCTCGCTGGCCAGCTCTCTCCATTCTCAGGGGCTAAAGATGGGCGTGTATGTCGTTCCTGGAGCCTTTGTTAGCGATGCGAACAAGACCATTTTCGGCACCAACACCACTATTGGCGAGGTGTGCACCGGAAACGAGGGCTTGGCTCGCTGCGTATTCGATTATACGAGGCCGGAGACGCAGGCTTGGCACGACTCTGTGGTCGACCTTTTCGCTTCGTGGTAAGTTGTCGATGCCCCAAAAGAAAGATGATCTTTTATACTAATTCTTTCAACCAGGGGCGTTGACTTTGTGAAGCTCGACTTTGTCACGCCAGGATCTCCTGACAACGGCCAGAGCCTGCCGACTGACCAGAGCGGCACTGTCATTGCCTGGCACAATGCCATTAAGAATAACGGTAGACAAATCCGCTTAGACATCTCCTGGAAGCTGGATCGTACCCAGAAGTACTTTGACATCTGGAACAGCAACGCCGACTCCATGCGAACCGACCAGGATCTCAACAACTCCGGATCCTCTACTTTGGTCAGCTGGGGCACCGTCCAGCGCGCCATTGAAAACTACCGCCAGTGGATCATTGCTGGTCTGCAGTTCTTCGACGAGCTGAACGTCTACCCGGATCTGGACAACCTGCTCTCCGGAAACCCAGAGAACATCTCCGGCCTCAGCAATGGCCAGCGCACCACCGTCTTCACTCACTGGCTCGGAGCCGGTGCCAACCTCATCCTCGGCAACGACATGACCACGCTGGATGACTTTGGCAAAAGCCTCCTCACCAACACCCAAGCGCTCCAAGTTGCCGACTTCACCGCCCAATTCCCCATGCAGCCTCGTAATCCCGGCTCAGGAGGCCAGAATGCGGCGCAGCTCCAGGCCTGGATTGCAGGTCCATCTCCATCCGGCGAGGCTGTCGTTGTGCTGACGAACCTTGGCCCTGACAATGGCCAAGGCGGCTTCAACACACAAACCAGTGGTGTTCAAACGGTGACGGCTACTTGGGGCGACTTGGGCATCTCTGGATCGTTTAATGTTCAGGATATCTGGAATAACAAGAGCCTGGGAACTGTTAGCGACCAGGTTTCTGCTCAGCTGGACGAGGGAGCGAGTGTGTTGCTGCACTTGACTAAAGCTTGACGAGCTGAAGCGCTTCCATATGGGGGACATTAGCACATAGATTCGACTTTTAATAACGTACATGTATTTTCCACACTTGATCTCGAAATTTTAATCTCATAAATATTTCTATACGCTGCTCATGGAGGTTGTCCTATGCTGATAAGACGTGTCAATGTCTAACATTTTGTAAAGCGGATGGTGAATATCTGCATGTGTATACGAGCGATGTGCATTTGAGATTGAAGTCAATCTAAATAACATTCATCAGGCTTTTGCGAGTTTTTCGCAGCGTGGACTCGTATATATCGATACATGTAGCTAAACGGGGAAAGCGATGGTGAGATGGAAAAAGATGGCTTGTCAAAGCTTTATTCCATCACATGGCATGATGCTTGGCATGCCCCTACTTCGGCAGGAGACGATGAAAAAACATCAATGTTTATTAGATAAGCGGCTTTCGCACTTGATGAGTTTTCCTTCGCTTCAGGCATCATCTCATGCTTGCGGAGCGGAATGGATTTTGAGGACAAGCAAGGACTCGCGCTTGCTGATACATAACACCAAGCAGCTTATGGAATGATTATGTCCAGATAGAAATCATGTATACCTAGGTAGCAAAAAGACATTCCAAATGAGGCTAGCGTTCCGGACTGCTTGAAGGAGTTTGCGCAGAACCCACAGCTGAAACAGTTTACGGCAATAGATGGAGTCTGCACCGAGCAGCCGATATCTCCAGGACCGCGAAGAATGTATTGCGTATATACAATAGATGTGGCGGTGGAGAAGAGCCGAGGGCGGGGTTAGTGAAAAATACTACCGGCCGGACGCGAGATGCGATTCAGGTTTTCTGGAGATTGGAGAGGGGCGGATCTAATCGGTCTTGGGCCCATCGAGCAAGTCTCTGAATAGCTCGCCCTTGCAAAGGGGAAACGAGACATAAAACTCATCACCAGGTGGCATCCAAGGACTCGGGGTTAGCTCTTGTACCACTATATGGTAAACTCCGTGCGTGTAACAAGTCCGCATATAAACGCTGGCGGTCGAAGCATAAAAACTCGAAGAACGCCACTTGAGGCCTACAGCTTGCCATTGGAACATTGCAATTTAACAATCGTATAAATAACATCAACATTCTACTAGGATTCACTAGTTCTTCTTAAAGAAGGATTCCTCTCAGTCCTAGCAACATGGTCAAGTTTCTCGACAAAGAGGTTGGTCCTATTGGATTTGGCCTCATGGGTAAGTGGCAATTCTCAAAACTCATCTCTCACCAAGTCATTCAAGAGCTAATCGGCCTTAAGGCTTCACTTGGCGCGCCAACCCTCCCCCATTGGAGCAGGCTCTCGCCACAATGAAGGCCGCCGTCGAAAATGGCCTCACCATGTGGAATGGCGGCGAGTTCTACGGAACGCCCGAGTACAACTCCATGACCATCATCAAGGCCTACTTCACCAAGTATCCTGAAGACGCCGACAAGGTCTTCTTGGCAATGAAAGGTGGCGTCAACCTGGAGGAGATCAGGCCTGACGGATCACCCGAAAACATTCGCCGGTCACTGGATAATATCTTGGCCCAGCTGGACGGCAAGAAGAAGGTGGACGCCTTCTGCTGTGCCAGGCGAGATCCAAGCTACCCTCTAGACATCACCTTTGGAGTGATCCAGAGGGAGTACATTGACACCGGAAAGATTGGCGCCATTATGCTGTCAGAGTGCGGAGTCGACACCATCAAGGAGGCCGTCAAGGTGGCCAAGATTGTTGCCGCCGAGGTCGAGCTTAGTTTGTTTACACCAGACATTCTCAAGAATGGCATCGCAGCTGCTCTCAAGGAGCATGATATTCCCATCATTGCGTATTCGCCCATTGGAAAGGGAGTAAGTAACCATCGCTTTAATTTCCTGTTCTGTTCGCTAACACAAACAGATGCTCTCTGGCGAATTCAAGAGCCAAGAGGACGTCAAGAAGCTGGGAATGGTTGCCAACTTCCCACGCTTCCAGGGCGAAGGGTTCGAGCACAACCTGAAGCTCGTCCAGCAAGTCGAGGCCGTGGCCAGCGATAAAGCCTGCACACCCGCTCAGCTGGCCATCAACTGGGTGAGGAGCATGAGTGCCGATCCCGAGCTGCCTCTCGTGATTCCCATCCCCGGTGCCACGACGATTGCGCGAGTAGAAGAAAACTCAAAGGTGGTCGAGCTCACCGAGGAGGAGAGGCAAAGCCTTACTGGCCTTGCAAAGAACTTTGAGACGGCCGGTGCTAGATACCCTTCTCACGTACCGACCAACACCTAATGGTGTGCATTGTTTGAGCCTGTCACATATGCAGCGTTATAGTATACCCAAACTACATATATAAATGGTTACCTTTTGTTTGATTGCAGCTAAGAATGATTCCGGCGTTACATGACCGAGGAGCATGTCGCAGTCTACAATCGGGAGATCGGCGAAACAATAGCATGCGCCAGGCGTAATGGAGTGTCGGATGTTGAAATGGGCCTTTATTTAATATGAACAGCTTCGCCATCAAGTCCATGTCGTTGGGTGCCACTTGTGTCCATCCTCGCACTCATTTCACAGCATTTTTAACCTACACTGATCCATGTCTTGAACACTCAGTAATTGGAGCCTTACGCCACCTGCATTTCACCTGCATTTCACCTGCATTTCACAGCATTTTTAACCTGCACCAATGACTTGAGCACTTAGTATGCTAGTAATATGAGTGGTCGCTGCCGACATTACATTTCACAGCATTTTAAACCTACTCCGATGTCTTGAGTACTTGGTACATGTAACTGAAGCTTTTATTATATAGAAGAAAAAGCACTCCAATCTTCATAAACGGAATCCGCACTTACTAAAGATCAACACAATAGCTTGATTTGTTAACGAAAAAAAAAAAAAAACGCCTTTGTCATGCGCGCATGTGTATACCTCAATCCTAAATTTCCCATCGCTGACCCTTTGGGACCTGTTTTCTCGTGATGGTAATGATTGCTACACTAATCAATCGTACTTTTTGCTTATTCAGATCTCATCATTCATCTCATCTAGAAGGTGGCCATATTTGGCTACATACCTGCATGTACATAGCATATAACGTTCAATATCAAGTATGTATATGCCAGCAGTACGATTACATGTCTACTTCTATCATAGGCCAGAATATGAACATCTAGATGTGAAATTCTCGCTTCTGCTAATCCCAGCTTGCTTAGCAATCCGATGGGCGTTGTGACATCTCTGCCATGCTCCACCTTTGCTTTTGTACTGGCGACTTCAGGTAGAGCATCATCTAACCCAAAGACGGAGGGGTTTTTATATTGATTCCCATCTTTCTTCCTTCAAGTAACCCTTTTCCTGTCTTTTTATCTGTGTGGCCATCATGTCATAAACGATATTTTGAATTTTCTTTCCCCTCCGTCAAGGCCGCTGATTTTCGCCGATATAAAGTTGCTTCTCTCATACAAATACCCAGCGCGATAACGCGTGGGACTTTCTTCACCCATAATATCTCTGCCCTCGTAACGTTGATTTGTAAGATCACTCTCCAGATAGCGCAGGCCACACTGCGTGTTTAATGGCATTGGAGGGACAAAGCCTTCTTTCGTAGCAACCGAATGATCCGCGCCCCGCATCTGTCGATGTCGTGATTTAACGTCCCGAGCACACTAACTCACTTACAAAGATCCCATTGCGACCTCATATATAGCTTCACTTTCCCCTCATATACGATTGTAGATGGCAGATACTAGCAAAGATAGATTGTAATTTTACACTGTTATTCTAGAGTTTATTTGGGTACCCAAAAATAACATCATGTCTGATAAGCAACTGCATCTGTTCGCATTTATGCGGCCCGTCAGTCTTCACACTGGCGCATGGCGGTACCCAGGAGCATACGCAGACGCCAACTTCAACATCTCCCACCTCAGATCCTTCATCCAAAAGCTAGAAGCCGCCAAATTCGACGCCTTCTTCATGGCCGACCACCTCGCCGTCCTAAACATGCCCATAGAAGCTCTAAGACGCAGCCAGACCGTCACCTCCTTTGAACCATTCACGCTGCTCGCCTCTCTCTCGGCAGTAACAGAGAAAATTGGTCTCGCTGCCACTGCGTCCACAACATACGATGAGCCCTACCACGTTGCGCGGCGTTTTGCCTCTCTTGACCATCTCAGCGGCGGTCGTGCGGCCTGGAACATCGTCACCACGTCTAACCCAGACGCCGCCAAAAACTTTGGTCGGGACGAGCACATGGATCACTCAGATCGGTATAAGCGCGCCAAGGAGTTTTACGACGTTGTGACGGGGCTATGGGACAGTTTTGCAGACGACGCCTTCATCCGGAACCAAGAGACGGGCATATTCCTGGACCCGGAGAAGATTCACACCCTCAACCACGTGGGCGACGAGCTCAAGATTAAAGGCCCGTTGAACATTGCCCGGCCAGTTCAAGGATGGCCGGTGATTGTGCAGGCCGGACAGTCCGAGCCAGGGCGACAGTTGGCTGGCGAAACAGCCGAGGCAGTCTTTGCCGCCGTAGGCAACATCGAAGCAGCAAAGTCTGTATACGCAGACATCAAGAGCCGCGCAGTTGCCGCAGGTAGAAAGAGGGAGCACATCAACATTCTCCCAGCCGCCATGGTAATCATCGGCGACACCGTCCAAGAAGCCAAAGAGAAGCGACTCAAGCTCGACAGCCTCGTCAACTACGAGAGCGCCATTGCCAGCTTGTCCATTTCCCTCGGCACGGATGCCACCAAGTTTGACCCAGATGGGCCCCTGCCCGCAGACCTGGGCGAAAACAACGCCAGCAAAACAGGCCGCGACAACGTCGTGAGGGTAGCACAGGAAGAGGGACTGACTGTGCGGCAACTGGCCCAGCGGTTTGGAGGATACGGTGGCTTGGCCTTTGTAGGCACGCCGGAGAGCGTTGCCGACGAGTGGGAGAAGTGGCTCAAGGAGGAGGCGTCTGATGGCTTCGTCGTGACGTTTCCGTTTCTGCCGCAGGGAATAGATGACGTGGTGGAGAAGCTGGTGCCGGAGCTGCAACGCCGGGGCATCTTCCGAAAGGAATATGAAGGGAATACTCTGCGTGAGCATCTCGGCTTGCCAAGGCCGGAGAATAGGTTCTTTCCTGCGAAGGCTTAACCAGTCATGCATGAGATAGACAATGGACACTGATGGCTGTAAGATTGTATTACAAATACGTCCATTATTATTAGACTAGCTACTCAAAATACTAGACTAGCATGGACTGACGAAAGCTGGATATATATATACAACGCTTCTCATCAATCTGTCATTCATAGAGCATCAAGTCATTTTCATCATCTCGCAGGTCTACGCCTTGGGCAAGATCCAGCTCGTAACCGACAGCGCAGGAACACGCGCATTCCAAGTCTGACTCTCAGACTCGGTGCCAACCTGCACCCAAATGTCCTTGTTGTAGCGGTTCTGGATGACGACGGTGCGGGTGCCATCCGGGTTCAGCGAGCCAACAGCCTCCATGCCGGTGCCGTCGTCAAACAGATAACTTCCTGTGCCGTCCACGACAACGGCGCCCTTGGGGATGTACTTGCTGAACTGGCCCATCATGTAGTAGTCAATCTCCTTCTTGTAGCTGCTGCCGTCCGGGCTGACGGTGACGAGCCCCGTGCACTGGTGGCAGTTGCCGCCGCCGGAGAGGGCCGGGCCGCCGCCGGTGTAGGAGCCGAGGGTCCAGGCGATGATTCCGTTGGCCCAGTTCTGCAGCGGGAACATGTTGAAGCTGGAGCTGTGGATCCAGTCCGTGGTGCCGACGGCAGTCCAGCACTCGGTCATGTACTGCTCCTTGCCGGGGAACTCGTTGTGGAACTGCGTCAGGGGCGTCCAGTTGCTGGGGTTGTTGCCGGCGTAGCAGTGCCACGCAGCGGCCTGGACGTACTGGCTGGCCATGTTCATGACGGTTTGGGGGTAAGAGTAGACGTCTAAGGCAATAACATGTTAGTGGTGAAAGGTCTAAAGAGTACTACTAGGAGATGTCTCACCCTGGTTGTGGTCCCAAGCCCAGACCTGGGTGCTCAGGCCGGCAGCGCGAAGAGCAGGGCCAACCTTGTCGCGGATCAGAGCACCAGACTCATCCTGCTGGACAAGCATGGTCGGCATGTCATCCTTGTTGTTGAGGGGCTCGTTCTGGATCGTGATGGCGTCAATGTGGGCTCCAGCCTTCTCAAAGGTCTGAAGGTACTTGACAAAGTACTGGGCATACGCATTCTCGTATGCGTGGTTGAGCTTGTTGCTGCCGGTACCGCCACCAATCAGCTTGCTGTTCTGCTTCATCCATCCAGGGGGCGACCAAGGCGTTCCAAGGATAGTCAAGTTGGGCTGCAGCTTGCGCATCGTAGCCAACATGCTCGCCAGGGCATTGCCGCGGTCGCCCAAGTTGAAGTTGACCAGGTTCGTATCAACGCTGCCGTTGCCATCATCGAAAGTGTATGCCGGGTCAGCTGAAAGATCCGAGCTGGCAACGGTGTGGCGCATCAGGCTGAAGTTGATGCCCGAGGGGGTCATCAAGTCGTTGAGCAGCTGAGAGCGTGCAGTGGCCGAAAGCTTGTTGAACGCCAGCACCGTGGAATCGGTGACGGCAGCGCCGAAGCCCTTGACGGTCTGCTTCTTGCCCGTCTTCTCCTTGATGGTGAACTTCCAGTTGTCGATGCCGGGGTTGGCGGCGTTCAGAACGGGCGCCTGAGCGGCGCTGAGCTGATACTTGCCATCAGAACTTGAAGCAAATGACGAGGCAGCGTTGACGCCACCAACAGCGGCGATGGTGGTGAGGACTGATAGGAACAGCATCTTGAAGGTGAGAGAAGATGAAGGGACTGAGAGCAAACGTTTCACTCAATGGAGCATGATCATCCCCTTTTATTCACAAGACTGGAGTATACATGTACATACTCTCGGATCACTATTCCGGACGTCGTCCGGGTGAGGCCGCCCAAGAAACATGTCTCCGCTTGACAAAATCAAATGGAAGCCAAAATTCCGAGATTCTTTCATCCACGTTGCCTGCTTAGGAAACTGGCCAGCGATCCCCTGGGCTAGTCCATCACAACCTTGCTCAACATTGTCAATAAGCTTAGTTGCATTAGTGATGGTTGACTGCGGCGCAACCTACAGAAGGGGGACAAGGCCTCGACACAGGCCCAACTCGAGGATTCAAAGTTAATCCACAGGTGTGAAGCCCAGAAACCAATCGGGCCTATATCAAGCATTCGGTTCCCGGAGCCGCCGCACCGTGCACAGCTCATCCTCATACCGACCGGTCAGCCGTGCCCAGAATCCAATACCGCCAGTTGCCGCCTATGGAGTACCCAAGAGACTTGAATCAGGATTCAAAACCTATGCCTTTGCATAAACAACTCCCCTGCAGCACTACTAATCTATAAACTCGATAGGCTCCAGCCCGCAATTTTTCCTTCCACTCAAGCGTCCTGGATGGAAGGGGAAGGCACAGGGATAGCATGATTGATGCTACACAATCACGTGTATCTCCTCGGACGCCAATGAGCGTCTCCAAGCCGAGAAAATGTGGCGTTGCCAAGAATCCGTCACTCGCTTCACAGCTGCCGTTTCAATCCAGCTTGCCTATTTGGGCCCTGAAGGCGTGGCTATCCGGGCCGCAAAGATGGAGAAGAAGAATAGGACTGGGCAAGGGGCTGGGGTAGAATGAATGGCTGTACTGCCTAATCCTTCGACTGCATTACGAGGCGTGACGATGCTTATTACTTGCTCTTCAATCTAGGTATGCCCATGTAGATACCTATGCTCAACGATATACCACAGCCTTGAATGAAACTCGAGGTACAGCAAAGCAAAGAGAAAGCCAAAGCTATTACCACTCCCTCTGCTTCTTTAAAAACATCTCCACTCCACCGCCTTTTCTTCCCCACGCTTTCCCCGTACTGTACGCACATGTATATGCCGTGCCGTGTCTAGGCGTCAAAGGCGGCCACAGCTTGTCGAGGACTTCCAGAAACGGACTTCACAAATTTAATCCGGCGGCCCGATCTCCTCTATTTGCTGAACAAAAGGCCCGTAGACCGATATACCAGCTCAATTACGAGTAATGCTATACAGGTCTTGAAAGAGAGTGACAGCCATCCATGTCAAAACGCCACTCCATCAGCCTAGCTACAAACGAATATCCCCCCTAGCTGACCAGCGCAGCATATTAGCGTTGGATTTAAGCGTCCAAACAAGCATAACGCCTATATGGCTGCGGTGTGATTTGTATCTCCCCTAGGGCTTTTCGGGGACTTAATGCCACCCTTCCATTTCTGCATATACGAGCGAATACCTACACCAAATACTATATCTGTGACAGTTGGAGCTCATTGACGGATATCCTTTTCCGTTTATCCGCCAGGCATTAACAGAATCAGTAAATTATCTTGATAAAGAGGGAATCTCTCTTTTCGTGTTAGTCGAGACCCGGCGCAATAAGTAATGTACATGTAGGTATATGTATATAGTACGTGTCAAGCTGTGCTTACAACATGCAAGCGTCGGTAAAAACAGTTGATGGTCAAGGGAACTGGTTCAACCTTCTCATATCCACATTCCAGAAGAAGAAAATACCATGGCAATCCGAGCATTGCCGAGACTCCCCTAGCCTGAGGGGATGGGTTGATTGATTAATGATCCCGGTATGATTAAACTGGAGATTGGCCCTCACTTTCCGGAGCCGTACAAGCAAAGTCATGTGTTCAATTGAGAAATGATGCAGAACTCAATTGCGCTTACAGTGCTTGTTATTTGTAGCATTGCAGAAACCTCGAAGGATCCTAAAGTATTTCTCACAAATACTTCACTGAACGGATCTTCAACGGCTCTACAGTTACCTATGCTCCAGCCACTCGGAACTTCGAACAAAGAGGTAACAGACAAGCTCCTCAGCCATCTACTCTAGCTTTACTATTGATGGGAATTTATTAGTGGCATCCCGTTCCCCACGGTTCCTCGGCCAAGCTTACCGCAAACAACTTAGGCAAATTACAGCTCCATGTACCCCATCGAGCCCATCCATGATTTGGGATCTAAGTTTGTTGCTCCGAAAGTTACAGTAAAGGTTGCCTTTCGATACGATGGATGATGTGATGATGAGATGTTCGCCCAGTGCGAACTGCCGATGACAAGGCAAATTCCATACGTTTTCAATTTCCTAGCTATACTGAGAGGAAGCTTCCTCTATCATGATCCTCGCTATTTCTCTTCCATATCTGTTTTTTAAATATTCCGTCCTAGCAATTGAGACCCTTCGATCATTCTCCTGTAAATTGGGTATATATCAGAGAGAAATGGCAGTCATTGGGCTCCTCTGGCTATAGTAATGACTGTCGTAAAAAGGGCCGAACCCAAATGATGGCGATGTCGTCGCAGGGCGGACAGACACGACGGTTTCATCCCGGACAGAGTCCTACATTATGTGCCAGACCGTGCGTGGTCCGCATCCATATCGACGGCATGTAGCTGCGCATCTGATATCCCAAAACTGCCCATGACCGCCTCATCATCTCATATACATGACGGTGCCCCCGTCTAGTGCGCAACGTTCCACTCTGGCGGAGGGTTGAGAAGGCTGAGGCACTCCAGATTGTGCTGCCACCCTCGACTGAGCGTCGCCATGCGAGCGAGTTGCTCCATCCCTAGTATGGGGAAGATGCCGACGTGCATCCTTGTGTGTAATTGTACTCGACCCAAGCATTTGCCAGGTACAATTGTAGCTGGAGTGACTGTCAACCACTTTTCCTTTCCAGATAGCACGCGAGAAGCACACAAGCTAGAGCTATGCCGTGATAAACATCGTCAATATCAAATCTCCGTTCCTTCACAAAGGCGGCCCAAACAAGTCCCCGCCACCCTCCAACTTCCTCCTCTTCGTGTCCCTCGCATCCACCGCCATCGCCTCCCCAAAAACCGCCCCATCGCTCTGTACCGTTCCTGATCCCGTCGGCGTCGGCTTCTTGACCTTTGTCGTCGCCTGCTCGCGTCTCGCACGCTGCAGAGCCACCAAATCCGCTCTGTCCGTATCTCTGCACTTTTGTAGTTTCTTTCGAAGAGGTTTCAAGGATTTGACGAGTTCGGGCTGTTTGCGCCGTTAGCACACATTCAAAAAAAGTGTTTCTGCACCACTTACCGTCTCCCAGTACTCCTTCATCCGCTGCGGCGGCTCCTTCTCCAACATAGACTGACAGCTCTCAATCGTCCTCATAATCTTCTCCCGCATCTCCGCATTCGATCCCATATGTCTATTCCCATCCTCTCCAGTCTGCGACCCAGCAGGAATCAACATCTCCACAAGCCCCCTATCGACCATCAACAAAGACGCCATCATGATCTGGCTCGGCGTATAGTGAAAGTAGGCATCCGTCAGCAGCGGGCTAAACTTGAGAATATCTCGAGCCATTGCGTGAGCCTTGGCAACCCTGCCCTCTTCCTCCGGCAGACGCTTCCTCAGCTCCAGAATAGCTCCCTCGAGCGCCCTAAACGGATGCCGCACGTCAAACGCGAACCGAATGCCCTGGCAAAGCAAAAACTCTCCCGCCAGAATCTGCTCGCTCGTCGTATTGGGAAACATCTCCGCCAGCTTCGCCAGCCGAATGTAGTAGCCCTCCGCCTTGCACCCAAAAAACAGCGACGTCTTCAGTAGCTCCGTGGGAGGGTACGTCATGACCGAGTTTGTAATGTAGAATCTGCGAAAGAAGACGGCGGCCGTGGATCGGATCTCGGTCGGGAGCTCGCAGAACTGGGCGGCGCGGATCAGCTCGGTGGTGAAGAATTGCACCAGCATAGACTCTTCGCCAGGCGTCAGGAACTCGGGCTGGGCATCGGCGGCGAATCGCGGCGCAATTTGTTGCTTGGCGAGGTCGTTGGTCTTAATTCGAAGCTCTCGCAGGCTGGTGGGCGAGAATGACCAGAGGCGAAACTGGCTCGACTGCCGGTACCTTTCGTCTTCTGTGGCCATTTGTTACGGCAGAAATCAATTGAGGTACAGTAAAACAAAAGATTAGAAGGAAGCAAGAAGAAGAGCAGAAAGAGGTATCAGTTGAGAATATCGCGGGTTGGAAGGTGTTGAAGCTGCGATGAGATGTCGAAGCTCAAGACAATTTCACGTGCAATACAGTGCTAATTGCGTTCATCTTCATACTGTCTTCGCACTACCAGCAGAATAGAAGCTGGAACATACACCAAGCAAAGCTTACAAGATCTCAAGCCTGAAAATAAGTCTGTCACGGCGATAATCAGCATTGCAAATTGCAATTGATATTGATTCAATTTTCCCCATAAAAACAACCGCATCCTGGCGTGTACAAAACTCCTTGATAAGATATATATAATATGCAATACATGACCATCCTCCGTCTAATAGTTGTTTATTCCTACTACTCGGTCTTCCCACTGAATCTCAATGCATCTTCAAAAAACAGATGCTGCCAACTATTTTATTCATATCCAGTTGACAAAAAAAGAAGTTTAAACTCGTATCGTTTCGTTTCATTGCAGGGGACTGCTCGGGAACAAGGATGGGTACAACCGGCCCGTCATTCCAAAATAGAGTGTGAAAAAAAGAAGATGCTTGTTGCGCTCTAGTGTGTTTCAGTAGCCAACAGTGGAAAGCTTCCTGGGGACAGGAGGTGGCGGCGGCTTCTTGGCTCGGTTGACAGGGGGAGGCGGTGCTTTCTTGGCTTCTACCGGGAATTGAGGGTTGCTGCCGTAACTCGTTGCCGGACTGACGCTGCGCTCTCCCCAGCTAGGAGTGTTATCCCCACTGTATACTGAGTTGTCGTCAAAGATGTCCTCTGCTCTGCTTTCAGGAACGCTGCAGGTCGTGTTGGTTCTGTTGAAAGAAGCGGATGCGGCTCTTGCGCGAATCACGGGCGGCTGCCTGGTATCATAGGTCGCTGATCTCATCATGGGCGGTCTAGATGATGCTGGGGGAGGAGGAGGCGGGGGAGGTTCTCGACTCGTCATGGTGCGGTTGAGCTTGTAAACGGGAGGCGAAGCGGCGCCCTCATAAGCTTCGTTGATGATTGTGTTTCGGACGGGCTGAGTGCGGATAGACACGTTGGAGTAAGCGCGCTCCAAATCCTCCCGTGAAGACGGACGAGTTGCGTCTGCCATGCCAGCAGCCCAAGACTTTCGGACTCGGCGAAGCTCGTTGGCAGCTCGCTCATGGTACTCGAGCTCGGCGTCGAGGAACGACGTCAGAGAGCCAATTGTGTCCTGCTCGGCCTCTCGAATGTCTGACATGCGCTGGAAGACGTCTTCGGTGCTGTCGTCAAACTTGGTCTTATTGACGCGCAGCTCTTCTTCAAGGCGAACGTCGTCCTTTTTGGCTTTTTGAATCTTGCCCATGGTGGCGTCGTAGGCGAGTCGGCGGCTTTCGAGCTTCTTCCGGGCATTCTGTTGGAGTACTGTGTAAGCAATCATGTTTAAATCGTCAAAACGTTTCTTTGGGTGCCATCACATACCTGATAATCCTTCATCATGGCGAGATTGCGCTCAATGTGCTGTGTCCAGGTGGCATTGGCACAGTCCAGATAGGTCGTCTGAAGCTCGGCGAGCTGTTCGTTGGCGTTGCCCATGGACGCAAGGCGACGGCTGTATTCGGCGTCTGGCAGCTCTGCCGCATGGGCAGTCATGGTTTTGCCGAGGTGGGCGAGCGGCAAGCTGCGGCTTCGGTCCTCGAGGGCATCGCAATGGCGCGCAAGCCATCTGGTGTAGATGTTCATGGATTTGAGGAGGTGCTCCATGCCTGTAGTCGATAGTCAGCAGATGGCCTCAGCAGCCCAATTGACTGGAAAAACACAAACCTTCATGTCGAATGTCCATCTCGGACTCGAGCTCCTTGAACTCTTCGGTGTGGGTGGCCTTGGCCTCGGCGCCCATCTTCTCGCCAGCCCACTGCATGGCACGGTCAATCTTGCGTGTGAAGTTCATGATGTCGTAATCAGCGTCGAATCCAGCAACTTGGAAGAGTCGTCGACGAAGTTATGGCTGCTCAATTCCCAATTTCCAGAGAAGAGTTTTTGTTTACTCAGAGCAACGGAGCAATTGATGGGTAAATAGGCAAAATAGGAAGATATAGCACTATGCGGACTACTCCGTACTAAGAGCCAATGGTTTGCGTCTGACCGACCCCGGCCAGAAAACTAGCTCTTGAAAGCGAAGGTAAGTTGACTAGCTGCAGTAGCCAGCAATGGTTGGAGTCGGTTATGTAGGTTTTGATCTCTTCGAGGCGGGAGCAAAAAGGTTGTTGTGGTGCAGATCGTTTCGAACAAAGTTCAGCGAGGAGCGAAAGCAGCGACAGAGTCTGGCCTTGCGATGGTTTCGATCGAGTGGGCCAGCCCAAAACTGAGGAGAAAGCTGCGTTGAGCAAAAGGGCAATAAACGAGTGAGAAGAAACGAGAGAAAAGTGCAGCAACGTAGTATTTGATGATCCCAGTCACGAGCGCATCAATGCAGACAAAGCAAAAGTGCATGAACAAGAGAGGCTGGCTGGAGGTTCTTGTAACAATTGCGAATTGCACACACAAAACGGCGTCCCGGTAGCGCAGCCAGGAAGGCGCTGAAGGCCCAGTGACCTTCCAGCCATGGGCCCGCCCGTGCCAGGCGCGAAACTGGACCAGGGGTCGCTTCCCGGTGGTCTCTGGCGTCGCATCGCCCCTGGCGCCTGGGGGGCTCTGGCCGGCCGCCATTGGCCAGGCGCTCGTAGCTGCGCCGACTGCAGCTACGCTTCCCGCAGCCCTCAGGGCTCTTTGGGGACCCTCTGGGGCTGCTGGAGCTTCTGGGGCACGCCTGGAGCTTGCCCTCTCCACTAAAAACCACTATAAACAGCAGCTAGGCGGATGGAGCCAGCCGTCCCCAACCAACCACCACCAGGGATGGAAGCGTAGGTGGCAAAGTTAGCACGAGAGCAGTGTTGCGCGTACGAGGAGCGAAAAGGCGTGTGTGTGTGTGTGTGTGGGAATTCTGAGGGTTTGATACGAAGATCGCGGAAAAGAATACGAGCAGGGTGGGTGAAACAAAGGCAGGTCCGATAAAACATGACGTTTTTGGCAGCTTGCATTCTGAGTGTAGCCAGCCAGTGGAATATGATGTTTGTAATTTTTTTTGTTATCTTTCTCTTTATTTACGTGAACAATTAATGAGATGCATGCTGACATTGAAGATAGTCTTGAAATCTGTTGCGTAAGAGTTGAGATCAAGTGTGTGCCGCTGCCGTACCCACCGCGACGTTTTACCATGAAAGCCTCCTCGCCGCTCCAAAGCTTGATGCCATCGATTCCGTAAATAGATACGATTAGTGCTCCATACCTCTACTGACTTGCCTTTGGCTGATCAGCCCAGCGTCAAATGTCAATCGCAGCCCACATCAGAGATCGTCTCGCGATCGTCCACCCTCGCCTCCCCATGGCATGGAGCAGCGGCCCTGCCGTCTCCCCTTTTTCTTCTTTCCTTGCTTTTTGTCTTATCATCTTGGCGATCTCCGGCCTTGATCTACAAGTACTGAGTGTCATGCAGCAATTACAACAGGTCAAGTCGAGATTAAAGTCGTGTCGTGTACGCACATCAATACCTGCAGCCGTTCAAGACACGGAGCGCAATCTCGTCTAAAGGGTTTCGCCCGTCAAGATGCTTCAGGTGCGCCGGCCGCAGAGAAACGCCTCCATGTGGCCCCGTCTGCCATGCCGTTCCGTGCCGGTACGCTTGCAATAATAGCCGAGTATGGACTCGGGATGCCTTTAATATCTACTGCCTCTTTGTATTCATCCTCGTGTATATTATCTTGAGGCTGAGCTTACAACTCATCAGATGTAGATACGTGGCCCTTGTAGAAGTTTGATACGGAATGCATCAGACTCTCTCGTATTCGATGCAGCACTCCCAATCCAGTAATCCCCGAATGGAATGCAGGCCGCTGCAGGAACAAAGGCCCAAAGGCCCGGAGAGCCCTACAACGCATCTTTTTCCTGTCACGAGTCAACCAAGCGCCAACACTTGTCAGCTTCTAGAACAAAGTCTTCTTTTTTTTTCTCTCCTTTTTTGTCCCATCCGCCTGTGCCGTTGTGCTGGGGCAGATGCTCCATAACATGTTTCAAGTTTGCTCCGAAACGGCCTCGAGACTGGCCGGCAAAGCGCCGCAGCAAAAAGGTTTACTCTGGGGGAGGGCGCATGTTTCTGCTACATTAGCATTGCGCCAATTGTCCAGGGATGTACAAGTAAGTGATACTTTGGAGGACAACAGCCAACCAGCACTCTGTTAATGCTGACTCATCATTTCAATATCACGATATCAATACATCAAGCTTCCTGTTATCTACAACAGGTATATTCATGTGCTTAATACTTTTATGTACATGCCCAATATATTCCTATTTGAAGCATCTATGCACTTAATTCCAATTATTCATCATTTGAGACACGATAATGGCGCTGCCTGTACGGTGCACGCAATACCCGGCCAAGCAGGACAAGAGATAGGGACGACTACAAAATGAATACATGCCTTAGGTACGTGTCCGTACAAAGCTATAAAATGAACACTCTTTACACAATCAACACTTGAGATTATTTGGAACGATAGTAACTTTACCACGTGTGTTCAGAATCTTCAATCTCACTCCCTGTTCTCTGCCCCCACTTATTGCCATCAATACTTGACCTTCATGTACATCGTAGACACCAACACTCAACCATAACGTGAACAGAAAGGCCTACACAGCAGCCGCGTTGGAGAGACCGCCAACATCCTTGGCCGCTCTATTATTCTTCATCTTCTTACTTCTGCCAACCAATAATGCTCCATTGCTTCATTGTACACCACTACTAACCAAGTACCAGCACGCAGAAAGTAAAGGGATATATGCACGCAGGTGCAGTTATACTACATACATGTACCCTATGAAGGCTGCCTAACGTTCAGTGCAGATATTGAACGCTTAATACTTCAGAAGCGATGTAAGTTCACAACAGCCACTGAACATATATAAACTTGCTCTATTTTGGCAGAGAGTCCACCACATGGACCATTGAACTGTAGGCTAACCGGGTACCACACTCACAGCGTCATCCACTTACACCACGGAGGCCTCAGGGCAGATTTCTCATACATTTAGTAATGGCTAACAGCACTCTTCTTATAAAGAGGGCAGATATTCCTGCATGCAACGGTTAGTGATTTCATCAATCCTCTGGAAAAAAAGCATACAACGACTCCAAGTCAACCTCCATAAGCAGTGTATGATGAACGCTCAAAATCCGCCATACAGACACCAAGGCCTTCACGAAGGCCAGTGTTTACCGGGACAAGGAGCTCTGGGTCCGATTTTAGGACAGATGGCGGGGCAGCAGCCCTCCCATGGCTACAGATCAGCTCCCGCCGGTTCTGACCAAAACCAGCCGTCCACTTACATGTATCAGCCTCCGTATCCTCCAGCAGGACAACAATATCCGGAGCAGCAACAAGCACCTGAATATGGATACAACGGTCAGTCTACTCAGTATTATACGCACTATGCGCATCAGCCCATCCAGCAATTGCAATGTTGGCATCAACCATACGGCCCTGCGGTAAGGATGGTCAAGTTGCGTATATGTATAACATATCCGCTACTTAAGCAGCAGCACACTCAGCCTGGCTATCCTCACGGCCCAGGCCAGCAGCCATCTGGCCACAATATCGAAGCCACGCCGGCCTCTCCAGGATACGATATTGCTCAAACGCTCATGATGCAGCGTATAGACACCTCAGCCGACGCAGGAGCTCTTCTGACTGCTATGCTAGGCAGCGGCTGCGATGCGCATGCCCTTGTCCGCATCTTTTCCAGCCCCCAATATCGACATCCGTATGCGTTTCAACAATTACGAAACGACTACCGGGATTGGTTCAAGCGTGATCTGGAAAAGGACATTAAAGGCAAAACTCAAGGAGACTTCCAAGATGCATTGGTGGCTTTGGCCAGAGGACCTCTCGATCACGATGTGTCTACACTTGACAAGGCGTTGCAGCAGAGACCCATCGATGAAGAGGCCCTGATGGGCGTTCTTCTCTGTCGTTCCAACGCCGATATCATGGCCATTACTAGCCAGTACAGGCATACCAAGGGAAAAGATCTGCTGACCACTGTCAAAGACAAGATGGATGAAAGGCGCTTCCCCTTATACCGCAATGTCATCTCCGCGACCCGTGCCGAGGACGCAGCCGCCGTCAATCCCGCAGATATCGACTACCAAATCACCGAACTACAGCGTGGCATCGAGGAAAACAGCTTGGTCGTCACAGAAATCTTAACAAGCGCCAATAACGCCCAGCTGCGAGCCATGTGCATCGCCTACCGGCAGAAATACCACCGCAGTCTACAGGAAGCCATTGTGGCAGAATTCCTCGGCAGCGAGGAACACGCTCTACTGCAAATGCTCACTTCTGTTACAGGAGAGAATGGGAAGGCTGACGCAGACGCCTTGCGGGAACCGCTACGAGACCCTCTGAATAATAAAAGGGCCATCACGTATCGAGTGTTGAGAGTGTATTGGGGTGATAGAGCGAGGCTCTCCAAAGCGCAGGCGGCGTATCAAAGCAGTTACCATAGACCGCTGGTCACAGACCTGGAACATTCTTTGGATGGAGATTATGGGAACCTACTGAGTGCACTGATTGGAGGAGACGTGTAGTAAATGCCTTTCCACTAATTCCATGTTGATTTTTGCCTGCAGTTGGTACCATACACTAAATTCGAGTACTGTTTTGAACGTCTCTGATATTGAAGCAATGTACATGTACATATCCCATCTTCATTGGAGTACTTTGAACGTCTCTTTTAAGTTGCACAGGCCGGTTTTGTTGTCTTGTTCCCGAGATGTAGCTTGTTAAACTGATACTATAAATGGAACGTTAATTGTTATATATACCTTACTTAAACATACATGTAGCAGTATCGGTAAGGTAGTAGCCGTAGTCAATACATGTAGTAGCAGCACATGCAGTCAGAGGCAGCTCGAGTGTTGGGTCATGAAGAGGAAGCTACCTAGACATAGATAATAATTTACCTACATCAACGATGCATAGGTAGGTACGTAATTGACATTACCAAATCTCAAGGGTAGAGTGAGCTAAATGAATGCGCGTATCTGCACGCATTCACTGTTCGCAATTTCCTGTCGGCTGCGGGAATTATGTAAGACACTTACACTGCAACATTATAGTTGCCATGGTTAGTCCTCCCTTCTTCTCTTCTACAGATTAACCAAACAAAGAAACACATCTTTTTCTAACTCTGTTCCCTTGACAATCAAGCCGTTCACGCACAATGTTGATCTACATGACCGATTGCTTACGCTGCGACAGGTCATTCAAGACCCAGTCAGCTCGGGCCCAACACATATCCGACTCTTCTCGTCATAATATATGTCGGGAATGCTATTACTTGGAGGATTTTGAGACGGCGTATGAGCTCAGGGAGCATATGATCGATGAACATAACGGGTGCACACAGTGCGATGATGCCTTTGAGAGCGCGAGAGATCTCCGACAGCATTTGTACGACGAGCACAACATGTGCTCCGTTTGTAACCAATGCTTCTCTTCCCCCTCCAACCTGAAATATGTATGTTCTTTTCGTTCTGAAACTGTCTACAGCCATGCTCTGTGATTCTCAGTTTCGGCGCGACTGATATGCCCAACAGCATCAGCTCGTTCACCGCGAGAAGAGTGTCGAATGTTTTGCGTGTTATCGCACCTTTGTGACCAAATCCGCAATGGTCCTGCACCTGGAACAGGGAACCTGCTCGTCTGGCATCAATCTCATAGATGTCAACGACTATGCAAGGGCCTGCTATACATCCGATGAGTACCTCGATTGTGACGGTGACTACGAATGCCCAACTTGCAAAAAGTATTTCAGGTACATGAGCGGACTCCTGCAGCATGCGGAAAGCGACAATTGCAACGAGACGTTGAGCAGGAGGAAGAGCCCTCTGGCGATATTTCTCCGCTTTCTAAAGGCACGCGTGTGAGGAGAGTGGGGACAACTGAGTTGAGAATTAGCGTCGTACCTGTGTTAGCGTTTCTTTGATGAAGACAGCATGTGCAAGCTATACGAGAGCGTTTGAGGGTTTTTTTTATGAAGATGGGGTGTGCAGATGTATTAAAGTTGCCGCATGTATGGATCTAGTTATACCTAGGTAGGTAGGTAGGTGAGTAAGTTTGTACCAATAATCCAGGTGTTAAGCAAGTGAAAAAGTACAGATGCATGTATACAGAAGCCAGTGTTACGGTGAAAGTAAAGCGTATATACATTCAATCTGTACAAACAGCCGGTGAGTGGGCGCTGGCAATATCTCTCCACATAGGTATGTGTAAATAATCAATAATTTGCATTTATTTACTCATTTGTTTACTAACCACTCTGTTCACACAGAAGCACCTTAAACAACCTTGTTAATCTTGCCCGTCTTGACATCAAAAATGTACCCCGAAATAGGCACGTCCAGCACGGCGGGATTCTTCTTCAAAATCTCGACATCAGTCTTGACGCTCTCTTGCAGGTCTTTGATGGTCAAGAAGGAAATATGGCTGACGTCTTCACCAGTGTTCTTCTTGACGGCGTCGCGGAATTCATCCTCTTTGATGAGAAGCATACCGCAGTCGGTCTAATTGACGGCGTATTAGCTAACATGGTCCTTCTAGTACAAGGCAACAAAAAGAAAGTCAAAATTGAGTTGATGAGTGGAGAGATCATACGTGGTGAATGACGACGACTTCTCGAGTTCCTAGGGCCTGCTGAGAGATGATCAAGCTTCGCAGCGCCTCAGAGGCTCGGCCTCCAGCGTTTCGATAGACGTGGGCGTGGCCCTCTTCCAGGCCGAGGAATTTGGCTGGGTCAAGACGAGCGTCCATGCAGGTCAGGACAAAGACTTTTCTGGATTTTGTGTTTATGAAATGTTAGCCATCTAATACGAATGGCGAATTATTGCAGTTGTAATAGATCGCTGAGAGAATATATGTGAAGCATACCGTCCGGGGGGCATGGGCAGGTCAGCCTTGTCAAAGCTAGCCGCATATTGCTGGTTGGCAACTTCAAACTCGCTGGCGACAGTCATGTTGGAGGTTATACGTGATTAAAGTAAAAAATGAAGATAATTTATCAAGATCTGGTAATATCGTGCTGAAGCTCAACAGAAATCAGGCACAAGCTCAGAGCAAATCGTCGCCTCTTTATACTTTTACAAAACACTCACCCCTCTGATAGGCCACCCAACACGTTCCCCAAACTGCACATCTCAGCATCATCTCAGCCTGCAAATACACCCCCCCACACAGCCTCTTACAAGGGCCCTAAAGCTATCAATCAACGCAAAAAGTCGCAATCCATCCACGTTGTGTCGCCATGCTGCGGGGAAATTCGCCCGTCTCTGGCCAATTAGAAGCGTTGCCGTCGATATCGAAGCAAAGGTTAAACGTCCTAAGCAGGGCGGGGACTGGCCAAAAACTAATCGCATCGCCAACCGCGACTCAATCTCAAGGCCGTGAGACGAATTCTGCGACGGCCCGGCAGACCGTCTAACAAGGGGACCTCTTCCCAGTTTCGGACGTTCGGTACGGGCAGAGCCGAGGGCCCGTGGATTCGGTTCGGTGGGACAGGAGGCTGGATGGAGATGGTTCGCAGGGCTGTCCAATGAGAGGCAGTTTTTGGGCTTGGAGGCGGTCGCAAAGTGTTGCTGGCGCGGAGAGGGCTGGCGACGCGGATGGATTCACAATTAGATGGGGCTCGGCTAGAGAAAACGGGAGGGAAATAGTTTGTGTCATGATGAGATTTTGTATTTCAAATCTTCGCAGAGTACTGCTGTGGAAGTCAGCCGGCGACCAAGATGCTGGGTCCATAACAGAGATGGGCTTAGTAAAGCTCGAGGACTTGAATTAAATAGACAAAATGTAATTTTGTAGTAGACCAAACTTCGCAGTCTTTCCTTGCCGTAAATGCTCGGTGTTGGGAAAATAGAGGCAAACTCGGGCGTCATGGCTAGCTCTGGTTTACTAATCCTGAGGACTGGATTCAACTAATTAACAGCTTGATCAAGCTGTGCATATCCTGTAGCTAGCAATGGCCGGCTTTTAAGAATTTCATTCTTTGATAGAAAATTTGCTGTATGGAACTGGCAAGATCCAAAAATAATCCCAAAATGCTATATTTAGCAAATCGGATTACCAGACTATTGCGATACTATCGGTCACTTCGTCTATATAGCAGCCGGCCTTGCCTATAACTGACAATTCCTAGATGCCATAAAGGGCAAGGTGGAGCACTCGCTGACGGCATCTTTGGAATCAGCCGCACAGAATCGCGAGCGTTCTAGTGGCTTCCGACCCTTTTTAGGCCGATTTTGTCCGCTGGACGCCAGCTCCAGGCTATTGCAGCGAATTACAGCGCCCGCAGCAAGCGCTGTAATTCGCTGCAATAGCCCCCTGTGTTGGTAATGCTTTGTGCGATCTGACAGATGGACGCCGTTTATTCCAAATGCCCGTCTTGTCTGTCATGTATATATTTGCGCCAAGGCACCCTATCTTGGAGATTTTCATCTTTTCAGTATCAGCCAACTATTAAACAAACAACGAGCGACATAACAACAACAACAACAACAACAACAACAACAACAACAACCGAGAACATCCCGATTCACAAACTCTTACCGCCTCAAATCTTCTCTCTACCAAACCTCGCACCAACTGCGGCATCTTTTTGCGGATTATTGCGGCCCGCTTTTCCTCCCCACCTACGGTTGTGCCCCTCCTCATTGCACCATCCGCCAAAGGCGATCGTCATAAAAGCCGGGCTCTGAATCTTGCATAAATTCCTTTGACCATCGCACGCCTATATCAATCTACAACTGCAGCTACAGCTTCTCTTGTCCAGCAACATCTGAATCGCTGAATCGTCTACATCTACATATAAACACACCACCGCCAAAATGAGCGCCGACAACCTCCACCACGTCGAGACCGCCGAGCACTTCGACTCTCTCCTCGCCGCAAACACCTACGTCGCCGTCGACTTCTACGCCGACTGGTGCCCCCCCTGCAAGGCCATCGCGCCCATCTACAAGTCCCTCGCCGACAAGCACAGCGCCGAAAACACGCTCGCCTTTGCAAAGGTCAACGTCGACAACGTCCAGAAGATTGCCGCCCGCTACGGCATCACTGCTATGCCCACGTTCCTCTTCTTCAAGGACGGCCAGCAGGTCGCCGTCAACGGCCAGGCCATGATCCAGGGCGCCGATCCTCGCAGCCTGGGCGCTGCTGCTGAGAAGCTGGGCGGCCTGGCGCAGAAGAGGCTCGAGGAGGCTCAGACTGCTACTGCTTGAGGAACAACATGAATTTGAGAGAGGAGGAGGAGGAAGAAAGAATATTGCCATCACTGGGTTTGTCTTGGAGGATACGAGAGTGTAAAGGGAGGAACGCATGCATTTCATTGGGGCGCACAAGAGAATAATATCACATGGGAAAAAGGACAGCGGGTTGTCTAGCATTTTTGAGCCATACAGTATCAATTTACCGTCCATTTCTTCTTTAAATCATCCTCTCCTGTAACAATCTCCGTGATATCGAACTTGATGGCTCGGGATGTATACCTAGGTACCTACTGAAGACATGGAGTAAAGATTGCACTAGGTCGACATAAAACATCCCAATGTCGATGAGTAGGTAGTATATCAATAATAGATATCTATCAACATAGTAGTATTCATTTAATGAAAGCTATTCTTCTCAGCAAACAATTATAATTGACGTCATTTGTCTCGTTATCTATTAAGGTCCCATTTCCCATCTCTCCTAGATTTTATACTACAACACAAGCTTTTGTATAAATCGCTCGCTCATCTCCGCCACAACCTCAGAGTTGTCCACTTTCCAAAGCAGTCAGCCACGATCGCAGCTCGTAATTCACTTTCCTCGCATCCTCCCTCCAAGGCCAATGTCCAGCCTGAGGCAGCACAACCACTCGAACCGACTGGTCAAACCACTTATAGAAGCCGTCCAGCATCTTGTCCGAGAAATATGGCTCTTGCATTCCCCATATAACTACACATGGCATCTTATAGCGCATACCCGAGGTATCAATATTTTGCCCGTATGGTGGCGCTGGGAAATTCTTGCGGAAGAAGTAGAACATTCCTCCTTCCGGAGAGTTTTGGAGATACTCTTTGATCTCAGCGCGATATTCCGGGTCGGTTATGGTACGGCAAACGAAATCCACATCGTAGGCGTCTCCGGGGTTGTGTTTGATGTATTTGAGTGAATATTTTGACAGTTCCTGCTGCTCCGGGTCGTGGTGGATGAGGTGCATCATCGTGCCTAGAATTGGCGTGTTGAAGATTACCAGACCTGACAATCTCTCCGGGTGAAGAAACGCAAGCTTTTGCACAGTAATGCCTCCAACATCGCCTCCTGCAAAAACTGCCTTTTCAATCTTCAAGTGATCCAAAAGGGCCACCAAGTCACTGGCCATGACATTGCCGTCGTACGCCTCTGGATCTAGCGGGACATCACTCGGAGGGTATCCTCGAAGTGTGGGAAGAATCAGCGTGTGGTCCTTGGAGAACTCCTCGATTTGCATCGAAAACGTCATTTCGTTGTCTGGATGGCCGTGGACGAGCACCAGGGCCGGGCCTTGTCCATAGAGATGATAATGGATCTTGACATCTCCATTGGAGAAATAATGAGAGTACTCGTCAATAGGCATTTTGTGGTGTGACGTGTATAAGTGATATGTCCAGGTGATGCGATGTTGAAAGTTGTGCAAGTTGCCTGTAGTTCGATTGAAGGCGTTTGTGTTCAATCTCGGTAACTACCTTATATATTTAAGTAATATGAAGATAAAGATTGTATACCGTTTCAATGTATCAACATCTCAATGTGAGAACCGGAGATGCTTCAACCGACTTTCAATTACTTACAGATGACAAATTTGAAGGCAAGCTAAATCGGACCTGAGAACCGCGAATACATCATCGAAACTCTAAATTCATGTCAGGTGACATCTATCTCCATTGTAGAAGCTGTTTTAGAAGTCAAAAACTTTGAGAGTTAAAGGTTGAATTTCGCTTCTCAGGCTTACAGCTAGGCCTCATCTAGTATATTTGTCCGTTCGGCAATAGCTACGGCAGATTTTTCAAACGCGTTCTAAGCCAGCACAGGGCTGAAAGGCTGAAAGCCCATTACCCAACCCTATTTTGATATCTGAAGTGACGCTGTGTATGTGCTTTCGGGCGCTTATCCCTTCGTCGTCTCACTCGCTTCCCAGAAATGCGGCTTGTTCCTGATCGACGCCCTGGCACTCTGTAAACTGCCTGCAAGTTGCTACTAAGGATCAAAGTCTCCACCTTATTTTTCCGTCTAGCTGCCGTTTTCTTAGGCCTGCCGTGCATGTAGCGAATCATAGAACACAGGAACTGCTTAGCTGCGGTAGAACATTCGCTCACTAAGTTGAAAGACTCTTCTCCGCGGGAGAGTTGTCGGTTTTTGAGAAGACAGAAAGTGGAGACATGCATACAATACAAAGGCTTACAAATGTTGTCGGCGTTTACAACTCTTTCTTCTCAACTATGGTCTCAATACTCAAGTAGATGTTCTTAGAATGGCATCATGCCTGAGATGCCGACAAAGATGGGCCGATTTATCAGCCATGGCGATGAACTTTGAGCGCTTACATTTTTTGGGGTTTACGAAACGCCTCGTGAAAACATCAACTTCATGAAAAATAGTGTATAGCTAATAAACAGACTGCGCAGTGAGGAGCTCATCAACTCTATAAAGAGAAACTTCAAAGATGAAGATATGGAAAGTTTTAGATGTCAGCATCAGCATGCAAAAGCATCACAGCAATATCACAAGCACACCTTCAGCAACATCTTCATACTTCTTTAAATCGTTTTTCATAAACACTATTCTCATAAAAAATAAAAAAAAACATGGCCCAGACTGTCCTCATCACCGGTGCTTCAGGCTTCATTGCCGCCCACGTCATTGAGCTTTCCTCAAAAAGGGATACAATATTCGCGGAACTGTGCGCTCTGAAAAGACGCAGCCGAAGTTCTCAAGACGCACGCAAAGTACTCTGAGCAGCTCAGCATTGCTATTGTTCCCGACATTGCTGCCCCCAATGCATTTGACGAGGCTGTCAAGGGAGTTGACGGTGCAAGTAGACTTACCAACGTTAACCACTAGACACTTGAAGAGAGAGTGTGCTAATATCTTTCAGTATATAGGTCATTCACACAGCCTCTCCTGTCATCTTCAATGCCACCGACTTTGACACCGAGCTTTTGCAGCCTGCCATCAGCGGCACCACCGGTATCCTAGAGGCTGTCCAAAAATACAACTCGGCTGTCTCCAGAATTATCATTACATCTTCTTCGCCTCGGTCTTGGACCCCACACAGGGCCAACGCCCCGGATATGTCTTACGCAGAGGCCAACTGGAATCCTTTGACTATCGAGCAGGCCAACAGCAGCCCCGTGATGGCATATCTCGCCTCAAAGACCTTTGCTTAGCGTGCCGCATTTGATTACGTCAAGAAGAAGAAGGTGAGCCCATCAGCACCAACTTTCTGATTATATCAACTGACTAATGGCTTCCTATTTACAGCCCAACTTTACTGTGGCAACTCTCTGCCCTCCCATGGTCTACGGACCGGTCGCTCACGCTGTCAGCGGCGTTAATGCGCTCAATACCTCTGCAGGAGATATCTACAGACTTATAAAACGGCTCGGAGAAGGCTGTTCCCGATACTTCTTTCTGGGCATTCGCCGATGTCCGCGATGGTGTGTCTTCATCTTTATCTAAGATCTCTACAGCACCGCTAACAACAACACTACAGTCGCTGAAGCTCACGTTCTGGCCTTCGAGAAGCCACAGGCCGCCGGCCAGCGATACCTAATTGCCAACTCCGCATACAGCTACCAGCTGATTTGCGACATCATCCGCGACAAGTTCCCTGAGCTGCAGAACAAGACGCCCAAGGGCGACACCGGAGCTGCTCTTCCACCCGTCTACAAGGTCGACACTACCAAGGCTGTCACTGAGCTGGGTATCAAGTTCAGGCCCCTGCAGGACACTATCGTGGATATGGTTAACAGCTTGTTGGCGCTTCAGAAGTAGGGAGAGGAGGGCTATTTTTAGAGCCAAGAACATTCTTTATGCCATAGATTAGACTTCCTATAGACATCATGGTTTTATTTAAACCGTTTCTTGCGGCCGATTTTATATCCGTGAGCTCACAAGCCGCTGCTACTATTCTACTACTACTACTCAACGCCAAGATCATGGACGCAGTGGCCAATGAATTGTTCAATTACAAAAGCACATACCTCTCAGCAGTCTAGATTCAACCCCGCAAATCCATCCAGCAAGTCTCCGAGGCTTTCAAGTCATCACCAGTTGCGCCAGCTCCTTTGCCAAGCCCGCCGCATGCCCGCAATCCTTATATCCTCGTACTTTGACACATCCGATAAGTCCCATCCTCCGACTCATGCAGGTCTAAAATCCTACTTGTAAGTCTACAAGTAAGCTTAAAGCGCCATCTGACATACATTACGTACTTTGTCATACCCCTTGCATCGTTCCAACTACGTGGCCCTGTCCATCAAGCAGTCCGTGAGAAGTAATAAACGGCTCTCTGCAAGGAATTGTTTGTCATGTCTCACAAATGGGATTTGCGCAGACCGCCACGCGACAGATGCGGAAATTGTACGACACATGGACAGTGTCGTGGAATGCTGTCTCGGATCATCGCAGGCAGCTCATTTATCATACAACAGACAATCACCTTCGAATATATATAAGATGTTGAATCAACTCTCAACCCATTAATGATTAAATTCACAAGAATAACTTGGCTAAAACCACACATCTATTCTACAAACAATAATCAACAGCCGTTATAATGCTTTTCAAATCCATCCTTCTCGTCATCACTGCCTCCTTCGCCGCAGCACAAACCATCACTCCAGCACAAAACCAACTTGGCCGTGCCTGCGGCTTCAGAATCGCCCCCTGTCCCTCGGACATGAAATGCGTCCCCGACAACCCTTACTGCCGTGAACTCAACAGATGTGCCGGCCACTGCCAGTTCAAGAACAAATATGATTCCTGCGGGGGCTTCACGCCGCGACCACACAACTGCGATAACAATCATGTGTGCCAGGATGATCCTCGACTGCCGCCCAACTGCGGCATGGCGTGCGATGCGCCTGGAATATGCGCCCCGAAGGAGGCGCACTATTGCGGGGGGTTTGCGGGATTCAGATGTCCTGAGGGATTGTATTGCTATGATCAGTTGGATGGGTGTGATCCCCTTCATGGAGGTGCTGATTGCAGTGGTGTATGTTTGTAAAGAGTGTCACTCATGAAATAGCTGAATAGCGTGGGAAAGTTTGATTAGGTACCTCAATATTGTATCCTGTTTCGTCGTTTTTCAAGACAAAATCGATAACTTCGCATGTTTATGAAACCCTGCCAGAGCAAGCGGTGTTCTGCTATAGATAGATATCTTGAGACCTGATATATGCTCCGTAGCGAAGGCATATTCTAGCGGCTGGATAAGTCCTTTGTCTGTGCTACCATTGCGAGAAGGAATTGCCCTTGGATATCTTCATTTCGACATCAAAGTTGTTTGCTCAGGAGGTTTCTTACTCTCGTGCGACGCATTGGTGACATGCAGATGAATAACAGTAATTGCTACAATAATATCGGCTCTATCTTTTGCCCTGTATGGCTTAAGCTTAACGGCATAAGGAATCGTTACAGCACTTACTCTAATATTATATGAATAAGGAATTTTTAGAATTTCAATTTTTGTATTAATACTTGCTTTTTAGAGTTACAATAGAGGTAACTGATCGTGGTTACAAGTTTGAAACAATTCAGTCTACTCTCATGAAATTGAGTAGCCTCTCTCCGAGACCGCTAACGTTGTCCAGGGATCCTTTCCACGCAACAGTTTGATCGGGTCGAATGAGAAGCATAGCTCCTACCTGCTGATCAACACCATAGAGCTTGTGTGTACCCTCTGCCTCTATTGAGTGCTCCAGTTTCCTCCCATATGCGCCTTTGTCCGGTTGATCGCCAAAGACGGTATTGTAGTCGTGACCTCGCACCGTGTCCATTGGGAAGTAAACAGAATTCAAGTCGTGTGCCTTGAAGTCGGAGCTCACTGCGCATAGCAAGATACGCATGAACGCTTGAGTCATCTTTCGTGATGATAGGTGTGGAAATTTGTGCGACAAGGTAGATAAGTAGGTTCCGAGTCCGTTGACTCTAGCAAGCTGTTGACTTGATGTAATATCGCCAGCGAGAACGAAGAGATACCATGAGCCATCTGACTTTAGTAAAGACTGTGATGCCAGTCTTCTGCCACTAGCTAGGTTGTAGATGTAGGCGTTTGGTAACCGTGCTCCGCATATGATGTTGGTTGCGACTTTGTCAACATGCTCGGCAACGATTGGACTAGGGCCATACTTGGCATTGGTACCACTTCCGAAATATCTTAGACGATCGTAGACATCCTTGACTTGACTTTCTGGGACTTGCGATCGTGAAGTGAGTACATCAGATAGCGCTCCATCAAGATCGACTAGTTCTTTGGCTATTGGTTGACGTTCTGATTCATAAGTTGAGAGGACTTCTGGCTTTAGCTGTCCCCGTAAGACTCCGGCGATTTTCCAGGCAAGATTGTAAGCATCCTGTTGGGAGACGTTCATACCTTGCCCTCCCTTTGGCGTATGGGTGTGGACTGCATCGCCTGCAAGGAAGATACGATTGTCATAGGAGAAGTGATCCGCTATTCTATGACCGACTTTGTATACTGTCCACCAGTCACAAATTTTGTAGTCCATACTGTAGGGTGCAAATATCTGCTGAGCCGTGGCTAACATCTTCTCAAGCATGGTGGTGTTGTTCGATGAAGATTCCGTTGCGGGATCTTCATCTGGTAGTTGAACATATAGCCTGGTAAAACCATGCTCTCGAGGGACAATCAAGACTGTGCCGTGGGAGGAAAGAATTGTGCAGATCTTTCGGATGTCTGGAAAGTCTGTCAAGGCAATGATATCAATGACTCCCCAAACCGAGTTCGTGTTGGCGCCATTCATTCGGAAACCAAGCTCGTTTCGAAGCCAGGAACGGCCACCATCAGCACCAATCACGTATTTAGCGTGGATAGTTTCCTGAGTGCCTTGTTGATTCGTAGATGGTACTATGTCCTGCGGGTCGTCGCCAAAGGCATCAATTGTTCCTTTCTGAGATTCCAATGTTCCGTCATCGTGCTTGAAGTGAGCTCCTACATGCCACTGGTCCATCTCAGTAGCATGCAAGTGCTTCACAGTGATGGCTGTTGGGTGATCTGCTTCAGATATGCTCATGGATGTTGCTTTGATTCCTCTTTCCACTGTTCCACCACGTTTTCGAATGCCTGAGATTAAAGAGGCTTCGATGAATCCTTGATGGAATGTGCCTGTATTCTTGTGGGAAACCTCTTCTCCGATTGACGTTTCTACTCGTTGACGAGAGATTTCTTTTTCACCTGTCCATAGTACCCATTCACGGAAATGGTTACCGTGGTTTTCAAGAAGGTGAGCCATGTTGAAGCTGTCCCATATCTCAACGGTTCTGACTTGGAAGCCATCAGCACGTCCATTGAGAGCTCGAGTCCCCAACTTGTCAATAATGCGATGGTTGACGCCGAGTTCTGATAAATACAAGCTTGCCATTAGACCTGCAGGCCCAGCTCCTATAATGAGAACGTCTGTGTATGAGTCGGTCATGGTTGACGAGTAGAGTGTTTAAAGTTAGATCTTAATAATGGTGAGTATTCTCTGAAAAGGCCTGATAATCTGTCTAAAGCATGTTGGACCTGTTCTACTGCGCTTCCTTTATACTTGTTTTTGGATCAACACAGGGGCATCTCGAGAGCTATAGCAATGGGCTCTGTTCGGAAGATCGTGTCTGACGGCCTGAGAACCACCCCGAAGCCCGCTTACAAATCCTTACTTTGACATATGTTGATCCTTCTTGTTGCACTTACACAAACTGGCGCCGAGCAACTTCTAAAGCACGGATCGATTAATCTGACAGAATATGCGTGTCTCGGACGTTTGTCGCATCAGAGGTCACCAGATTGTTCCGACGGAGGCTTGATGGAGGTAAAGGTTGAAGGAAGCAGATCCTAGTGACCATCCGATCTGAAGAGCTGCAACCTATAAAACGAATCGACGTGTGCGCAAATTTGAGCACTTTTCACTATCAAAACAACTCTGAAGATAACCTTATAGAACGTAATTCATCTCTAACCAGAAATAAAACCAATAGTATCATAAACCCAAATACCGTGGAGCCATCAAAATGTGTTTTCGTTGGTTTTGGTTGGGTGTGCTGGATGTGTGTCTCTGAGAACTAACTGCGGGTTACTCGTGCGAACCGAGCCCGACTTGTGCGGTGAATAAGATAATAGAGAGAGAATTGGTAAGCGGAACGTATACTGTACATTATTGTCGGGTTTGGGAATGTTTGTAAGGTTGGGGGACGATATCCGAGTTAAGCCCTTCTGTTTTCGAATTACGGTGGGTCAACAGAAGTCGGGACGAACTCCACAGTACAGTGCATGCACGCGTTATAATGTACACTCTTGATACAAATGAAGATAAGAAGGAGTTTGATATGTATCTTGCCGGCATCAGAGATGACAGATGACGTTCCGGCGAGCGAGTTGATGAGTGCGTCGTCAACCTCCGATTAGCCCGATATTGCTAGTCCTGATTTATCTGTACAAGTGCTACAGCCAGCAGCTGCCAAATTGCACCGCTGATGAGTTTATGGTTACATTTCTAAACTATAGAAATGTCTAGAAAAGAGATCCAGAAAGAGATTGGATTTCCGGGATGCTGACTGTTTACTATATGACATGTATGGGGAAATTGCAACACTATCGCATGTGGCGAGTTGGGACACTCATCTCGGGTACATGGGGTAAGCACACACACTCTCACTCTAACACGTCCGTCTTGTGGGAAAATGGGTAGCTTTCACTCTGTGCTAGTAGATAGCGATGAAACGAAGAGGAGGGATAGTCACAAGGATCAGGCCGGAATGACATCGAAACTTGTACCATTCTGTTGGACTACGTTGTTCTAACTCGGACTTTGCGAGTTGGGAATCCCACTAGCGATCTTCAAGTCGTAATAGCATCTCTTGCTTGCTATGTCAATTGGCCGTTAAGTACATGTATTGATATTAGAATCATAGTATAGTTCCCAACTCAAATCTGACAATGGTTATGAGGCGCAATCAGTTCTCTCCAGAGAGATTATTCGCCCTATGGCTTAAGGCTATATTGGTTTTTCGAGCCCAGTCCAAACCTACTAGAACTAGCTTATAGACAATAATGCTGGCTCCATACTGCTTTGTTACACAAGGCCGAAACAAATACACGCCTATCGCTCGGAGTACCATTGATTTCAAACCTTACAGGAAGCTTGAGGCTAGCGAGTCGTAGGACCTGTCCAGCCACTGCCGGTATCGTTGACCTGCCAAAAGCAGGTGACCACAGGATCGCCTATAGACCAACAGGCGTGGTATCCGTCTCTTGCGTATTAATACAGGCACAGGTTTCCCAGTCAGAAGTAGCCTGACCCGGGCAGGCGACAGGCTCGAAATCAACAACCACGTTGTCTCCAAATACCTGGTTCTGTGCCATAATGTCAAAGTGGTAGCTGTAGCCGTACTGGTTGGTACCGCCGACTGTTGGGCACCACTGCGCATTTCCATCGTTGGGGCAGAGGTTTGTGACCATGACGATGATGCTCTGGCCAGCAACACCGCCTGTGCCGCAGGTGGAGCAAGGCGCCTCTCCTGTTGAGGTCAATTGATAGCATTTGCCGCAACCCGCGCCGCACCATGAAGCGCCTGCAGTATCGTAGAGAGCCTGAGAGCCGGCAGCTGTGTAGACTCCGCTGCTAATTCCAAGCTATAGAGATGGAGTTAGATTGTTGAAGTTATCATCGTGGTCTAGTCAGGACTATCATCTTACCTGCCAAGACGCTGCGCCCCCAGAGTTCGAGCCACATCCGCAAGCACCCTCCTGCCCGTCATAATAATGCTAGAACTTCTTGTCAGCTGCAAGTTCAGTAGAATCTCACAACACGAGATACTTGCGGTAGTTGTAGCCTTGAACGCGGAAGCAGCGCTCAGAATCAAAGGCAAGATAAACAGAGAGGTGATCATGTTTATAGCTGGTGCAAGACTATGAATATAGAGAAACGAAATAGATGACTAAATCAAGTGCTTTTGCAGCGTTGAAGTTACAAAAGATTGGGTAGAGGCCGCTTCGTAGGTTATATACATGAATGAATGTCAATCACTGAATAGCATGGATTCCATAATTTCCCAGACTGGCTAGAATCACGAGGTAATTAAATTCATGACATAGTATATCGGGTGTATTATTTTAATTTTTAATACAGGCAAAAGCTGTTTTATTAAACTAGCTAGACAACCAAGGATCTGAGCGCTTTGGCTGCCATTTACAGACGTCTCGAGCCAGTCCAAGGAGTCGGCATAACTATTTTCTTGGGCCCTGTTCGACCTCCGAGGCATGAAGAAAACTTACTATTCAGACCACGGGGTCTATATATTGCACTTGATGTTTTTCTCAAGGGGTGGTTAACAGGCTAGACCATGTTCGGATTGTCGGTGCCTCGGGGAAAAGCCTTGCAGATCTGACGTTGTAATCTTTGCAGTTGATACATCTACAAGTAGTAGTTCAATGGGATTTCCGAGAAGCCACCATGTTGTCCATGCCGGAAACAAATCGGTTGATGATCATCCGAATTCGAAAGGGTAAAGCTTCTGCAGCCGCCATGGCTTGCGTTGGCCCAGTTGGTACATGTACCCAACAAGGGGGCGTGGAGTAAGCAAGTACCTGACAAAGAGTATTCCTATTTGCGCGGATAGAAATCTAGATTTGCACGGCAATGTCTCACTAGTTCGGCTCCCTTGCCCCACCGTCATAGTGGACATGGTGCAGATCTTCCTATTTTTGCTTACATTGATCAGGGGTAAGTAGTTCAGGATCAAGTCTTCCAGTACAATTATGAGAAGCATGTCTGTAATCTTTAATCTTCACATTCACTTGAGCATTTTCGGCGTTCGCCGCATGTTTCCTGTTTTTGCGCTGTTGTGGATAACACCATCCGGGGTCCATTATATTTCACATAGCAGCATTTATAGTAAATTTATAGTAAATAGAGGTCATTATCATGAGCCTCTCCATAATAATTCAAGTTCAACGTCAGCTTTATTTCTGTCCTATTTCTGAAACGATACGGACATGCACAATACGCTAGCACATGGTCGTAAACTATCTCCCAGAAATGACTGATGCTTCATTTGCCAGCTTCCACAGTCCTTCAGCTTAAACTTGATGCTGAAAAGCTCAAATAGGCGTAACATCAACCCAGAACCGCGTATCGTCACTACTGTACTGTGAATTGGAGTCAATCTGGCTCTGAATCCACTGGACAGACTGTTTGTAAAAGTTAATGTCAGCCGTATTCGGGTTAGCTAAGCCGGAGGCACCATCTCGGTGGCCAGCAAACCACTTGTCGTAGCCGTAGTAGTTTTGACAATCCCATCTTGAGGCAACATCAGCGTAAATGTCGGAGCTAGGAGATAGATATTTTCAGTCAGCAAGTGTAAACGGGAGGTCTCTAGGTCAAAATATACTGACTTTAATCTGGCACCGTTGTTCCATTGGCTTGCATCCTGACCGGCGAAGCCAGCACGAGACGCGCATACGCGAAGCATACCCCAATTCTGCTTAAAGAGTCCAAAGTTGGCCGAATCTCCGGTCTTCCCATCACCTTCAACTCAGGGTCAGCAATCAACTTTGGATGTGCAGGTTCACTGAACCGCTGGGCCAAGTGATGGTTGTAGGGACCAGCTGACAAGTTGGACCTGTCTTCTTTTCTGCTGGAACGTAGACCAAACCCAGGTTCAACATGACTAAACATACCGTATGTGTAGTCTGTGGACATTCGCTCTGTCTCAAGCATGGCGATGGCAAGATCCAGAGTGTTGCCACCGGCATTGAGAATGGCCTGTTTGCGGCTGCCAAGACCAGGCACCGTGTATGAACCACGGTCACCAGAAGCGGCCGAGGCTGCCACCGCTAGAGCAAGGACCAGACTGAGATATTGCATTTTTGACGATATTTTGAAGAAGAATCAATGTCGGTCTGACGATGATATGTCAAGGAACATGGCCGGCTACCATTTCTTTTTATATTAGGTTACAAGGCCGCTGTCGAACCCACTACACCAGAAATAACGTAGCCACGTTCTCCGTTGAGATCGGCGGAATTCCGTATCACCTGGTCAATCCCAGCACGCCTTGCTGATTCAATCGGAATATCCGAAATAACCAGAAGCGGACGTTTGTTTTGCTGCCTCAAATGCTCCGTCACGAGAAACGTAGTGAACAGAGGTCAACACCCCTGGCTCTTGGCTGATAAGCTCGCTGTCTAGCTATGCCGGTCTCGAAGGAACAAGACCATGTGGAAGTGATTAAGACGGCAACTGGCTCCTACCGACCTATTAGCCAGATGAGCATTTGTGTATCTGGACTTGATTCTCATTGGTCGTCAATATTCAAGCAAAGCACAGCAAACAAACAAACAAGGCAGTTCAGGTACAACCATAATGCTAGCCTCATCTTGTTGTCAAATCATTACCCACATCGTAACCAAAGTTCGGCTTCTTTGCCCGATCTAGTTACGGAAAATCCGCTACATACGCTCTGCCCATATTCTGGATCGTTTCATTCGTTCGCTTCTAATATCGGTAAAGGATATTTGGAATACAGCCTTTCTTCCTTCCTATTGCAATGAGCATTCCTCGAACAATGCTACGCTCCTAGGCTTCTTCCAGCTTGGCTACAATGCTCTGTATCTTGTATTCCTCAGCAATTTTAGCTCCTTCATTTCGGCCTATGGGGCGTTCCCCTTGTACTATAACACAAGGCTCCTTGTAACCCTCTATGCCATGCTCCAATTGGCCAATCCGAGTGTTGCAACAAAGATCGGCGTCGCTACCGTGCAAAGCCCGCCGCGCCGCTTATAGAACTGGAAGTTGCTAGCGCAAAATAGGAAAGTAAGTGCGATCTCAGGGGCCTAGATTAGCTTTTCATACAAGCTTTCGGCTCCATATACAGTGGACCAGACATCTGAAGGATTCTATCCCATCTTTGTGTATCCCGTTGATAACAAATAGCGACTACGATGAGCAAGATGCGGGCCGGCGTGTTGTTTTCTTCCCCACATGTAGCGTAAATCGAGAGAAGATTGAAGATTGCTCTATGCATACTCCCCGTGACAATAGCAACGGTGGGCGTGTAGAGCTCCGCAAAGCCTTCCGCGCCCGACGAGAGCGCACAGAAACTACAAGTACAAGAACCAATGAATCCGGTACCGTACAGGTATCCGTACCAATGATGGCTTGGTTTAATCTCGATATTGGAGTGAGGCAAAGTGAATCTAAGAATCTAAGAGTTCGACTCGGCCCGGCCCAACGCCCAATTCTGCCTGGTTGATGGCCGCAGACAAACCACCCTTGCATACCTCACTGCCGAGGCAAAACTTGCAGATACAGTAGATGCATTCAGCGATGCTTCTTGCCGAGGCCAGCTTGATGATGACCCATAGGTCTAGCTCGATCCCCGCCAGATCCTCCCGATGGGATGTCGCGCTGCTGTCGCCTGCCATCGCCCCACGCTTCGAACATCAAGGTTGCATGGATCGATGGCACACGCAGCAGTTGGCTCCGAGCGCCGATCTTGCGGCGCTAGTTGAGACTTCGGAATACTCGCAGCAATATTGAGACCCAAGTGGTACATGACATGTAGTCACCACGGCTGTAAGACCCAATTCTGCAGCTGGTCTTCCCATCTAAGTAGAACGGCTACTGTAAGATTCAGGAGCTACCGATTTCCCGGCTGTCGGCAGCTCCAAACGCAAACGACCTGGTAGAGACTGGGGTAGTTGCATGTGCCTAGTAGTAAGGCCGAGTGTCAGTTGTGAATAGCAAAGGTCCCCTCAATAGAGTCAAGACGCTGGATGCCCCGAACAAATTATGTCCTATCTATTGACCTTACGAGTACGAGAAACCGCAGCCACAAAGGCCATGATGATCATCATGGCCAAGAGATGTATGACGATGCCAATCTGGAAAAGGAGATGGCTTCGGCGCTCATTCGCGCACCAAGTATGCGAGGAACTTGTCTTTTATGCACTAATCCCGTGGAAACACAAGTACACACAAGTACAGCCACGGCCCAGTACCTCATTAGCATCCAATTAGGCAGCTTCCTATTATGGTGGTCTATTTAGCTACAAACCAGATAAGCATTACAGATTGATCTATGGATTCGACGTGACTGTAAGACCAAAAAAAGGGGCGTCTTTTGCATTACGTCTAACGTTTGGCTGACCAAAGACTCTATCCATCTTACTGATTAGTAGCCAGTCAGTCCAGTAGGAAGAGGACTGTTAGCTTTATACGCAGAGATGTATTCCCTGGCCCAGTCGAGATACTTGCTTCCATGACCTTCAGGCTGTGCTGGATCCTGCGGCTCAATATCCCGCGAATATTCTGAAAAGGGAGGTAATGTGTCAGATACCAATTCATTTTGCTTTCATCTGCGATGACTGAAATCCAACATCTCTTGCTGACTCACCTGAATCGTATTCATCGACAAACTGTGGATTACCATCTCCATCATCCGCCTGCCTTTGTGCCATCCATTCATTCCACCACGTCAGCATAACGACCTTGGGATGGATCTCAAAGGCTCTTGCCCATTGGTCAGCAAACGTTTGACCCTGCTTTCGCGGTGTCGCCGTTGCCTTGTTGCTTATATACGTAGCCTGCTTGGCAACGCATACGCTGATCTCCTCGGCGATACCATTCATAGTTCCGACGTTTTGAGGGGCATCCTGAAGAAAGGACCATTCGCCGTCCGCGAGGCTGCTCTGGAGGCCCCACATCTTGCGCATCGTGAAGTTGCCGGCTAGCTCGTTGGGGAGCGAGTCTGTCGTCAGGAGCAAGGGCTTGCCCTCGTAGGTGACCCAGAGGTCGGAGTAGGTGGTGTTACTGTAGTAGCGATCTTGGACGAAACGGCCAACTGCCGAGGGATCGGAGTTTGTAGACGTTGTGCCAACCCAAAACACAACATAGGGCCTGCAGTTGATGGTTAAAAACAGATTACGGGATGGAGCTGGGCGGAGAATTGGTCGTATGAGAACATAGCAAAAGCACTTACGTGGTCTTTGCAGCAGCTCTTTGACGTATCATCTCGTCTAGAAGCACGTCCGAAGGCTCGGTAAATATACCCGTAGCATACCCTCCATAGCCCTAAAAAGTCATGTATCAGGCATAAAGCTTTCGTCCAACGATGATAGCCAATGCAGCATACCTGCAGATTCGTTGCATCTATCACAATAAAGTCGATGCCAGCACCGGAAATCTGGGCGAAATGGCGATCCAGGACACCTCGGTCGCCTCCGCCATAGTAGCCGCCATCCGGACGACCCCAAAAGTGCCAGGCGCCCTGGGGCGCAAAGGCTCCCTGCCCCTGCTCGATTTCTGTAATATCAGGTGGTTGAAGGCCTGTGTAGCCGAGACTGTGCCAGACTGAGTAGCAGATGGCCACGGCATTAGGTGAGAGGTTGATATCAAATGTGGCCAGAGACAGACCAGCGAAAGCAGCGACGGCGAGAAACGATGGCCACATGGTGCAGGCACTGACTGTCATGTTTGTAACCGTCTTGAATTGACACTCAGGTCATGGTCGAACTTTATTCGAGGGATGTTTGAACTTGAAATCACCTTGACGTGTCTTATACTCTCGTTGGCTTCTGCTCGGGCTTGGGCCTTGTCAAAGCCGATCTCAGGCTTCCTCCATTGCTGATGCCTTATCCACAAGAGTCCGAAGTGCGGCAGGACGAGGACGAGTTACCCCGACCTTCTTGAATCACGCGGGCCGAGACTAAAGCTGGAAATTAAAAATCATCAGCATCCATGTCGAATTCTATATAGCTACATGTATGATGACATCTCGGCGCTACCGAAGACGCTCTGCAGAGACTGCCACTAGTTGTTCTCCGCGGAAGATCAAAGTACAGTAGCTGCTTGACAGAGCGCTTTTGCTTCGGAATGGAACGCAATTGAGCAAATTAAGGGCAGGTCGTCGGAGCTCGAGAGGCGTCATTATCGACCACACTTGCAACCAAGAAGGCTGAGTACGAATCTTTCGGGAAAACATTCAAATGCCTGTTCACGGTATCGGACTGGAAGTTGGCAGGGACTTCAGACGCATTCAGATGGCCATCCATTGAGCCTATGCCATGTTCTTACTGGCTTGCAGAATCGCATCGTCATCCTGCATTTAGAAACTTGGCTGCCGGTCTCTATTGCTCAGCACCAAATTTGATCCATTTTATAAATATTGAACTTGGCGCAACTCTATAGTCTTAAGACACTCCTGACTCCTAGTCATTCGAAGATCCAGACACGAGTGTTCGGCTGGCTCATAACCGCAATCATGGTGTTCACTAAGAAGCTTTTACTTTGTCTTCATGTGCGAATTGCAGTTGCTATTTCGTCCGAGTCTAGCAACAACGATGACAAATCCGACTATTCGACACTTGACTGCCCTGCTGGTTTCAAAAATGTCGTCTTTAACTCTGGATACTCACCGTCGCAATCTTCGCAGATCCAGGGCGCTTCAAATTATCTCACGTTCGGGCTAGGCAGCAACTTTGGACAAATCCCAATGATGGCTTTCGCAAGCGACGTCGCCAATGCCGTCAGCTTGGTCAACTCGCCCGATGCACCAGAGTACCTATTGACTTTTAACGAACCTGACTACTCGTACATGGGCTACACTCCAACCATGACGCCGCAGCAAGCTGCTGATGCCATCAAGTCGCTACTTGCTTCACCCGGCACTAGGACCAAGTTCATCGCCCCCGTCACTGCCGATCCCTTGTCTAGCTGGCTGCCGGACTTCTACTCTGCCTGCGGATGTCAAGACTTAACTAACTAAGCCTTTTACCTAAGTAAATACATACCGGATATTAAAACTATAGCAACGCTACTTTTGCAACCTGCGCAAGGGTCCAGCAGCAATCTGGCCAAGTTTAATCATGGCGTTAATCTTAAATGTCGCCCCGCTGCCGATTGTTAAAGTGCAGCGCGCTACCGAATCGGAAACATTTAGACAAGCGTTTCCAGACACACTAGAATATACTTACATCAAAGCTACGCGTCCAAGTCTGTTCAGCCAGCCGCTGGCGGCAGCCACTTTATGTTAGAATGCTACATTGAACGTCTGCCAGATTGGTGTGCAATACATCAAAGTCAAGGTCTTAATTAAAAGTTGAATACCTAAAATGCATAGCGCCTTCATTCCTGCCAAAAAGATCTCCGAAACTCAAGTTGGGATTTATATTAGCTGAGACATGCGGGGTTAAATGAATCGATGACCAAAATCTTACTCAATGGGAAATATCTGTTTTTCTATATTAGTAGCTAATCTCACAGAAAAAAATAATAATTCATTAACTTAAACTCATGACCGTTCTCACTCTGTTAATACCCTAACACTGACGTTCTGCTTCTGTTAAATTGAAGATATTCATTATGGTAAAATATACAGTTCTCCCTCTTGTAACTCTCGCCGCCCTTTTCTCTTTCACTGCTGCCTTCAACTGCCAGGTCAACTTCAAATATTGCGGAGGTGCTCTCTTACAAATTGGTATGTATCTCCAAAACATATAACTATTAAGCTATATATTATCTACTAAAGAATAAATAGGGCGTTATGAGGAATATATTCGTGAGGCACTTAAAGCCGCATCCCAGCCAACATACGGTGCCCATATTCAAAGGTCTTTGTTCTTTTGCTCGGGGCATCATGGGGAGATTGAGTACCTTGAATTTTGTGGCAACAGGTGTGCCGATAGCGGTTTATTCAGCAACGACTACTGCTATTAATGAGCTATATTTCAAGGCTCCCTCTTGGCGGCTACTTGGTTGTAATCGCCTGTTTTACTATAAACCTGTTTATCAAATGAAATGAATCAAGTTGTAGTTACAGTAATCTGCAAGTTATTAAACTGTCTATGCATATATCCATCCACCTTTCGCAGCCTTGACCTCTTTTGTCTTTCCCAGCTCTACTCTCAGCACGGGCATCGAGCGGAGAGTCGGCGCAGCTCGACGTGATATGCAATATCCTTTAGTGTCATTAGCCTATTTATGTATCCTTAACTATTTATACTTATCTTTATTAAACAAGTAAAATATCAAAGTGGTATATAAAAAGTAGTGGCAGAAGTGCAATTTATCTATATCCATTTATAAAGGAACCATCTACCTCCAGAGGCAGAAGTGATGTTGGTTTACATTTAGCAGGAGAGGTGGAAACACTCTACCTCCAGGGGCAGAAATGGGGAGAACAGCTATTGTAAGTAACCTAACCTTCCCTGACAAGTCGGGACCCTGGGGGTATAATGATACATCAAGGTTGTTTGAAGAAGGATCAGCCACTGTTTGAAGAAGGTTCACGCATGTTTAGGACTGGTTGTTAGAAGTTTAGTAATGATAATGTTGCTGAACGAGTGAGAATGTTATATAGGAGAAATGTGTATAGCTAATTATTCAAGTTTATTGGCAGTAAGGTTCAATATTCCAGAGTAAGGTTTTTGTCATTCCAGATTGTAAACTCAAAGCCTGACTTATTAAATTTACACTCTTTCCCCATTTTTACAGCAAGGCTTTTGACATTCCAGACTATAAACTAAATTCTGTGTCTCTTGGGTTATGATACTCTAGCCACAAGCACTTCAAGTCAAAAAGTTTGACTCTTTAGTTGTAAGGTTTCCTGGTCTGATTGTATAGCTAGAGTTATATAGTTAAAACTACTTTAGTTGTAATATTCTTGAAGCCTCAGCCAAGCTGGCTGGCAGGGGTGACTCTTTGGTGTATTTTCCGAGTCTTCTGCGTCGCTTTCGGGACTGGACGCGGGTGCTATTGCTAACCCTGTATCGGATGACATGATGGATAACAGAGGTCGGCTGGTCCTTGTGGCGTCAATATTAAGCGGCCCCAGCTCTTGGACAGCTTATTGGCTCCTCTTTGTTGTCAATTTTGCCTATACTAGCTCAATTATTCCAAGCACACAAGCATCTGCATTTTAATTTAAGAGATCAAAAACAGCTTCTCCTATACTAGTCTAGGCAGCCTATATCAGGACCAACAAGTAGCGCTAGGCACACTTTATATAAGAAAAACAAGTCCAATTAATTACTATTGCTCGCAAGCAGGGTTGCAAATTCATAGTAATACGTTCTCCACTGAGTAACATGGATGATCCATCTTGCCAATTTCAGCTATCCGAAGATGACTCAATTTATGAACTGATCTCGGATGCTATTGATGAGGAGGTTATCTGCATTGGAGCCCGGGCTTTTCCATCTAATGGCGAAAATGTCTATCGAATTCAAAACAACAGCACCAGTCTTTGCCAAAGGACGACTGGAGCGGAGTATCAGAAAAGGCATGTTGAAACCCGGTGAAAGATTCACGAGATTGTGCATGACGTCTTGCAACCAGAGGAGGCAGCCTCTTTTGCGACCTTTATTGTGTTCAGGTGCACAATTCACTCTAAACGCCACAGCATCCGAATCGTATCAGTCCCTATCGAGCTTTTGGGGCTCAGATGTCGTGAAGGATTGTTCTTCTATGCTCAGTTAGATTGATAAGACTCCCTTCATGAATTTTTTAACTGCAGTGGTGTTTGTTTGCCAATGTTGGGTCAAATAGTTTGGGTAATCTCAGGTTAGCTTAATATGCCACTTCGTTAACTCAAATTTCAAGAGTGAATCGAGTATCTTCAAATGTCCCTAAGCAGCTGCTAGAATCAGTAGTGTCCTGTCGGAAATATTCTGCGACCTGATATCTGTTTCGTAACAAAGCATAACGACTCCATACATGTATCTTCTTGCCTTCTGCACCAAAGCCAGAAAAGATTGCTCCTAGATTCCGTCAGTTTCACATCAAGTTCAGCTTTTTAAGGCTCATGCCTTAAGCCAAGATGCGTCTAGAAGCTTACTTTGCTCCGTATCTCTCATTCTCTTCACCAAAAGTTTTTTTTTTCCTGGCCTTCTTCCATATAATCAACTTCAATCTCATCCGATTTAACTAAGCCTCCCTAGCATTAAGTTTCGTAATCATACGCCATATGCTTAAAATTAGGTTTGCGAATCATGCCAATTATACTAGTAGTTTAACAGACGTATATGTACTCCTGTCAGAATAAAAAATTGTCTTCCTTTACAATTATCCCATTATAAGTCTTCTCTACCAACGAAGCTTCCTTTAACGGCGATCTGTTCGGTAGTACTGTTTGAGTTGGAACAATGATAAGATCATTTACGACCTGGTTCAGCGTAACAGATAGAATCCCTCATGAGCAGCTGGTTCCGTTACAGTAACTGCTGCAGTAGTAGTTATTGGCCTAATCTTTTGCCCTGTTTGGCATAACGGTATAACGGATCGTTACAAACCATTTGCAATCTTCATGGATATGAATAGTACATTTTATATCAGCGTGTGGTGTGTGATTTTACGTGTAGGTAGTTACGTTGCACGCATTTACGTAAGCATAAGTACCACTGCCCATGCAACTTCATATTCTATTTAGAAAGAAAGCTTCAAATTAGAATGACTTATAAGAGAGAGAGATGTATAACATCCAACCACCATCTCTTTCACTTATTGCTGTGAATATTCTGCTCTCTTCCCTATTATCACTGTCCATCCTTTCCCTATAAAGGTTCAAATAACGCTCATACTTAGGGTCGTTAGAGGGTGGAAACTTTCCCGTCGATTTTCTGTCGTATGGCTTTTTCCTTTTTATAGCCCCAAGCGCCTCTATCAATTGCCAGCTTAAATCAGGCCTATAAGAGTGAATGATTCTTATCGCTCTGTCACTGATCATTTTGTTCGTCGCTATAGCTATAAACACCTCCTCCTTTATCATCTCGGATTCGCAGTGATCAGAAATTAGAAGGAGGTTCAACACTGTACTTCCACACTGCTGGTTCTCTGCCGCGGCTATAACCACCTCCTCTGATATCTTGAATCGGCCTTTTAGGTGATGAGAAAGAATTTCGAATACCTTGTTAGCACCATTCGGGTTCTTTGCTGCAGCTATCAAAACCTCATCGCTCGCTATGAATTCTCTTGGGCGACGATGCAGCAACATTTCGACTACTTCGCCTTTCTTGTCCCAAGCTACCGCGGCCGTACAGATTTTTTGGTTGATCTTGACTTCAGGCCTCTTAAGAAGTAGATTTTCCAATTCTTGAGACGAAGAAGTCTTCGCCAGAGCTACACAGCGATCCGTATCGAGGACTTTTAGGCATTGTATCAAGTCTCGCACTGTACGCGGTGGTGTCGCAAGGTCCTCCGGTTCACAATGTTCAATAAACTGAACAACCTGACGAACCAAAGATTCTTCTGATTTCTCATAATCAGGAAAGATATTGTTTTTCTCTCTAACATCGGACGACATCCCCCGCAAAGCATACACAAGGTCTCGTGGTTCTGTCGCTTTGCTATCTCCAAAATTCAATAGCAGCGTGCGAAGATCTGGACTCTTGCTCCACCATGAGTTCTCTCTCCACGGATTAGGCATAATGTCGAGTACTGATTGACAATGCGGATGGGTATCTGTTTCTAGAAGCTGAGGTGCAAGACTAAAAAGCCGCGTTGATACCCTTTTCGTGCCGCAAAATATGATGCCCGCCCGCGCAAGCGCCACTTCTTGTAAAATCCATACTCTGCGAAACCACGGTCTTGCTAGAAGCTCTCGTAAACCACGCCGTTGTATAGCTTTGTAGTGCGTATAAGTTCTTTTGAATAATGGCTCCATAGAGGCCCATACTTTCTTCCAATCATCATCTTCAGGCAGCCAGCTTCTGTAATTGTGCTTCTCAATTTCGCTCTGAAGCAGTTGCAGTGATTCCATGAGTACGTCCGTCTCAAAGGTTCCCGGGCCTAGCCAAAAAACTACTCGGTGAGCTTCCTTGTAAATCTCACTCATCTGCTCAACTTGGTGCCCTCTCTCTTTCTTGTTTTCTTGATCAATACATACTGCATCAATCCATAGGATACGATCCTCATCCTGATAACGAAGTTGTTGAAGAATGCCATAGAGATTCAAGGTAACATTCATAAAGAAACAATCTATGACGATGCTCTCAGTCAAGTCAGCAGAGCCCCACGTATACGAGAGGGCTTCATATGAAACTGTATCATGTCGCTGATGCAGCTCTGCCTGGAAAAGGTTGCAGGTTATCTCGCTCTCGTTGCCTCCTCTATGCAAACAGAGCAGTCGAATTGCAGGTCGGCCCAGATCAAGAGGTTCATAACTATACTGCTCCATGATCAATTACAATATACATGTGTAACAATATCAAAAATCTAGGTATGTGCCACCAAAGTGGAAGAGCTGGTACACATGTACCTAGGTATATTGCGGAAATCTTCGAAGTCAGAAATAGAAGCTGGAAAAGAATGACGAAGAAAGAGAAAAGAAGAGAAAAGAAAAAGAAAAATATCAAATGTGTATGCTCTGCGATATAATGCCTAGCGTAATACTGCCTGACCGGTAGTTCGAGGCAGATTCAGGCTTCGAGCCGTAGATGTCCATTCGCAGCACAGCCACGCACAGAATTTGTGTCGCCATATGATTTAAGGATGCGGGGCGGTAGCCAATACATTGACATTACATATCCCTAGGCAGAAGATTCGTACAGGCAGATTACGTGCATACATCAATGTATTTCTCTCCAGTAGAGTGCGCTAGCTACATGCAGACATATTTACGGCGTATGTTCGTATAGGCTACACCCCTCACAAATCCAGATCATTATTTAGGCTGGAGCATACGTTTATCTAGTAGGCAGTGCCATAAGGCTTAAAGTCAAAGTCCTCGATATCTAGAGGACCAATTCGGCCAGACCACTTGCTCAGCGCAGACGAAAAGACCTTTTGGTGATCCTCTCGGCTTAAATCAAGGGGTTCATGATCAAGGCCAACGAGTTTCATGCTACATTGCATCAGCGCGTCAGTATTCCGCAATCTCGTACGTTCATAGGGGCAAGTAACTTACTCAGTTTTAGCAGCGAGCAAACCCATGCCAGTGTCGTTCTCGTCGAAAAATGGCTTAATGGCACCCTCTACAACACCATCAAGGATTCTCTGCGGCAGCGCAGGTTCATAAGCAGTAGGTCGCGCCAATCCGATTCCATCCACAGACTTAAGGCCCTTGACCATGCCAGCCGTTGAGCGCAGACCACCAGTGACATACACCTTGGTCTTCTTCAGGTGCGGGATGATCAGCTCAGCGAATTCGAGGAAGTAAGCCTCTCTCTTGATGGTTGACTCTCGTCTATGCCGAAATGCCAGCTCCTCGTATGTGCCGCCGGAAAGCTCAACCCAGTCAAAGTTGTTCTTCTCAAGTTCGACACAGAGGTCCTTGCATTCCTCGGGGGTAAAGCCGCCCTCCTGGAACTCTACACTGTTCAGCTTGATGCCGAGACTGAAGGACTTGTCAGGGACGCGAGCGCGAATGGCATCGGAGATCTGAAAGATGAGTCTTGCGCGGTTGAGCAGCGAGCCGCCGTATTCGTCGGTTCTCTTGTTAGTTGACGGTGCGAGGAACTGGGCCAAGAGATAACCGCTACGAACAACGTCAGCATTCTTCACTTATTTTGGCTTGTGCCTGTATGTCCTGGTAATTGGAAGCCAGGATATCCGCAGCGTAAAAGACTTACTGGGCACCATGGAGCTGAACGCCATCGAATCCGGCCTTGTAGCTATACTCGGCAGCATGAGCAAATCCGTTAATGACCCTCTCAAAATCAGCCTTCTCCATCGGTCTCGGCTTGGCAAATGTTCCCATCGCGGGAATCACCAGCTGCACATCGCTAGCAGAAATGGGATTCGGCTGAATGGCTTCCTGAACCTGTCGACCCGGGTGGCTCAGCTGCGGGTACACGAGACTGCCGTGCTTCTTAGACACCTCAGCAATTTCCTTGAACTTTTCAAATCGTTCTCCAGAAAATGGAGCATCTGAAGGAATGATGTGGGCTCCGTCAATCTCCAGTTGATCGTACTCGAGCATGGTGTTGCCGAGAAGAATGACTCCGTATCCGCCCTCGCCCCATCGTCTATACAAGTTAACGAGCTCTTTTGAGGGGATGCCTCTCTTTGTTAGATCCTTCTCATCGTAACTTGACAGCTGCTCAGACATGGAAGACTTGAGAAAGCGGTTCTTGGCCGTTTTGCCGCTGAACTCGAATGCCAGGGGCTGGCCAAGGGGCGCAGCGTCGACCTTTTCAGCTGAAGTATATCTCTGAGTGGCCATAGTGGAGGCTGGTGAGACGGTGTTTTTGGTGGGAGAGTTATACAATTTGAAGTCCTGTTATTTAGTTACTATGCCAGACGATCCTATAGCCAAGGGCAGTCCATCTCTTTATACGCAAACATTTGTAAGTCGAGTGGGGTGATCGTCGGTACGTCTGGAGCCCGAATCAACAACCTATACCAAGGCATTTATCACTCATGCTCTGCTAATCATCAAACTAGTTTCAAAAACTGGTTGATAGGTGGAGTTATGGAGGGGCAAGAGCAGGGATCTAAAGGAGAGGTGGCACATCTCTTGAGAAGAGAAACGCCGCCAAGGACTGCATTGTTCTATTCGCATCAGACGCTGAGTAAAGATAGGAGACTATATCTGACAAGAAGTTGGACAAGTCCGCTTAGGAACCATTACCAATGTTTTAACCAAACTAGATAAAAATAAGACGGCTTCATGTAATGCCTCTTCTCTTTCAAAATTGACAGCAGATATTATTTACAAGAATTAGCCCCAAATTAGGTCATAGACTTTTCTTGACACTAGACTGCTTGGAACAAAGGAATCACAATGGAATAGGTTGGAAACGTCGCATTGAAAGCGGCAGTTGAACCTTGCCGTTTGCTATTTTAGCGTTAGCACCAACAACTAGAACCCACACAGGCAAGATCGCAGAATAAACCGATGCTCTTCGCCCGGGAAATAGATATTGAAGCTTAGCTACGTGTAGTTTTATTTTCATTACTACCTAGTTAGCATAGTCTCTAATATGCAACTAGAACATCGTCAAAGAATGCATGTATGTATACCCAATATGCCGACTTGGGCGACTAAACTATGATCAAGGCCGCAGAAATCTTCTAATAGGAGGGAAAACTGACAGCCATACTAACGTACCTCGGTACTACGGATCAGAGTCAGATCCACTTCAAGGTTTTTCATCGACGTGACAAGTCGCTTGACACTGCTTGGTGCAGTCAATAGTATGTAGCAACAGTAGGTGATTCTAGTCATTTTACTACTTGTACCAAAACTCATGTTAATGTTATCTGTATGCAGGTCCAAGAATCGGGTAAATCCTTTTCCTCACGCCTGCACCCCAGATCTGTCCAACTAGTACGGAGTAGCAGCAGCAAAATTAAATAGCTTACCAAGAAACCCTGGATCCTACCCTAGATGAACCAGGAATTGTATCACAAACTGTTATTAATGCAGCAACTCCTTCAAACTTTTTTAAATACGATCTCGAGAGCAAAAGATGACCTGCTGCCCGTGATTATACTATTGATAATCAACAAACAGACAGCATTGGTCATCAAGTGACCAGATTAAAATACCTTATCCAACATGGACATATTGTTGGAGAACTTGAATTACTGATATCCCGCAGTTCATTTTAACCTCGCTCTCAATCCATGTATTTAGAAGCTAAGCATTGCAAGCACGCCGTCTGTAAATCTGCTCTGATATTTATTAGAGTTGTCCAAAACTTATAGAAGTTGCTAACTGAACTCTTGCACGGAATTTCCTTTCAATAAAGAACCATAAGAGAATATGGAGGGCACGCTAGCATGCACGAGCTAAATTAGCATCCGCAGGTGTTGATGGAAAGGGGACAAGGTCCGATGGATTATAAATACACTATAAGCTAGTTTTTCGACTCATCCCACTTTCAGCATGGCACTTGTATCAGTTTTGTGGCCAATACATGGACACTTGATATATATATTCACTATTACTACCTTTTACTGTGCAGTCCGGAATTGTCTTGGTAGTATTAAGAAATCTGATTGCTTGCAGGACTCATACTTAATATCCGATGCCACAATTCCCCTCATTCAGCACCGGCCTGTTCAAATGCAATGGATCCCACCTGTCTTACTAATTTTACTAATTCACATAGATAGTATCTAGCGCCAAGTAGATATTAAACGGAGCTTTAGTATTACTCGGAACAAAAACGACTCCGAACAAAAACGGAACACGCTTTCCGGACAAGTGACGGTTGGATCGGCTATATCGCTCTGAACGAGTTGTTGATTTCAAATCCTTTGTCAATGGTTTGAAGGATTGGCTTTCTGAGCGGAGATATCTTCACCGGCCATACTATCAAGCCCTTGGTATATTCGTGAAGGATTCTAAAACATGGAGGCACGCAATCGTAGTATAAGTAACTGGGCCTCGGCCAAAGTAGACAATAGAGCGAGCTCGTCATACCCATTTTTCCCACGACTCCGCCAGATCACAAGTTCCTGAAACCATCACCAACTCGTCTCAACTCAAACCAAACAAGCCTCAAAGCTCAACCACCGCAACCATGGTAAACTTCCGCATCGACGTCGTCTCAGACACCGTCTGCCCCTGGTGCTACGTCGGCCGCAAGCAAGTCCAGCGAGCCCAGGCAATCTGGCAGCAGCGCTACCCTTCATCCACCGACACCTTTTCCGTCAAGTACGCGCCCTACCAGCTCAACCCAGACTCGCCCCGAGGCCCTGGCAACAGCCGCGACAAGCACGAGTACTACCTGCAGCGTTTCGGCCCGGAGCGCACCGCCATGATCCACGAGCGCCTGACCGGCGTGGGCAACGCCGTCGGCATCAACTTCAAGTACGGCGGCAAGCTGGGCAACTCGCGGGACTCGCACCGCCTGGTTCACCTCGCCAAGAAGTTTGGCGACGACACGGAGCTCAAGGTCGTCGACGGGCTGTTTGCCGCGTATTTTGAGAATGAAAAGGACATCACCAGCTACGAGACTCTCGAGGAGGTCGCTGTAGGAGCTGGCATTCCTGAGGCTGACTTCAAAAAGGCCATTGTGGAGAGTGATGAGGGCGGCAAGGAGGTTGATGAGCTGGCTGGAAGTGCGAGGTACAGGGGCATCAGCGGCGTTCCGGATTACACGATTCAGGGCAAGTTTAAGCTGAGTGGCGCTCAGGACGCGATGGAGTTTGTCAACGTCTTTGAGAGGGTAAAGGCTCAGGAGCACTCATAATGCACATGAGTAGAAAATAATTAATAAAAGACGGAAATAAAAATTCCAAGGCCTATGTTATCAAAGACTCACGCTATGGCACTATTAATGCCAATAATTGACATGACCGCGGGTATATCCAACAAGCTAGCAATCTCAGATATCTTTATCTATTCTTGCTCTGAAACACCAACTCTGCTCTCTTCTCTAGCACATCCTCCCATACTCTCCTCTCCCTCAGTCCCGGCATGTAAAACAGCACGCCAATCTCTTGACTCGTCCACCAACTGGCTCTGTCCATGTTACCTGAACCCAGCATGAGATACTCTCCATCCACCATTGTCATCTTGAAATGGCTAAAGACGGGCTCATCTTCCAGCTTCGCCCTCTCGCCAAGTTGTTTATAGTAGAATATATCTAGCTGGCCAGGAGACACTAGCTGGGCCTCCGGATCGCGATTTTGAGAGTGGCGCTTACACAACGCCTGGTACTTTTTGACGAAGCGACGAAGACACCATGATGTAGTTGTTCCAGCAGTGACGAGTTGCTCAATCAACATCATATTGCGACCCGTACGCACCTGAACGTTGACTCCCCGAGATAATGCATCTAATAAGGCTTCTATGACCGGCCATGAAGTGAGATTTGGCGTGACAAGATGGATTTCATGGTGAGCATTAGCAAACAGAGTGAGCAGCGCGGCGTTGAGCGGAGTCATTGGCGGATCAGATTGAGAGAAGAAAGGGAAGAAGAATCTGAATCGAGGATTTCGATGATGCGGTGATGGCAGTAAGATTGTCGGAGTCGGGGCAACAGCAGTGAAGTGAATGCATTGTGTTGCTGAACGATCATCGCCGCCCTCGGTAAGCGGTGATGAGCTCGTGGTTTCATGCAGGAGACCTTCTTCATCCACGCCTTGATTTTGTGCTTCCCTTATCGTTCCTCTATCTCTCCCTGAGAGCTCAATGTTGTCTCTATCAACTCTTGCACCCCAAACCCGAGCATGGAAATCCAGTAGCCTATCTACAAACTCGCCTTCAAGCTCAACGCAGCCCTCAAACCACCGCTCCCAGCTCACATTGCAGCTCGGGATCCACGCCTTTGTCTCATCAATAATGACGTATTTCGGATGCATCACGCTCAGCGGCGTGAAAAACAGGCTCTTCACCGTCATTTCGATGCCCCCTTTTCTCAGCGTCTCCTCATCCGGCAAGCCCAGCTTGGCCCATCGCGAAGGAGGATACACGCACCCTTCAGGCGCCGAGGTATGGAACAGCTTCTGGAATAGCCCCCAAGACGAGAATCCAATGCTCACGTTGAGAGGAGGCAGAGACTCTCCCGATCTTGAGCGTGCCTCGGCCAGCTGGAGGAGAGTCTGGCGGATGCCATCGAGAGAAGGAGAGGCGGCCCAGTAGCAGGTGACGAAGTGAATTGAGTGCTTGGCAGACGCAATGGCGGGGAGAATTGCGCGTGTGAATATTGAATGCCCAGTGCCAACATACAGTAAGTTTGGCGTGCTGGTTGTTAGAAGAGAGTCAATGGCCTCGTCATTGTGATAGTTGGGAGAATCGCGAGAGCGCTCGTTTTGGTGGGAGAGGAGCAGGTCCTTCCACGGCGTCACGAATGAGGATGGAAATTCCAACGGCTGCGACATGGACAAGATGAATTGCAAGATGAAACGCTGAGAAAGGATGAGAAAAGAGCGATCTATAAGCTATGCGGGCAGCTGAGAATGGATAATAGAAGAAAGCAAGTTGGATGAGTGAGAAGCGTTGATCGTGTCTTGGACGTAACAGCACAGCCACAGCCTGCGTCACTGAAACAGCGTCTCGACTAACCATGCGCAAGAAGTGTGAATAATCGAGTTGGCTGCAAGTATGACATATGCATCGAATGAACAAGAGTTCAAAAGAAGAAGAGAGATAGAAGACTTTTTGGAAGAAAAAGCAAAAAATAACTGTCCTCGGTGAGGCTCGAACTCACGACCTTCAGATGGCCCAGACTAATGTCTAGATCATATAGATGTATCAATATGAGACTGACGCGCTAGCCAACTGCGCCACGAAGACTCGTTATTGAATGACCGGGGCTTAAGAGTGGCCTATGAACGGTTCTGGATTGGCCGCAACGAGTACTACTCCAATGGCCCTTTGCCATGCTCAATGCCATGTACAGAGTAATGACAGCATTACTATCAGCAATAGTTTCAGTGCACTATCAGATATTACCTGCATTGTCTTCTTTATCGTCTGCTTATCTTTTGGTAAACAACCAGTACATTGTTGAGATCGCCTTGCCAATTAAATACGTCAGTCAATTGAGGCTACATCCATGTCTATAGACACATGGATGTAAGCCGTAGAGCTTCAGAAGACGCAATGCTGTTAGTCCAGGGGACTGCAGCCGTTAACACCCCTGTAATCGCCTACTCTAGCGCTGTAATCACGCGCCTTGGCGGGGCTCCAGCACCCTTTGCACCTGCAGCTCCCCGAGACTCGCACTAATTGAGCTCCTAGCCGAACCGCAATTGCAGTCGCAACCTCGTCTCGACAAAACACCAGCCGCCGCCAGCTCTTGCCAGCGATCCGGGCTTCTCTCTTCTTCTTCTCCTTTCTTTTCTCCTTCTTTTTTCTTCTCTCTCCGCAAAGATGCTCTCCGGCTTGCTCATCTTCAACCAAAAGGGCGAGAACCTCATCTTCCGCGCCTTTCGCAACGACTGCCGGCCTCGCCTTGCCGACGTCTTCCGCATCCAGGTCATCTCCAACGCCCAGGTGCGGTCGCCCATCCTGACGCTCGGGAGCACGACCTTTAGCCATGTCAAGCACGAAAACATCTACCTGGTGGCCATCACCAAGAGCAACGCCAATGCCGCGCTGGTCTTTGAGTTTCTCTACCGGCTGATCCAGCTCGGAAAGGGGTACTTTGGCAAGTTCGACGAGGAGGCCGTCAAGAACAACTTTGTGCTGGTCTACGAGCTGCTGGATGGTGCGTTGCCTTGAACTTGAACCTGTACAAAAACCGGCATCGATACTAACGCTGAAGCTCCGACAAACAGAAATCATCGACTTTGGCTATCCGCAGAATACCGAGACGGACACATTAAAGATGTACATCACCACCGAGGGCGTAAAGTCCGAATCGCGCCCCGAAGACACGTCCAAGATCACAATGCAGGCCACCGGCGCGCTATCATGGCGCAAAGCAGACGTCAAGTACCGCAAAAACGAAGCATTCGTCGATGTCATCGAGGACATCAACCTGCTCATGTCCGCCACCGGCGCAGTGCTGCGAGCGGATGTCACGGGACAAATTGTTATGCGCGCCTACCTATCCGGTACCCCTGAGTGCAAGTTTGGCCTCAACGACCGATTGCTGCTCGACAATGACGGACTGCTGAGCTTGCCCAGCGGAAACAAAATGGGCACCAAGGCGACCAAGGCAGCGGCAGGAAGCGTCACGCTGGAGGACTGTCAGTTCCACCAGTGCGTCAAGCTGGGCAAGTTTGATACGGACAGAATCATCAGCTTCGTCCCCCCGGACGGCGAATTCGAGCTCATGCGATACCGCGCCACGGAGAACGTTAACTTACCGTTCAAAGTGCACGCCATTGTAAACGAGGTCGGCCGCACAAAGGTCGAATACAGCATTGGCGTCAAGGCCAACTTCGGAGCCAAGCTCTTTGCTACCAACGTCGTCATCAAGATCCCCACGCCTTTAAATACTGCCAAAATCACCGAGCGCTGCACGCAAGGAAAGGCCAAGTACGAGCCCAGCGAAAACGTCATCGTCTGGAAGATTGGCAGATTTACTGGCCAGAGCGAATATGTCCTCACGGCCGAAGCGAGCCTCACCAGCATGACAAATCAACGCGCCTGGAGCCGGCCGCCCCTAAGCATGAATTTTAGTTTGTTGATGTTTACCAGCTCGGGCTTGTTGGTTCGCTATCTGAAAGTATTTGAGAAGAGCAATTACTCCAGTGTCAAGTGGGTGCGATATATGACGAGGGCAGGCTCATATGAAATAAGGTAAAGTGACCTCATATCCCCATCTATCAGCATCATAGCGCTAATCAGCTGTCCGCCGTCTAGATTCTAAGGTGATTTGATTGTACGATGATGGATATTTATGGCATGCATGGCGTTGATGGATACTCGGGCAAAAGCTTTAATATCATTACACCTTTTTAATCTTCTTCATAATCGCACGGCTCTTGCGTCTTCCTCCGACAATTGAGGTTGCAATCTCTATGGGTGTGTGCAAGACTATGGCTAGTATCGCCTTGTGGCGCTTGGAATCTGCATTATGTGTACCTGAAAGATGATGATACTTGAGACCTCAATTGGGCTCAGGTGTGTGAACTGGAGAACTGTCCCAGTAGCTGAGAGGCTGTGGCACGTCACTTTGACAGCCTTGCTAGTGTGTTGCCTGCCCCCCCCGGATCCGTTCACGGATAACTGCAGATACAACATGTCAGATCCCCTCCTTAGCCGTCTACGTTGTCCAATCCGAGGACAGAGACTCGCTCATTTACATCTATTTAACTTTAGTTACCAAGGGCTTATGATACTGGTCAAGGAACGTTCTCGGCTGGGCATCACCCTCTGCACTAACAGTGCCAACGGATGATTCAGGCTTGCCTTATTCGGCCCGAAACAAGACATACCGGCGAGAAGCTATCGTCAGTTTATCTCCCGGGCATCGTGGTCAATAGTCGGAAATAGTATACAAGCCAAGCTGGCAATTTCAGCCTTTCCAGCAACGATTGATTGCCACAGTCGCCAGCTTGAGCAACAAGCACGTGTGGTTCTAGGCCATGTCCAATCGATAAACCAACCGGGCTTTGTTCTTAGGAGTATTATATCATCACAATTGAGTCCGCGCGTGTACCATCCAGGGACGCCATGAATGTTTCTTTTCCACATGTGGTGCGACGGGAATTTGTTTTGTATCGGCCACCCGCGTGTTTTGCTACTTTCCAGCCGTTGTTGTGTGACTGTTTCTTGGGCTTCCACATTTACCTTCTAACTTCAAGCTTTTAGGACATACAACGCTTACGAAAAGACTTGAGCCAACGAAGCATTTTATCCAGTCGGCTTGACGGTCCTGGTCTCTCTAGCTACAGCTCTGCAGAAGAATTTAAAAAGAGCAGAGCCAGCCGTATTCTCTTAGATACCATAGTCTAAAAGCATGCTTTGTGTTACACCAGTTCGTCCCTGCGGCATGTGCTTGTTCCGAAGCCGAAGCATGAAAATTTCATGGCCGAGATCCATCAACATTAACGTCCTTCGATCATCAGCTATAAGCTGAATTCTCGACAATCAGTCCATCAGCTTGCTCGATCCACTTCTCGTTCCTCATTTGTGGCGTTGGGCATCCGAACTTGGCTACAACCCCGAAGCGCTACATAACAGAGGCCACGGGTGTCTCATCTAGACATGCAAGATTTGCTTTCGCGGCGCTTCCCATCTCGCACATGAACTCTATACCTAGACAGTATCACGACAAATCACGGATCCTTTTCTATGTGGTCCGACGGCGTCGAATTTCCCCATCGCTCACGAGAGCGCACACGCGGGTTTGGTAGCACCTACAACTTTCCACGAGAGCTTCACGCATTACCGATCCGCTGTAACCTACCAAAAGGCACTTTGAGCGACCTTCTAGATATATGTACAAAGTTTTTTTGGTCTTTCGCCACGCTCATTCGCCTCTCCGAAGAATCTCTTGTGCTCAAAGCTCACATTATGGAGAGATATGATGTGTACCAAATACAAGTCATGCAGCTTAGTCGACACGAGCAAAGACACAGCTTCATATAGGATATCACCCCATGAAAGCTTCACCAAATGACTCCTATTCTTGCATTTATTCGCATTTGTATGTCATCCGAGAGCAAGTGTCTTACTTCCTGTGCTTCCCCTTCTTTTGCCAAGGCAGAATTTTGACCATGTACTATCACCGCCTTCATCGCCAATAAGTGCGGAGACATCGTTCCTTCAGAAGGGTGCTGAATATACCCGCCATTTTGGGAAGAAGTCTTACGATGGCTTCACGAATTAGCCTGCCGCGGCGATTCGAATACGAGTGGGCGTTTCGACTAGTTAGCGAGGGCCGAGGGTAAAGTCATTGACAGTTGATTGAGCAGCAGAGGCACGCGATGGTGCGTTGAGGTTGACGAACTATATAAACAGAGTCGGGCTCCTCCATCTTGGTGTTCGTCAGCATATTAACAGGTCAAAGCAAGCAGCACAACACTCAACTGGCACCGACATTGTCTTCACAGCTCACTGCTTTCTGTCATCTTCCATGGCATAGAACTTGGCTTGTCAAGATCAAACTCCCCAATACAAAGACTTGCCATCAACCTTTTCGAAGGAGATTTCTTTGTTCTATCTTATCATTTGAACACAACGACGTGGCAGAGAAAGAGAAAAAACCGCGGGGCTAGAAACATACTCTGGCTCCATCAAAGCAGGAACAGCACAGGAGAAGAGAAGCACATCGACTTTGCGAGCATCTATCATTGACCTCTCTTCTTCCAGCCCAGCCACTCTCTTAGTTGATACTCACAGACGGAGACTTTCAATAAGCTCTCGGGGCAGAAGCTCCTAGCCATCAGCCTCTCACACCCCTGGCTCTCAGCCGACTCCTACG